AGGTCTCAAATTGGCAAGTTGTCAAAGATGAAGTGGATGGGTAGTTGCTAGAGTCTGAGGGAACAGAGGAGCCGGAATTGACTGCTCATAGACATGGGGTTTCCACTGATGGTGATTGGTGTATGAAAATCGACTGACTCATGTACTTTGTTCTAGTTTGCCGTCTGTTACTATTATAAATACCATGACCAAAAGCACCTTGGGAGGAGAGGGTTTATTTGACTTACACCTCCTGATCACAGTTGATTGTTAAGGGTAGTAAGGGGGCAAGAACTCAGGCTGGAACAGAGGCAGAGGCCATGGAGAGGAGCTGCTTCCTGGCTAGCTCTCCACGGTTTGCTCAGCCTGCTTTCTTAATCACCCCAGGGACACCTGCCCAGGAGTGGCACTGCCGCAGTGGGCCACGTCAATCATCAATCAAGAAAATGCCCCACAGACTTGCACACAGGCCAAACTGATGGAGGCATTTTCTCACGTGTGGTCCCCTCTTCCCAGATGATGCTAGCATCTGTCAAATTGACAAAACTAACCAACACAAACCCTAAAAGTATCAATTTATATAAGTTTGTGGATTTGGTCCCGGGCGTTTCTCAAGGCGTCTGTGGAGAGAAGCAGACCGCTTGAGCACGTTGTGAGTGGTAGCCCGGTGAGCCTTGGGACAAGGACTTGACCTCTTCATCTGAGTGAATGCAGCTCACAGAAGCGGCATGAGGGACCCTTCAGCTTGGAGGGTCTCACTGAAGGCTGCCTTGTCAGATGGTGGGAGGAGAGGGTAGCGAGGCGGGGAGAGTTCTCGGCCTTCTCCCCAGCTCCCTGGCAGCTGCCTTCCTTTCGGCCCTTCGCTGACTTCTCCTGCAGCCCCATCCCTACAAGTGTGGGCTTCCTGAGGTTGATCTTTCAGTCTCCTCACCCCACACCCTGTTCCTGGCAGTGACCACTATTACTCCATGGCTAGAAATGACTCTATGGCTGAGGCTCTGACCCTGAAAACAGTGCTCCTGTGGTGACAAGGGGGACATCCAGTCAAGGTCCTTGGATGCTGGCTGGCCTGGAACTCGTTGTATATGCCTGACAGACCCCAAACTCACGGGGATTCTTCCCACTAAGCGCTGGCATCACAAGCCCATGCCACCACTTGCTCCAAGTCTTGCTTTTGATGGTGACTTGGATGTCTCAGACTCCCAGGCCTCATGTGTCCCAAACAGATCTCCTAAGAAGTATAACTGTCTCTGAATTGCTTAGCCAGAGGCAGAGGATGAGCCCAGAACTGCCCAATTTGTGAACACATCTACACAGGCTCGATAGCCTGTCAGAACGCCTTCAGAACGGTTCTTCAGTGACCTCCCCCTGTTTCTTCCTCTGCTGTTACTGCAAGTCACCTGCATTGGTCCCTGATGGCTGCAATCATCGCCTCTCGTTTTTCTGGCATCCATTTTGGCTTCACTCCAAACTGCCCTCCACATCGAAGTCAAAGTTTTATATTCACTTGTGGATACACATCTCCATACATTCGCACACAGACACAGACACCCGGGCATATGCTCTGCTCTTGCCTAGCAACCTCCAGTGGCATCCTATTCACCTCATCAGAATCTTATCCTGGATCCCTAAGGTGCGTATGTGCACCGTGTGAGTTAGCCCTTGTCGATCGGCCCAACCTTGTCTCAGGATCCCCTAATCAGTCATGGGGAGCCTGTCCTTCATTTTAGAGCCCCTTGCCTCTTTCCTTTGCCTGGAAAATGCTCTCATTTCCGCCCCTTCTTGTGTCTGGCTGCCTGCCACTCTGCAGTGTTTCTTGTTAGGAGGCGGGTCACGAGGCATGCGAGCCCAGAGGCAGGGAGAAGGATGGAAGTAAAGGACAGCAGCGTGAAAGGGGGAAGTGGGCACGTGAGCAGGTACCCAGTCACACCTCACCCCACGTCAGCAGCCCTCCCTCGGCTCACACCTCAGCTCACACTCCACCATGCAGCAGGGTGGAATATCCCTGGTGACGGAGTCAGGAAAACAGGAAGAGACCGAGCTTGGTTCACAGGTTGGTCGGCACCAGATGTAGGTACGGATGGGATGGTAAGTCTTCGCTGCGGTCTCTCTGGCAGTTGGCAAGGGATGCGTTTTCCCAGTGGACAGAGTTAGAGAGCGCACCTGGTTATCACCTTCTCCTAGAAAATGCAAGTGTCCCATGGATAGAATAACCATGGGGTAACAGATGGTTTGGCCAGGTGTTCAGAGCATGAGAAGAGACAGGTGGGGGAGTGAAGAGAAGAGGTGCATAAACGGGTGAGAGCGAGCCCGATGTGTGAGGATTTTTTATATTACAGGTGATCTTAGTTACCTTTCTATTGCTATGATAAAACATCATGACCAAGGCAACTTATAAAAGAAAGCATTGAATTTGGGGCTCACGGTTCCAGAGGATAGTAGAGTCCATGACTATCACGGCAGAGAATACGGCAGCAGGCATAGCCTTGGAGCAGTAGCCGAGAGCTTAGATGTTGAGGCAACATCCATGGGAGGGGGGCTGACTGGGAATGCTATGGTCTTTTTAAACCTCAAAGCCCACCCCCAGTGATACATCTCCTCCAATTAGGCCACACCTCCTAATCCTTCCCACACAGTTCTGCCAACTGGAGACCAAGCACTGGAATATATGAGTGTACGGGACCACGCTCATTCAAACCACCACAATAGGTAGACACCCCCCCAAAAAGCTTCCATGATAAAAAGTAGCAAACCAGCAGCTAGACAAAATGGCATGGCCTCTCTCCTCCTCAGTTACCCCAGTGCTGGCACAGGGTGTGAGGGGTTGTGACAACCATCACCATCCCAAGCACTCACATTTACACTCAATGTCTTAAGATCTCATGAAACACTGTGTCAGAAGAGTCTGCAGAGAAGCGTGAGTGTGGAGCCCACCCACATCACTCGTGCTCTGTGCTACCAGATACTGCTTAGTCCAACAGCACTGGAATGGCCTAGCAGAGACCCAGCTGGAGTGTCGGGTAGGAAGTCCCACTTCTCAGGATGCAGGTGTGTGACATGAAAGACTATGCCATGTTCTGCCTCAAGACAATAGGCTAGCAGAAAAGAGTTGGGCATTTATAGATCATACAACTATCCTTCATATGTTTTAAAATTCCCCAAATAAGAAGGTAAAAATCCCTGACAGAAATCAAAGGACACGAAGAGAAAGAGAACTATTCATTAAATATATAGCAACTGGTCAACCTCCCGTAAGAAGAGAAATGCCAGCTGACGGTGAACTGCCCTCAGATGCTGAGGAAGGGGACAGTGTGGAAACCAGGGTGGAGCTGCAATGGGCACACTCTGTCCTATGTGACATATATGGGACGTGTCACTTAGGAAGGAGTTGCCTCCAGCAATATACTTACTTCCAAGCCAGAAATTCCAGTTCTGAGAATTTGCCCCTCAGGAATTCTGGCTCAATACCTTCTTCCCCAAGCAGTCCCCTTCCCACTACCACATGACTTATTCCAGTAACCCCCACCAAACCCCTTCTTTAAAACTGTTTTCTCCTGTTGTGGTTCCTTCTCTGGCTTCAGGACCCACACACTTCCACACAACTACATGTGTGCGGAAATCAGATGATGCAAGGGACTCCAAGAGAGAACACCGTTACACAGATGAGGGACGGGTCGACCAAAGCAGGCATGAAATGCCATAAGGAAACCCTTACTCTGTGTCCTAATTTAAAATAAAAACTAACAAGAATAAAACCAGAAACAAACGAACAACAAACAAAAACAACAACAAAAACAAAAAAACCTTGCTCAAAATGAAAGGAAGGACGACCAGGCAATGGTGGCACACACCTTGAATCCCAGCACTGAGGAGGATCTTTGTGAGTTCTAGGCCAGCCTGGTCTACAAATCCAGTTCCAGGACAGCCCGGGCTGTTACATAGAGAAACCCTGTCTCAAAAAACCAAAAATAATAAAAAAAAATAATAAAATAAATAAATAAATAAAAAACCAAAAATAAAATAAAATAAAAATAAAGAGGAGAGAGAGGAAGGAGGGTGGCAGGTACTTGGACAGGCTGCCTCTAACTATGCAAAAATCAAGCTCAATTCCCACTACAGCATATTTTTAATATCGTGTGCGCGCGCGCGCGCGCGTGTGTGTGTGTGTGTGTGTGTGTGTGTGTGTGTGTGTGTGTGTGTGTGTGCTGGTGCCCAAAGAGACCAGATGTGTCAGATACCGCGGGACTGGAGTTGCAGGAGATTGAGTGCTGCCCAACAATGCAGCTGAGCCCTCTCCAGCCCTGCAGCATATTCACAACTATTAATCTGAAACCAGCTCACAGTGTAAATCCACAGGTGACTGCCGAGCATGTTTGGTGACAACATTCACTGCGTGCTTCCCCTGGCAGCTGCTGATTTCAGGACTTTCCCTGCCTTGGCTCCTTGGATCCCTACAACAACCTGAACAAGATGCTATTATTTTGCCCAACTCACAGGTAAAACCACTGAGGCACAGGGAGCCAGGGTAACTTGAGGGGGAATAAAGCAACTTTTGAAGTCATGTGAACAGTTTAATTTCACCTTTTAGAAATTAACAAAAATATTGTTAACAACCTAACAAAAATAATGCATGTAGACATTTATATGTACTCACAAGTTCTTTCTAAAAACTTCGGCAGACCCCAAGAATCTGGCTGTAAAATGTTGGCAGGGAGAAATTTTGCTTTTTTTGGCTTTTCACACTTGTGCCATTCCTTAAAGCATTCTTTTCGCAGTGTAAAGACAAAATCAGCAAACAAGGACACTTAGTGCCCAGACACTGATCTGAGAGCCGTGGGAGCCGCCGCGTGCTGGCATCTCTTCCTCCTCACCGACTGCAGTAAGCTCTGGTTGGAAAAGGCCCTCCAGCGGCTTACCCCTGGGGCAGGGAGAAGTGTGTACTGAGCATGCGCTTCGCCAGGAAGGGGCTTCCAGGGTGGTTTAAGGAAAAGAGGAAAGTGGAAGAACTCAGAGGAGAGCAGTGAAGAAGGTGGGGAGCTGTGATGGGGCAGGGCTGGGTGGGAGGAGTCCACAGACAAAGCCACAGAGCACACAAAGCCCAGATCCTGTGGGGCTCTTGTCCTCCTCAGAGCACAACAGTTCTTCCCAGAGAGACGGGTCTCAGGCACAGGAGCTTTAGACACAACGGCATAGAACACGGGCGACGGTCATCAAGTCATGTCTCGTGCTAAGGAGTCAGATGAACTCGTTTTCTTTGTGAATGGAAAAAAAGTAAGTGCTCTACCCTGTAACTAACAGCTGCCCATAAGAAACGCTGGTAGAAGCCATCTGTTACCAACTTTGCCAAAGTGAAGGTTTTGGGTGGAGGGTGTGTGTGGGGAGAGGTGCTAGATCTAGCGATCTGCCATGCTTCCTGGGGGAGAAGGGAGGGAGGAAGAGAGAGAGAGAACCGACAACATGTGTGGAATGTGTTGGGGCTAGCAGAGGGAAAGTGTCCAGTTAGGTGTCTCCAGACCAAACCTCACCACGTTTGAACGTACCTAAGCATTAGGCATTGGCTTTCACTGGGTGCTTCCCTTTCTGCAACAGGAGCCCCTCTTTCTTCCTCTACACCTCCTTTTCCAGCTCCAGCTCAAACTTCTATGCCACCCAAGCAGTGCTTTCACATGTATGTGCACACACACACACACATACACACACACATACATACACACACACATACACACACACACACATACACACACACACACACACACACACACACACACACACACACACACACACCCAGAGTCCAAGGTTTTCAGGTCACTTGCAAATAATTATAAAACCTTCAGTCAATACGAATGGAGGAGAAAACATACTGGAAAGCCAGAAGTGAACTGTTAGTCTGAATGTTAACACCTTACACCTTTAAGATTGGATTCATGCCTGTTATCCCAGAAGAGCAGGAGCTTTGAGGCTACCTTGGTCTGCAAAGTAAGTTTCAGGACATGAAGGGACTACGTGATGAAACTGTCTCAAAAGTAAATAATGAGTGAGCGAATGAACAAATGAGGGGTCTTAACTCGCTGAGGAGAACAAGCTGAAGTGTCCTCTCGTCCCTCTACCCTGATCTCTTGAGACCTAGACAAGACATAAATGACGGCAATACACCCTTTGCATATATGCTGGATGTCCTTGACAATTGTGTGTGATGCGAAACCCAACACCCTTGTTCTCAGCACTATTGGCACAGAGAGAGGGCAGTCAAAGTTTAAACTGGGCTTATGGTATTGTGTACTGTGTGCTGTGGGCTGTGTGTGTGCTGTGTGCTGTGTGCTGTGTGTGTGCTGTGTGCTGTGTGTGTGCTGTGGGCTGTGTGTGTGCTATGTGCTGTATGTGTGCTGTGGGCTGTGTGTGTGCTGTGTGTATGCTGTGTGTGCTGTGTGCTGTATGTATGCTGTGGGCTGTGTGTGTGCTGTGTGCTGTGTGTGTGCTGTGTGTTGTGTGTGTGCTGTGGGCTGTGTGTGTGCTGTGTGCTGTGTGTGTGCTGTGTGTATGCTGTGTGTGCTGTGTGCTGTATGTGTGCTGTGGGCTGTGTGTGTGCTGTGGACTGTGTGTGTGCTGTGGACTGTGTGTGCTGTGGGCTGCTCTGTGCCCTGTGCTCTGTGCTCCGTTGCTCTGTGAAGGTTCAGGGTGGTTGCGCAGCATGCCCAAGGTCACTTGGCTAACAAATATGGGAGAGACCTTGGCTTTCATCTCTGGGCTCCTTTCCCTGGCTCTGTGACCGCCTCCTGGGGAGATGGCCATTCTTCTAGAACACTGATGCCAAGGGGAGGGGCTGGAGATTTGCATAGCTTTCCTGCAACTGCCAAAGGAATGCATTTTGTCTACCACTGCCAGACTCCTGCTTACTTAACTTCTCAAAGCTGGATGGTGCACACAGACCAAAAAGCATGCTTAGTAGGTGGTGATAAGAATTATAACCCTCAATTTAATTCTTTATCTTTTATTATACTGTAGGAATGCAAGAATTTTTAAAATACTTGGTCCTTCAATTTTTTCTGTCTTTTTTATTATTTTCTTGACCCCATACTGTGCTAGAATTCAAAGACTTGTTGCTCCTCCTCCGAAACAAAGCCAAACATTTACTTGTCAAAGTCTGACCAAGTATCATACAGCGGCGTCTGATTTTTGTCACTGCAAAGAGTGAGGTTTAATCAAGTCAGGCAAATAAGATCAGCAAACCTGTTCTAAAGCATTCTTACTGTTTAGAGATCAAAATGGAAACTGCCTCTACTTATATAATCATGTCCCCTGTCCAGGTCATCGAGAGGAATGCAGACCCTGAAGTTAATCTGTTGTTTTATCTGAGAAAAGTCAGTATCCTTTTGCTTGTTTGTGAAAACAGAACGAAATTTCCAACTCTGGGAACTGTGGTCTCTCTTGCATTTACAGAACTGTTTCCACCACATTTCACGGAGAATGTTTTGCTTGTGTGTAGGAATAGCGAAGCTGCTTGCCATGTAAATGGTTCCGAGTGTATGCAAGTCTAAGGATCCCCTGGGGACGGTGGTTAAAATGTGACGTTCAGAAGCAGGAAAGGGGCTCAGTAGGGAAAGCGCTAACCGCACAAGTGTGGGGGCCGGGGTTTGGGTCCCCAGAAATCACACAAAGCCTGGCATGGTAGTGCCCATCATCTGGTGTTCTTATGGCCAGGTGGGGAATGAAGAGAGTAGAGTCTCGGGACATTCCTGGGCTAGCCTGGGGTTAGCAGTACTGCAGGGAGCAAGACACTGTTTCAAGACAAGGTAGAGGGCTCACAGCTGACGTTCTCCTCTGACCTCGATATCCATACCGAGGCATGCTTGCATGTGCATGTGAACACACACACACACACACACACTCCTCATTTGGTCACAAGCTCACAGCAAACAGCATTAAAGTCTGTCAGGGTTTCTCCTTGGATGTTCCTGTTCATTGCCTGGGGACAGGCAGAGCTGTGAAGGTTTCTAAACTGGACCAAGATAGGATGAGGCACCTGTGGTCACCTAGAGATTAGAGTTTGGGAACCAGTCAAATCCTCCTCTAGAAGGCAGACTATCCAGTTAGGAGGTTTTTCAAAATAGTTTTGTGTCCTTGGAAGCAGGACTAGATAAATCCATATTCTTCAAAATTTCTCTGTGTATAATCTGTATTGTATGCGTGTGCATGTGTGTGTGTATGCATGAATGTATATGTAAGTGTGCATGTGTGTGGATATGTGCATGTGTGCATACATTCATGTGTGTATGTGTATGTGCATGCATGTACATGGGTGTATGTGTGTGTATGTGAGCATGTGCCTTTGTGTGTGTGTTCTCTCCACTTCAATATTTCACGCCCACATAACTAGCTAGATGTGATGTTTTTACCCATTGACTCCTCAGTCCTGTGATTCGGGAGACACAGAACACAATGTAGGAGCCAGGCGAATGTATTGTAGGCTGACAGGACACTCCGGGAGTGAGTGGTCAGTGGCCAAAAGGACCACTGTAGAGGGAAGCACTTTCAAGGGTGAGGGTGGAAAGTGGCCAAAAGGACCACTGTGCCAATATGCATGTTTAAGTGGGTTGTTATATTCTCATCCTCGTGTCTCTGGAGCAGTTTTTGAGGAGCATTTCCCAGTCCAGGTGATTGACAGGCCCATTTGGAGTAAGTACTGAAGGAGATATGTCTTTGCTCTTTATCAGAAAGCTACATAATAATCATATAGTCTCCCTGGTAGTTCATAAAAATCGTGTCTCCACATGGGGTCAGAGCTACAATATAGATATACAGATTTATTTATTTACCAAAAATCACATAACAGAGTAGGTTAAAAATAATTAAAGAGAAAATGAAAAAAAAATCTATAAAATGTTTGCCTGGCTTAGCCTGGGGATGGAGCTCAGTTGGTATGGTACACACCTACCATGCACAAATCCTTGGGTTCGGGCCCAGCACCACACACACATAAACCAGGTGTGGCAGTACCTGCCCATAACCCCTGCGCTCAGGAGGTGGAGGCAGGAGGATCAGACGTCCAGTGTTACCTGAGACTCTGTTCTGAAAACAACAAAGTGAAGAAGAAAGAGGCCCCACTTCCCCGGGAGGAAGTAGCAGCCCGTGCAGGATTCAGGAAAAGCCTGCTCCATCCACCTGCCTGACCTTCACCCGAACTCCAGTTCTCTTCTCACGCGGTATCTTAAATCTTAAGGGCGATAAAGGTGGGGCAATTGGGACATTTCCCCTTCCTGAAGAACTGCCGCGTCAGCAGGACTGTAGTGACTGGGTCCCGATCCTTCCTTGACGACCCTGAAGCATGCTCATTTCTTCTGTCGTCGCTTTTACCGGCATTGTGTCCCTATACGTAATAATGGGCCTCCCGTGATGTTTTCGTACACATATACTGTCCTTTGAGTCACCCCGTTACCCTGCCCCATGCCCCTCACTCTTGATGACCTCCTTCCTCTCCCCAGCTTCCTCCTCTACTGCTTTTGTATGTATATTTTCTTTTCTATGACTCAGTGAGCTCCACAAGGTTTGCTTTCAGGACCATGGGTACAGGTTATCTACCAGAACATGGACACCTGAACCAGTGGCTTCACCCCTGAAGAAAACATCTCTTCCTCTCCTGTCAACCGTTAACTGTCTATAAATCCTCAGAGGTGTGATGCTGCATGAGACATCCCAGCCCCGATTATAGACTATTGATGGTACCACTCTTGTGCAGGTGGTCACAGATGCTCTCTGAGTTCAAGAGTTCAACGGCCATATCATACCCAGAAGACAGCCTCTTCCACCATGTTCCCTAAATCTTAGAGAGGGTGATATAGATGTCCTACCTATGGCTGAGCATCCAACAGTCACTTCTTTTCATAACTTTGACCAACTATGAGTCTCTGCAGTTGCTGCTGCCCACTGGAAAAAGAAAAAAAAAAAGAGCCATTTTGGACCAAATCAGACAGCAGTACTAATCTATGGGCATGAGTAAAATTATTTAGAAGGCTGTTTGACAAGTGTACCAAGTCCATTTAACAAAACAGCAACATTTACTTCCCCCTACTTCAGCCTATGACCTCCCCAGTCACAAGCTTTTGACAGTGGGCCATTCAAATCCAAGCAGAGTCGTTGGTTACCCCAATAACAGACTAGCCACTGCTGTACTAGTGGACACATCCTGCCTGGTCAGCCAATAGTGTTGTAGATAGCTGAATAAAAATACTGATGACAATTGTCCCCAAGTAGCCTGCATAGCATCGTCAAGGACTGTGAGAGACTTGCGGATTTCTAACTAGCTAACACCTGTGTCTACGAAGAGTTACAACCCTCTGCCCTCCCTGCTGTCAACTCAAGAATGAACTGAAAGCTTAAAGAGCTTTCTGTCAGGTAACTCTCAATTTCTCGGCCCTCTTTTTAGGACAAGCACACCAACTTTTATTGTGTTTTTGGTTTTAGTTTTTCTTTCCTACCTTTCTGTTTCCTTGACCAATAGAGGTTGTGTTGTGGAGTCTCCAGTGAACTGGGGATGCTCCATCCTCCAGGGTTGGGATGCTTTTCAATTGCAGTTAACTGGGGATGCTCCATCCTCCAGGGTTGGGATGCTTTTCAGTTGCAGTTAACTGGGGATGCTCCATCCTCCAGGATTGGGATGCTTTTCAGTTGCAGTTAACTGGGGATGCTCCATCCTCCAGGGTTGGGATGCTTTTCAGTTGCAGTTAACTGGGGATGCTCCATCCTCCAGGGTTGGGATGCTCTTCAGTTGCCTTCCCCTCCTGACTTCATGTAAGTAAAGGGAAAACACTGATGTGAAACCAAAGTCGGAGTCTTTCTAAATAGGAAGGACCAGGACTTCAGAGTGCTGGAGGCGAGGGGGATCTCCCTTGCTGTTCTGGAGGTCCATGGGTCTAGCTACCTCCCTGCTTGGCAGCAAGTGCTGTCTCATGAGATGCCACATTCTGACTGACTTACACTGAGCACCCATCATTTTTCAGATGAGTGGGGTACTTCACGGAGGCCTGTACTGTGACAGTAAGTGTTCATTGTCACCCAGACAGAATCTAGAATCACCTGAGAGGTGTCCTCTGGGCATGCCTGTGGAAGGTTATCTTATGAGTCGATACGGGAAGACCTGTCTTGATTGTGGGTGGGACCATTCTCTGGCGGGGGGATCCTGGACTGTAAAGTGGAGGAAACAAACTGATTACTGACGCCTGCCTGCATTCAGGATCTGCTTCTTGCCTGTGGATGCAACATCGGTGTCTTCTTCAGTTTCTGGTGCCCCGACCACCCCACATGGTGGACTGTACCTTGAACTGTGAGTCAGAACAAACTATTTTTTTGGTCAGAGTTTTTTATCATAGCAACAGGAAAAGAAAGGGTATATACTCATCCTGATGCCATTCTTGCCATTTGTGAAATTTTTTATGGTAAGAACTGAAAGCTCCAGTTCCTCTTTCTTCCTTAACCCTAACCCTTCCAGTCCGACTCACAGGGACAAAGTACGGCTGTGGAGGAGGTGGCTGTGGGGCCTGCACAGTGATGGTCTCAAGATATGACCCCATCTCCAAAAAGATCAGGTACCTTTCCCCTACCCCAGACCGGCTCCCTGTGGGATTTATTCCTGGCACACTGTGGACTGTATTTCACTCCAGAAAGGAATCTGAGACAACCTCAGTTTCATGAGCTGGAACTAAAATACACAACTTGTAAGTTACTATTTGAAGAATGTGGCACAGAGTAGCCCGAGTCCTAGCAACGCTGGCGTTTTACAAACGATGGAAACTCGGGTTCTGAGGGAATTTGTATTCTCACCACAGCCATAGAACCAGTGAGTATTAGATCATGAGCCCCCCAAGTCCATTGGTCTGTAAAGCCAAGATCCTTTGAATAAGTGCCACCCCAAGAGAGCTGTGAAAGCCTGCTTCCTTCTACCTGTGAAGTTACTCTTTCCCCATGCCCAGGGGAATACTTGTATTCATGGGTCGGAGACTCTGGTGGAACTACTACCTCACAGGTCACCTCACTTAATTTCGTCCCAAGCCTTTCAGGCTTTTTCTAAAACCACACACAACTGATACCACTCAGAAGAGAAACAGCTCCGTATTTAACTATCTTCTACAGCTGATGGGATGAAATGGGCGCATCCAGCAAGACCATTTGAACTCCTGTTTTTAACAAGAGAATTTGGAGGAGATAATGACTGTCTTAATTATAATATTTATTTTTAGGCAGACATAGTTAAATTCAAAATCATTTATTTGATGATTTAATTTTAACATGCACTCAATTATGTTCCTGTCAAAGTAATTATAATCCTGTAAATGCATCTTTTTTTTTTCTAATGCCACTGTTGTTTCTATGAATTCTTTTTGACGTCGCTGCATAAACTTTGAAGTCATTTCTCTGTTGCTGCCTGCCTGGTTCCCGTCTGCTCTCTCTATGGGGCTGCTGTCACCACAGTTGAAGGCATAGGAAGCACCAAGACCAGGATTCACCCCGTCCAGGTAAGAGCTTGCTCTAACAAGTTTAAGATTTAACAAGTTGTCCTACTTATCATTAACCCTCAACCTGACACAAACTAGAGTTGTCTGGGAAGAGAACCTCAACTGAGGAGCCGTCTAGATCAGGTTAGTCTGTGGGTGTGTCTGAAGGGGATGGTCTCCATTGTGAATTGATGGAGGAAGGCCCGGCCCACAGTGGGCGGCCCCATTCCTTAGGCAGGTGGTTCTGTATAGGAAAGCTGGCTAAGCACATGCCTGCCTGACAGCCATCTAGCAGCACCCTCCATAGTTCTTATCACACTTCTTTGGTTTAGAATTGAGTTCCCTGGTCGGAGGTAAGGCTACATGGACTAGCAAGTAGACCTGCCTTCAAGTTCTGATTTGACTTCACTCACTGATAGACTGTGACCTGGAATTGTAGTCCAGATAAATCTTTTGTCCCCCAAAAGCTGCTTGGGGTTAGGTGGTTGTCATAGTGACAGAAATGACACCAGAACACAGGTTTAGGTGACTTCTTTAGTTGTCCAGACCTTGGCTTATGGTTTTAGAGGACAAAGACAGTAAGTGAAGGGCTCTGTTCCCTTTATAGAAAAAGACAGCATTTTTCCCCTGAATCCCTCGAAATCCTTTCGAGGCTTTCTTTGTCGCCACTTGAAGTTTATTTGGCTTCTGTAAAAGTGGGGAGGAGAGGCTAGAGAAAGTGGCTGGTAGACTGGGTGGGGAGCCTGGAGAAAGTGGCCGGTAGACTGGGTGGGGAGGAGAGCCTGGGGAAAGTGGCCGGTAGACTGAGGGGGGAGGAGAGCCTGGAGAAAGTGGCCGGTAGACTGAGGGCGGAGGAGAGCCTGGAGAAAGTGGCCGGTAGACTGACGGGGGAGGAGAGCCTGGAGAAAGCGGCCGGTAGACTGGATGCCTTCTGTTGCCTCACAGTCTCAGCGGCCCCACCACTTTCTGGGAATGCTTTGGTTTTATCACAAAGACTATGAAGGAGACAACTCCCATGTATCTTGGTTTAGACAAGAAAATGAGAAAAACTGGGATGTGTATTCTCTTTGGTTGGGTAAATAGCCATGTTGCTGATTCTAGTCAGAAAAACTAATTTTGTGGCCTACATATTTGCACTTAGCACTTATGCTGTGAGAGTCTCCTATGAAGGTTGTGTGTGCTAAGTAGCCCCAAAATTAAGTCATAAGCTCTTCCAGAACAAGGATTTTCACCTTAGCCTGAAAAATACCTTTCCATGGCACATACACACAAAAAAAATATATTCCATAAAGACTATCAGCAGGGCTGGGAAGATGGTTTAACCAATAAAGTGCCTGCCTACAGCATGAGGACCTGTGTGCTAGCCCCAGTACTCATATAAAAGGAGTCCAATGGCACTCGCCTCCGGTCCCAGCACTAGGGAGGCGGAGACAGGAAGATTCCTGGGGCTTGCTGGGCCAAATGCTCTAGTTGAATTCATGAGGTCTGGTTTCAGTGAGAAACACTAACCCAGACAATAAAGTGGTAGACAACGAGGATGACCCTTACCATTAACATCCGTCCTTCACACACACATGTGTCTATACATACACACACACACACACACACACACACACACACACACACACACACACATGAGTTCATTGCTTTTTCAAGAGATGGTTGGCAGACTACCAAATCACAGGCCTGCTTGTCCTCCTGCCTCTAAGGAACCCCTCCCATCAGAGGCACACAACTGAGTGTATCAGTCAGTCTCCAGGCCAAGTACTTATAGAATCTTTCCATTCATGCAGTAAATATTTCTTAGTAAAACTATCCAAATGTGAACAAAACTTCAGGTAATTACTGTAGCTGAAGTTTTCCTGTGTCCCACGGTCAGGACAAATCTCTCTCACCCGCCAGTCCTGCAGCCGCTTGGACCCAAATAAACACACAGAGGCTGATATTAATTAAAACTGCTCGGCCATTAACTCAGGCTAACTATTGATTGACTAGCTCTTACACTTAAATTAACCCATAATTCTTATTTGTGTTTAGCCATGTGGCTTGGTACCTTTTCTCAGTTCTGCCTTCACATCTTGCTTCCTCTGTGTCTGGCTCTTCCCAGAATTCTCTTCTCTGCTTGTCCCACCTATACTTCCTGCCTGGCTACTGGCCAATCAGCATTTTATTTATTAACCAATCAGAGCAACACACAATCACAGCATAGAGAGCGATATCCACAGAAAATTACTAAAGTTAACCCAAAAGGCAAGAGGTAGAAAAAGTGGATTTCCCTTCGTGGAGGTAGTCCTTGACAACAAATCTCCAGTTTAAATTATTTGGTATGACTGAGGGTAGAAGGGTTGCCTGTGTGGTAGCAGAATGAGGGAGTACTGAAATAAAAGTGGTCTTGATGGAAGACACTGGGTTAACATGGAGAACTTCCCTTCCAGACACTTCAATGGGACCTTCCCCAAAAAACCTCCCCTGGCTCTGTAAATATGAACAATTGCAGCATTCATGGTTCCTACTGTTAGTCCCGAGACTCACAACAGAAAAACCAGCTCCACAACTCTGAGCCATATTTGAAGCAAACTTTAATTAAATACTGACCAGGATGGACTCTGGCCAGGCCCACCCCTGGTTCCCAGTGAATGGCCACAAGACACGTGTTATAGGGCTTCTTAAGGGCAAAACCATAAGGATACTGTATTTCCCATGTGGCTTTGTTATTTTCCAAAAACTACAATTCCTGGCATTCCAGGAAGTTACCTGGCCCTCGGGCAAGTGGGGCTTACAGGTTGACTTTGGCTCTTACACTCTGCAACAGAGCTGCACCTGTTTCGTTTCTGAGAACTAAAATTCTCAGCCTGGAATATTCCTGCTCTTCATTTTTAGGAAAGGATTGCCAAAGGCCATGGTACCCAGTGCGGGTTCTGCACTCCAGGCATGGTGATGAGCATCTATGCTCTCCTGAGGAACCATCCGGAACCCTCCACAGAACAGTTAACAGAAACCTTGGGCGGTAAGTGGTGACTTCTTAAATTGTAGGATAAGGAGGCAGCAGGTAGCAGGGATGCTGGAGCATCTCCATGCCCAGAAAGCCAAAGCACGTGACACAGGTCTATACACTGATCTTTATGAGCTACACATCATCAGTGCTGAAAAGTATTCATCCCCATTGAGCAGGAGGGAAGACTGAGGCAACCAGAAGAAAGTCAAGTGCATTCCCCATGGAACTATGACATTCTTGGCAACATATCCTCTAAGGGACTTTAGTGTGTTACATATTGGCATGCCGTATGCTTACTGAAATAGTCACTGTCTGGGCATCACTGATGTAAATTCAATGCTATTGAGATGGCGTTTGGAAATATTAAGACGCTGGGATCTTGCGATTAGGCGATTGGAGCTAGCCTACACGAGCAGCGACCTTGTGGCTTGTTTTTGTTTGTGGCTGGGGCTGCTGTCACACTTGTTCCTGGAGTAAAACTGATGCTCATGAAGTCACAGATGCTAAGAAATCAAGGAGGAAAATGTGGTGACTCATAAACATGCATGCCATTGAAATGCCTTGAGACCTCAAAGGTAATTTCTCTTCCTTTGTCCTCTTGGAAAATTTTATTCTCCTCAAGTCTCATATGCGCATATCCTTCTGTCAAGACCCTTTTTAATTTCTCTGTTTTTGCAAATCTGATCAACATTGCCTTCTGTCCTTATGCAAGTCATGGTCCAAACGACTGAATAGAATAAGTCAAGCAGAGCTTTGTGAGAAAATTAATCCACATCATTAACACTGAACTGCTGTTTAATTGTGTTGCGTGCACTGACATTTTCTGTCCTCGATACAGAGGAGCCCAAACTTGTCAAATGCCCTGGGAAATCTCCTCGCACTATGTCTGTGGAATTAAGCAGATCCACCCCAGAATTCTTATCCCAGAAGAGAAGGCTAGCTTTCCTAAGTCCCTCGTCTCCTCTTGGACAACACTGTTTTTAGACTCTGTCACAAATAACCCCTGTCAGAACAGATCCAGAGAACTGGCCAAGAGTAGAGTCAACCTCACCTAATACCCATCTTTAAAAAAATAAATAAAAAACAGGCCAAGGGTTGACTGTCTCCAATGTTCTAGAACATTATGTCTCACAAAGACGGCCCCTCATAGTTTCACAAGCTCATCCTGCCATGAGACATAATTCCCTTGATCCATCTGACATCTTGAACAAATTCAAAGAGGCTACAAGTTCTCTTAAAGTCTCCATGTATCTTGGACTTCAAGGCTTTTGGAGCAAGGCCCAGCCAATGCTTAGTTACCAGGTATTCCTGTTGTGAGAAACATGTGAGTGATTTTAAGAACAAGACAGCTGTGCCTTCTCTCGGGCATCTCTTAACGTTGTGAGAGACGTGAGCAGTTGAAAGAAGGAGGCAGCTGTGCCCTCTCTTGGATGTCTCTTAATGTTACTCTGTTCTGTTGGTTCTCTTTTTGATGTGTTGTTGATGACGATGACAGTATTTTCTCCACAACCTGTCTCAGTCCCGGGTCCAGTCAACCTGACCCTGCTCTATACCACACTTTGCCGTTCGTTCTCTGCCTTGCCTTATGATGTTCAACATTTCTTCTCTCCTTTCTGGTTTGGCTGGTCGGGAAGCAACCTGATCACAGCCCTCCTCCCTCAGTTCTTGCCACATCCAGTTACATCCTCTAAAGCCCACAACTGAGCGCTTCCCTGCTCCCGTACCAATGCTTCCATCTGTGGTTTCTGACCAGTATGGGGGTGGTGCCGGGGGGCTCTGTCACTGTGCCGTGCTCTTTGAAATTGCCTCTTCACAACTACTGCCCGGAAGAACATCGAGCACTCTTCACCTTCAGAGACCCTGTCCCCAATGCCTACCATTGTCGTGTCACAGCCTTTGTGGTTAGCGTGACAGCCTTGACCGACACTGGTCTCTCTGACTTTCATGACCCTCAAAAAGCCTTTACCCTCCACCCCCCTTTTAAGCAGAGGTGAAACCTCCCAAACTTGGGTCACTACAGGATGCTTTCTCAGCGGTGACTTCCTCTGTTACAGCTTCTCCAAAAAAAGGTTCTGTCCATACCTTGAATTGGGTCAGGCGACCTGGGTTGTCCATCCCCTCTAGCAGCCAGATGCCGCCCCAACTAGTAGGAAGGTGTTGGCGGTATGAAGGGTTTCCGAATAAGGGCTGCAGGGGGTGCTGAAGGGAAATTTTCAGGCAGAGCCTTGAGTCAAAGGGGAAGCCGGGGTTCATCAGGAAAGGAGTCTTGACATTTTGCAGCAATCTGAGGGACTACAAGCAGATTTCAAAAGTCACAGGCAGCTAAGAATCAGAGAATCAGGTTAAAACAGCAAGTTAGGAAAGGGAACAGTAAATCAGGACAATTGCCTGCAGGAAGCAGCGTGGCCTGTGATGTGCTACAGAGCCCACAGCCTGCATTTCTCATTAAGTTGTCACCCTAATGGTCTCGATATCCTTCCTTCGGAGAACTTGGATTTCCACTCAAGTACGTACTTGATGATCCTAGTTCCTGCCGCCTTGGTTAGTTTTTATTCTGTAATATTGCACGTGTTTTATCGAGTCTCATCTCTCCAGGCTTTAGAGGTTCCTGCTAGACCCCCAAAGTCTCATTGCACCAAAATTGAAGTGATTCTCTGTATGCCTTCAGTCTGTGCTCTTACATCTAGAGACTGCCACAACAGCTAACTTCTGGAATAATTTTTGTACACTATATCATTCCACGAGAAGTACTACATGTCAATTATGCAAAAGAGGAACTTGAGGTGCAAAATAGTAAAGTTACTGCCCAAGATCTTAAGCCTAGCCAGGGAAAGAGTCTGCTTTTGAACCTGGATAATTGATGTAGACCCCACGCCTTTATCACCTTGTCTGAATTATGTTTACAGGACTGTTTTTTTCTTATTATTTTCTCTAGAAAAATGACAGAGACTCCTCTACTTACCTCATACATTTGAGTAAAAATTATGTATGTTTCGAGTCATTTCTCTTTCTAATGCAGTCCCTTGTCCTTCTGTAAGCATTAACAACTGCCTGCTCTATGGCAGGCAGTGTGCCTGTCTGTGGGCCTTAACCTTGGGGACAGTGCATCACAAGGACTTCTGATGCCAATTGTTGTTTTGAAGGAGTCTGTGAAAACGTTGTGTAAAATGCAGAACAGAACAGAAATGCCATCATAGTCTCAGAGTCTATGATCTCACCTGATAACAGTGAGAGCCAGTGGTCGAAAGAGACCCGGCAAGGTGAGATGACCCCTCTGTGTCAGGGTCAGTCCCTCTGATAGTATGAGATTATTAACACCACCTACTGGGGCCTCAAGAACTTGCAAGGGTCTGCAATTTCACCCTGCTCGCGGGCTAACAAGTTATCCTGCCGCCATTGTGGGATGCTGGTGGAGACGTGAGATTCTCCAGCTGGGTCAGTGACTGACAGAGAAGCATGGCTAGAGCAGCTGCACCCGCCACAGCAGCTCCTGGGTCCCAGATCCCACAAGGCAGTTCGGATAGAGCCAGTAACCCCTGCAGGTGTGATAGGTCATGTTACAAGGAAGAACCCTGGATTTAGGAACTCAAGTCTTATCTAGAGGAACGCCCTCTAGAAGGTGGCATATCTTGGTTATACTAGAAGTGCTCATTTCTGTAATGAGATCCTGTGCTTACTTACTCTGTACAAGTGTCCTGGAAAATGATCTGGATCTAAGCAGTGAATATTCACAAGCTATGTACATCTCTGGCATGTGAGTTGTGTCCCTTACAGTGGTATTTTCTGTCCTTTCCTTTCACCCAGTTTCTGTTCTGTACCTCTCTTGAGAGTGTACCCCATAAATAGGTCCCGAGTAACTCCTAATAATATGTGTGAAATCTAGAAAGATTCCTTTTAAATGATTGGCAAGGGAGGTAATATAAAGAGAGAGAGAGAGAGAGAGAGAGAGAGAGAGAGAGAGAGAGAGAGAGAGAGAGAGAGAGAGTCGGTATGAATGAGAGAGCTACAGCAAGCCCAGAGAAATGGCCTTGGAGTTGAAACCGTGTATTTCATTCCGCCAGGTAATTTATGCCGCTGCACTGGATACAGACCCATTGTGGAGAGCATGAAAAGTTTCAGCCCTGTGAGTGTGAAATGACTGATGGCTGCTGAGCCACCGTTATGCCCACCCCCACACTGGCTCCTTCCTAACCGCCCCGACACACACGCCAGATGGGTTTCAAGGAAAGTACAATACTGTGTTTTAAAGAAAAATGATTTTCTGTTTTCGCCCATCTCAGTAAGCGAAACTGGGTATTTTTTTCAGAAATACAGACAGGTAGCACCATAATAGCTCTTTCTCTGAAGGTGAAGTTTGGAAATGGCGTATCCTTAGTGAAAATGGATTAGGCCGTTCTAACATCTTGCTCCATGATGAAGAAAAACTGATAAAAGTCTGTTTTTCAGACTGTCACTTCCACAGCACTTTTGGTTGAGACATAGCCCAAGTGAAGCGTTTCCATCAAGTGAATGCCCCTCTTTGCTCTGATTGTGATTCCGTCTGAGATTAATACTGATGGGAGATGGGGAAGAGAGGAGAAGCCGTCTCCATCATTCACGTTAGGTGGACTCAATTGAATGTGAGATCTGCAACATCCACAAAGCATCAGTCTGGGACTCCCTCTGCCCTCGCCATCTGCAGACCTCTCCGAAGCAGACACCACATGCTTCCCCACAGCCCCCTAGAGCAATCCTGATGTCAGACATGCAGGGCTTCCCACACCAAGCAGTCTTCCAACCCCCCAGATGCTCACAGGGCACTCTCTGCTTTAACCTAGTAGTGTGACACTAACTACTCAGAGTTAGTGTCACACTCTACGAGTTAAGGGCTCACAAGACTGATTTCATCTTATCATCAAATGCCGGACTGGGCCTTTGGTATTTCTGATCCGCTAGCTAAAAATTAGGAGTTCCTAGGACCTTACCTCCTCAGCTTCAATAATTTGCCATAAGTCAGGAAACACTGCTTATTCTTGCTGGGTTACTTTAAAATCGGTTATAAAGGGAACAGGTGAATAGCTAGATGAACTAGTACAGCAGGCAACAGCCAGAAAGGGCGTCCAGTCAGTGGATTTGAGGTCTATCATGTTCCTAGCACAGGGTGCTTCACCGACCCAAAGGCTCATAAATTCTCTGGTTCAAAGTTGTTGTTATTGTTTTGTTTTGTATGTTTTAAATGTATACAGTGTGTGAACACACACGTGTGGAGGTCAGAGAGCAACTTGTTAAGTTGGGTCTCTCTTTCTTTTGTTTTTGTTTGTTTGTTTGTTTGTTTTTTCGAGACAGGGTTTCTCTGTGTAGTTTTGGTGCCTGTGCTGGGTCTCCCTCTGTAGACCAGACTGGTCTTGAACTCACAGAGATCTGCCTGGCTCTGCTTCCCAAGTGCTGAGATTAAAGGTGTGCGCCACCATCCGGCCTTGGTTCTCTCTTTCTACTCTTACCCAAGTTCCAGGGTTTTGAACTCAGAAAGGACTCTATACAGTGAGCCATCTCACAGCCCCAGAAGTTCTTGTAACTGTACAGTTGCACACATCTGCAATTCCAGCACCCAGGAGGTAGACTAAGACAGAATAATTGCAAATTCAAGACCAGTCTGGGCTACATAGTGAGTTCAGGGATGGTGTAAGCTGTAAAGTAAGACCTGTCTCATCTCAAAAATAAATAAATAAAACATTTTTAAAGCACTCAATCTCCAGCCCTATTAACCCCCAGGCTGGTCCACTCACTGAGCCAGATTGGTGGGCTGCAAATTTAAACCTATTGATGGCAGGATCTCTGCCAATTGGCTCCATCCTAAGGCTATTCAGGAGTGGTCAGAGGTTCAGCAAAAGGAAGGAGTTGTCAGTGAATCCCTGCATCTTGGTGACAACCCAGACGATGTTGTTCTGATTTCAGAAGCTCCAGGTCCTCTATGTCTCCCACTCCTCCTTTGGACAACCTGCCTCCCACCTTCTCTCTGGAGAGGTTCATTGAAAGCTAAAAGTTTTAATACATGGGAAGCAATGAGCATAAGCCTAGACTAGGATAGACAATCGGGAAACTGCAGTTACTATTAATAATTAGAACATAACAAGTGTAAACTAACTTCATATCAGAATGCATAGCCTCAAATTCTGATTCCACAATTCTCTAGCTACATAATTTGATAAATTACATAACTTTCCTAAGCTCTTGTTTTCTTGTCCATGAAGTGGAATCGTGATTAAAAGAATTAGAACATAACATGTCCACAAAACACAAAACGTCTTGCTGAGCACAGACTGTTCGCTCAACCTAACCTAGACCACAACCTACACAGTTTACCACTTCCACCACCTCTGTGTCTGAGTCCATTTTATATTCCTGTACCAGAATACCACACACTCAATCAATTCTAATGACCAGAAATCTATTGGTCACAGTTCTAGACGCTCATACAGTCAAGATCAGGGGTTCCATTGAGCAAGGACTCTCTTGCTGTGTTATAACTTGGCAGAAGACATTGAAATCGTGGAAGAGATTTGAGGGTAAAAGAGAGCCAAATGTGGTGATATTTTGTTTGTGCTCTAACAAATAAAGATTTCCTGGAGATCAGAGAGCGGAGCTAGCCACTAGAGGCCAGGCAGTGGTGGCACACACCTTTAATCCCAGCACTTGGGAGCTCATGCCTCTGATCCCTGTACTTGGGAGGCACATGCCTTTAATCCAAGTACTTGGGAGGCACATGCCTTTAATCCCAGTACTTGGGAGGAGGAAACAGGAAGTGATATTGCTAGGTGGAAAGAGGAAGTGATAAGGCGGGGTGGAGACAGGTGCTTGGCCCTTTCAGTCTGAGGATCCCTGGAGGTAAGAAGTCTTTCTAGTGACTGGCTGCTAGGGGACCTAGACTGTCCTTTAAATAGGAATTTTCTCCAGCTGTAGTGGCATTAGTCCATTCTTGAGTGGAAACTCCTTCTAACACAATCACAGTGGCTCTTAAGTATGCATTCTGGAAGGACACACATTGCAAGCATACCATCCCATCATCATAACCATCCTTACCTCTGGATTCATACAACTCTATGACTCTCTGATTTAACCATTAATGTTGTCTTCTACAGAGTTCATCTTGCTGCCGGATAAATGGGAATGGGAAATGTTGCTTGGATGAAGAAAAAAATGAGCCGGAGAAGAAAACCAGTGTGAGTCTCCCTTTTCTCCCCTCGAATCCCTCCATCTTCTTCTATTTGCCCTCAGTGCATCCCACCCACATGAGTCAGAGGGTTTTGTGTGCTGGGAAAGAGCAGAGGCTCCCAAAACAACTGTCTTACTCCTGGCCTTTCCACCCTTTCTGTCCATTGACCTCCGGTTACTGCCAACAGGAGTCCACCTGGAAGAAAGGGAATCTTCCGAACAGGGCTGCAGTGAATAGTAAAGATGGCTCCAGCATGGAGGGCAGGCTTTGGGAAGACAGGACCTGGCTCAAAGCCAGCTCAGTGACTTCTTCAGTATAATGGGGTAACCACTGAAGGAAGTTTGCAGTAGAGCACATTTGCTCATAAAGTCCCAAGTTGAATGACACACAGCAGTTGTGTATTAAATGTCTGATTTTCCTGATGACTGGGGTTCAGAATCTCCCTTTCAGCCAGTTGTGGCAAGCAATGGAATTTGTGTGTCGAGGGCATTAGATATTACTTTTGTACTTTCTGACTGAGCAATTTCGCTGCCAGAAATCCACTCCAGGAAAATAATTAAAAGTAAGTCACATATTTACTATGAAAAAATATATGCACCACAGGGTTATGTGTAGTAAGGGTTGGTGCTAACCTGAATGTCTAGCAACAGGGGGTCACTTAAGACTCTCTTGACATAACTGCTGAATTGGACCTTACACTAACCTGGAATCTTCTTCTGTTACCTTTAAAGAATTTAAACATAAAAATGACTTATCTAAAATGAAGTAATTTGAGATTTGAGAATTTGGCACCATTAAATATTACCAGCATATGCAATATAAATACATATATACAAAGTGAAATTAGGAATGGGAAAAATAGACATAATGACAGTAGTGGTTACATCAACACCATGCTATTACGAAGCTGTTTTATTTCTGAAGACTTTTAAAATCATGTAGACATGATTTTATTATAATTGCACACACACAAATGTTTAAACAAAATGAAATTCCCGTGGATATTATAGTAGTTACATTAAAAACACAATTTCCTCTAAAAGTCAAGATCACTTGATTTCTAGTCTAGAGAGAAAGGAGAGGAAGAAATTTGCAAGAATAATGTAGGCTCTTTAGCCCACAGCCACCAAATATCCCTGCGTGTGGTGACAGAGGTCAGGTCTGTCACCGGTATCTGCAGGCTCAAAGCAGAAACATTAAGGAGAAGAGCCCAGTTCTCATCTCTCTGTGCCCAGCTCTGTCCCACACGGCTGACATCACAGACTGAACACCCAGCTCGTGTGTCCCAGTTCCACCCACTCCCAGTCTCTTCCCTCAGCCCCGGCTCAGGCATCTCTCAGTGAGGAGGGCGTGGAGCAGAGAAGCCTGCAGGGGTCCTGGAAAGTGGACAGGGGGCTTCTGGGTGGAAGAATCCTGAGGTCATGGTGCCAAAAGCCTGTGGCTAGCAGGCAGTGGGGTGCTGGCTACAGGTGGAATGTTCCCTAACTCTGGGATCTTTTTACACCCTGTGGGAGGGACTTGGCGAGAGAGGGCCAGATTAGGGACTGGGTGGCCAATAACCTGGGGGCAGATGGGGATAGACTTCTTGAAGCTGCATTTGTTGTTTCCTGTAGCTAGAGTTTTCCTGCCTGACCCACAGTCAGGACAAATCTCTCTCACCTGCCAGTCCCACAGCCGCTCAGACCCAACCAAGTAAACACAGAGACTTATATTGGTTACAAACTGTATGGCTGTGGCAGGCTTCTTGCTAACTGTTCTTACAGCTTAAATTAATCCATTTCCATTAACCTATACCTTGCCACATGGCTCGTGGCTTACCGGCATCTTCACATGCTGTTTGTCATCATGGCGGCTAGCAGTGTCTCTCTGACTCAGCCTTCCACTTCCCAGCTTTATTCTCCTCCTTGTCCTGCCTACACTTCCTGCCTGGCCACTGGCCAATCAGTGATTTATTTATTGACCAATCAGCAACACACTTGACATACAGATCATCCCATAGCAGTTTCCCATACCAGTAAGATATAAATCAGGGCACACTGCACGGTGTCAGCTCCGACCGCTGTGACTTGACAAGGAATCCCTTTTCTCTTGGTGGTGTGACTCCCAGCAATAGCAGATACTTTCATTCCAGTCTCAACTAGTCATGTCAACTCTCAAATCACACACTGCACGCAGTAAGATATGTGTGTTATAGAACGGCTACAAAGGGGTTAATGGAGGGGCTACAGACTTGGGGAGTGGGTTTATTAAAGACAGCAGCTAATACAGACGCAAAGAGCCGTTGCAGGTGAGCTATTAAGAACCCCATTAGAGAGCAACTGGAGGCAGAGCCAAGCCGGGCTCCAGGCAAGCCGAGGCCAGGCAGAGGGACCGGCGGCAGATTTGGCACCCCCAGGAGAGGGCCAGTCAGGCAGTGGGCACTATAATGAGCTGGAACTCAGGGGATGATCAGGATCCCTCTGCCTGTTGGTGTCTTGTTGCACACACACACACACACGGGGTGGCCAGATCAGTGAGGCCCTCAGGGCCACAACAGAGCCTTCATTTCAGGTGACCCAGGGGAGGGGTTATGCCCTTTGCTGGTCTAGTGTATTTGATGAATTCTCGGGCCTGACTTTTCTGATGTGGTTTTAATAAGTCACATGCTCCCAATCTTCCCCAGCGGGCATTTTGTCTTGCCTGAATAAGCTGGCACACTGTGCCTCCTGGTTTGTTGCTGGGCAGGTGGTGGTGTCTGCATGCACAAACAAGATACAGTGTCATCCTGCCTCTGTGCTTGTACTCAAAATGGAGCCAACTTAGGGCAAGGCACAATCTGAAAGCCCCTGCCCTCCCCTGCCCTCCCCTGCCCTGCCCTCCCCTTGCCCTCCCCTCCCCTGCCCTGCCCTTCCCTGCCCTCCTCTGCCATTCCCTACTCTCCCCTGCCCTCCCCTACCCTCTCCTGCCCTCCCCTCCCCTCTCCTGCCCTCCCCTCCTCTTCCGTGCCCTCCCCTACCCTCCCCTGCCCTCCCCTACCCTCCCCTGCCCTCCCCTACCCTCCCCTGCCCTCCTCTGCCCTCCCCTGCCCTCCTCCGCCCTCTTCGGCCACTGTCCTTATGTCCTAGTCCCCAGTCCAGGCTTTTCAAACAAACGATAGTCGCTACATGGCTGCTGAGAACCATGTACCAACCTTTGCCACAAAGACTAAAACATTTTTTTCTTCTTCTTCTTCTTCAGATTTACACCAAATTGTATGAAAGAGAAGAATTTCAGCCCTTGGATCCAACTCAGGAGCTTATATTCCCACCTGAGCTAATGGTTTGTTCTCCCCCTGCCTTAACTGATGGTGCTCGTGAGAGAGTGAACAGTCCCATCATCAGCTCGTCCCCACCGGTGTCTCTGCCCATGTTTGCTCCTCTGGGTGACTTTGTACTGTGTGGCCCTCCAGAGTCACGAATGCATTTTTTTAAAGTTTATTTTCAGACTTTGCCTGTGGATAGGCTCCATCTTGTCTCTGATCTTTCTCATACTCCATGTCCAGGGCAAATGCATTCTGGTACCCAGCACCTATAAAGACCCATAGGAACTTCAGGGTAAGACTAGGAGCAGGCAAGGGCAGATCCGGGCCCCTGTGTCAGTCGGCATCAGCTCCGCACCTGTACGAGGTTCTGAGCTGTCTCCCTTACATTGTCCAATCACTTCTCTAGGCATCCCGTGGACTCCTTTCTATTTTCTGTTTCTCAAGCTTCCATTAGGAGAGCCCCAAGTATCCAGCCCCAGGCTGGACACCCCGGATGTGGAAAGGACAAACTGCCTCTTCCTGAGGACAGTCCTGTCAGTGTGGGCAGTGTCCCCTCCCTTCCCCCATGGGATATTTATTCTCCTGCAATGGGGCGCTTGTCTCTTTGCTGCCTTGGTTGTGAGCCCATGCTTGCTGTGCAAGAGAATGACCGAGCACCGGCACTCTACACAGTTCTTGGCCTTTTGTTTGTTTGATTGGTTGGTTTTGGTTTGGTTTGGTTTGGTTTGATTTGGTTTGGCTTGGTTCCAGTGTCACTTACATCTATAAGAGTGACAACCCAGCAAGTTCTTGTTATGTGGGTTATAGCTATTGACAGATGCAGTGTGTGAAATTCAAGTGGAAATATTTTAATTATTCAATTCATTTCTTTATAAGTAGCCAGAGCAAACGTTTTAAAATATTTATTTATGTGTCTGGGTGTTTTGCCTAAATGTAGTGTCTGCACACCACATGTGTGCGATGCCCATGGAAGCCAGAAGAGGGCATCAGATCTTCTGGAACTGGAATTATGGATGGTTCACTGCTGTGTGGGTGCTGGGAACCAAATTCAGTAACAAGAGTGGCAATGTTTCAGATTGATGTACATCTCTCTAACTCTGGCTTAAGAGAAAGCAGCTGGGTTTGCACACAGCTGCAGATAGGTGTGAGAACACACACCATGGAGCATTTTTACACTCAGCCATACACTCCTCAAACAATGGGAAGGAAGAAAGCAAATCATATACATTGTTCTTCATTACAAAACAGTTTTGACTTTGGAACCCCTAAAGTGTGTTCTGCGGGGGACTGCCAGAAGTGATTGGACTCGACTTTGAGAAGTGCTGGCTTCACCTGATGAGAGCATATGACACATTTCAGTAATCAGAGTTTTCCCACATGCCCAGGAACTCTTCTGTCCGTCATCCTTCCCCACTCAATACGTAAACACTTAACTGAATACAACATTTACAGTGATAAAGAAGTTTTCATTTAACCAGTCACCTTTAGTGACAGCTTGTTTCCAAAAACCTTCTGCCAGGATTCCTGTACGACAAAATTATTCAGTGAGATGATCCATTAAAACATGGAAATTATACCAAAAGATCTTCCCCCGTGGATGCTCCAGCAAAGAGCAAGCATGTTTTCATAAAATTTGTTTGCAAGGATATCATCAAAGTTCATTTGAAACAAATTAAGCAATTCGATTCCTGCTTGAGAAATGGTTGCCTTGTTTAATATTAACTGGCAGAGACTGTTAAAACCATGCTTCTTCTGAACGCCCACAACTTTGGTTTCAGAGGGCACCAGGCAAGGAGCCTGGTGCTCTGGGGCTCACATCTTCTTCACGGTAACAATCCATGTCACCTTGACCAGGCCATGTCTCTGACTGGCTCCTTGTTGTATTTTTTCCTTTGATAAAGCTGGATGAGTCGTTACCATACTTGCACTTTCTTTCCTGCACACTGTAAAATAACGCCAAATGTGATTTGACTTAGTAGGGTAGAAATGATTTTAGGCAGAAAATATGAGCATATTAAATGATTCCTGTATCAAATCAAAACAGAGGGCACAGGAAGTCCACGAGAGGAGAGAAGGGAAGGAAACCAAAATTAAAAGTCTGCTTGACTAAGCATGAAATTATCCTCATGAATATTTATCTCACACTCGTTCACGTTAATGTATTACTACCTATCACAACCATTTGTTTTAGAGAAATTGATGGGAGGAAAACCTAAGGAAATTCTGCCTGTTAACAAGTGAGAAAAACCCACTGGAAGCGTTGAAGCTCTCTGTCTTGCTTAGGAAGCCATGAACATCACTGGAAGGTCCCACTGGCTTCAATAAGCTTGACGTTTTCTGTTTTCACTGGTTTGTTGTGGTTGGGGGTATTGCTTTTTGTTGTTCAGCAAAACAGCTTTACCCTGTATTTCAGTGACCACTGAAGCCCAATGACATTCACACATCATCCTTAATTTTCACACACATCAAGCCAGACATAGAGAGGGTCCAGAGTTTTCCTAAATTGATCTGGGTACTCAGTAGCCAGGCTGGGATTAGAACCTGGGTCTCCTGTCTCCTGGTACATTCAGCATGTTTCTCTGCCTGGTAATACCACGTAGCCCTCAGCCCCTGTGTGCTTAAGTCTCTGGTGACAGTCTGTCATCATCGATAGTTTGGTTTACAGTCATTTCTTTGGTTGGGAAATTGACATAAGATTGTGTATGTAAGAGTCTTGTTTGTTTATGTTAAGACTTCATTAAAGTCCACTTCATTTTTTTAAGCTGTAAGAGATGAGAAAAATATTCAAAGGAATTAATTTTGTTATGAATTAAGACGTAAAATACCTCCCTTTGTTTTGTGATCCTCCGTTCCTGCCCATTCAGTTGTGAGCTGTGAAGACGTCTATGTGTGTTTTATCACTGACATCATCGTTGTCTGAATTTAAATACTGCAGAGGATGGCAGAGGATCCCCAAAAGAGAGCTCTGACTTTTTGTGGAGAGAGGACTACCTGGATTGCCCCAGGAACCCTAAAAGACCTCCTGGAGCTGAAAATGAAATACCCCAGTGCTCCACTCGTGATGGGCAACACATCCCTCGGTGGGTAGCCAAGAAGCAGTTCCCCCTGCTGTGTTGAGACCCAAATTGCTGCAGGAGGAGAGAGCTGTAGCACTGGGTCACAAAGCAGATTCTCGAGAGCTGTAGCACTGGGTCACAAAGCAGATTCTCATCTGGCGACAGGCTTCTTTCTTTGGCCCAGCTGATGGCCAGCTTGCTACGCAACACATTGGCCTCTCTTTCCAGCTACAGAGTGTGATTAGATTGCAGGGAAGAGGGAGATGTTAAGGTTTTGTTTCTTCTGGCACCGACAAATAGTAAAACAGATCTTTCTCTTACTGAGTTTCAGAGGATGAAATCTATAGGCGGTCGGTCTCAGCCCAAGTAAGGAGAGACCTCTGAGAAGGGAAACAGGCTTCCTTTGCCATGAGTTTACTTCATTTTAATGAGTTCTAGGTCAGAGTTTTATTTACAAGGTGAAATTAAATGAAATCTAGCTGGTTTGTTCCTCCCCCTCCTCTTCCTCTTCTTCCTCCTCCCCTCCTCCTCTTCCTCCTCCTCTTCCTCCCCCTCCTCCTCTTCTTCCTCATCTTACCCCTCTTCCTCTTCCTCCTCTTATTCCTCCTCTTCCTCCTCTCCTTTCCCCTCTTCCTCCTCCTCTTCCTCTTCCTCCTCTCCTTCCTCCTCCTCCTTCTCCTCCTCTTCCTCCTCCTTCTCCTCCTCTTCCTCGCACTGGGGAAGGAACCCGAGGGATCACCAGGTTAGACAAGTGCTCTACCACTGGGCAATATCCTCAGCCGGCTTCACCCTTTAAAACTTTGGTGCAGAGGCTGGCTGGGTTCCCTGCCTCCTGAGCCTCCAGGATTACAGGCATGCGTCACCAGGCCCAGCATGCATGGTTTTATTCTCAGTTATGATCATTCTTCTCTCTTTTAGGGCTTGATATGAAGTTCAAAGAAGTTTCCTACCCAATTATCATCTCTCCTGCCAGGGTCTTGGAATTACACATCGTGACCAATACAAAGGAAGGTATGTTCTCATCTGTTCTCACAAGGTCCGTGTGCGGCCAAGGGCTTGGCTGGAGAAAGCAAAGGTTGTTTGACACTAAGGAGGTCACAGGCTCATGAGATGGGAGGAAATCACACTTGGCACTGCAGTGCCGAACCACGACTGATCCTTTGTACAGAACATCTTCTAAACTTAGAAAATCCTGAAAAAAAGTTTGCACATCTTGTCTTGAGATTCAACTTTTTCTGCAGAGAACTGGACCTCAATAATGTTGGTTGGTTTTTGGAGAAAGGGTTTCTCTGTGTAGCTCTGGCTGTCCTGGAACTCGCTCTGTAGAACAGGCTGGCCTCGAACTCACAGAGATCCGCCTGCCTCTGCCTCCCGAGTGCTGGGATTAAAGGTGTGCACCACCACTGCCTGGCTTTACTCTGCTACTTCTGAGGTCCCAGCTCCTCAAAGAGACTGTTCCCTGTTGCCTTCTCTCTGGCAGCTGAGGAAATAGTTCCCTGGTCTCTGGTAGGTAGCGCACAGCATTTTCCCAGGCAGCCCTCAGCTGTTCTTTCTCCATGGAAGCAGAACCGGTTCCCGTGAAAGCCGCACAGCTATCCAGCAAGGCTCGATGCGACTCTCTCACAACATAGAATTTGATTCTGTGAGAAGCACAAGCAGAATAAAGCCACCTCTAAACAGTCATTTTTTTAACTAGTTTTCAAGTTATTTGGTTTCTCCCCTGATGCCAGACACAGAGCTGTGAGCCGGCAAATCAAGTCTCCCGAGGAAGACATGGTTTCTTCCCTAGGTGTCAAAGACATAATCAGCAGATGTGTAACGAAATTATCAGAGGATGATCGAATGACTGTGCCTGCCACTCATCATTCACAGTTTCTTTCATCTTCGGTGGAATCTTCTTCCACAGCTAAGAGATGCTTTCAAAATGGTGCTGTTTTAGGATCATGACAGTTTTGGTGCTTTTTAAACTTTAATTAAAGAGAGTCTGGGGTTTTTTTTTTTAAAGGAGGGAAAAATACAAAAGTAAGTAAACATTGAAGTGCTCCCACGCACTGGATATAAAGTTACAATCACAGGATTGAGAACATATGTGTCCGTGTTCTTCTCTACACCTGTGCGTTTTCTATTCACAAATATGTTTAAGGAGAGAAAGGATTTTTTTTTAAAATGTTGCTTTTTGAGCCAGGCTTGGTAGCTCATGTCTGTAATTTCAGCATCTGAGAGACTGAAGTGGGAGTGTTTCCATGAAGTTGAGGCCAGCCTGGGCTATATAGTGAATTCCACGACAGCCCCCTGGGCTACAAAGTAGCTCTCTCTCTGTCTCTCTCTGTCTCTCTCTGTCTCTCTCTCTCTCTGTCTCTCTCTCTGTCTCTCTCTCTGTCACACACACACACACACACACACACACACACACACACACACACACACACACGCTGCTTTTCATCTTGTAGAAGCAGTTAGTGCAGGAAAGCATGTGTCGCGCTGAGGGAACTCCTGTCTATCTAACCCACGTGTTCCCAGCAGGCCTTGTCCTTGGAGCAGCTGGGAAACTGCGGACCACACACACAGGCACACACACCAGTCTGTCACACACACACACACAGGCACACACACCAGTCTGTCAGGGTTGCTGTCTTCACCGATGGCTTCGGTGCCGCTCAGTCACATCACAGCTCTGACTCTGAGGACTTAATTATTTCTCCCGGTCTTCATCTTGCCAATGAACAGATCCTCGTGGAGTAAGCACTCTTTCAACATCCACTGAGTTGTAAATAAATCCGTGCTTTGTAATCTCCGATGGCAGAGGTCTCTGTTTAGTCAATGATAAATCACAGCCCAGTGAAGAGAGGTCAAGTAAGTTGGCATCCTGAGGTCAACGAGGGATGAAAAGCCACAGAGAGGTGGCTAGGTGAACAAATACTGCCTTTCTAGATGAATCTTTGGCCTCTTGAGCTGGGCTGTTTGTTCTCAGTTAACCTGTTGGACAAACAAAACCTTACTGACCGGTATTCTGCCCTGAGATGAAGCGCCAGCCACACCCATTCACACCATGAGGCAGGCAAGCCTTCCTTTCTCAAATGAGGCAGGCAAGCTTTGTCCTGCAAGACCTGGCTTCCTGCAGGTTCTTCTTACTACAGCCCTTTTATTCAGCTTGCCAAAACTAAATCATGAGCTCCCCCTGCTGAGTGTGTGCTGATAAAACAGACTCTAAAACATTTGCATTCTTAGACATGTAAGCAGTTACAAATTACAATTTTTTTCCTATGGAAGGTGGGTGACTCCGACATAGAGTGAAACATGATGTAATGTACAAAACAGAGATGCACCAGCTGCACATTTCTGGTTTCCTGACGAGATTTTCCGAGCATGGCTGCTGGCAGGAGACACTTCACAAGGACCAGAAGCGTCACCAGGAGGTGTTTGCGAACACCTCTTTCCACATCTTCCTTTATCACGTATCATAGCTAAAATTACATTATTTATTATTTGCCTAGTTATCTCTCTCCCTATTGAACACTGACTTAAGAGGAGACCTTATCTGTATTCTTTGTCCAAGATGTTGCACACAGTAGGTGCTTAGAAACAGTTAATGAATGAAGCAGGTCAGTATTTATTCATAGTGTCTTTCAGGATAATGGTTCAACTAGAGAATGATTAGAACACTGGTCATATAAAAACAAATACAGGTTTAGTAGTAAATAATAGAAATGAGAAAAACAGGGCGGGGGAGACAGCTCAGTGGTTGAGACACTTGTCACACAAGCCTGAGGACCAGAGTTTGGATTACCAGAAACATAAATGCTGAGTGGATGAGACAGGCTGCCTGTCAATCCAGCTTTGGAAGGCAGAGACAGACGATCCCCAGAGCAAGGTGGCTACCAGGACTATCTATATCAGCAAGCTCTGAGTTTGATTGAGAGACCCTGCCTCAATGAATAAGGAGGAAGACTGACAGAAGACATTCCTAAAATCCACCCTGGGCCTCTACATGAATGCATGTTGCACACATATGCCAGCACAGATGCAAACATGCATACACACACAAAATGTGAGAAAAAAATGAGAGGGAGCAAATAGGCAAAGGAATGGGATTCAAGTTCAACTTTTAAATGGGAAGGGTTTGAAGTAAACCAGGAAAACAAGGGTTGTGCAAGACATCGGAGATACAGTGGTCTAAAGCAGGTCTTGACCCTGTGTGATGAAGCTTATCATCAGGTGGTGAAGGCAGACGTCACACAAACTACATGAAAGATTACAGCTATGGCCAGCGCTGCACAAGAGAGACACATGGTGTTAGAGAGGCAGGTAACAGGGCAGTCTTATTAATAAGATCAAACCTGAGGCCAGGTATTGGGGTGAATGCTGGAAGATCAGAGAAGCAGAACAAGCCACAGCTACCTCACCTTGCCAGTTCCTCAGCTGGTCCTGTTTCCTCAGACTGGAAGCCTCTGAGTCCTCATCCAGAATGAATCTCAGCTGAACTGCTGCTTGAAAGCCTGAAAGCTTAGCCAGTCAAATGCTTCTAGTTCCTGGTCTTCATGCCTTATATACCTTTCTGCTTTCTGCCATCACTCCCTGGGATTAAAGGCTCACTTCTTGGGATTAAAGGCATATGTCACCATACCTGGCTGTTTCCAATGTGGCCTTGAACTCACAGAAATTCAGAGGGATTTCTGTCTCTGGAATACTAGGATTAAAGGCATGTGTGCCACCATTTTCTAGCCTCTGTATCTAGTGGCTGTTCCATTCTCTGGCCCCAGATAAGTTTATTAGGATGCACAATATTTTGGGGAACACAATACCACCACAGGCGGCATCTGGTTGAGAAGTTGGGACCTCACGGATAAACACCCAAGACAGAAAACCGTACCTGATACTGGGGCAGAGAGGCGGAGTAGGAGAGGCGACAGAGAGCCACCTGGCCCCAGGTGAGGGATGTCCTGATAGCAGAGAGCTGTGAACTGCCCTGAAGGTTTTGGTTTCTCTCCAGGGGTCATGTACTGTTTCTGCTCTTGTTTCTCCTTGTGTTTGTAAGATTGTCTAATGAACACGGGGAATACTCATGAGTGAAAAAGGCAGCATCATAACTCTGGCCATCTTCCCCCCGACTCTCTCCATCATTTCCAAGCTTACAGAATATTAACAAAGCCATCTCACTTTCAGGGCTGACACTGGGCTCTGGCCTCAGCCTGACCCAGGTAAAGGACATCTTGGCGGATGTGGTCTCCAGGCTCCCCAAGGAGAGGACACAGATGTACCGTGCTCTCCTGAAGCATCTGAAGACCCTGGCTGGGCAGCAGATCAGGAACATGGCTGTAGGTTCTCTGCACCTTCCTCTGGGTGGGGTTCTTTAAGGAGGAAAGATGACCTTAGTCACTATTTCTGTTTCCGGCTGTAACCACCTGTTTGGCTGAATGAGAGGTTACCTACTTCAGACCCCTGCAGAGTAAGCCACTTAAATGGCCAGGTTAAATGCAGGGATGACATCTCCTGGTTCATTCCCCCCATGATTTTACACTGTCTGTGATTTTCTGTTGAGGATTTGTCTATTCAATCCAGAAGCTTCTGTCTTTAAAAGCCCCCAAAGAGGTTTTTGGATTTGTTACCTTATAAAGATGGGTTTGTTGAAAATAATTAACCTGGTCACAGATGTGAATGAGAGCCACACAGTAGTGGTTTTTCCTGGGAGGTAGATTGCTCAGAGCACAGGAGTCTACCCCCAGGCCACATTTCCCATGCCATACCTCTCACCAGAATCTCTCATTATCCTGCCATCCAGGAAGGGATCCATAAGGCTTGGCTGGAAGGAGACACATTTTTTCTACCCTGCAGATGTCACTTGTCTCTGACGCTAGCTGGTCCCCTCCTTCCAATACTCGAGACCTCAACAACTTCATCACCTCAAACACACCTTGCCCCCTTCTCTGGCCCCCACACTCATAGCCCCACCCTCCCACCAATACTTACAAGCAATCTGTGTGGCTTTGTTTAACTATTTCCTGTCTGCTGTCATGCAAGCCACAATGCATTAACTACAGCATGGTGACCTCATGCATAAATCATAGCTTGAGCGCCTTCCTAACGGAGGTGGTTTTCACGGTCTTCCCTCTTTCTTTCTTTACTTCTTCCTTTCTTTTTGTAAATAATTAAAATAAAAAGATAAGTCATTGCTTTAAACATTTCCGAATTTGCAAGAAAACCTGGAGCCATACTGGCACGTTTTATTCTAATGGCTGAATTATCCTGAAAAGAATGTCCTCCTCTGTCTAATTCACAACAAAAGCTCTGGGTTGCTTATTAGTATTTCTTTTAGTCCTTAGGTGGTCATATTATCAGCAGACTGCCGACCTCTGACCTCAACCCTATTTTGGGTGTAGGCAAATGCATCCTCAATGTTGCGTCAACAGGTGAGTTACCGAGTTCCCTTCCAGGCACAGATGAGTCCTCCAGACACTGAGCACAGAGATGTGGGGTGACAGGAACTCATCGTTCATACCATTTGACAGGGTGCTGATGTCTCATTTTGTTGTGGGAAGACCTAGATGCACACACATCAGGAAGACAGCAACATGACACACTTCCAGCAATTGAGAATTGTCAATAGATCCATCTCCACTTGATTTACTCTCTAACTGTGTTAGGTATTATTAATTGTCAACCTGATAAGATCTATAGTCAATAAGAGACGACCCTTTAGGAACACCTTGATTCTGAGTCTACCTTGACTTAGACTCACATTCCACATGATGAGGACTCATATTACAAGACTGTCCTCACTTCAGATCCCAACCACAAATTGGGTCTCTGGAACTTCTGACCAAAATCAGGGTTTCCATGACCCCACCCTTTGGTTCTATTATTTTGCTACATTGGCTCCCAAAACTCAGGCAAGCACTTTATTGTCATCTTAGGGTTTCTGTGAAGAGACATCATGACCACAGCAACTCTTACAAAGGAAAACATTTTAATTGAGGTAGTGGCTTACAGTTCAGAGGTTCAGTCCATTACCATCATGGTGGGGAGCATGGTGGTGTGCAGGCAGACAGGGTGCTGGCTACATCTCAATCAAAAGGCAACAGGAAGTGGACTGTCGGTCAAACTGAGTGAAACTTGAGCAAAAGAGACCTCAAAGCCCGCCCCCACAGTGACACACTTCCTTCAACAAGTCCACACCTACTCCAACAAAGCCACACCTCCCAGTAGTGCTGGGGGCCATTTTCTTTCAAACTGCCACAACTGCGTTTGCCCATTTACTATATGGGATATTATATATGTCAAAGGTTACTGGTAAGCCCTGGGTGAAGACATCACAGGGCGACACTCATGGAAAGGACACAGAGCTGCTAAATTCTCTCCAAGCTGACCACGGTCCGGACACCTCCACATGTTCCACCATCTGGACCCAGTCTTTAGAACCACATCATGGTAGATGTGGTTGAGGACCCAACTGGTGTTTGTTAAAGTATCAATCCTCCCATCACATGGTTGGTTCCCCTGGCAACCAGCTCCCATCTTGAGGCCATTCAAGTACCCACTAAGAGTCACTTCATCAGTGAGAAAGATGCTTCCCTCATGCAGGAAATCCCAGGGAGTTTAGATGTCAGATGCTCTTACCTCTCAGGAAATCGCACAGGCCTAAGAGTTCTGTATCAGCAAACAGAACCGAAAGGCAAACACTGATGACAGTCTCCTAGCGCTCCTGCCTGGGGCTCTAGTACTCCTGTCAGGGACTAGGTCAGAAGCCAAAGGTATCTTTCTTACTAGTTCATAACATCGCGGGCACTGCATGCGTGTGTGTGTGTGCAGTGTGTGTGTGTGTGTGTGTGTGTGTGTGTGTGTTAGATCAAACTCAGGGCCTTGAGTATGCTAAGCAAACACTCTACCATTGGGTTGGACCACCAGTGCCACATGGGTCCTGTCCTGGGAAATTCTATTGCAGAATCCACAGAAGAGGATCCATGACTATCACATGCTTACCCTTCATGATGTCAAGAGCTACTAAGCAAATCATCATTAACGCTCACCTTGTCGAATAAACTTATTTGAAGGAGAGGTTCTAGCAGGACAGGACAGGACAGGACAGGACAGGACAGGACAGGGAAGTAGTCCCCGTGTGGTGAGACAAAGAAAGCTCTTCCTGAGTCACACATTACACAAGAAAAATCAGTCTATTTTCACTTGACTTTTGATCAGAAAGTGTATTTGTTAATTTGAGCCAACACCCTTTCCATCAATCCTGCTCCAGAATGTCTGTTACCTCTGGGCACAGATCACACCCACCTTCAAAGGACAAAGATTCATCCTCACCCAGGCTCAGGAAGACCACCCCCCCCCCCAAGAGTTCCCAAAATGTCACAGGAAATAAATATGTCACCTTCCCCAGGTGACTTTCTCTAGATGTGTAATGTTTATTTCTGGGTCTATGTTTTAGGATTTGGGTTTGAAATAATCACATGAGTTTATGGTTGTTTCATGTGTTGAGGGACATGACTACCATTATCCATATTTCATCTACTAATATCCCTGTCCTCACAAGTGATGTCCCCATGTTCATCATATGCCTTCAGACATTTGAGGTCCTCACCCTTGCTCATTCATGCATGCTCTGCCCACCTCACATACATTATCTGGCTCTGTGGCCACATATACACACTGATTCAGGATGTTCTCCCCCATAAGTCTCACACTGTGAGCTAGGCAGTATTTCCCACACACTGGATGACCCTGCCACTACAGGGAGAAGGCTGTGTTTCCCAGGTGAGACTCAGATCATGGGGTTGCATGATGTTGTGGGTAGCTATTTTTCCATTTAATTTCCACTTTGGAATTTTTTTTTTTGAGACATGGTTTTTCTGTGTTGCCTTGGCTATCCTGGAACTCACTCTGTAGAAGACCAGGCTGGTCTTGAACTCATAGAGATCCACCTGCCTCTGCCTGCTGAGTGCTGGGATTAAAAGCATGTGCCACCACCACCCGGCTTGGAACTTGTTGTTAGAATAGGAATACCACCGGATATTATCAAGAAAAGATCTACAGTGGTATAGGCCTTTGATGAAATGCTTTTGCTTTGGCAGAAGGAGCCCAGCAAATCCCTCTGGATGATCGCTTTCTTGCCGGACTACCAGATGCAAGCCTGAAGCCAGACCAAGTGCTCATCTCTGTTTTCATGCCCCTCTCTGGGAAGGTATGAGGTCACAGGGTTACAGTATCCAATATCATCTATGGTCTTTACCCTGAATTAGCCTTGGCATAGAGAAGCACAGAATTTGTAGCAAACGCCTTATGCTTGCAGAGGTACAGATAATTCCAGATGTAACTAGCTCCTTCAACAATGTCTTGCAGCATCAGGACATTGTACTCTTTCCTCACCTAGCTCTCAGGCTCAGGACACTTGGATCCACAGAGCAGTTCAGTGAAAAGGACGGATGTCCTCAAGGGATAGGTGAGGAGATGGCACTCCAAGGAGGTTTTATCATTTCAACCAAGATTTGTGGTGAAAGGTTGGTGGAAACAGGAGCCCAAGCCGTCACCAGCCTCAAAAGAGCTAAGTAGAAGAGTCACCTTAAAATCATTTGGCCTTACTGTACCAGATTAATGTTTTCTTTCAATTATTGATAATTACAGAGACGTGCATGATGTGCCAGTGAGCTCCGCTTATATGAGGATGCTCTCAGCATATCAGGCTTTCACGTGGTCACTGATGGAGAGATACAGCTTTGACACACTTTCCGTTCAATAACAATATCTGTTTGCTATCCAGAAGCTTGGGCAAATGTTTGTTGCTGTAGTGTCTCGGGTTTTGTTTTTGAGAGCAGTTCAAACGGAAAAGGGAAAGCAGTCGGTCACTGCCAAGCATACTCATTTCATTGACACTTGCCCACAGCGTCATTCATTCACTCACCATTCGTTGAGGGGCTTCTGAGCAGATGGAATGCCAAGGACAGACTGAGAGTCACTTTCACTTACCCAAAACATGAGTAGATATCTTCTCTCTGCCAGGGCGTAAAACAGATTACAGTTTTAGCTAAAGTTCAGAGATGTGGCCGAATAAATTAGAACAATAAAATTAGAGATTCGCTGCTGCTGATTGAGCAGCAGATCTTAACGTTCAGAACCTCATGGGCTAGCTTCAAAGACGCTATGACTTCAAAACGAGTTTTGCCAAAGGAGAAGAGAAACGGTGCTCTAAGCACGGAGACTATTCCAGGGTTCACGTGTCTTAGTGAGATTATCTGTAGTGAGTAGGAGGACGCAGAAGTTAAAAAGAAAAGCACATCCCATACTCCATCAGCCACATTGTGTTCCTGTCACCCCCCACAAAGTTCAACCTAAATCAGTTCATGAAGAGAGAATCAGATAAACCTAGTTAGGGACAGTCCACAGTCTGTGGTTCCCCAAGTTCAGTATCATGGAAGAACAAAGCACAGTACTCCCTCAGAACAAAGGAACCAAGGGGGTTGTGACCATGCCACCTTCACCACCCAAGGCAGGGTGGGGGTCCTACCTGCACGCACGTAGAAATGTGAATGTGAACATATGTATGTCAGATAATAGCTCATATCATTACCTGCTAATAAGGCTTGCTGTTAATAATGCTGTTGACATGGAGCTGTAGAGGGGAAAGCCCTTGTATTTTAGGAGTTACATATAGACATATTTAGTGAGGAATCATCCTGGTGTCAATGATTCATTTCAACAAAGGTTGAGTGTGTGTGTGTGTGTCTTAAGCTTAAGGGTAGACACATGTGATTAGTCACTGGTGAATCCATGAATCTAAGTGAAGGATATGTATTTATTTACAGTTCTGCTCTAAGACTGCTATAGATTTGAAACCTTTCAAAATAAACGGCCATTCTTCTCATTTTCCAGTGGGAGTTTGTGTCAGCTTTCCGACAGGCCCCACGTCAGCAAAATGCCCTTGCGACAGTGAACGCCGGAATGAGAGTTGTTTTCAACGAGGACACAGGAGGCACCATTGCGGACTTGAGCATCTTATACGGAGGCGTCGGTGCGACCACAGTCGGCGCAAATAAATCCTGCCGGCGGCTGATCGGAAGGTGACTTACAGACGCTTGCTCTTCCCAGATAAGTCGCTGTCCTTTGAATAGTGGCAACTGATGTGATTGTCAAAGGGCAGGAACTGTGCCTTCTCTCTGTGGCCTAGAGCACTTTGGAGCAAGCGCAAGAAAACAGCACGCGCGCGCGAAGACGGCGTTGGTGTGTGCTATGCTCTTCCTGTGTGAGAAAGTAAATCTGAGCAACCTTTGTTTATATTTTAGGGTTCCTTTGGTAACTGTACCAGGCTTTTTCTTGGGGGCCACCAACCAGTTCCCAAATCGTGACGCAGAGACCTATTCTTAGTTTTGAATGCTCGTCCTGGCTTAGGCACATTTCTGGCTAGCTCTTCTAACTCAAATTAACCTGTTCGTCGTTATCTATCTTTTGCCTCGGAGCTTTTCTCCTTTCTTACTTCTGTTTATCTAACTTTCACTGCTTCTCGGGTCTGCCGGCTGGCGGCTGCCTGGATTCCGGCCCCTCCCTCATTCTCTCCTCTCGTTCCTTCTTTCTCTTGAGCCTAGCTGTCTCCTCCTATTTATTCTCTCTGCCCGCCAGCCCCGCCTATCCTTTCTCTGCCTAGCTATTGGCCATTCAGCTCTTTATTAGACCAATCGGGTGCCTTAGGCAGGCCAGGTGAAACAGATGCAACATATTTACGTAATTAAGCACACATCCTTACATCATTAAACAAATGCAGCCTAAGCAAAAGTAACACACCTTTACACAGTTAAAGTAATATTCCACAGCATAAACAAATGTAACACATCTTTCCGTAGTTAAAATAATATTCCACAGCAGGTAAGTATTAAATGCTTGTTTGGCCCTGCCCAAACTGAACTGGTTACATTCCTTTCCATGTGCCCAGGTGTTGGGATGAAGGGATGTTGAATGAAGCTTGCCGGTTGGTTCTGGAAGAAGTCTCCCTGCCAGCATCAGCCCCTGGAGGGATGGTGGACTACCGACGGACACTGACCATCAGCTTCCTCTTCAAATTTTACTTAGACGTGTTGCAGCAGTTAAAGATGAGGGTAAAGTTGTGTTTGTCCTTAGGATGCCCCGGGGAAGAGAGTTTGTTCTAGATGCTTCTCCAGCCTCTGGGAAGCTTAAGGGAACACCATGTGCTGACCTTACCATAGTTCTGTTTGTGAGCTACGTTTCTGAGGACCATACTGAATGAAACCTGAAGTTCTCCTTAAGTTCACTCAAACTTCCCCAGAGCAATAAAAACAAAAGTCAGAAGACCGTGCAGGAACAAACATTGAAAATCCTGTATCTCAACTAAATCTCCATAAGAAGTACTTTCCATTAAATAAACTACACATCTGTATTCCAGGATCCCCGTGGATACCCTGACATCTCCAAGAAACTCTTACAAGTTCTGGAAGACTTTCCTTTGACCATGCCACAGGGGATGCAGTCATTTAAGGTCAGTACACTTTCTCAATGAACAGAACGTGGTAGAATATTGTTTTAAGGTGTGTTACTTTTGTTTATGTTGCATTTGTTTAACTCTGTGAAGCTGTGTTACTGTGCCTGTGTAAAACACCTGATGGTCTAATAAAGAACTGGCCAATAGCAAGGGAGGAGAAAGGATAGGTGGGGCTGGCAGGCAGAGAGACTATATAGAGGGAGAAATCTGGGAGGAGAGATCTAGAGCCAGAGAAGGAGACATCCCCAGCCACCCAGCAAGCCACAAAGAAAGGTATGCAGTAATAGAATGGTAAAAGTTCAGAGGCAAAAGGTAGACGGGGTAAGTTAAAGCTAAGCCAAGCTAAGGCCGGGTATTTATAAGTAATAATAAGTCTCTCTGTGTGTGATTTATTCGGGAGCCGGGTGGTGGACCCCCCTCCCTGAAAGAGTAAAAGAGTAAAAAACACCACCAATAGAACAGCCAAATGGGGCTGCAGCTGTCTTTTGACCTGGTTTTAACTTTGAATCTCAAGTTGCTACTGTAGTCTTTTAAGAAAGGTTCAGCTATGGAATTATATTCATACACAGCAGTCAGAAAACGCTATTGACGATAACCAACCAAAACTAAATCCCCAGAAATAAAATCAGGGGAAAAAAATGCAGTGCTTGTGTAAAATGAACTTTTAAACTGCTGATAAACTTTTTCAAAGAAATTATATTTGAATAAAAAGAAACAGAGTTCATAGCTAGAAAAATATAGCATATAAAGATAACAATTTTCTCATAAGTAATGTAGATATTAAATATATTTCCAACCAATAATGCTGACAAGAGTTTTGGAAATTTTGATTTTAAGGTTTATCTAGAAATATGGAAGAAGGCATGTATACAAACCAGTAACGAGGAGTGGACCCAACCCTCTTCAGCCCTGACGCTGAACTTCTAGCTCTAGTAGCTAAACATATAGGCACTACATTAAACATCATAATCATTACAGGATTCAGGAACAAACTGAAAGATCAATAAAGCAGCACATAGTCCAGAAACAGACCAGGAAGGGTGTCATCATGAAAGCAAAAATACATTTCAAATAAACAGTAAAATGGAGGGTTTAAGTAAAGACTTCTATGTGAGTCACTTTAAAAATAAAGAACAGAGTCATGTTTTCTACCTTACAGTGCATGTAAAGTCCAGATTTATTACTATTTTAAACATTAAAAAGCAGCAACATGAAATCACTAGGTTAAGGTGTGTGCAGATTCTGAGGAGGTCTTCCAAACAGGACTGACACCCAGACGCCATGCAGGAAAGCCTGACAGATCCGACCACATAAAAGAGAACGCATGAGTGATAAAAAAAAACATGCACAGCAAAAACTTACAAATGAATAGACGTAAAGAATTGGCAGATCACTGGGGAAAAAAATTAAATTACATCATTAAAATGTACAGAGGCTCGCTCGGAATATTTTAAATGCATTTTAACACAACTGTGAGATAAGTTTTCAGTCTATCGAACTGGAATAATTTAAAATTTTCATCGTGCCCAGGTCTCACTGGACTTGAAGTATTTTTCTACAAACCCAGTCTCACAGAATCAAGTTGCTGAATTAGAACAGCCTATTTGTAAAGGTAGTGGGGCTCTCTGGGAGCCCAGCAGCAGGGGGCAGCAGAGACCTCCTGTGCTGTGTCGATTCATTCCACGCCCTGGTTTTAAGAGGCTTTTTCTGTTGCGTTTTCTGAGGCAACAGTTAAACAAAAAGAGACAGCGTTATCGGTTCCTGTCACTGTCTCAGTGGCAGTGAGTGCTCAGGTGGCCGCTGGCTGGATGTTACCTGGAGAGCCTCCTTGCCGGGTTTCATGCTACTTTGCTGAGGAGACATGAACATCTGTTCACCCCACCCACGTAGGGTACCGCTGAGAGGACAAAGGAATGAGCCCATCCAAGTCCAGCTTGGTGAAACCATGAATGTATTGGACTAACTCATGGAGGCATAAGTGAGGGATCACTTACAGGACTATGGGTAGCCCCCAAACAACTGTGTCACCAAAAGGTCCCACCCCAGTGGGGGCCGGGGAGGGGCAGCCCTCCTGACCTTTCTAGTCACTCATGTAGAGCTCAGGCTCCTGTTTCCATCATCAACAAAGTTGTTGCTTACACAGGCCTCTGTCCTCTGCTCCCATTAAAGAAATCCACCATGGGCCCAGCTCCAATGATTGCCGTGGTGGAGCTCTCTGTACTTAACTAATAATGCAGATTAGCTTTTTCTAGCGCTAGCTATGATAAAATACCTGAGGTCAATCAACTTCCAAAGAGCAAAGGCTCATTCAGCTCACGGTTTCAGGAATTTGCACCTATGACTGGTTGGCTCCCATTTCAGAGAGACCGTGGTGAGGCAGAACATCATGGAGGACAGTATGTTGTAGAACCAAGTTGCTCACCTCATGGCAGCCAGGAAGCAGAGATGAAGAGGAGAAAGAGCTGTGGTCCCGATCCTTTCTTCAGGCCCCCAGTGATCTAACATCCTTCTGCTAGACTCTGCCTCTTGAAGGCTCTACCTCTCTTCCCAGTATCACCCCAGGCTGGTCACCGGGCCTTCAACACCAGGTCTTTAGGGGAATAATTCAGTCCTAAATTACAGAAGGAAACAGGAGAAAACTTTATACCCATCCATCGGTGCCTGTCCAGTCAAAACACAGCTGCCTTTAGAAGTCTTGATATACCGTTCAGGGTTGGGGAAAGTGTGAACTGAGAAATTAGGGTTGTGTACACACATGCACAGACACACACACACACACACACACACACACACACACACACACACACACACACACACACACACACACACTGTTTTTTTATTTCTTATTAGAAAAGTAAAGTGTGTCCTTCGATTCTCATACAAATCTAAAGCATATAGCAGAGATTTTTTTTCAAGACAAGGTTTCTCTGTGTAACAAACAGCCTTGGCTGTCCTGGAACTTGCTATGTAGACCAGGCTAGCCTCAAACTCACAGAGATCCTCCTGCCTCTGCCTCTTGAGTGCTGGGATTAAAGGCATGCGCCACCATAGCCCAGCTTAGCAGATTCTTTTTTAAAATCATTAATGAGGAAACTAATTTTTAAAAAAGAAATCAGTGAATAGAAGTGAAAGGGATTGAGTTTGGTGAAATGTGGCTGATTTAGATGCAAAACCAGAGAATATCTTGCAGAGAAAAACCTGTAACCTTTGAGACCATTTTTTCCTACAGGGAACAAATAACTTGATTCTCTCTGGGAAACAAAATCAAACCCTGCATGTCCCCACATAACTGCATAGGCAGATTCCAGAGGCTTGCGGGCCAGCCAGTCTAGCTCAACAGCAAGCTCCAGGTTCAGTGAGAGAGGTCCTGCCTCAAAAATAAGGTGAAGAGTAGAAGACACTAGATGTCAAGTTCTGCCGTTAATTGATGACGCTGTCTTCAATGGCCTCTTGCTGAGATCTATTTATAAACCATACAGGTTTCCTCAGAAAATAGGTCTCCTAGATGCTAGCTGTCACAAAATCTATCTTTGTTCAGGTGGAACCCCTGCTTGTCTCTCTTTACCAGGTGTGAGCACCCTCTGTTTTACACAGTGAGGGGGGGGACTCCCTTCCAGACCCCGGATCAGTCACAGACTGCACCCAAACACCTGTTTCACAGAGATCCTTCATTAAGCAGGAAGGAAAGTTAAAGTGGCTGCTTTCTGACTCGGGCAGGAAAACAGCAGCAAACGCCCTTGCAGGTCCATTCTTAAGAGAAAAGGGGAGTCTGGGTTAGGACGGGCTAGGGTGCAGTGGTAGAAGAGGTAGGAGAGGAGGGAGAAGGGGGAGGGTATTTGTCCTGGAGAGACAAAGGACTGCCTCTGGATAGAGGGAGACAGACATGGCACATGGGCAAATGGCGGTTTATAAAGGTAGAGGGAAAAAACCGTGTTAGGATGAGGTGTTTAATTTTAACTGGACATGTTAATTAGATGAACCAAAGGGGACTTTTGATTGCTGGGCCTTGGTAGTCAGCCTCAGGAGGAGGAAGTGGTCAAATAAGGGAGCAGACCTTGGGGGCTTAGCTTCAGGAATGGAATCTAACGGTTTTTAGCAAGGCAGAGGGAATAGGGAGAAGGGCAAGGCCTGCCAGAGCCACGTGCTGGAGTGGGCTCGTGTCCCTTCATACAGATAGGCAATGGGAAAGAAGAAAAACCCAGGTTAAGCTGAACTGAGCTGCTTTGGAAAGCTTGCCTCAATAGAATGGGCAAGACAACCACTTCCTGGTGGATCCTGCTGACCCTGGTCTTTCTTAATTGTTTCCTTCTGTGCTCTATTCTTAACACAGGGTGTAGACCCCCAGCAGCCCCTGCAAGACCCAGTCGGGCGTCCCATCATGCATCAGTCTGGCATTAAACACGCCACAGGGGAGGCAGTATTTTGTGATGATGTGTCTGCCTTGGCAGAAGAACTCTTCCTGGCCGTGGTAACCAGCAACAGGCCACATGCTAGAATCATGTAAGCGATGATGGTGGGGTTGGGAGGCTTGGAATACCCAGCGGGCACCTAGGGACGAGCTTGCCTCTCAGCAATTAATCCACTCAACACACTGGAAACACAATCTGAGCATGCATCTTGAAAACACAACATGAAGGGAAACAGTGGATGTGGGAGCGTAGAAGAGGAAGCCCCTACTGCATGGGCAACTTTTTTCATCTGAAGAACTTGCCATTGTTATCTGAGAATTTAATGGGGCAAGAACGACTTTCCTGCCTCATGAGACCCCCCCCCCCAAAGCTGTGATTCTCTCTGTCTTTTATGACGGTCTATGTTTCTCAAAGTGCCAGCCCCTGAGCACTGGCCTAGGGAAGCGGGCGTGGACTCACCCTGGAAGGTGAGGCTAGTCTGCGCCCAGTGGAACGAGTGTCCTCTACCTCCAACATCGTTTGGCCCGTGTTAAGACTCCACATTGTGGACTTGCCTAGTGATGCTCATGTGAATCCAGGGAGTTCCTCAGAATCTCCGTCTTGCCTTGGATGAGGTCCTCACCGCTGGGTAACACACACTATGGTCTTTTCCTCCCCAGTTCCCTCGACGCCTCTGAGGCCTTGGCATCCCCTGGTGTGGTTGATGTGATAACAGCTCAGGATGTTCCTGGTGACAATGGCAGAGAAGAAGAAAGCCTATATGCACAGGATGAGGTACTGGCAGCACCTCTCCCCTGGTAGAGATCATTGCACCAGGGCTTTGTGTACGTGACCACATACCCTCCTCCAGTGACCTGAGACTACCTATCTGCTAAGCCTTGCTCTGTAACTGACTTGGGGCAGTGAGAACCAGCTAAGCGGGCACACTTCTTTTAAGACGAAGACATTGAGGCTTGGATACTTTGGTGACTTACCTGAGGCACATCAGTAGAGGCACTATTCACACCAGCCTGTTTTCTGTGGTACAAGTCACCCTCCCCCGCCCTAATCCAGAACACAGCCCTACTTCCTCCCTGGTTGACAAGAGGAAGCCATCTTTCATTCTCTCTGGTGTATCCTCTGCTCTGCTTCTCCTCAGGTGATTTGCGTGGGTCAGATCGTTTGTGCTGTGGCTGCTGATACTTACGCTCATGCCAAGCAAGCCACAAAAAAAGTGAAGATTGTCTATGAAGACGTGGAGCCCATGATCGTGACAGTTCAGGTAACTTCAGCATCTGCTCGCTCTTGGGGACACCTGGCAGTGAGTTTTGGTAGGAAGCGTGAAAGGGTATTGTTAGAGATCGCTATGCGGTACTTGGGAAATTCCTTAACTTATGACATTTGTCATGCACTCTGGCAATAATACACACAGAAAAAAAAATTTTTTCTGGAAGTTTCTTGCCTTCCTCTTTCCATCAGATACTTCTGGCTAGAAATGGGTCTTCCAATCCCACTACAGACCCCTCCTGGGACCACCAGCCCTGAGGACACCTGAAACAAATCCTTCTGGTTTTCCCAGTTTCCAAGTTTAACATTTGAATCTTAGAAAGTTCACCCCTTTGCCTTAGGTGGATTTGAAGATCCGTAAATTTGGAATTTATTTCTCTTAGCATCTGCCCTGGCTCCGTTGTTATCTTTAAGTTTTCTGTTGCCCTGCATGAGATTGGCCCTTCCCCAGAGTGTGGAGAAGATTCTTTTGCTTTTCTTCACATTTTTCTAGATTCCAAGGTAAACTGCAGCAATTCCGTCTTGCATTTCGTGGCCAGCCCACTAGAGAAGGAAGCAGCACCATTCACCAGGAGAGGGCCAGTGATGGGAATCGGCTGCATTGCTTGGCAGACCAGATAGCCTGCAGAGCGTTCTCTGCTCTTTTGCTACAGACTCATTAAGATTTGGCCACAGATCCCTACAGTGGGGTCACATACACTTGAAGTCAAGTGCTAAGAAAAATAAGAGATGAGCAGAGTTAACCTTACCACACTGGCTCATTGCATCAGAATAGACCAAGATCAGGAGGGTTAAGTACTGGTAAAGAGGTCAAAAGCAAAATCGAAGCGGTGAGGGAGGAACAGGTGGATGCCTTAACTATATTTCTGAGTACGGCTCCACTTCTGACTTCCATAAGAGAGAAGATTAGTAAATTAGCAATGTAAAGTAGGTACGCTTTACACAAAGAAAAACATGCTAGGAACAGAAGATAGGCAGCAACTGGGAACATGCCCGCCAGCCACAACATAGGAAACAAGCATATCCCTAGTTATATAAGGATTTCCTAGAAACGAAAAAAAGGAACAAATAGGAAAACTGAACAAGTAGGTCCAAGTCGGCAGACCACAAGAAGAAATTACAAATGGCCAATGTGTGATACTACTAACAAAAGAAGAAAATTAAGAGCTATAATGAGCTGTCATTTTCAACAAAAATACCAAAGTGTGACAACACTGAGCGGGTGAGCTGTAGGAAAGGAAGCGGGTATTGTCTTATCTTCCTGAGATTAATACGAAACACAACAATAATCTCTGTGAAGGAACATTAGCAACGTCTATGAAAAGTCTAAGCAGATATACCCTTTACCAGCAAGCCCAATATAGGATCTTATCCCCAGGCTTAGACTGTCCACCTGCAAGAGAAGGTTTTCAGAATCATTCTCTACACCGTTGTTGGCAACAGTAAACACTGAACACAAGCCCAGGTCTCCTCTGTATAATGGAACTGAAGCTTGGCAGAGTGCTTGCCTAGCATGCAGGAGGCCCTGAGTTCAACCTCTTTGAACCAACACACATACACACACACACACACACACACACACACACACACACACACACACACACACACAGGAATTCTGTGGAGTTTTGTGTACTTTTTTATGAGCACATTCTCTATCCCATAGCTACAGAAAGATCTGTAAATCGTACTGATAAATGAAAGGCAAAAGTGTGAATAATGAGGGGGTGAAGAATATAGACATGTTTATTCGTATTTGCATATATCTGGAAGATACATACAAAAAATACATAAGAACCTAACGGTAGTGCTCACCTTTGGGGGGGGGGGTGCACCCACATCTGTGCACCCACAGGAGGACTGCCTCTTCACCAATCTATGGAGATGCTCTCTCACTTTGCAAACACTGAAATATGTTGCTTAATTTCAAAAAAGTTTTAAATATAGCTTTGAAAAAAAAAGTGAACCATTCACAACATAAAGAATCAAGAGAACAGCCAGCTGAGACTTTGAGAGGACCTTGGCTAAAGTAAGGGACTCGTGTTTATGTCTGATTCCAGCTACTGAAACCATTCTTTTTGACACACTCATCAACATATCTGGCTATGAAGGGAGGGTGGAGTGAACTCCAAAGCTAGTGTAAGTGTTTAGGCTAATCTAGCTTTAAGCCTCCATAATAGGTTACTTCTGAAGGTTAAAGAACACTCATGTCCTGAATTCAGGGAAGACTGATGGAGCAGTTGTGTAATGGGCCAGAGTACACTGTGATCATGTCTTCCAAAATGTACCAGCTCAGAAGACAGGACCTAAGGTGTCCCCAGACCCACTGAGGTACCAGCCAGTCATGTGCTGTCTGGGGAATTTTGAAATTAATGCTTATCATTATACATGGGTTTCAGTGTGCAGGACGTGTAAATGACCAGACTGAGCCGCCTGAATAACACCTTTCATTTGTTACCTTCCCAGGACGCACTGCAGTATGAATCATTCATCGGACCTGAAAAAAAACTGGAGAGAGGAAATGTTCAGTCAGCATTTCAATGTGTTGATCAAGTCCTCGAAGGTGAATTCTTTTGGGGAGGTGTTCAGGGAGGTGGTTGAGACAGGGTCTTACTCTGTAGCTCTGGCTGGCCTCAAACTCACTATGTAGGAGCCAGGCTGACCTCAAACTCACAGAGATCCCGCCTGCCTCTGCCTCTCGAATGCTGGGATTAAAGGCGTGGTCTACCATACCCAGCCCTTTGAAGCTGAATCCTGAAGTACTTTCTCCTCGATTACAGGAGGTTTTGATATATTGATACTGCGGCTTCTGTGAACGTTGAAGTGATGCTGTGGTGTACCCCAGCACTCTGGATGCTGAGGCAGGAAGAACAATGAGTTTGTGGGCAGCTGGGGCTGGGGCATAGTGAAAGCCGTCCCCAAAGCTAAGGGTGAGGGACACGGCTCAGTGGCAGTGCCTGCCCAGAACCTCCGAGGCTTAGATGGACTTAATGAATCTTAACTCTTCTCATGAAGTGAGCTATGAGGGGCAACACCCAGAATATCAGACTCAGAGAGAATTCTGGGAAAGATATGGAAGAGCTTGATTCATTGGAAAAAACAACAAACAAAAACAGTTCTACTACCTTTACAGACAATGGAAAACCTTTGGTATTTTGGATAGGAAAGCGGCAGGGTCTCAGTTGCCAAGTAGAGCACTTGGCAGGAAAACTCAGATTGAAACGGGATGAATGGGTCCATCATTGCCAGGTCAAAGGTCACCACAAAGTCCCTGGTGAGAGATAACTGATGCTGTCCGGCAGGAGAATGTAAGTGAAGAGTTGGGCACTGACTAGATGTGACCAGCAAAGGACCTGAGAAGACTCTGAAATTAAAGATGTGTTGTCCAGGGGGAAAGTGATACTATTAGCAACATGGTAGACATCTTCATGGACAGACAGATGAGGGATCCAAGAGGTATTGACCATGCCACCCACAAAAATGAGATGGAATTCATCAGCAGTTAAGAATTCAGATGCTTGGAGAAGAGTGGAGCTGGAGACAAGTTTTGGGAGGATCCATAAAAATCAGTCTAGTCCTTAAAGGAGCAAAAAATACCTAAAAATCCATTTAAAATCCATATTCAACCTGTTTCCACAGGGAGTTAGCATGACCTCCAGGTAATAAGACCAAACCCCGGGGTTCAAGTCGAAATTGATGCTGTGAAAAGAAAAATTCGAGATGAATTGAAGTTAAGAGTTTAATTGAGTGAAAAATGAGTCTCAGGTTAGGTGCTCTGAGCAGTTCAGAGCACTCTGCTCCCACAGGGGTGGACAGGAAGATTCAGAGACAGGAAGAAAAGTGGGTGGAGAAACCTGTCAGTTGGCAGTTTCTGATTGGCTGAAGCTCCAGAGCTGGAGGAGACAAAAAAAAAAACACATTTCATGAATTAGGTTGAAATTCATCATTGCAAGTATGGAGGCATTCTGGGGCCAAACAGCTCTACAATAAAAGTTAGTCACCAAACACTACAAAAGGAGGGGCAGGAAGCAAATGGGGCAGAGAATGAGGGGCAGAGTCTTCAGCGAGGATCCGCTGAACTCATTACAGTTTCAAACCTGTCTCCCAGAGAAGTGAAGCTGGATGAACATGGTGATTCGGGGATGTTCACCAGGGACACTCAGCCCTGGAAGTCAATCACGGCAGAAGAGTAAACACCGTCTAGAAATCCAGACCAGTTTAAGAGTTGTATTTGTGGATTGACCGTAAACACTCCACAGTCTTCTAACTACTCCCTTACACACGTCCACCTTCTTGACTGCAGACCAGCCTTATTGTTTTTCGAGACAGGGTTTCTCTGTGTAACAGGCCTCCCTGTCCTGGCATCTGCTTTGTAGACCAGGCTATCCTTGAACTCACAGAGATCTGCCTGCCTCTGCCTGTTGAGTGCTGGGATTAAAGGTGTGCACCACTACCGCCCAGCCAGCCTTATTTTTTAAGAATCGTTTCTACATTTATTTGGGGATGTGGTGGTGGGGTGCAAGTCTTCAGTCTTGCCATCAAGTACCTTTACCCACTGCGTCATCTCACTGACCCTCAAACTTTATTTTTTAATACCTATAACTGATCGTAGGTTTCTGAAACTTTTACTTGCTACTTAGATGAAATTTGTAAATGGAAGGAGGAGGAGGAGGAGGAGAGACAAATTTATCCTGCCCTCCTCCTCCTCTCCCTCATCGCAAACACCATTTATTCTTTGTACCTGAGGTCTGTACTCTGTCTGGGTTGTTGTGTGGGTGGGGGTGCAGTTTGCAGTGTTGAAAATCCGACCCACACCCTGACACATGCCAGCTAGGCGAGCACTTCACCACTGTGGGTCCTAGCGAAGTTTCTTCCAGCTCAGTGGGTAACTGAGATGTGGTCTGTGGTTTTAATACGTCCAACAAGCAAATGAAAAGACATCAGGTTGAGTGAGTGTCACTGTTCCAGTACAAGTTTCCGTATGCTATGTAAAATCATTAACTATCCTGGGCAGCCTCGTTGCAGAGATGAATTTACCCTTAGGTAAATCATCTTGTACTTGAAATCCCAGTTGTTGCTCAAGCCAACAGAAATTAATTTCTAGTTCTTAAGAACGCACTGACATGAGTAGGTAGGGAAATGGAGCCAAATGCATAGGAGATTTTAAATTGCATATAATTAGCCAATTATGCATAATGACAGCTGCTTATGGGAATGTTGTCAAATTGCAATGATTTTTTTTTAAAAAAATCAAGACAGGAAGCTAAATGCTATTCCCATGACCTAAAAGAAAATCATGACATTTAGCAAAACATGCCATACTCCACTTCAGATGTATCTAAAGGATGTGTCTCTAAAGCTGCATGTGTTTGCTGTGTCTAAAAGGGGAAGTGCACTTTGGAGGCCAGGAACATTTTTACATGGAGACCCAGAGCGTACGTGTGGTACCCAAGGCAGAGGATAAAGCGATGGATATATATGTGTCAAGCCAGGATGCAGCATTTGCGCAGGTAGGTTTCATTTTAAAGTGCCATTCATCTGACTTCTAGCTATGAAATCAAGGTAGAGGATACCAGTTAGACCAAAGTTGAACATCCAGTCAGAGGCAAAACTGAGCCCCGATTTTTAGCAGTTCCTTTTGTCCTCTACAAAAGTCTATCCACTTCTCAGATGTCAGCTGCCTCCTGTCTCACTAGGAAATAAACTGAGGCTACAGGGCGTGACTGCTCCTAGTCTTCATCTTCCTGAAGCCCCTCCCACCTCTAGTGTGTGGTGGGGGGCCCTCTCTCCTCTCCAGTCGGAAGCTTTCCATCTGCACTTTTAGCCCCATAGAAACCCACATTTGCCTCTGCTGTGTTTTATAATGTCAATTCTAATTATTTGCCACCTGTTCAGATCAGTACATAAAAACATGTTTGCCGTGTGTGTGTGTGTGTGTGTGTGTGTGTGTGTGTGTGTGTGTGTGTGTGTGTAGGTGGACATGCATGTGAGCAAGTATGTATGGAGGCCAGAGGTCCACCTCAGATGTTGTTCCTCAGGTGCCACCCACCTTGTTTTTTGAGATGGTCTCTCACTGACCTGGAGCATCCCTAGTATTCAAGGTTAGCTGACCAGCAGGCACCAAGGGTCCACCTGGCGCTTCTTCCTCAGCGCCGGGACTGTAACTGGACACCAGGTCACCCAGCTTTTTTACACATGGTTCTGGGGCTTGAAATCTGGTCTGTGTGCTATTGCAGCAAGCCCTTTACCCATGGAGCCATCTCCCCAGCCCAAATATGCCCTGTTCTTAAAAATAACCCTCCTGGCTGGGCTATGTTCTAATAAGTTCAAGGCCAAACTCAATCAGTGAGACTTTTGTCTCAAAAAATAAAGTGGGAAGCTGAAGAGATGGCTCAGCCTTCAGAATACATGCTGTTCTTTTCTAAGACTCAAGTTCGATTCCCAGCACCCACACCAGGCAGCTCACAATCACTTGTAACTCCAGCTCCAGAGGACCCCACACCTCTTACCTCTTCCAACATTTGCACTCACATGCATGCACACACACACATACACACACACACACTTAACATTAAATTAAAAGTGTTAGTTATTATACGGCGCTGTTTACCCTGCGAGAAAAGTCACAAAGCACAACAAAACCCACTATAAGAGTTTATTAGGAGAAGGGAGGGACGGAAAAGGATGTGCTTAGGCCTACTGAAAGACTGGTGCAGGAAGACGGGGGAGGGTACATGAGATCCACCTTTTATGGACTCCCCCACACACATGCGCATATGGGCTTACGTAGCTGCACCACGCATGCACATAGATTTTGCCATCACACTGCGCACAATTATGTGACCACACAGCGCACGGATTCCGTAGGATGTAAGGTCCCCGGAAGTGACTACAGGTCTTGCCAGCACATGCTTGGTTATGGGGGCGTGGCTAGAAGTCCTATCAAAAAGTGTCCCCTGATTCTGCTTCACCTGGTGGCTATTGCTTCCATCTCTCCCTCCCTTCTGAGACACGCTGTAAAAACAATGGCTTGCATTTCCCTCTTACACTTCAATCCACTCTTTCTGACATGGCCACCAGTTGCTGCTGTTCCTCAGATCTAAACCACACCTTTGTCTCCTGTCCTGTGCATCCTCATTGCCTTCCCCTGCATACCATTTGTTTATTCTCCATGCACCTTGCTATGCCCTCAAGTCTTTCCTTCTGCTAAATGACTATGATTTTTCAAAATAAAAGTTTACACAGTAAAATATAAGAAGGGAAATGAAATGTGCTAAATATGTGTGTTTATGCAAATACACACATAGCCATGTGTTCCTACAATATTCGCTTTTATATTCACAACATAGTCATTCTTGGGAAGTTTAACTGCTACAGGCCACAGGAATATATCATAAGAACTCAGCTGGTTATGGCAAAGTCACTACCTGGAGGGATCAAGGAATTCCTTCAGAGGAAGCCAAATTCCAAGGAGCTTTTGGTGTTATTTGGCTTGTTATATATCAGCTGTCTTCTGTTGTGAAAATCATGTGTGCCTTCATAGTTTTCCCAATTAATTTTTTCCTAAGAAGGGCTAACAGTGTGGACTGATCACTCTTTGGACATATACGTTCAAGGTATTTGGAGAACAGCCTCAGGAAAGGCTTCCTTCCCCCCAGCCCACCCGTTTCTCCCCTTTCAGCACCGGAATCAGATCTCTTCCTTAGCCACTTTCAAGGACTAGCAGAAATAACAGTCCAGACCACCACATGCTAGTCACCCGATTTAAGGTAAATTCCACAAGGAGACACCGCCTAGGTCAGATGGACCTTAAGTAATAGCTTTGTACAATTCAGCTCGGACCCTCCTTTTCTTACAGCCTTACTAACTTTATAGACCCCTAACTCCTTACCTAACCACTTCTAGGAATATTTAGATAACCCTTCTGTGCTGACAGCTATGCACAGCCAGAACCCCAGTTCAAGCCTCCCTGTAATTATCGTCATTGGCAGCATCCGGCCAGGTCTATCCCCAGATGGAGGAAAGTACCTTATCAGAGATACCTCTGTATTCTCTAAGAACAGACTTAAGCATCCAGATTACCTGTTTGAGAAGGCCTGATGGATGTGCCAAATAAGCTTAACTTTCTCTCTTTGCAAATCTTACCTCTAGTTCCAGATCTCCCTTTAACTATCACCAGAGGCATCTAGCTGTACACAGGTTGCCGAGCACACTTTCCCCCACCCTGCAGAAAAATGGCAGATAGCTTGGACAGATAAGGGTCAAAGGGATTAAAAAGGCAGTTTTATTTTCAGAGAATTAAGATAGAACTTAGAGGTATGAGGAGATGGAGAGGAAGAGAGAAGTAAAGAACTTGAGGATGGAGAACTGAGAAGGATAGGAGGATTTTGACCAGAGAGAACGTGTGAACGAGATGGAAGATGAGGAAGAGCCAGATGGGGAAGTACTAGCTGGGTAAGAATGGGATGAGAAGGACCTAGATGAGGCAGAATTAAGATGAGAGAATTAAGATAGAAGTTAAGAGGAAACAGTAGATAAAGGTAGAGAGAAATCGGGCAAGAAAGGAGTTAGGCACGAGAACAGAACTGAAGCTGTGTAGATAGGATTTTATCCCAGAGAAATAAAAGCAAGTGGACTAAGAGCTTGGTGTGCTGAGATTCTATTCCCTGAAAATAGTCCTCGCCATTAGTAGTTTTCTCTCCTGAGCCCCTGGGAAGTCTAATATTAAGGCTGGTCCTTCTAATATTATACAAGATTCAGCGTTGATGAACACTGATGAGTCGCAGCCAAGTTTCCGCAAGTGACTCCTTCACAGCTCAAGGCTGCCCTTGTCTGCTCTCTCTGCCCCAGTTCTACTATCTTTCTGGGCCTCTAGCCTTTCTTACACCTGCACAGCTCCGTAGAATGATTCAGGCCTTCAGAAACAACATAGATTATCCTGAGTCCACAGACACTAGCTCTATTTATCATCAGGTTTGCCCACCCCATCACTCACTACCCAGGATGCATCCCTCCCTCTCCAGCTATGCTCCGACTTTCTTGTGTGAGCTCTTTGTAGCACGCTATGCTGGTGGTCATGCTTTTCTACCCACTGAGGCAGGAGCAATTATTCCCTGATGGATGGTCTGAGTTAAAGAGTAGGAGTCGCCATTCTTTAAAGTCCCCCCACCATGCTGTGGCATGGTCCCCCTGCAGCCACCTCTCACCCGGCTGCAGCCTGAGTTGTTACCCGCTTCCCTCTGGCCCATTTGCTTCCCCTTCAGACCCATCCCCTGGGTCATAGCAGGCTCAGATTTACCTTCGTGTCACATGGCCCGCTGATCAGCTCTGCAGACCTGACTTGGAACTGTGTGATATTTCCTTTTGCATAGTGCATGGCTATCTGTCTCTTCTGCCAGTTCGTTTGTAGAAGGTATTAGTGCTCGGCCCTAAGAGACCCTTGGTAGGATTATAGAGACCGCTGTACAGCGGGGAATGAGGAGTCCAGGGTGGCTATTTGTAATCCGATCTATCATTCGTTAATTTTGAAAAGCAACAGCAATGTATCCTTTCAGCAGGCATGTTGCAAGCATCCATAGCATTTTCTGCAGTTGGTACTCAAAACAGAAAATTATATTCTTACTGTAGGCAGTGAGAAAGTGCTAAGAAAGTTCTTGGGTAAATGAACGTCTTGCTAATCACGTGTGTTCTGTTTCACCTTCTTGGGGGCCTGTGGCCAAATACTCACAGGAAATGGTGGCTTGCACCTTGGGCATCCCGAAGAATAGAATCAACTGCCATGTGAAGAGGGTTGGTGGAGCCTTTGGAGGGAAAGCAAGCAAGCCTGGGCTCCTGGCGGCCGTGGCAGCTGTGGCCGCACATAAGTGAGTGGATCTGTGAGCCCCTGTGTCTCCTTGGTGTCCCAGTTCTTACCTCTCTGGTCCCAACAATTTCAAGAGCTTTCTTGGAGACACTCTCAATTCACGCCAAGGGATGGCAGGCCTATTCAGCCTCACTATGGGGTCACTGCACTGGGAGCAAGCTGACTCTCCTGTCTTCCGGCTTCCCAGCAGAGTCAGCAGCGTGGGGGTGGGTTCTGTCTCACACTCCTGCTGGGTTTTCAGCTCAACCACCAAGGAAATGAGAGTAAGTGAAATAGACATTTTGATTGGTCCAGTATTCACTGAGACATAGGCAGAAGCCCAGAGAGATGGAAGGTAGGATGGAGGGGATGTTATCCATGTGGGTGTCTCACTACTCCTTAAGGGAGAAGACACCTGGTAGCACAATAAAATTTTAGTGTGTTTAGAAGGACAAACAGCTGACATCTGTGCTTCTTGGAAGAGCTATGTGGCTGGGGACTGCGGCAGGAGACTTGCTTTTCACTGAACCGTCTCTTGAATTTTTTAAACTGTCATATGTGCGTGGATAACCTATTAAAAATAAATATTATAGTTACTACAGAGGCACATGGCTAACGAAGACTTCTGATATAGTGATGGAAGGGGCAGACCACAAATCCTGCATCTCTGAGGAAAACCTGATGCGCTCTCAGATAACTTAGAATCTAAGGAGAGTACCTAGAGTTCCCAAGCCAACACACACACACACACACACACACACACACACACACACACACACCATATGTACACTCACACATTCTCTCTCTCTCACCACTATGTCCTACAAAAGGACACAATCACGAAGATACGAACCATATGCTCAGTGTAGTAATCCTAACCATATTTAAGCAGACTGTGATGATGAGAGCTTCAGAACTGGGGTATTCTTAAGTGAACTGTTGAAGGAAGAAAAGTCTGGGTTGATCTGATGGAGGTATGCCACCAGAGGTCTATGCTATCTTACCATTGTCGCTATTTTATCGTTATGTGTGCATGAGGTAAATACGGGACAGGCACACTGCGTCACACATGTGGCACTCTGAGGACTACCTCACAGACTCTGTTCTTTCCTTCCATCTTCATGTGGATTCAGGGATCAAACCCAGGTTGCCAAACTTGTATGCAAGCCCCTTTTCTCACCGAGCCATCTTGCCAGCCCATCCATGATGTCTCCTTAGAAGGTGGCATCTGATGCTCACCTGGAGGACTCCTGGGGCATGGACTGAAGTTGGAAATGTCCAGAGAAGACTATGGAATTCCAACTGCAATCATCTGGATATAACAAACTTAAGGCTTAGCCAAAGGAACACTCACAAAAAGAGGAGAATTAGAACCTAGAAACTTTGTAGGAGAAGAAATAAATGAACAGGAATTGGTATTTGAATAAAGAATACAAGGAATTAAAATATATAATTAGACTTGCATAGTAACTAGACCAGAGGTTCTCAACCTGTGGGTCACAACCTATTTGGGGGTCAAATGACTCTTTCTTAGGGGTCACATATCAGATATCCTGCATATTAGATATTTACATGACGATTCATAACAGTACAAAATTACAGTTATGAAGTAGCAACAAAAATAATTTTATGGTATGGAAAGTAATTGTATACAGCATGAGGAACTGTTAAAGGGTCTCCTCTAGGAAGTTTGAGAGCCACTAAACTGGACAGTGACATCATATAAGTGGAGTGTGGCTACAACAGGAAATAATAAAATAATAATAATAATAATAATAATAATAAAAGATTCACCAAAGTCTCCATCTTCAGAGGGTTTTAAGATTCCCAAATTACTCTGAGGGGAGAATCTAATTCACGGCTGTTGACCTTTTCTAAAAATTTAGAGTCAGGTCCGCAGCAGCCACAGGCAGGCTCGACGGTGAATAGAGGTCCTGCAAAGGAACTTCTGTAGCCCACAGGCGCCTTCCCAGCATCCCCATCCATCAGGAAGCAGCAGGAAACTCATAGTGTCCTCTCTCCTGGGTGTGGCGGCATCCTGGCTCTGTCCTTTCACAGACAGAATAACAGCTGCTGCTGCTGGCATTCTGCAGACCTGAACTCAAGTCTCCAATCTGTTAGAACTGTTTCTCCCAAATCTGTTTCTCTCTAGGACTGGCTGCCCAATCCGTTTTATTCTAGAGCGTGGGGATGACATGTTGATAACCGGGGGACGTCACCCACTGCTAGGGAAGTACAAGGTGAGTGGGTAGCCCAGTCTCTGTACACATGCTGCAGCTCCAGATCTTCAGTGTGAGCGCTCTGTGAAGTGAGAGATCCCACAGAACCATCGCACCGAGGCTTTGAAAGACCTTTTGTTTAAAGTCGGGGATTCTTTTTTTTTTTTTTTTGGTTTTTCAAGACACGGTTTCTCTGTGTAGCTTTGGAGCCTGTCCTGGATCTCACTCTGTAGCCCAGGCTGTTCTTGAACTCACAGAGATCCGCCTGGCTCTGCCTCCCGAGTGCTGGGATTAAAGGCGTGCGCCACCACCACCCGGCTGAAGTCGGGGATTCTTACCTGAGTGCTTCCTGAAGGATTCCAGAGCCTCTTACTAACAGAGCACCGGGCAAAGCAGGATGTCTCAGGGCTGCTAACCGCTTAGGCAAACAGCTCTAGAGAAGAGGTTTTGATAGGCACGAGGCACGAATCGCTTGCCCACGGTGAAAGTTGTGTAACTGTGAAGAGGCTTTGCGAAGCATCGGGCAATCAGTTCGCCAGAAGCTGGCTCACCCTGCCGCTTTTGCTACGCCCCAAATTCATCTTGGAATGACCCTTTTGCTTCGACAGACCCTAGCAAAACAGAACACCAACAGCCCTGGCCTTCTCACCACAGCCTGGGCATTACCGGTGTGACCCTGGAGTGACTCTACATAAAAGGAGAGGAGATGCTAAGACAGAGGCTGGGGCAAGGACCCAAGTGAGCGGAAATCGACATTTGCGGCTCTCGCCGTGCCTGGGACCTCTGGAATACAGACGTTTCAGGATCTGACACTTCTCTCAATTGGACTCATCCTGTACATTCATGAGTCTAGTTCAAAATACTTCCTCCTTGCTGGAAGAGAGTTTTCTAACAACCTCAACCTGGTCAGAAAATACCGCTAAGAAACAACAAAGCTGGCCTCCCCTGGCTCCCACTGTAGACCCCGGAGACTTCAACCCATGGGAGACTTGTGAACTCGAGCAGAAAGCGTGAGTGGGCGCTCACACCACCGTGGATCAGAAACAGAACCTTGCTCAGGAGAACGAACCTTCCCTAGGAGACTTCAGCAGCCGAACCCCCAAACCCCATAGTTCATTCTCCCCAACTGTTTCTATGGAGTGCTTCCTGTGTGCCAGGTGCCACCCTGTTCATCCCTCCTGAGTACCTGGCGCATACGTCTAACCTTGGACATCTCCTTCTGAATCACATGGCTAGTGATGGGCCTGTCTCTGTACCAGACCACTGGCTTGTGCAGGAGGCCGGTCCTATCTTTACATGTCTGTTTTCTTAGTATCGACCACATAAACAAAATATGAAGTGTGTAATAGCCAACACTCTGTAAAGGAATTGGAGGTCAGTCAGACAAGTAAGCCTGCTTTCCTTGGAACAACCATCCATTCAACAGATAAATACCCCATTTCATAGGACCTACAGAGGAATCAGTTGATCCAGCCAAAATGGAGTGGGAGAGGACACTGATAACTCAGTCCACTGAGTTCCTTTTTAGTTTCCAGTCTTCTCCTTCCAGCCAAGTACATTGTAAACTATTGCCAAAATAGACAGAATTCTTATAATACGGCAATAAAAGCTACTTGCTTTGTGGAAAAAAAATTAATGGCAGAAACTCGGTATGTGTGGACTAGAGAAAAGAGCTAAGATGTAAGGAGGACTGTTGTGAGGGGACAGGGAGCACTCCAAGGAGAGAGGGCTGTATGCATAGGGTGGGTACCTAAGGCAAATCAAAATGTGTCCGTTCAGTCAGAATCCCTGCCCCTTCCAGCCTCTTGCAGCCTCCATGGACATTGACTTCCCCTCTCCCTCAGCTGCTGTGACCACCTCAGGCCCAGCAGGAACCCTGACTGCCTCCCATCTTCAGCCTCACAAATGCCTGATTAGGTAACCCAGATCCAGCCTAGCTGGGATGCTGTCACTACTCGGATTGCTGAAAAAAACTATGCAAGAAGCGAGAAGAGCCATTCAATGTTCTAGTGGAAGACGCCGGCGGAAAGTGATGGGGACCGAGCAGAGTCCCCCCCACCCCCCTCCCTCTTGGGTTTCTGAGACAGTCTTACTCTGTGCTTCTGGACAGCTTGAACGCTGGGGCTGCAAGTGTGAACCCCCTGTGGGTCAGGTCAGCTAGGATCAGAATATGGCTACAAGACCAGCCCCAGGAATGTCACCTGGGAATTAGCTAGAAACAGATTCTCAGGCCCAAGTCTACTCAGTCAAACACTCTGAGGTGGGACTCAAGCCTTCCAGATGGTGGTGACAGACTTGAAGTCTTGAAGTGGAAGATGGCTTCTTTCCTGTTACCATGCCTTAGGGTACTGTGGTACCCCAAAGCAAATGGGTATCCCAAAGCAAAGGGCAGACGCTTGAGTTTGAACCTAGACCGGTCCACTCCCCAGCCCACACTCTTAGCAGTCACAGAACTTCCACTTGCTCTGTTCAAGTGCTCAGGAAATAGTATTTATACCACAAAACTCACAGGGGCAAATGTTTAACTCTTCACAGATTGGCTTCATGAATGATGGGAAAATCAAGGCAGCAGATGTCCAATTTTACATCAACGGCGGCTGCACACCAGATGATTCTGAGCTGGTAGGTAACTTGAAGAACACGCTGGGTTCCAGTTCTTGGTGACGAGAGATTCAGTGTAAGCCTGGTGTCTTCGAAGGTTAGTGTAGATGGTCTGTTGTGCCCACTGACCTGCACCTCGTTGGCCCTTACTGTAAATTGTAAGGGTGACTCAGGATTGCGTCCAGATCCCCACCACTGATGAGTCAGGGAATGGTAAGATGCTCTGACTCGGAAGTACCCTGTCCAGGAGAGTGCCCAAGCTTTCTTTCCACTCACTGTGCTCGAGGGCCTGGGTGTGACCCTTTAACGAATATCTTAAATTGATCTTCAGAACTTCCCCAGAGGAGAACTGAGTCTTCCAGTCCTCTCCTCCTTCCAGTACCCTCCTCTGGGCAGGGCTGAGGGGCTGTTAGGGGAGACCGTGCTAACACATGGAGAACAGGGCTGTGGGTTTGTCTCAGGCAAATCTCCTCTTTATGCCAAGGAAAACTTCCCTACACAATCCCGCCTCTTCCCTCCTGCTTAGAACTGAGGCCCTACCTAGGCTCCCGTCCAAACCCAGCAGCTTCTGCAGTGTCTCATGATCCAAAACTCACATGACATGTCTTCCCAGGCCTGTCACAATCTGATCCCTTAACGATAGATATGAGGATACCGCTGGCCTAATTGGCCTTTTCCCCCTTTCTAGATCTTTCCATCAATTCTGAAGGCACGTCCAGCTCTTTTGTAGGACCCCCAGAAGTGTGTTGAAACTGGGGAGAGCATCTCTTCCTCCTCCTTTGGAGAGGAAAAATAATAAGTAAATAAAACCTCTTACTACTTAAGAATTAAAAACAAACAGTGAAACCGTAAAATGAAGTGCACGGCCATAGGTGTTGATGGCCAGGGAATGAGGGTAAAATTCCTTTCTGGCTATACCAAGAACGGAGTCAAGAAATAGACCTCAGAAAGGCTTGTCTTCGTCCTCCGGACAGGGAGTCTAACGTGCTTAGACTTTTACCTTGGGACTCTTTTCAGGTGATAGAATACTCTTTGCTCAAACTGGAAAATGCTTATAAGATCCCCAACCTCCGGGTCCGAGGCCAAGTCTGCAAGACCAACTTGCCATCCAATACAGCCTTCCGGGGATTCGGCTTTCCCCAGGGGGCGTTTGTAACAGAAACCTGGGTGTCAGCAGTGGCAGCCAAATGCCACTTGCCACCAGAGAAGGTAAGAGGAACTGACAGTTGTTTCAAAGTCTTTAAATAGTTAAACATTTTTCATTTTCAATCCTTGGCATCACAATGTTTCTTAATCGCTTCATTTGATGCTCTGCCAGCTCTGGAATATTCTGTGGCTCATCTCTGTTAGGGCTCACTTTCTGGAGATGATCCTTTTTGTGAAATTTGGCATTTCCATCCACCAGGTTCGTGAGTTAAACATGTACAAAACGATTGATAGGACAATTCACAAGCAAGAATTTGACCCAGAGAATCTGATAAAGTGCTGGGAGACTTGTATGGAAAATTCTTCCTACTACAGCAGGAAAAGGGCTGTGGAGGAATTTAACCAGCAGAGCTTTTGGAAGAAGAGAGGAATCGCCATCATCCCCATGAAGTTCTCAGTTGGATTTCCAAGGACATTTTATAATCAGGTGACTTTCAGAAATGCTAAAAACTAAAAAAGTATTTTCCAAGTGCATGTAACAAAAGCTCTCTTGATACTAATTCTTAGAACAGTGGCTCTCAACCTTCCTAATGCTGAGGCCCTTTAATACAGCTCTTCGTGTTGTGGTGACCCCCCAACCATAAAACTATTTTCATTGCTACTTCATAACCGTAATTTTGCTACTGTTATGAATTGTAATGTAAATAGATGATATGCAGAATATCTGATATGCGACCACTCCACAGGGGTTGAGACCCACAGGTTGCCAAGCATTGTCTTAGAAGCTAACTCCAGAGGCCACGGCACCTGTTTGGCAGGTTGTTTCTTTGGCTCTCATGGCTACAGTATTGATGGTTGAGCAACTGCTGATAAGAAATCTGCAGTTCTGAGTACTTCCTTAAACCCAATCTGTGACACACCTGTGATGCTCTTGGGTAACCTCGAAGCACTGGGGCGGGAAGCCATCTGGAGCCTCAGTGCCTGCCCTGCTCTACCTCAGTGATGCTTAACTCTTGCTAAACTCAACTGTCAACAATGCAGGAGTCTGACTCCCCTGGAGGGTTCCTCATTCCAGGCTAGACCTAAGCCCTTCTCTGTCCCACCTGTCTCTTCTCTAGCCTAGCGCCAGGTGTCCATGACTAGATGGATGGATGCATAGTTCCATGGGTAGATGAACAGTATACGGGTGGATACATTGTTACACCAATAAGAAAGTGAAAGGATGTTCTTGAGTATTCCACCATTCTTTATAATCTTCTTGAAACTGAAGTTGCCTGAGGTTTAGAAAAGCGAGCTGGGGGTTTTGTGGTCACCCCTACCTAGGCAAAGAGGACTCACTGGATCATATACAGAAAACCCAAGACTCCTATCAGTAACCTGGATATGCTAAATGGGAGCTGGAGAGATGGCTCAGTGGACCTGGGTTTGGTTCTCATACTGTCTATAAGTCAAAGGAGTTACAGAGGATCCAATGCCCTTTTCTGACTTCCTTGGACACCAGGCATGTACATGGGACATGTGCATACAGGCAAGACTCACATGCACATAAAATAAAGACAAATAATATTTTTAAAGACTATGCTAAATGTGCTAGTAAAAATAACTATATGCTGTGATGCATTTGCACTAAGGCAAACCACATTCACTGCTAGAAACTTTTTAAAACAACCTCATTGAGAGATAATTTATATGCCATAAAATTCAACCCTTTACTGTGTACAATTCAGCCAGGCACACCTAGGTTTCTGAAGCAGGAGGACTGTAAAATCAAAGCCAGCATAGGCTGTATAGCAAAATTCTGTCTCAACAACAACAAAGAGAAAGAAAGGAAAGTGTATAACCCAGTTGTTCGTAGTCTTGTCACAGAATAAAGCAGTCGTTACCACAGCCTAAATTTCAAACATTTCATAGTCTCTCCCCTCACGCATCATCCTCATTACAGCTGCTGGAAATTTACCTGATGAGTCTTTTCAAAATAGTGTTTGTGGGGGCTGGGAGATTGCTCAGCAGTTAAGAGCACTGACTGCCTTTCCAGAGGACTCAGGTTCAAGACCCAGCACCCACATGGAGGCTCATAACCATCTGTAACTATTTCCAGGGGATCCAACACCCTCTTCTGGTCTCCACACACACACAGACATATATGCAAGCCAAACATCCATTCATATAAAATAATAATAATACATTTATAAACTGTGTTTGTTGAGATATATATGCTAGGATGTTCACAATCTGAAGATATGTACCAAAAAAAAGTGTGAACAACAAAAAATCTGTGCAAAATAGTCCTCATTTGGAAACTTTTAAAATAAAAAGGTGTAGTCCATATAATTAATGGAATATTCTACAGATATTGAAATAAGTGAAGTGAATCTAAATATGCAACATAGAACAAAAATCCAAGATGAAAGGAAGAGTATCAGCTCAGGACCCCAAGACCACATTCTCAGCACAAAGGGGATTTATTTGTCCCAGAGGGAAAGAGGACAGGAGACAGAGGATGAGGGAGGAGGAGACCAGAACAAGGGACAGGGGGCAGGGGTATTTGTCCCAGAGGACAAAGGTGTGTCTCTGGATAGAGAGGAGACAGATGTGGCACTTAGGAAAATGGTAGTTTATAAAGGTACAAGCAGAAACCCCATGTTAGAATGAGTTCTATTTTAATTGAGCATGTTAATTAGGGCAGCCAAAGGGGCACTTTTGATTGCTGGACTTCAATACTTTGACAACCGGACCTTGGTAGTCAGCCTCAGGAGGAAGAAGTGAGCATAAGGGAATAGACCTTGAAGGCTAGCTTTAGGGATGTAATCTAACAGTTTTTAGCAAGGCAGAGGGAATGAGGAAGGGCAAGGCCTGCCAGAGCCATGCTCGCTATGCTCGCGAGTTGGCCAGAGTCCTTTCAAAGATAGATTATAAATAATCAAAATAATTATAAATAATCAAAAGCAGAGCAGCTTATACTATTATGCCATTTGTAAAAGTCACAAAATGAGGACACATTCCTAAACCCTCTGAAAGCTGTGACTGGGACCTGATGATTGGCCCCCTGGAACAAGAGGAAAGAGGGTATTTCTCTCCATCTTGTACCTTTTGAAAATGTTTGCTTTTAAACATGGGCATGCTTTTGTGATCCGCTCCTGTCAAACCATTAAAGCCAGGTGTGAAAGATCATCGCAATCCCCATACCAATTATTACATAAAGTCCTCATTGGCTTCTGGGACCACACGCTCTGCTCAAGCATGAGCGTGTCTGCAGTAACGTGTGCAGTAATTCACACTAAGTGACATTTCAAAAGACACCACTAACCTCACCTCCTTGGGTGAGAGCGAGCTGAGTCTCCACCAGCCACATTGGAATTCAACACAGACGATGAGAACAGACTTCCAATTTCATTTTCAGGCTGCCGCTTTGGTCCAAATCTACACGGATGGGTCTGTATTGGTTGCTCATGGTGGTGCTGAACTGGGACAAGGCGTTAACACCAAAATGATACAGGTGAGAGAGATTGTTTCAGTATTGCCTTAGAGAGAGCTTATAAAACATCCCTGGACGCTACACTGGACCACATTTGGGCTTTGTGATACAATGGCCAAGATATCCATAGTGTCCTAGTTGTTCTTTGTGGACCAGCTGGAAATAAGCCAGCTGGGATGCGGAAAGAGTCTTCGCCTCCCTCCTGGAGTGACAGGGACATCACTAAACCCAGCTTCCAAAGGGGTCAGTGGCTCCAGACCCCTAACTGCAGCAGCTTACATTCCCATGGCTTCTAAGCTTGGGCTCTGGGCAGCTGGCTTTCCCAGGCAACTCCTGTGCATACTTAACACACCAAGTTCAGGCTCCCTGATCCCAGAAAACCTGCTCCTTCCTCAGACACAAGTCCATTTGCTTGTGGTCATTTTGTAAAAGGGAAGCCCATGGTTGGGGTGGGGGGCCCCCCTCTAGCCCATGGACTCCTGCTACGAGTAGCCGACCTGGCCTCTCGGAGGCAGTGAAAGGATGGAGGACCTGGGTTTTGACTTTGCAGGAGCCTGTCTCCCCAGCAAAGTCTGCCACCTGGCACTGGGGAGATTAGCCCAGCTCCTGGCGTTGGACAGGTTTAGAGCAGAGAGAGGCCCTTGCTGATTTAAAGACCTTTGAGGTCTTTACAAGTTTTAATTTGTGCATACTGTTCAAAACATCTTTCTCACTTTTCCGAACAGAATTAAGAAAATCACAAAACTTTCTGAAAGGGTCAAGTCATTGTCCCAGTTACAGTTTGGACTGGTACATTCTGTCTCTCCCTCTGGACAGGTGGCCAGCCGTGAATTAAAGATACCGATGTCTTACATACACCTGGACGAAATGAACACTGTGACCGTCCCCAACACAATTGCCACCGGAGGCTCCACTGGAGCCGATGTCAACGGCAGAGCTGTTCAGGTGAGGAGCTCCCTGATGCCCAGCCTCCTGCGGCTCTCCAAGCCCTTTCCCCGAGGACCCAGTTTTTCAGGACTCTCTTAAGAACATTCCCATCCCACCCAACATAAACACGGAGTTGTGGTACAGTTTCAGGAGACTCGGACCGCAAGGACTTAGCCTCACGGGTGGGCAGAACATCACGGTAGTGAGAATTCATGATAGGGGAGGTGCTTCACCTCACAGGAGTGAGCAAGACCAGGGGCCATGTATAACTTTCAAAATCACATGTCTTGGGGGGGGCACCTCTGGAAGCTTTCCACACCCCCCAATAATAACACCACCAACTGGGGCCTGAACATGAACCACTAGGGGTTATTTCGTATTCAAACTATAACATTTGCAAAATGTCTCCTGATGCTTTTTCCCAGAAGTTTCTAGAAGGAAGGAGGCAGAGCCCCAACTCTTGGTGTCCCTCCGCACCACCCGAAACTGGGGCACCAGAGCGTTGCCTAGCGCTACGAATTCTATATTTGCTTGATGTATTTCAAGAACACCCTAAGACGTGAGTGTCACAGAGGCAAGTGACAAAGGCCTCTTTGGCTGACACGTCGTTTGGCGTACATGACAGAACATGGCCCAGTGTTCCCAGGCTGCTGTGGGAGGGCATCCCTGGAGGGCACAGGGGCTCAGGGAGAAACCTCAAATGAGATTGCAGTGTCTTGTGTCAGAGCAAGTGGGTCGACTCCTCCAACACTTCAAATGTAAATCAACTCCATTCCTCCACCCTCATTTCACCTTCCACACAGAGGAAAACCAAGTTCCAACGTGCTAGTGAACCCCCCCCACACACACACACATACACATGCGCACACACACACACACACACACACACACACACACACACACACACACACACACACGAGAACAAAGACCACCACAGACTTCCCTCTAGGTAGGACAGAGCAGCCTGTTGAGACAACGGCCCTGGTGTCTGAAAGAGGACAAGTGTGACGACCCCTGAAAGGAGACAGACTTTCTGGGTTTGGTCCTTAGAATTTGATACCCATGACTCTGTAGCCGCTTGACTCCAAGTTCCAGTCCTTCTGGACTAAAACAACTGAGAAAACAGCTAGTATTATGGCAACCGAATATGAAGCAACCCTGGTGGCTATCGGTTAGAATATCGGCGTTATCCAAGCCAAGGCACTTTGGAGGTCAAAGGGAGTCCATGATAGCAATACAAATTGGCAAGCTCACGTGGGACACGTGGGACTTGGCCTGAGAAAAGGGAAGGATATGGTCACCCATTACTAATATCTTCAGGTCATAGATGAGGTCCCTAAGGCATGGAAAGTAAAAGGCACTCAAACTCTGGACACATTTTACTGCACACATGAGGCCTTTCTGTGTGACCTCGTGAAGTACTGGATCTGGGAAGCGCATTCGTGTTCATTTTCCTGGGTAGTGGTTGTCGTAGCTTTGCTGGATATTTGGCAAATCCCAAATGAAACGTTGACACATAAACAAACTAAAACCTAGTTGGTGTGGCTAAACTGAGAAGAAGGGGTTTGCATTTTGCCTGGTATCCCTCTGAGCCCTCACATCTTCTGTAGTGGCTCCCAAAACTCCACATCAGCATCAGTACCACAGGGAATGGCCAGGGCCTGACTCTGGCCCAGATGTGGGGACAAACCCCACGAAACGTCTGAGGGAGGAGAGGAGCCATGGCAGGTGCTGGGTGAGAGGGAGCTTGTGCTTGGAAGGCATTGCCTTTAGTTCTCAGTTGCTCAGGTGTCCTCTCCAACCTGCAGAATGCCTGCCAGATCCTCAGGAAGCGCCTGGAACCCATCATCAGCCAGAACCCTAATGGTACCTGGGAAGAGTGGGTGAGTTCCCGGGGTGACTGCATCCTGCAGGGCCTCTCGAGGCCATTGGGTAGAAACATCTGTCCCGTGTTACACTGGGTCCTGCAGGGTCCCTTCTCCCCTGGGCAGCATAGCAGGGAATAAGTAGCCCCAGTTGTCTAGGAACACACACCACCTGGCCTGCTTGTTAAAGTGCAGCTTCTTATTCAGTGAGCTCGGATGGAACTCAGGGTCTGCACTTCTGCCGACTCCGTAGCAGCCCCCACACTGCTGGGCCATGCTTTAAGCAAAAGAGTAAAGGATAGATATAGATCTGAATCACACCTTGGGACATCTTACTGGATGGACACCTTGGTTCACTTGCAGAAGTAGCTCAGAGGTGTCAGATGCTATTCTTTTTTTTATGTTAAATGACTTTATTTAGGGGCTGGGGATTTAGATCAGTAGTAGAGCGCTTGCCTAGCAAATGCAAGGCCCTGGGTTCGGTCCTCAGCTCCGGGGAAAAAAAAGAAAGAAAGAAAAATGACTTTATTTAAGCAGTACAGCCTCACACTAAGCATGTATTTTAATTTTTTTGATTTATTATTAATTTTTTAAAACGTATTTTACATACCAACCACAGTTTCCCTTTCCTCCTCCTGTTCTCTCCCCTGCCACCTCCTTTCTACCCCACCCCCATCCACTCCTCAGAAAGGGACAGGCCTCCCATGGGAGTCAACAAAGCATAGCATATCAAGTTGAGGCAGGACCAAGCTCCTCCCCTCTGTAGGTAGATGCTGTTCTTTTTTTTTTTTTTTTTTTAATTTATTTTAATTTATTTTGCAATACAATTCAGTTCTACATATCAGCCACGGATTCCCTTGTTCTCCCCCCTCCCGTCCCCCTCACCTTCCCCCCAACGCCCCCCCCCCCATTCCCATCTCCTCCAGGGCAAAGCCTTCCCCACAGACTGAGGTCAACCTGGTAGACTCAGTTCAGGTAGGTCTAGTCCCCTCCTCCCAGGCCGAGCCAAACAATCCTGCATAGGCCCCAGGTTTCAAACAGCCAACTCATGCAATGAGCACAAGATCTGGTCCCACTGCCTGGATGCCTCCCAAACAGATCAAGCCAATAGATGCTGTTCTTAAGGGCAGTTTCCTAGATAGATGATTATTCTCCAAGGAAGGGAGAGCCTACCCCACTAGTCCACTTCCAAACTTTGCGTGTAATGGGAGTCCTTACAGGAGAAGCTGCTGTATGGGATCCAGTACATTGAAAAGTCCCTTCAGTGCCGATGACAACGGCAGCTGCTTTGCACATACACCTTTCAAATATGCCTGAAGAACCCAGGGTGGGCGTTCTCTGAGTGCTAAGTCTGGCTCTCCTTTCAGTATAAACATTGCATGTGAGAACATGGCCCCACTAAAAAAGCTACCAAACCCATAGCGTTCCATCAGGGTCCTTGACAATATTGACAAAGGGACACCCTGAGGGAGTTGATGACAGATGGAACACGTTGAGTGACAAGATCATGTAACCTGTAATTTATCAACATTACCTCATTTTTCACTGTGTTCCTTTGAAACTTGAGTGTGTGTGTGTGTGTGTGTGTGCGCGCGCTATGTTTCTGACCATAGTTGTTGCTCTGTTCTCAGGACAATTCCAGTTCTCCTGGGGTGGGACCGGAAGGTGGAAAACCCTCATCAGATTTTGCTTGGGGACCCTACCTTTAAACTCCCACCAAAATTTACCTTTCATCCCTTTTCCATTGCTCTATAAGTGGAGCCACAAAACCAGCAACTTAGTCTCTTCAGAGGAAGTCAGACAAGCCAGTCAGACTTCCCGAGCAAGCAGTGAGCACTCACCCGGCAGTATGCTCCATGTTCATTCTGCAGAGGCATATTCCCAAGAGTAAGGGAAAGCACAGTGGCCTGTGGGTATTTGCTTTCCTCCTTTGCCCAACTGTGTGTCCCTTGAAAACAGTATTCCTCTTTTGCAGGTTAATGAAGCTTTTACTCAAAGCATTAGCCTCTCTGCCACGGGATACTTTAGGTAAGAGGTGGCCTGTGTCATTCTACAGCTATTCTCTTTAGAATAGAAAAGAGCTTAGGAGATGTGTGTTCGGTTGTTTATATCTTCAATGTGATCTCTATTGCTTATTTCATTTTCACTGGAAGGTTTTCATTAGAAGTGCTATATTATTCTAAAAGTAGATAATTTTGAGATTAGTCCAAGTTTCCTAATTGCAATTTATTTTATTTTATTTAGTTTTTCAAGACAGGGTTTCTCTGTGTAGTTTTGGTGCCTGTCCTGGATCTCGCTCTGTAGACCAGGCTGGCCTCGAACTCAGAGATCCGCCTGCCTCTGCCTCCCGAGTGCTGGGATGAAAGGTGTGCGCCACCACCGCCCGGCCCTAAATGCAATTTCTTATTCACACTACGTACAAATTATGTTATATACACATACTATATAACAGAGGTGTATATTATCATAGATTTCAAGGTTTCCTGCTAATGCTCCTATGTGTAGAGTGGACAGCTCAAGACATAGCGACACTAGCAAGTTTTTATATAGCCTAGCATGAACTTAATACTTATGCTTTTGGTCCTGATATTTAATAGGACCCAGGATTTGGTGCTTCTAAACACTCTTGACCTTCAGAAGTCTTGCCCTGCAGCCTGTCTCCTGTCATATGGGAGTCTCTAGAAGCCATGAGTCAAGCCAGAGCCCAGAATAGTTCTGTACAAATAGGATAAGAAGTTGTGCAAAGTAAGTTAACAGTTTCTCAGACAAGGGTGCTTGTCCAAATAGGCAGTAGATATCTCACCAGAGGCAACAGAAAACTAAGCCTGTTCTTACCCCATGAGCACAGCTTTTGTGATTTAGGCGGGAATAGTGGTGAGTTCTGCTGATGTCTAGCTCTGGTGTGTCTGGTGAGACACAGCTCGTATTAAGGAGATCTTCAAGTGTCAGTCGCTCAGGGAAAAGGTGAACTTTAGAAACTGGAGTGAGAGTGCTCAGCTTTGCTCAGTCTCATAGACAAGACCATGGAAGACAGGGGCACTCCAGAGTAGGGGTGGTAGCCATCCTGAGGTACACCAGAAGCTAGAGAGGTGTGGGTTATTGTTATGGTTTTGGGTATGGTTATGGTTTGGGTTTTGGTTGTCCATGTGTTTGCCCAACAATTAAATAGAAGCTGAGTTCTGAACAAAGCTAATGGAATAACCTTCTTTTGTAGATTTTCTTATATTCCATTTATCCACTTATGGGCATTGTAACTTTTTAGAGTTGGGTTGTGGAGAATCAACCTAAGAATCCTGGTGAAGTACTACTATAAGCATATGGCCCACAACATACTAAGGAGAGAGTGTGTCTGATCAAATGACAGCATCAAATAATACCTTTCTCACATTGGTGGATGTACCAAAATATACTGCGGAAGAACAGCTTGGAACAGCAGATCCCAGATTACTTAGCTGCACTGCTTAAAGCACACTAGAGAGATCTGACCACCCCCTTTCCCATGGTGACATGGCTATAAAGACATGTTCATTAACAAAGCGCTTTATAGTGGGTTGACGATTTGTGAGCTCTTGGATGAGTAGTGCCGGCATATATAAAAAGGTGAGTTGCTTATGTGTGGCTGGAGCCAAGGCCAGGCACAGAGCTTCTCAGAGCAATGACCTGTGTTAGGACATGCAACCTTACAAACACATCAGCTACTGCTGCACCGTTCACCTGGAGGCACTTAGCCCTAAAGAGTTTTCAGTAATAGAGTCTGCAGATTGTTCTAAGTGAACCAGACACAGTGGCGCACATCTGTAATTCTCGCCCTTTCAAGGCTGATCAAGAGTTTTAAGATAGCCTAGGCTACACAGCAAATTTTAGGTTACTTGTACTACTCAGCAAGACCCTATCTCAAAAAGACCCAACAAAATTAACCTGTAAAAACAATGATTCAAGTGTGAGATAATTTTAGAGCAATCACAATGAAATAGAAACAAAACAAAACACTGACAAGAGACGCTTCAGACTCAAGATTGAATTGTAAAGTTTCTTCATGGAAAGAATTCACGTGTGCATATAGAAACCAATGCACAAAGATTCAAAACCTGCATGTGGGCAATGAGTATAGATTTTATAGTGGCTTTAAAAATTGGGGCTTGGGGTATAGTTCAGTAGTAGAGTACTTCTCTAGCATGTACAAGGCTCTGGGTATAATCCCTAACCCCCCCCACACACACACACACGTACACACACACGCGCACACACACGCACACCCATCTTATTTAAGGCAGTCACAGAAGAACAAATACCAAATGATAACACTTACATGAGATTCCTAGAAGAGTCAAATCCTAAGGCTGAAAGCCGAGTGGTAGCTGTTAGGGAGAGAGGGGATGTTGTAGGTTTCAGTGTTTTGTTGATACAGAGTGTCACTGGGAAGAAGAGAAAGTTCTGGAAGGGATGGTGACTATCTTTATTTGTAAGGGTTTATCTAATGTTATGGACCCACACAATGCCCAAAACAGTGATAAATCTCAGAAATAGGAATCTGTGGGTTTGTTTTCAAGGCAGTGTTTGTAAGTTGGCATGTTTAGCAGACTCTGCTAGATAATGAGTCCAAATGCTTTGGTCTCAGGTGAAAACTTGGCTACAGAGAAAATATTTCAAAGCTGGAGAGAAAGGCTTGATCATGGGACCTGGATATCCATCTTTGTGAGATAAAAAGCAGCATCGGTAGTAATTGTCCCTCGCTGAAGAGAGCAGACCCGGCCAAGTGAAACCAGTTTTAGTGACATGTTCACCCCAGCTCTTCTAGCTTTCACAGTTCTTAATGAGATTCTGGACCTTTTGACCCCATGACTGCTCAACATAATTTGCAAAGCAATGCTAAATCAAAAAGGTATTTTGATCAGGTCTCCTGTAACATCACAGCAGTAACTCCAGGACCAGAGATTGCCACCTGCCTCTGGACCTGAGAGATGCTGTCCTTGAATTCATTTGAGCCTCGCCTCCAACAAAAAGCACACTCCATGCCACCGCTCTCCAGCCAACAAGGAATCGTTTTTCAAAAAGAAAACCATGTTCACTTCTCTTTCTTTTCACAGTTGTGATCACTTAAAATGATGTTGGGTGTTGTTTTTGGTTTTGGTTTTGGTTTATAAACAGTGTAGGTCTTAAAGGTTTTACACTTGCTTAAAGTTAAAAGTGGAGTCACTTACTGAAACCTCACATGAAGTGCATGTCCCTCCCTCCTCGTGGTAGGCATGTTCCTTCTCCTCCAGGCCAAGTCCTTCGCAGGATTTTCAGAGGCTCCACATTCTGTGAATAATTTACCCCTGAAGCCACCTGGATTTCTCTCATTTTGTTTGTTTGGTTTTTTGTTTGTTTGTTTGTTTGTTTTGTTTTTTTCTCCCGAGACAGGGTTTCTGTGTGTAGCTTTGGAGCCTGTCCTGGATCTCGCTCTGTAGACCAGGCTGGCCTCGAACTCACAGAGATCCGCCTGCCTCTGCCTCCCGAGTGCTGGGATTAAAGGCGTGCGCCACCACCACCCAGCCATCTCCATATTCTTAGAGACAGTCTCACTGACGAGCCCCTGTCCTGACCACTGGCTGTGTCTGTCTTCTCAGGGGCTACCAAGCCGACATGGACTGGGAGAAAGGAGAGGGTGACATTTTTCCCTATTTTGTTTTTGGAGCCGCCTGTTCTGAGGTTGAAATCGATTGTCTGACCGGCGCTCACAAGGCAAGTGGCAAACACGAGTGACCAGTGTAGTCGGTGTGTGTTATGAAGGCGATGTGGCCTGCCTTCATTTGCATGTCACATGCAAATATGTACTAAACAAATTTTGGTGCAAGCAAGTGTTCATAGGGAATGAGAGGGAAGGAACAGGTGCAGGCATGTTTCGATGGAGCTGGACGACCCTTGGTGGTGGGAGGGAGAGGAGGTGAGAAAGGAGAGCTGTGGTCATCCTGACTTGGGTGTTTGGACCTCTGTCCCATTCAGGTTTTCCCTTTCCGGAGCCAGGACACATAACTTCAGTTATGAATTCTTGGTCTCAGTTGTCGTCTGCCAATAACTGTAGAACAGAACTCTGCTTTTGTAGACCACTAGCATTTATACACATCTTTGAACTCAATGAAGAACCTTCCAGTCACTTGCTTCATTGAGCTCCATTAAAAACTCCGTGAGCTAGAAGTTATTATTGATCCTCCCACTTACTGATAGGAATATGGGAGCTTTACAGGAGTTAACTGGCCAAGTCCAAGTGACCATTACTAAATGGTGTAGCAAGAACACACAATCAGAGATTCTCGCTCAATACTGTTCTCAACACATCACGGTAGTTTCAGGTTTTGCACAAAAGGAATTTAAAAACGAACATCCCCAAACAGCAAGCCACTGTCCGTTCATCCACAGTGTACCAATGTGCATTAAGGACAATTCACCAAAGATCTGGATGCTCAGGTCCCTGTATGATAGACAAGGACCACTGCTGACAAGCAGTGTCTGTGGGAATTTAGAACTGGGCCTTGAGGCCTGCTAATTCAGGTCCCTGCAGCATCTCCACACTGAGGATGGGTGACACTCTGTCCCGGGGTATGAAATCCAGCGTGACATGCCTGCTCTGTGGTACCATACACTAGCCTAGTGATATTGGGACAGTGACATTCTGTAAGCTTTCATTCTCTGGCCTGCGGGGGGTGCTCTCATAGACACTAGATACTAAAGTCTTAGACCAGCCACACTGTAAGAGGGAGGAAATCAGGCCAGGGCAGCCAGGAATCAGTTCTACAATGCGGAGGGGCTGAAATCCACTCTCACCAAAGTGATCCAGGGCTTCCCAAAACTGCAATGGCCACCTGGAACTCAGGAAGTGATCAGCCAGGAGCGCTGTCCCCTTGGGTTAAGGAAAACCCTGATCTAAACAAGGAACCAGATGACAACCATAAACCATAAAGGATACAGGAAGCTGCATCCTTTTCATCCCATTGGCAATAGAACCGGAAGAATGTGTGTTTGAGGCCAGCATGCACTACATAGAGTTCCAGGTCCAGCCTGGGCTACATAGTGAGAACCTGCCTCAAAAAACAATAACATAGTACAGGGGATGACTTATTAATCCTAAAAGAAAACCCCCTGCCACAAATTTTCAACACAAAATAACATGCTTTTAAAACCTCTTCTACAATATTACTATTTTAAAATAGCATGCCATGTATTTTTAAAATATTTAATTCTGATAATTTACTTTTTGTTGGTGGTGTTGTTCCAAGCACAAACAAAATACAAGGAGATTCTTTATTAAGCAAGGCAAAGAGACGAGGTGGCTGAATTTGAATCGGGCAGAAACAGCAGCAAACAGCTTTACAAGTGTTAATTTTAAGAGGGAAAAAGGGGAGGTCTGCGTTAGAATGAGTTAGGACATGTTGGTGAGTTCTGATTGTGTATTTTAACTAGGTTAGTCAAAATAATACATTTTGGTTACTGGACCTTGATGTTTTGATGAGTGTTCTCATCTGTGTATATAATTTTATGGCCTTGTTTTCTTTATTTCATTGGCTGTCATGACCACTTTACACATTATTACTTCATAACCATTATTTCAAGTGGCTGTATAATATTAGGATTGAGCAAGGTAAAATTTCACAACCTCAAATTTGTAGGAAGGTGGGCTCATCTCTGGTACTTGTGAACTTTAAAAATTCTAGCAGACTCCATGTCAATAACTCTATGGTCATCACTTACTCAACAATACCTGGTTCGTATTTATCCCAAGGAGCACCTCTTAATTAATAACATATGGTATTCTTATGACCTTTACCAATAGTAGAACTTGGTCGTGGTCCTTTAGAATCACCTCTTATGCCCTAATCAAAGAAAACATTTATTGTTGATAAGAGGAGTATATACAGCAATCACGTTTTTGTTCTCCACAGAACATCAGGACTGACATTGTTATGGATGGATCTTTCAGTATAAACCCTGCTCTGGACATAGGCCAGGTAGGCAATACCTTGTTGGTGAGGTAATATCCAAATACTTCAAACACTAACCACATTTTCACCTGCTCTGGATACAGGCTGAAGGAAGCAACTCTGTTTTCTGGGTATCACTAAATAGTTTATCTATTCACTAAGATTGTTTTCACTGTCTTCTTCTTTTCATTGTCTTACACATAATAATGTATCCCAAGGAGTGGGAATGTGAGTAAAAGAGTGCACACTTCAAAGACAGGAGTATGGGTTCCACTTGGGTGTGTTGACTTGAAGTTGCTTATGAGAGACCCCAGTGAAACCACCAAGAAGAACACTGGTCTTCAGGCCCTGGGCAGAAGTCATATGTTTGGAAGTGGTTGGAGGGACAGTGGTAGTTGAAACCACATAAGCGTCAGGATCATGAGAGGGAGAGAGGAAGAAGAGAGAGAGGAGAAAGCAGGAGTGGGGGAGCTTGAGGGCTTTAACTCCACAGGGAAGGATCACACGCGTGTATTCACTATGGTTTTAACGTAACCCCAATATTCAGTACATTACAATATGAACAAAGACAGTGTTTGAAAGTCTCTTTCCACACAACATTTGTAACAGTGTTGAAAAGTCTCTTTCCACACAACATTTGTAGACATAGTCCCCAACACTGATTTTTTTTGTTTGTTTTATGTGTGTGAGTGTTTTGCCTGCATGCATGTCTGTGGACCACATGTGTGCCTGGTGCCCACAGAGGCCAGAAGAGGCCTTTAGATTCCCTGGAACTGGATTACAGACAGTTGTGAGCGACCATGTGGGTGCTGGGAATGGAAACGAGGTCCTCTGGAAAACACTGTTTTTTTTTCTTGACTCTCATTTTTGTGGAGTTAGATTCAACTCAAATAGCTATTGAACTTGGGGCTGGGGATTTATAGCTCAGTGGTAGAGCGCTTGCCTAGCAAGTGCAAGGCCCTGGGTTCGGTCCTCAGCTCCGGGAAGAAAAAAAAAATAGCTATTGAACTAAAAAAATAATGATCAAATGATGTTAAAATTTTGACTTTGGAATGAGGCAAAGGGTGTAGAGGTGATCTGATACAGACCCATTGCTAAAAGTATGTGCTGAAAAACTCTTCCCTGAGAAAGAACAGATCCAAGACCTGCTGTCATCCTCAGAATGGGCATTCTAGCAACCAGAAAAAGAAAGGTCTTTCCATTCATTGAATGACTTGGGGGTACAAATAACTTGTTGCAGGTCCCACAGGGGCATCAGACATCTGTTTCTAAGATCACTGCTATGCAAATGACTTATCCAACCATTAAAGATAAGCGTTATTGTTTCTGCAACAAGTCCTGTTAGTTTTCTGAAATCTACCCAGGGGTTTCAGAGGCCGTTGTTCACACCTGCAGGCAGAACACGTGGAGCTAAGAGACCTAGACTCCAGAGGGAATCAGTCTTTTGAAAGATGACATCCTTGGCTGATGTTTGGAAAGTCAGCACATCATTTCAAAGATGACATTCATCCATTTCTGTGTCTCAGATTGAAGGCGCCTTTGTTCAAGGTCTTGGACTTTACACTCTAGAGGAGCTGAAATATTCCCCTGAAGGAGTCCTATATACCCGTGGTCCGAGTCAGTACAAAATACCTTCAGTTACCGATATCCCCGAAGAATTCCATGTGTCCCTGCTGACACCAACCCAAAATCCAAAAGCCATCTACTCTTCTAAGGTAAGTACATATGGTCAGGCTTCGTTCAGCTTGCCATTTATCTGTACATGTTCCAAACAGTAGCCAAAGAAAGTGGACAGAGGCGTGATGTGTAATCGCTTCTCTGTCTTTTGGCTGAGATCAAGTGTAGGAGTGATGATGTAGCTCAGTGGAGGAGCACTTGATTGGCATGCACAAGCCCCTGTGTTCTATCCCCAGTATCACAAAAGAAAAAAGGCTGTATTGACATCCTCCTCTGTAGCCAGGAGGTGGTGGTGCATGCCTTTAATCCCAGCACTCGGGAGGCAGAGGCAGGTGGATCTCTGAGTTTGAGGCCAGACTGGTCTATAAAGTAAGTTCCTGGACAGCCAGGGATAAACAGAGAAACTCTGTCTTGAAAAAAAAAATAATAATCATCCTTTGAATAGTCATGGTGGTGCTTTCCACCTGCAGGACTGGAGAATTGGTCACTGTTTGTAATGTGTGGAAACCCTGAGAGGATGGGGGCGTGAACAGAGAAATGTAAATAAGACCAAGGCGATACTTTTCAACTAAAGTCATTTCACACTTCTCACCCTAGATCACATTACATTTGAGCATGTTAATTTAGCGTATAACCTACTCATTTCTCAGCTCTGTAATCTGCCTTCCATCCCACCATGCTGTTTAAACGACTGTCCCCAGAGACCTCAGTGCTGCTGGGTGCAATGAAGGACCTCTCTCTAGCCCTTAACCTACTTGACTTTCATTGGATTTCTTCTACTGACCTCTCTCAGTCTCCGGGGGGGCGGGGCACAACCCTTGCCTCTCCTGTGTGCCTCTGCCTGCTCTTTGCTTTTTCTTACTGGTGATTCCTATTTCTCTGACCAACTTTCTATAGATGCATAACCTCACCCACTAGTAAGGAGCTAGCTGTGAGCATTGGAGGAACACAGCTGTATTGCCCCCCCCCCTTGTGTCTTACAGTCCCAAAGCAGGGGCTAAACATGAGAAACATATAGTACGCATTAAATGGGTTGAACTGATCTTTGTCTTTCTCCATCCAAACCGCATCTATGGCTATCCCAAAAAATTATTCTATCCATCGGCTTCTGTGTTTGTACACACACACACCACCACCACCACCATACACATACACTCCACACACACTACATACGCACATACCACACACATACCACACACACACACACTCACCCTCAGTACCTTGAATATTGTGAACAGTCTAGGAGAGAATCATAAAATGAACTTACTAAACCACCAATTGTAGCTGGAGAGTTTCTCTTCGAGTTCCACCAAGCCCCCACAGTCCCGTAGCCCACTTATAAAATAAACACACAGATGCTTATATTATTTAAACTGTTTGGCCTAATGGCTCAGGCTTCTTGCTAGCTGTTCTTATATCTTAAATTAACCCATTTCTATTAGTCTATAAGTTCTCAGCTCATGGCTTACTGGTATCTTCTCGTCATGGTGGCTGGCAGCATCTCTCTGCCTCAGCCTTCCACTTCCCAGAATTATTCTCCCTCTTTGTCCTGCCTATACTTCCTGCCTGGCTACTGGCCAATCAGCATTTTATTTATCAATCAATCAATCATCCACAGCAACCAATCACCAATTTAATGAAGTTTAATAAGAGACAATGTATAATAAAAAGAAATTTGGTGAAACACTGCTCTGAAATATGCATATACTATTTCTTGTCAGAAGCATTATCAATATAATTTGTCTTGTAAGCAACATAGAGTGAGGTGTAAACTCCTCATTCAGCCTTAACAAATGTCACAAGCTTAAATCCATTCCAGAGTAAGTTTCAAAGTAAATAACTGGTTTTTGGTTGGTTGGTTTTTGATTTGTTTGGTTTGGTTTGGTTTTTCAAGACACGGTTTCTCTGTGTAGCCTTGGATGTCTTAGAACTTGCTCTAGACCATGCTGGCCTCAAACTCATAGAGATTTGCCTGCCTCTGCCTCCTGAGTGCTAGGATTGAAGGCGTGTGCCGCTGCTGCTGCTGCTGCTGCCGCCACCGCCGCCACCACCACCACCACCACCACCACCACCACCACCTAGCTAAACTAAACAATTTTTAGTTTCATAATTCATAAATTATGAATGACTTCATAAAAGGCTACTCAAGAACTAGGGGCTTGTATCACCACATGAGGTTTTCTCTTTTAACTGGACTTCACTAAAGGAAAATTAAGAAGATCACAAGTATTTTGCCAGAATCCGTTTTTCATAGCATTGAAATAACCTGCTCTGGGAAAAGTCAATTCTTGTGAACTAGATGGCAGGAACCAGAGACAAGCAACATCCTGTAGAACTCTGTGCACATGTTTACAAGGCTGGTCTGCTGCAGACCCTGCTCGGGGCCATGAACATGGCCTGTGACCCTTGCACTTACCTCTTCCCAGGAGAATGTACCTATTCATACCCTGAGAAGGAGATCAGGGATGGCACACTGCCCTCCTGGATGGTGACGGTCTGTAACCCTGGAATAGTCCACCTGGTTGCCAAACTCGAGGGACTGTCACCTGTGCAGTTTCACAGCCAGGGGGAGCAGGTCACACGATATTTCAAAATCCTCACTACGCTCCACCTGTCAGGTGTTTATTTTCAATCAAGCTGAGTGTAGGTTAGAAGACACTTCTTGATGTAGAGCACTACCCATCATTTTCTCCTGGCTTCCCCTTCCTCCCCACCTTACACTGTCCCCATTAGGGTCATAGAAGAGTAGGAAGACCCTCGTCCAAAGGCTGGGCTTGTCAGGGCTGTCCTTTAGCATAGTGTTTGGACCTCAGGGGCATTTGTCCTCTGAGAGTCTGTAGCAATTATGACTTCATCTGCACATGTGGAGAGACTGAGTCTCTGCACTTGTCTTGGGTGCTTCTCCACAGCCCAGCACAATTGCACATTGCTTCACAATGAGGGTACGTTCCAAGAAATTTGGGTTCGGTGATTCCATAGGAATATCATAGCATATACCACACAAACTTAAATGGTATGCATCCGTCACTTGACATGGTCCCTCTAGGTACCTGGGAAACACAGTAAACATGCTACACGAAGCTGCTGCCAATATGACACAGCATTCTGGTTCACAGTCAGCTTTTTAAGACAAATGTAAGTGTATTCTAAAATAGCAACAAAATAAGGCAAACATGAAACTAGAGCACAGTTGTTGATTACCAAGTATTGTGTACTGCGGGTACTTGTATTGTGGAAGTTTTGTACAACTGGCAGAACAGTGTTCTGTCGAGATCAGCGTCCTCACAAACACCTGGACAACATGTGGTGCCATGGTGTCACCTGGTCATGATGTCACTAAACAATTATTGAGCTCCCTTATAAACATGTGGGACCACTGTTGCATATCCTGTCCATCACTGATCAAAATACATCATCAGTGTAGGACTGTACCCAAGGTGTGTTCACCTAAGTCATGTGGTTGTTTTATGTCAACCAGGAGAAAGGGGGTGCCTTCTAAGGCAGCGAGGGAGTTCTACATAATAAGAATGGGTAGAGACACCTGTGACATTGCTCAATACCAAACGGCAGGACAGGAGAGCTCATCCCGTAACCTGAATAGCCGGAAGAGTCAGGGTTTGATGATTTAATCTGTTCTGTGTTGCTGTATCAGAATACTTGAGACTGGGTAACTTACAAGGAACTTAGTTCAGTCTCAAAGCTGGCAAAGTCCAAAATTAATGAGTCACCCCTGGTGGTGACTTCTTGCTGCTTTATGCCATGGTAGAAGATACAGAATGCTAAGACCAAAAAAAAAGGCCAAGCTCACCTTTATAGCATACCCACTCCTGCCATAACATTAATTCATTCATGAAGGCGGAACCCTGATGACCTAACAACCTTGCAATGTATAGAGAATGAGTTGTCAGCACATGACCTTAGGCAGACATGTTCCAACAACAGTAACCAGTAGACACAACCAGTGTGTGGGAGACGCTGACGCTAAACGCAGTAGGGCATGTTATAACGTTTGGGAATATGACCCAATTCCTTCCTTATAAGTTACCCGAGTCCCGGTCTCCATATCTAAAATGTGACAATGGACGTGCAGGCTTTGTAGACCTCAAAGGTTAAGGACACTACCCGTGCAGAAAGTGTGGCAGTGGTCTGTTCAAAGTCAGCTGAGGACGATGCTAGCTGCTAATGTCACTTAGGTATGTCAGTCACTTGTGCGTGGCTGTGACAGATAATACCTGGCAGAAAGGACTTAAAAGCAAGATTCATTTTGAATCGTAGCTTCAGAAGATCTACTACATCATGGCAGGCAGACCAGTTCACGGTAGCCAGGGAGCAGAGAAGTAGGGGTCCTGACTCTCGGTTTCTTTTCTCCTTTGTCCCCTTCTTATTTTCTCTGACACTCCGGCCCACAGGATGGTGCAACCCGCATTCAGATCAGCTCTCTCTACCCCTGGGTGAATCCTATCTGGAAAAGTATTCACAAGCATATCCAAACATGTGCCTCCCCAGTTTTCTAGGTGATGCTAATCCAGTTAGGTTAACAATGAAGATGAGGCAATCATTCATTCTGTGCCGTTGTCTTAACTAATAAGCAAGAGCTCATCCATGTCAGATAGTCAGTCTTTCATTGAATATTCAAAAATACCTGAATATGACAGTTGAACTTTAACCATGAAAGACACAATCCCTATTTTGGGTCAAGGTGGTGGCATTGTTCATCAAGGCTTTCCTGGTGTCCATGATAGACAATCAGTCATGTATTTCTGGCTAATTTAAGCCTCTTGAGGAGTCTTTGATCACCAAGTACGTCCCCTGTGGATTTGATGGTGGAAAGTTGCCAGCCCAGGATTGTGTGTATAGTCTAATTGCTCCTCATAAATTAAGGAAATGGGTATGGTTCACGTGCCAGTCTCTGGAAATTTGAGTAATTTTCTAGGGTGCAATTAGCTCTAGAGCCTGGTATACTTAGATTGGGGGGAAAGGGGTTATGTAGACTCTGGATTGATTCTAATGTCAATCTCTCTCCCCCAGACCTAGACACTCGGCTTTCTCAGGAGCATTCAGCTCAGGTTTGGGGTCCTAAGCCATGTTGTCTAAGCCTGAAAAACTCCACCTGACCCAGTTCTGCCACTTGTAGCCACCTAAGCCCGTGCAGAGCACTCAGAGTACAGGGCACTCACTCCCCCAGTTTCTAAAAGGCATAAGTAGTCTAACACAAATGGGAAGGCTTGCCAGCACATGAAGGAGACAGGGACGGCCATCTGCCATGTGATCATATTTGATGCAATGATGGACCACCTACACAAAGGCAAACCTGTCAGACTCTACAGCTTGGTGATCCTGTAGCTGCCTTCTTTGTGTAGTTGAAGGACAAAATGGCTCAGTTTCAGATTTCTCATAACATATCCCCATCGTCACGTGTCACGACTATACAGAAACACAGCCACAAGATCCCTTTTGCCTATCTCCATCACTCTGACCCATCGAGGACAAGGGGTTATAGCATGAGAACCTGATGGCTTCTCCTGCCAAGGAGACCCATCTATTGAGGAGGGCAGACCTGAAGAGCTGACTGGACCAGTATATGTGGAATAATAACGTCCTCAAAGGCCTTGGATCTTCCCCCACCTATCCACCAGCTAGTTCTCAGCATTAGTCACTGCTTGAAGGATTTCTTTGGCGTGTTATGTGAGTTAAGGCATACTTGATGTGTTAAGGCAACAGATTAACCACAGAGTACAAGGCTGGGAAGAAAGGTATATGATTCAGAGTAGAAATCCTTTGATGGCTTCCCTTGAGTTGACAATAAGTCACAGCTCTGAACATGGCTTCCAGAGCCCTGCATAGTCACCCTGGCAATCGTTACCAAGGCTTCTTTCTTGTACCGTCCTTTCCGTGGTGAAGTTACATAGCTTTTTCAGTCCCTTGGATGAAGCCAGCTCTTCCCCCTTCCCAACACCTTCGCAATGTTGCCCTGCATCAGTTCTCTAGACAAACAGGACCAATGGCTTCTTTCTGGGTATTGGAGATACACGTATGTGTTTATGTTAGACATGTGTGTTATGTATGTATGCATGTGTGTCGATATGTATATTTGCATGTGAATCTACATATGTGTGTCTATAAATCTATACACACAGAGATTTATTTTAAGGAATTGGCTCACATGGTTGTAGAACTGACAAATTCAAGATCTGTAGGGTGGTGGGCAGCAGGCAAGGAAGTCAGGTGTGGTTTCTGTACTGATGCCCTGGGGCAGAATCAAAGCTAGTCATTTCTTTTCTTTTTCTTTTTTTTTCTTTTCTTTTCTTTTTTTTTTTTTGAGACAGGGTTTCTCTGTGTAGTTTTGGTGCCTGTCCTGGATCTCACTCTGTAGACCAGGCTGGCCTCGAACTCAGAGATTTCCTGCCTCTGCCCGCAGAGTGCTGGGATTAAAGGAGAGTGCTACCACTGCCCAGCACTGAGAGACTCTCAATGCCAGGCACCATCCACCATGGGATAGAGTCCACAGGTGTGCCTTGAAAAAGTTTTGACTCATCGTAGTTCTCTCCAAACCTTGGGAAAGCGCTTGAACCCCTGCTGTTGACTTAATTCAGACCAAGAAAGATAAGTCCTTGGCACGGGCCCTTCTAAGAGTGTCAGCCACTAACAAGCTGTTCCTCTGCCTTCCTCATCCCTTAAAAGCCCAGTTGGCACAGTGGATGGCTTCTTCTGCAACCACATGGTCCCCTTGGGCATGGGCATGCCAGGCCTTAGCCAGGCTATCATCATTTGGCAAGTGTAACCAGCATTGGGATTATTACCACCAGAATGGGGCTCCTTTGAGTCCCAACAAGCTTCCTAAACAAATAGAAACTGGCCCCGTAGCAGAGTTCAGGCCTGTTCTGGAAGGGATCCTAAGGGTGGTTGGAAAGGCCATCATCTTGAGAAATGAATGATCCCCAAGTAGGCTATTGTTTAGAAGAGGCAATCCAAAAAATACATGCTGAGTCCTTTGTGGATTTGTAGAGCAAGCATTAACCACACCCCACCATGACCCAGGCACTGGGCACAGTTAAACACCCCAGATTCTGTCAGAGGGCCTACCCGCCTACCTGCGAGATTGCTACAAGGACATAAGGGCCAAAAGGGGGTGACCCCTTCAGAAGCACTGAGTCAGCTCAGGCCAGCTCCATGGTGTGTGTGTGTAGACATGTGTGAATGTGTGTGTGTGTGTGTGTGTGTGTGTGTGTGTGTGTGTGTGTGTGTCCGTCCGTCCGTCCCCATGTCCGTGTGTCCTGCCCCATGGGTTGGCTGCCCAAGGCCAGGTTTCTAAAGGACTTCTCATTTTGTCTTCCCCTCCCCAGGGCCTCGGTGAGGCTGGATTGTTTCTGGGCTCTTCTGTGTTCTTTGCTATTGTTGATGCTGTGGCTGCAGCTCGAAAGGAGAGAGGCTTGCCCCCACTGTGGGCGATGAACAGCCCGGCCACAGCGGAGCTGATTCGAATGGCCTGCGAGGATCAGTTTACGGACCTGGTATGGGACCCCGTCCATCTTGTCTGTGAATGTCTGCAACCCCTTTCATGGTTCTTAGCGCAGGGACAGAGGACATGGGTCAGTTCAAAGGTAATTTCACAAACCCCCACAAGCAGGATGCCTTCTTGTGGAAAATGGAAGTTGCTTTGAGAATTTTCGAGTAGGAAGGTATGGGATTCTTATATTTATAGAAGGGAATGTGGGTTTTAAAGAGTTAAAAATGATTTTTCCCACTTGGGTCCCAAAAGAACTGCAATAGACTATTGTTCTTTCAGCAGCACAGCAATCTCCAGGCACAATCCACCCCCTCTACCACTTATGCAGGAAGAGGGGGCTACTCGATATCACGTCTTAAGCCAGGCATTACCTGCTGCTGTAGCTGTGAGCCACATATGACCACAGAGCCTAGAAACTAGCTTAGTGTAGACTGCCGTGCACTATGTGTGCTGAATCCACACCACATTTTAAAGATGGCTTGGTGAGTAACTTTTTATTCACATGATGAGAATGGTAATATTTTGGTATATTGGGTTGCGGCTAACTATAACTAAAATTAACTTTACGTAAGTATCCTCCTGTGGTGATATTTTATTTGTATTCTAACACATAAAACTTATCTGGGGATCAGAGGACAGAGCCAGCCACTAGATTAGACATAGAGGCCAGACAGTGGTGGCCCACACCTTTAATCCTAGCATTTGGGAGGCAGAGATCCATCCAGATCTCTGTGAGTTCAAGGCCACATTGAGAACAGAGCCAGGCATGGTGGCACACGCCTTTAATCCCAGCACTTGAGATCTCATATCTTTGCTTGGGAAAGACATGCCTTTAACCCCAGGAAGTGATGGCAGGAAGCAGAAAGGTACATAAGGCATGAGGACCAGGAACTAGAAGCTTTTTAGCAGCAGTTCAACTGAGACCCTCGGGGGTGAGGACTCAGAGGCTTTCGATCTGAGGATTCATGGAAACAGGGTTGGCTGAGGAGTTGGCGAGGTGAGGTTGGCTGTGGTTTGTTCTGCTTCTCTAGTCTTTCAGTTTCCACCCCAATACGTAGCACTGGGTTTTTTATTAATAAGATCACTTAGCAATTCATCTTACATCCTCCAATGACCTAAGGTCCTCCAATCAAACCTCTCCCAAAGGCTTAATACCACACCCATGCATTGGGGACCAAGCTTCCAACACATGAAATTTGGGGGTAAGAGCCACATGTAAAGCCATAGCCACCAATTTCACTTTGGTAAATATGAGTACTAGAATTTTTTTTTACCTTTTAGAGGTTATGTTTGGTTTTGTTTGTTTTGTTTCTTAAGATGGGGTATATGTCCCTCCACATAGCCCTAGGTGTACTGGAACTCACTATGTAGACCACGTGGGCCTCAAATTCAGAGATCTGACTGCCTCTGCCTCCCTAGTACTGTGATTAAAGGTGTGTGCCACCTCACTTGGCCCAGTACTTGGAATTTTAAGAACATGTGTGGCTTCCACTCGTGGTTTTCTGTGGGGCTGTTGTTGCTTCTGTGCACAATCCCATATAGATCTTGACTTCAGGAGAAAAGGTCAAGACTGAGAGATGTTGGCACGTGTGGTGATTTGGAGGCTGTAAGGAGCCAACGAAGGAGCGCAAATTTTTAATTGCTTAAAAAAAAAATCTTTCCCAAGGTCCAAACTTCAGGAAGGAGAGGGAACTAGAAAGGAAGAGAGGAGCCCTAACACCTTATACACCCCTCACGCGGTCTTCCTCCCGGACCCCTTCCAGTGACCCCGCCCACGCCTTCCTTCCTGTCATTTCATTCGTCCTCTGGGAAAGCCCCGCCCCCACCCCACCCTCACCCCCACCCCCACCCGTTTACCTGTTCAGCTCAGCCTAGCGGCTGCATTCAAAACACCCACTACATGCAGCAAGGCATTGCGCTAGGCTGAGACAGCCACAGTAAACAACGCACGTTCATGCTCCCAGGAATCCAACGTCTAGCAAAGGACAGGCACAGAAACAGGGATTCCTACACAAACCCTCCATCACTGGGAACTACACACTCAGGTGGCGCAAAGATGACGTGTGTGAGCTGTTTACCCATCCTTTGTCCCCAACTGGATGGCAGACTCCCTGAGAGCAGGCGGCATGTTCTGTTTCTCTTGCTCCTATCATTGAACTTTATAAAATGGCCAACTAAAGTGGTTGGGGTTCCTAGCTTTGAAATCAGATGATTGGGTTCAAATCCCAGCTGAGCCACTCACTACATCTTCAAAAGAAAGAAAACACCTGCATGCTTGTATCCCTCTGAGTAGGAAATGAACTTGGGTTTAACAGTGGTTATCACTGTACTGGCTCATACTGAACAAACATTTTGAGGATCATTATATTGGCCATCTTGTTATGCCCCCCAAAAGGCTCTAGCTTCTACCCTTATGTGTTCTGATTTTCTTAACCTCAACTTCATAACGGAGAACTGATTGAAGGAAGAATTTTAACTGAGTCACGGTAGCAAGCAGGGACAGATGCATGGGTTTGGCCAGGACGCCACATAAATACTGGCCCATTATCTCAATATGGTGTCAGCTGAAATTTCTCTACGCCACCATACTTGTACAAACCTGAGTTGATGAAAACAGATGCTAAAACGCATGTGAAAGATGTTTAATATAGTCTCAACTAAAGGTGTACCAAGCCAATCACAATTGGATTACGGGGTGTGTGTGTGTGTGTGTTGAGATGCCTATACACATTTTATTTAATTCTTATATGTACCTTTCAAATGGTGACCAGGCATTGACACAGATAATCATAACGAAACCTCCACCTCCTGGGACTTAGAACTATAACGACATAAGGTTGAAAGGAAAGTGACGTAGGAAGAAGGCACCAGAGTAGACAGGGCCCAGTGCAGTCCTCCTGAAGGTGACAGAGAAAACATCAGCTAACGGGTGACAGTGAGACAGGGGGATGAGAGGGAAAGGAGTCCCAGTGGCGGGAAGCTAGAGCAGACGCAGGGCAGAAGAGAAAAGCATCAGGCTGTCTTAGAACACCGAGAGGGGAGAGTGCGCAGAGGGAAATCCTCAGAGTAAACCAGGACAGCAGCCTGAACTCCCCCCACACGGTCATAAACGTAAATTCGCTTCTTCCCCCGGGGCAGGCGGGCCTTTGGAGGTAATGTGATCATGGGAATGACATACTCAAGGATGTAACCCGACAGATAGACGCTATAGCATGAATTAGCTTGAGAGCAAACAGTTGGGAGCTGCCGTGATAGTTAAGAGGTGACAAAGACTTAGCTGGGTAGAGCTAATGGCATTTGAAGGCGAGGCAGGGTCACACAGTACCTGCCACTCTATGGAGAGCGGCTGAGAATCCAGGCGCATCCAAGGTGGTGCTCTGGATGAGTGGGAAGGCCGTCCTGCCTCTCACAGCAATAGGCAGCCGGGAAATCCTTCAAAGGAGAGTGGCGAATTCGCTTTTAGGCTTGCAGCCGAGTAATCGGTTAGTCAAAGGATTTTGCTAACAAGCGATTATCTCAGGACTGACTGGAGAGCAGATTTATGAGTCAGACAGATTTGTGAGTCATTAGTGCAAACTAGCAATTAGAATGGTGAAAATAGATAACATTCACCTGTGGGTGAAATCGTAAAGAGAGGAGAAAGAGAAGAAAAAGGGAAGGAGAGGTGAAGAGGAAAGAGAAAGGAGTGAGCCAGGTGGGCTTCATGGGGGCACCTGGCGGGCAGGCAGACCTGAGGCGGGAGTGGCAAAGGGCAGGCTCAGCCTTTGATGTAGAGGTCCCCAGGTCCTGTGCACCCTGGACATGAGCACACCCAACCACAACTCTGAGCAGAGCAAACTACTGGCCTGAAAACCACACCGCCATAACCCCTCCCAGATGAAGGTGCCCCAGACTCCAAGAGGCCTCTGCCCCCATGCCCCCCAAATCCAGCCGTGCTGCCTGGTTCTTTCCTTCCCTGACCCACACTCACTTCCACAGTCACTGTTACAACAAGGGTGGGAATGGAGGCCTTTGTGGACAAGGAAAGGCACTTAGGAGACCGAGGCAAGAGGATGGCCATGAGTTAGAGGTCAACTTAAACCATATAATGAGGTCCGGGTCATCCTGGGCTACACGACAAGCCCTTATCAAAGGAGGAGGAAAAGAATACAAAAGAAGGAGGGAGGGAAGAGGGGAAGAGGGGACCAAGGAAAGGATGGCGGGTGGGTGGGCCTCGAGGGCCTCCTGTTGACCTGGGAGAAAAGACACGCAGGGATCCCAACACCCACCTGACGGCCACCGTGAGCCTGGTGACTGCTGCTCACTGGGCCCTGGTTGAAGCAAAGAGTGGTTTTGATCCAGGTGCGCCGTGCCCAAGCTCTGCCTCGAGCCAGGAAATCTGCACTTGTGAGGCTGGTGAACCCTGGCACCCCCGACAGGCAAGGCTCAGGTTTGCCCTGAATGCTCCCACTTGACAATCTGTAAGCTCGGGTCCCAGGAGGGATGTGCTAGTGTTCTGTTTTAACCCCCTCCCACCAGACAGATTTTGTTTTTCACCCACCTGCGGCGAGTGGGGGCTTGGGGGCGGGAGAGGGGGGAACCCTGGGTAAATCTCATAGGAATCTGTGTTTTGACATGATACATATGAACAGGTGCGTAGTTGACTTTGCAGCAATGTGTGTCTAAGTCCACTGATGCAAAGATCTGCTTTTCCAACCGCAGCGACGAAACAATGTTGCTATCTTTGAAACAGAGCAGAGTCAAAACCCTGCTCGTGTCGGATGAGGACTGGATCACCAGCAGCCAGCCTCCCAGGACAGTGGATTTGCTACTGCAAAAGGGCTGTGCTGCTTTCAGGGTGGGGGTTTACAGGGAAGGAAGGCTGAACCTAGGATCAGGCAAAGAGGTGCATCGGGAGAGGCCCAGGAGCTGCTGGCCAGCACAGGTACCTGGATGCATTGCTAGAATTCCTTAGACACTGAGCCCTGTAGCAGCAGATCTGTGTGTGTTTTACAGCCTTGAAAATCAGTGTCCCGATTACATCCCACTCACTTTCCAAAGCAGCAGAACAGAAATTTGCAAAACTAGAACTCCACGCCCCACCTTGAAAGTATCAAGAGCGAGTGGTGTGGAGCAGACATCAAAATTCTGCTGTTGTCACACTTTCTTCAGCAGCACACAGAGAAAATCCTGCTCTTGCGTGTGTGCAACAAGGTCACTATCATCTGTTATCCATCATCTGTCTCTCATCTCCATCCAACATCATCTGCCATCTACTCACCTCTCACCTGCCTCTCTGTTGACCCACCAACTCCAGCCTCTGTGGAGGTCAATTCTTTGTCTTACTCCTTTGCATGACATATAAAGGAAACATTTAAAGAAATAAAATGGCTTTTAAACTAATTACGCTACAACAATGTCAGCTTACACTTTTGATTTATTGGGAACCAACAAGAATTGAAGGGAATTGTGGGGATTTCTATTTTGTAGAACAAAGGTGAATTCACATCTCTGGTCAATTTTGACTTGCTGAATTTAATGAAGTCCATCTGTAAACTTTCTTTTACTTGGATAAAAGATTGTTTAAGACAACACCTGATGACGTAAGTGTTAAGTTTCAAACCCAGGACAAACAGCTGAGGTGCCCATTTAACAGATCAAAGCAGACCTGACTTCCAGGTTCTCCCAGCATCCCTCAGTCCCTACCTATTACAGGGTATGGTGGCATACCCAGTCCCTTACCCAGAACTCTTCAGCCCAGAGGCTGCTCTTCCCCCAGAAGCTCTTCCTATATAATCCAGACATTTTGGTTACCTGCCCCTTTTGTACCTTTGGCCTCCTGGCTGCTGCACCTGGTTCCTCTTTCTCCTCTCTCCCTTCCCTGCCCCCTCTCCCCACATGGTGCATCTCAATCTGGTCATGTCCACTCTGGACTCTCGCGGATGTTCCTGCCTCTGACTGTGTCTCCCTTTTATGTGCAATCAACTTTTTCTCCGCCGTACCTGTGAGCAGTCCTGGCCTTCCTCTCCTGTTTTCATCCACTAAGTAGAAGTTCTGTTTCCCTCTGCGGTCATCTTTTCTTCTCTTACTGCACCTTTAATACCTCTTCTGTTCCCACTTGACACTAGCTGCTGCTTTTTAAAGGTTACATCTTTTTGAAACCGAAAGAGGTGACTTTTTCATGTCAGATTGCTTTCATACTGAGTTTTATTTCTGCTTCCTTTAGCAAAAACCCACCAAAATAAAAAAGCCCCGCTTTAAACTTGCAAACATCTTTCTTGGTGGGGTGTGGGGCAGGTCACTGAATTCTGTGGGTGAGCCCTTCACTTGGCAGGCCCTTTTTGAAGAGGTTGTCTACATTTTCATCAATCACCACGCGCAAATGGGATGAGTGTGACGTGCGTAGGGAGTACTCTCTGGCTCTCAGTTGCTTTTCTGTTTCAATTTTGATGAACATTTACTTCCACTCACACTGAAGAACTTCTGCTTCTGGGCTGGTTACAGTTTGCCTAAGTTAATAAGACCTCATATCACCAAAGTCACGGACCCGGAGAGAAGATTAACTGTGGAGAAAGCGTATCTTTCCATTATTTGACCACGGGGATGCCCTGTGTCTGGGGTTCTATGTGGAGAAAGTGCATCTTTGACCATGGGGATGCCCTGTGTCTGTGGTTCTATGTGGAGAAAGTGCATCTTTGACCATGGGGATACCGTGTCTGGGGTTGTATGTGGAGAAAGTGCATCTTTGACCATGTGGATGCCCTGCATCTGCAGTTCTATCTAAAAACACTCCATCGGTTCTCTCCAGAGGAGCCAGTAGTGTGTACATTTTGTCTCTGCTTTATTATTATGTCAAAGAGCTAGATTTTTTTTAAATCCAAAGTTACTTAATTCCTGTTGAGAAAGAGAGAACATATTCTTATACAAGTTAAGCAAATAATTTGTGATAAATAAATAGGTTAAATGTCTTTTTGAATAAGAAACTATTTTGCCACCAATTAGTTATATGAGTTGTTTTAGGTGGGTTTTTTCTTTTGTTTTTTTTTTGTTGTTTTGTTTTTTTTTTTTTTTTTTTTTTTTTTTTTTGGTTTTTCGAGACAGGGTTTCTCTGTGTAGCTTTGCGCCTTTCCTGGAACTCGCTTTGGAGACTAGGCTGGCCTCGAACTCACAGAGATCCGCCTGGCTCTGCCTCCTGAGTGCTGGGATTAAAGGCGTGCGCCACCACCGCCCGGCTTTTCTTTTGTTTTTAAATTTTATTTATTTATTTATTTTTACTTTTCTTTTTAGGTTCCACACGAGGATTCTAAATGCTGTAAGCCATGGTCCATCCCAGTTGCCTAATGCCTGGGGTTCAAGCACAAAAGCAGATATTCAGATGGATTTAAAGCTTCAGCAGGTTACTAGTATAAACATCTGTGTCTAAAATACATAGAAAATTGGGGGCAATTCTTAAATTTTCATATTTACAAAATACCTTGTAATCTTTGATCACTCACGCGCACTATAAGCAATGATGTTTGTGGAGCTCCAGCCAAAGATGATGCTTAATTCGATATAATAAAGAGCACTTTCCACTGTGTGAAGAATTTCTATGCTGAGTGTACAGAGAAAATGAATGTCTAGTCTAGGCATATGTTCCTGGAAAAAAAAAAAAACAGAGAAATAAGCAGGATTCTGTGGCTGTTTTCCTACAGTTTCTGAAGTTCCTGACTTAAGATGTGTAAACCGACTTCGTCTTATTTATCACTCTGGATTAAATGTAGAGTTTAGGAACTGACAGTCTCTGGTGACTATGAAATGAGTGCTCACTTATTTAATGCACAAGTTTGTTGGAAAATCATTTGATTTTTTTTCTAAGGCTCTCAGTTACCAAAGATTCAATGAGATGCTACATATGGTGGCGTTGCCTCCAAGATGAGCCACGGGAGGAGAATTTGAGGGCACTGTGGAAGCAGCTTTGGGATGCCAAAGCTGTGGTGGCATCTGGCTTCCCCAAAACAAATCTGTGTTGAGGTGAAAGGCCCAAATAACTGCAATCAGTGTGTCCCTGAGTTAAGTTCGGAGGGCATGAGCACTTCATATTTTGATATTTAGAGCCTATTTAAAATTGTCCAGTCTGGAATATTCTAGCATGTGAATAACCCACAGTTTTTATTGTTACAAAAGTTTTGTTGGTTGTGACTTTCAATGGGCTGATTTTATACATGGCATTCTCTTAAGGACAACCCAATAAGTCCTGAGTCCCACTCATTCCTCCTCTCCATTTTGGGATGCCTCTCCTTCCTACATCCACCACTTACAACACACGGACAGCTTGTGTGAGGGCCAAGTGAACAGACAGAAGGATGGCAGACAGTTCATACACTACATGCTCTCAGAACTTCCTGTTAGAAACTCAGTAATTAAAAACCGCATGGCCATAACAGGACCACATCACTTCCCAGTTAAAAAGCATTTCACATCTTCCACTCCCTTGGAGTCTCAAACCACACCCGAACGTTTGCCTCAGTATTCTTAATCTCGATCTGTAATTTGTATTGACCCATTAATTACAGTTGTCCATTTCTTGAAGGACGGCACTGTGCCTGTATTTCACGAGCATTCCACAGCTAGACAAACCTTGCAGAAGTAAATACTATCCAGCTGATGGCCAAGAAGTTAAGAGCTCCCAGGACAAAAGCATCAACATTTGATGACAGAAGAGCTCTTAGACAGGAAGGACTAGGAAAGTGAGTTCCAGGAAGGGCTTCTATAAGAGCCCAGGTGTGGTGGTTTGAATGAAAATGCTCCCCATAGGCACTATTAGGAGTGTGTAGAGGGGCTACAGATCCGATAGATATCCTGGTGGTCAGAAGCCAAGGAATACCTATAGCTCTTAAGGGAAAGGTATCTAACGGAAGTGTTACAGCTCTGTTCCAGTGGGGGGACTGTTTCTCCAGCAACGTGTTACAGTCCTTCCTCTGGCAAAGGTTTCCCTAACGCAAGTGTAACAACTCTGCTCCAGCAGGGGAGGGCTTCCCCAGTCAGGTGGTTATAGTTCTGCTCTGCTTTGAGAAATGTTACAGCTCGGCTCAGCTCCCCCTGAGTGTAACAACTCTGCTCCAGCAAGGGAAAGTTTCCCCAGCCAAAGTGTTAGAGTTCTGCTCTGCTAAGGGAAAGTTTTCCAGCCTAAGTGTAGCAGCTCTCTCTGCTCCACTTCATCAAAATGTTACAGATCTGCTTTCTTCTGGCAAAAGTTGTTACAGCTCTGCTCCACTCCACTCTGGGAAAAGAAAGTTGTTGGAACCAACCTCACTTAAAAGATTTATTGGGAGGGAGGAATCCAGGAGAGTGGCTGCCTCTGCCAGGGTGAAAAAGGCATCTCCAAACAACAGGTATATAGGGTTTCTTAGGGGCTGAGCTTTCCAGAGTAAAGATTTTCAGGGTGGAGATTGGTAGGATCTCAAGTCCTGAGCTTGGAACAAGCTCAGAGATTGGTTGAATTTCATGCTCAGGGATTGGTTGATTTTCATGTTCTGGGATTGGTTGGATTTCAAGTCCTGAGTTGGTTAGGGGCGGGGTGTGTTTCCTTGGCTCTGGTCTCAGGGCCAGGGTGTTCTTTCACTGGCCCTTTGTATCCTACAGTGTGGCCATGTTGGAGGAGGTGTGGCCTTGTTGGAGGAAGTGTGTCTCTGAAGGTGGGCTTTGAGGTTTCAGATGCTCAAGCCAGGGCCAGTGTCACTCTCTCTACCCACTTACCTTCAGATCTGGATGTAGAGCTCTCAACTACTTCTCCAGCACCATGTCTGCCCGCATACCGCCTTGCTTCCCGCCATGATGACAATGGACTAAACCTCTGACACTGTAAGCTAGCCCCCAATTAATTGTTTTCCTTTATAAGAGCTGCTGTGGTCATGATGTCTCTTCATAGCAATAAAACCCTAAGACTCCAGGAAAAGAATACACCAGGAAATATTCAAGCGTTATCTAAACATTAGCCCTTCACTTACATGTCTTACACACTGTCTTGCATATACATGACTTCATTTACACATCTTACATACATACAGTCCTGCATATACATGCCTTCATTATTTTTAAAGATTTATTTTAACTGTGTGTGTGGTGGGGAATGTGTGCATATGAGCCAGGTAGCCATGGAGGCCTGAGATATCAAATCCCCCTGAAGCTAGAATTACAAATCAATATGGGCTCCCTGAAGCAGATGCTTGGAAGGGAACTTGGGTTCTCTGCAAATGTCTTCATGCTTTGTAATGGCCATATTACTTTTCATGTTATCTATACAGGGCACTGAACAAATCTTCCCATTCCAGTGTGTTTGTCCACTGCTGATTTGATAATACCTAAGTACAATTCTCTGGGGATAAAGTTGGACATTATGGCTCTTAATCCTACTTTCATTTGAACTTTCTCACGTCTTAATCACAATTATTAGGTATTTGTATACTCAGATGTGCAAAGAAAATATTGGCCTTGTTAATCAATGTTTTAGCGTGATTATTTTCTGAATAGTTGTTTGCTTTTGTCTTCAGGAACAGATATATTCCTGGTTTCTTCCTTGATTTTTTTTTATATTTTTCTGCCTTTTGTTGTGAATATTTGGTTTTCTTTTTGAAATCATTGGGTTTAATAAAAATATTTAAACCTACTACATTTCAGGGGCTGGAGAGATGGTTCAGCGGTGAAGAGCACTGGCTGCTCTTGCAGAGGACCCAGATTTGGTTCCCAACACCCACATGGTGGTTCACAACCACCTGTAACTCCAGTTCCAGTGTCTCTAATGCCCTCTTCTGGTCTTTGGGGGCACAATACATACATGATACAAATATATGCATGCAGATAAAACATTCATATCCACAAAATAAAAATAAATTAATTAGTTAATTAACTTTAAAAAGAACTATTTAATTCACCCAGAATATAATAGTAATTGAGTCTTACAGATTTCTGAAACAAGATTTTTGTCCTCTTGTCTTTTGTTTGTTTGGTTTGGGTTTTGACACAGGATCTTACTGTGTAGCCCAAACTAGCCTTGAATTAAAAATCTTTCTTCCTGGACTGGAGAGATGGTTCAGCAGTTAAGGGCACTGACTGCTCTTCCAGAGGTCCTGAGTTCAATTCCCAGCACCCATATGGTGGCTCACAACCATCTGTAATGAGATCTGGTGCCCTCTTCTGGCCTGCAGGGAAACATGCAGGCAGAACACTGTATACATAATAAATAAATATTTTTTTAAAAAAAAAAATTTAAAAAAACTTTCTTCCTTAGCTCCCTGATTGCTAGAATCACAGGCATGCACCACCCTTTCTTATATCTTAAACTTTAGTTTCCACCCCACACCCTAGTTTGTTTTTACTTCATTTTTTTCCTTTTAAACAACTCTTTGTGAGTACGATGGAACGGCACTAGAAATTTAATGTAAAACCAACAAACAAGACATACAACCGCAGATATCTTTTAGAACAAAATTTCTATCTATTTAGGCTTAGAGAAGGCATGAAAACAGAAAATAAAGTTTAGATAGAAATGACACAGTTGATAACACCTCTGTTGCCAGAGTGTTCCTTTAGTCAACTTACTATTCAATTCTTTATGTCTCAGTTTACCTGATCTGTAGATGAAGACAATGTTAGTACCTACCTTAAACGTTTTGAGAATTAAATGAACTAATGCCTAGACAGTGCCTGGTGCACAAGCACATGGTGAAAACGAACTCTTCCTGCTGTTGTGGGTGGGCATCCTCGCCGCTGCGCAGTCAAGGAGTGCACAGACCTGCACAGAGTACAGACACGGGACGCTTGTGTTGACTCAGCCAATTATCGCACAGCTAACGTAAAGCAGGCATCCAGACATGTGAAAAGCAAATTAGAAACCAAGACTTCAGTAGCAACCAATGGTTAGGAATCTCACGTGTCAAGACTCTTCGGTCAGAGAGAATGTAAGCAAAAGCTGAGACCTGCAATAGCGTAGGAGTCCTGAAGAAAATGAACTCACAGCAGAGACTCGAGTCAACATGGACTATCCAGAAGAGGCTCCAGGAAAGAAGAAGGAAACTGAGAGCTAACATCCTAAAATCTTTACCACAAATGTCTCACGTTAGTATGGATTCAGTCATTCATTTCTAAAGATACCAGTTTATAAAATCATAAGTGAGATATTTAGACAGTCATAAGTGAGGTGTTGTTTTGGCCACTGGAGATATGTGATGAATCATGCAGACGAAGACCCAGTCCCTAAAGTGGTTATCATCTGAAGGAGAGATTGACATTGTCTAGATTGCCCTACAAATGTCACTGCAAGCTTTGTCAACTGCTAAGAAGGAAACGTGGAAGGGGTCAATGAAGAGGATGGTGGGGGACTTTCAGATCTGGAGGTCAGAGAGATAAGTCTTGGAGAAGGTAACGAGTAATGCCATGCCCTGCAGAATGGGAAGGGTCTGGCTAGATAAAGAACCGAGGTAGATGGTGTCAGGGACCGGCGTGCTCAGGGTCCATTGACAGGAGATGCAGATGTGGTAAAGGCACTGAGAAGCCTGTGTAAGGATCATGGTTAGGATGGAGAGCCAGCCTACACAAGGACAAAGCCAGACCCCTAAAACAAATCACAGACGGTATTTCGGCAACTAAGTGTGTTGGGGTTGAGTGTGAAGGACTAGTAAGGAATACAGATGTCCATCAAGGTATCTTTCAACCCAGTCATTACAATCAAGATCACGGCAAGTCCAACCAAAAGCAAAGATCCCTTTACCTTATCAGGTCCTGAAAGGCTCATTCCCAGGGTGTTGTATATGCGCAACGGCACCCACGCCAGAGGTCAGCAGAACATTCATTTAAATCCACCTTATTTGAATCTCACTTGGATAGAAGGGAGTCACGAGTCGCACACATCCAGCCATAGGAATGTTTGTGGGAAGGACAAAGGGGTTAAACCTCAGGAGACAAGAACCTGGAGACGTGTTCCCGAAACTATAAACAATTAGTGGTGCAGGGGTGGGAGGGGCGCCCTTGAAGCCAGGACAATTAGGAAATAAAAGAGTTGGACAGAAGACAAATTAGTGTAGCAATTTTATTTCAAGTAAAGCTGAGGATTTGGGCTTAAGCCTATGGATAAGCATGGCCTCAAAGATTTCACCACGGGACTAAGCCTGTCCCAGTTACCCATGGCTCTGCGGTGGACTGTTTAGCAGACAATAATGGCAGAAGGTGAAGGGGTCGTACTGCGACCCTCTTGGACTCTCAACACTTTTGATTTTGTAGGTCCCTAGCTCTCCTCCTGCCCCCACAAATAAAAAACCCTAAAAATTCTATCTCGTGGCTTCACTGGTAACAAGGCAAATGTAATCCAAGAAAGTCTATGTCATAATTTTGTGCTGACTTTAAAAGATCAGAAAAGATTTTCATGGACCCTAAAAGTCATGTCAGACCCTCAAAAAGCGTGTCAGCCCTGTAGAAGGCTGCCAGGAACAGAAGGTGGGGATCTGGGGAGAAGAGAGGGATCTCAACTGCCTGTGGAGTCCTCTCATGAAAACTTGACAGGCGGCCTCTTACAAGCACTCTGGAGCTCCAAGAAGTATCCAGCCTAGATCAGATTCCTAAACCTACAGATTCTTGCTCATTCTAATCTGATTATGGGGCCCAGAATAATTCTAATTTGATTATGGAACCCCAGAATAATTCTAATTTGATTATGGAACCCCAGAATAATGTCTCCATGTTTCCCAAACTCTGCATCTCTTGAAGAGCGCTCACTGAAATCGAATGCATTGTTCATGGTAACACCCCTAACACCACCTGCCAAATCCTCAGCATGGGGAGGATAACCCCCACCAGGACAAAGAAACAAGGTTCAACCCCACCCACAACAGAGGAGCTCAAGAAATCCTGCACATTCAAGACGTGATTGCAGGGTTCACATGCTGGGAGTAAGCAGGGTGCCACCGTTGTTACAAGCTTGAACGAACAGGCCTGGGGCTCGGGAAGGGTGCTGTCCTGTTCAGCCTTCCAGAAGAGCTAGTGTTCTATACGTAGGCATTTCTGGTCACCAGAGGAGCACCGCCATCCTGTCTGCTTGAAACAAGCTTTGAAATTGCCTGGCTTTGAAATTGCTAACACATCTCGGCGGGGTTGTGCGATGCGTCACACACACACACACACACACACACACACACACACACACACACACACACACACAAATTGTGCTCCATCGGTGGCAAGTCTGAGCCAACCCAGCCAATGACTAGAAGTCTCCAAGCTCAGACCCTCACCCTGACATTTAAAAAACTTCAATAGTTTCTGTTTCACGCACCATGGAAACCTCATGTGTAGATGATCCGAGCACTCGGAAGAAAGTGAGAATCATTCTGTCTCACTGAGCAGTTAAGGAAGCAGGCTGTGTGAAAGTATAAGGAATTTCGGAGGTCACAGGCGTGGGCATGCAATACACATAACTCATTGAGTGCCTCCGATTCTTTATAAAGTAAGGATGCTATTCCCATTTCAAGGGTTAATAAAGATTAAATGAAGTAGCATAGGGAGACATCTGGCCTGGTATATGCTTGAATACTGAATAGAGGTTAGTTTCTGTGCAGGTATAAGTACACATACACACACACACACACACACACACACACACACACACACACATACATATACATATACTTATGTATGTATATATACATTCCATCTCAGGCCCTATTCTGCCATGTGCAGGGCCCCAGTTCCATACAACTGGAAAGAAAACCAGCAGAACAGAAATTCCACAGCAGGCTCGGGATGATGGCAGTGGCGAGGACATCTGTCTGAGGCACTCTCTCTGGGCATCCTGTCCAGTGTCACTGCCAAAGGCCTTAAAGGCTTGTTTGGCCTGAGCCTGCCTGTTGTAACCCCTGCTCTGGAGTTGGGAGGGGCAGCATGCTCTCCTGACCTCACAGGGTAGGCAAGGAAGTTTTGGGGAGAGTACATGGCCTAGCAATCTACAGTGTTCTCCTGCTACATAGAAATAGTGTTTTTTTTTTCCTTTGTGCATTACAATCCCCAAGGAGTTTGTGCTAATACAATTGATAATCTGATGATTAATTAAATTGGCATCTTTGTTATCCTCTAGATTCCTGTATTCCACTGACATCCACCCTTGGAACTCAGAAAGGCACCTTACGCTGTATAGATCCAAGAAAGAATTTTGTGATCCTTTTCCCTTAATCCCCGGGCTGTCCACTCACCCCACTCCCGGCTTCCCGTCTCAGCCACCGGCACTGCCTCACCTAGCTGTTTATGCTGAGACCTCTCATCTACTTTTTACCCCGTTCTTATCTAATCTGTCAACTGGTCCAGTTGGATATGTCCCCAAATTTCATACAAAAGATGTACTCTTCTCTCCACACTTACCTCTGTGCCTACCACCTCACACCACAGTCTGGTGCCACCTCTAGCCTGGGGTATGCAGAAACGGCTTCAGATCGGTCTCAATAGTACTAGTAATGATCTTTCTCTATACGTTAGAATAATAGAATTTTCACTTTAAAGTTTCTTTATGGGCATGAATATCTCTCTGTTGTGTCATGTATGTATGGGTGCCCACAGAGGCCAGAAGAATACACCCAATCTCCTGGAGCTCCTCTGGAGTTATAAGTGGTTGTGAGCCTCCTCATATAGTATCCAAGCTTGGGTCTTCTAGAAGTGTAACAAGTACTATTAATCTCTGAGCCAATTGTCCAGCTTCACTTTTTTTAAGACAGGGTCTCATGAATCCCAGGCTGACTTTGAATTCACCACGTAGTAGAGGTTGACCTTGAACTCCTGATCTTCTGCCTCCACCTCCTGAGTGCTGGGATTGCAGGAATCTGTCACCACAGTCAGTTTATACAGTGCTGGAGACCAAATTCAATGCTTCATGCATGCTAGGCAGGCGCTCTACAAACTGAGCCCCAGCTCCAGACCAAGGATGGCTGAATTCAAATCATGCTGTGTTGTATCCTACATGGAAACTTCCTGGGGCGTTCCTTCCCACCTAGTTTCAAACCTTTGTCTCACCCCTGCATCTCTGTCTCACCTCTGCATCTCAGCCTCACCCCTGCATCTCTGCCTCACCACTGCATCTCTGTCTCACTCCTGCATCTCTGTCTCACTCCTGCATCTCTGTCTCACCCCTGCATCTCTGCCTCACCCCTGCATCTCTGCCTCACCCCTGCATCTCTGTCTCACCCCTGCATCTCTGCCTCACCCCTGCATCTCTGCCTCACCCCTGCATCTCTGCCTCACCCCTGCCTCTCTGCCTTACCCCTGCATCTCTGCCTCACCCCTGCATCTCTGCCTCACCCCTGCATCTCTGCCTCACCCCTGCATCTCTGTCTCACCCCTGCCTCTCTGCCTCCCCCTGCATCTCTGCCTCACCCCTGCATCTCTGCCTCACCCCTGCATCTCTGTCTCACCCCTGCTCTCCACACTCAGCTTTACTCCCCTGCAGCTTTAACATGCCAAGTTCACATCTTCTTTGGAGGCCACTACACTCGCTCCTTTCTCACACATCCTCTTGGTAGGAGTCTCCCTCGCTCAGACAAGACACTCTCCAGTCCTCAAAACCAAACTGAAGCCACTTAACTGTCACCGTACTTCATTCACTGCGTCACTGTCCGTTTCCTGAGGTTACACCATTTCTTAAGTTTCAAATCCCTGGACAGGCACGGAGCACTGGGCAGAAGATGCTGGGAGCCACTGAGGCAGCAGACGGAGGTGTGCAGATGGTGAGGTCCAGCCGTGACCCTGACCGAAGACAGGGTTGGAATCCAGCCCCGACTGGGAGCCCTTTGCTCTGCTGCAGACAAAAATGAAAACAAGGCGGGATATCTGACTTGAATATCCGACAGTCATTCACAGCCGTATTTGCTGTGTGTGTGTGTGTGTGTGTGTGTGTGTGTGTGTGTGTGTGTGTGTGTATGTGTGTCTGTATGTAAGTGTGCATGTGTATGTCTGTGTTAGCGTCTCAAACTTAACCTGGGCAGACAGGACTTGAAAAGCTCACTGGCCAGCTGCTGGGATCTACAGCTGGGCCCCCTCACATGCTGGCTCCCTCACATCCAACAGAGCATCTGCTCCCCCGCCATGCTCATTAAGTCTAATCTGAATCTCTTGACTGTGGCCCTGTCATAACTTGTCGCTCTGGCTCACCTTCTCCCCAAGCTCTTCATTCTCCATAGCAGCCTTGTAAATTCTGAAATGGGATCCATCACCCCCTGCTCAAGTCCATAATGACTTTGCTCCCTGTTAGGACAGCTCTCTTAGTGGCTCCAGGGCCCTCAGAACCTGGCACAACTGTTCCTTGGCCTCACTCCCCACCATATTTCTACTACATCCCAGGACAAGTGACAGCTGCAGACTCCAAGGCAACCCTGCTCTCTGGGCAAGTCACTTCAAATCTCCATGTCTCACTGTTCTCACTTATAAAGTAATGGTGGTGATGATGGTGGTGGTGGTGATGGTGGTGATGGTGGTGATGGTGGTGGTGATGAAGATGGTGATGATGGTGGTGGTGGTGATGATGATGATGGTGGTGGTGGTGATGATGATGATGATGGTGGTGGTGGTGGTGGTAATAATGGTGATGGTGAGCCGGGCGGTGGTGGCACACGCCTTTAATCCCAGCACTCAGGAGGCAAAGGCAGGCGGATCTCTGTGAGTTAGAGGCCAGCCTGGTCTACAGAGTGAGTTCCAGGAAAGGCGCAAAGCTACACAGAGAAACCCTGTCTCGAAAAACCAAAAAATAAATAAATAAATAAAAATAAATAATGGTGATGATGGTTGTGGTGATGATGGCAACAATGATGCTCTCCTGAGATGATACAAAATTCCCAGCCTATGAGAACAGCCTCCAGCCCACAGCAAACCTGTATGCATGTTAGTGACTTCAAATAGACTTGTACTAAAAATACTTGTAGGGTATTGCTGAGCATGAGACTCTTGAAATAATTTGCTGTCTTAAACTCTCAGATTTTGGTCGAGTGGGGACGAGTAAGTACAGAAAAATCAAGAACAGAGAATGTACTTGCACGTTGTTATAATCAAGACCCAGTTGAGGGGCTAGAGAAGAGATGGCTAATAGTTAACAACACTGGCTGCTCTTCCAGAGGGCCTGGGGTTCAAATCCCAGCACCCACATGGTGGCTCACAATTGTCTGTAACTCCAGTTCCAGGGAATCCGATGCCCTCTCTGGCTTTCAGGAGCACATACATGCAGACAAAATACGCATACACATAAAGTGAATTAATAAGAAAATTAAAGCTGCACTTGAGGTCTTTCACCACAGTCGTGAGAGACTCTCCCTTTGCAGTCAAACACAAGAAAAACCGGAGAAGGGATCAGTCTCCCTAGTGCGGACAGCATGGTATTGGTTGATAGGCTGGTTAGTTTTCTAAGGGCCATTGTTATCATTGAACTAAAAGTCACCTCTCAGAGATTAGCCAGAGTCTAAACCCACCATGGATAAACCAGTCACTTCAAGCAGCCACGGGAATTCTTGACTCACTCATGCCAGAGAGAGAACCAGATGCTGCCAAGAGTTGCCAAGCCTTGTGGGCCAGGCAGGCAGGGCTGCCAGCAGGACTATAAATCACCAGCGTTGGGCTGCACTGCCGACTTTCACTGCTCCAGCACACGCACGCTCCTGCTCTGGTGTACCTGAGACAGACAGATAGGTAGATTTGCCGGCAGGAAACTGTCTCCTTTTTGTGGTTTTGGTTTTCCATTGACACGATGCCCTCCGTTTCCGATCCTGATGAGCTGATTTTTTTTGTGAACGGAAGGAAGGTAAGTTTCTGGCATGACTAATGTGGATTTTCCTTCACGGAGGGCAAAAGTCTGACTTCTTCACTGTGGTGCATCTCCTTATCTCTTTAGTAGGGGTACAAATTTAAACATGAGTCATTATCTCCATTTTTGGCATCAAATTATGAAATTGTGGGGTGTCGGCTTGCTTTCCATTTTCACTTGGAGTCGGTAAGAAAAAGAACCTTTTATTTGTTTATGGTGACAAGCGCAAATTCTGACAGGGCAGCTTCACGCTGCAGGGGTGAGAGGCTGACGTCCCTTCGGTGTTGGCTAGATATGAGGGCCGCCTGAGTTCACTATTGTCCTTTACACAGGAAAGAGGCAGGACCCCGAAGGTAACCACAGCCAAGGACTCTCATACGATAGCAATTCCCTCAGCCTAGCCCATCATCACCCCGGAGGCAGAAGCACCTCTGGCAGGCGATGCAGTGGGTAGGCAGCCTCTGCAGAGGACAGGGCCGGAAGATGTTCTCAACTTTGTTCTTAAGGTGAAAACTAGCACATGGGAAGTTTGGAGGGCTTTATAGTCAGAATTCATATTTACTTGTGTGTGGCAATTAACAAGGAAAATTAAATTAAACTTTTTAGGAATTTGTTATGGTTCTTGTTTCCCAAACCTCACTGGTGCTGTGTTGTTGAGTGTTTTGTTTGTTTGTTTGTTTGGGTTTTTTTGGGTTTTTTTTTGTTTTGTTGTTGTTGTTTTGGTTTTTCAAGACAGGGTTTCTCTGTGTAGTTTTGTTGGCTGTCCTGGATCTCGCTCTGTAGACCAGGCTGGCCTCGAACTCACAGAGATCTGCCTGGCTCTGCCTCCTGAGTGCTGGGGTTAAAGGTGTGTGCCACCACCGCCACCCGGCAGTTGCTGAGTTTTTTAATGGCAATCTGGAACAACCCGAAAGAGCCCAGGACATCAGCTGCGAAGCGGCTGAGTGACCGTCTAAGGATGGCAAGTCTGTGGGTGGGGGAAATGGCCTTTGTTGACTTGTCCTTCAATGTTGTTTAATGTTTCAGTGCTAACATGCTCACTTCCACGCTCCCCAACACCAGTTTCCAGTCTCTTGAATTCATATCTGAAGTGTAAGAGCTGTTAGCTCATTTTATCCTGTGTATTTCTCGGAAAAATTATAGATGCCACAAAAGGGGACAATCTACACAACCCTGAAGAGGGTGTCATGGCCACAGCTGGCTCCTTTCTTTAGACCGAGGGCTCAAGTTGACTGAGGCACAGTGTCCATGAGTGCCTACCACCCCACAGACTCCCCAAGGCTCCGCTTCTGTTTCCTATGTCAACATTCTTTTTCTGTGCCTTCCCCTTATGCTTTCCTGACCATTTCAAACCTGTATCTTTCCCAACTGCTTCTCACGTGCCCACTTCGAAGTACAGGTGTTCCCTTGAGGCAGAGGCCATGTTTGTAGTGCATGAATGCCTGGCTTCTGGATTTGTGAAAACAGCGGCATGAAATGCCACCCTCCTCTGGTTTGGTTTGGTTTGGGGAACTCAGCACTGGTCTTGGATTTGTACACGTTCCTCTGTGAAAATTTGCCTCATCAGTGCATGGCTTTCTAGGGTGAGCTTATCTGTCGGGGGCTTGCCCTGCTGTTGGAGGCACAGGCACCTTTCTGTTCCCCCCCCCAAGCCCCCCCCCTCCCCCAATGCTGGATGAACACCCTTCCATAGACTCCTCAGCAGAGAGCTGCTGGGTGACCGTGAAATCACAGCAAGGCTATTTCATAGATCGCCCTGGTGGCTTGCCAAAATACAGTACAGGCTGCTGCATTCTCCACAGTGGGCGGGCGGAATGCCAAGCGCTTTCTCCGTGAAAATATCTGTTTCGTCGATATCTGGCATGCAGGTGCTTGCTACAGGCTGACGTCCTGCATTTTGCTACTCTTCCTGTCATTGTTGGTTTTTTTATTTGTTTGTTTGCTTGTTTTGTTTTGTTTTTCGAGACAGGGTTTCTCTGTGTAGTTTTGGTGCCTGTCCTGGAACTCATTAGGTAGACCAGGCTGGTCTCGAACTCACAGAGATCCGCCTGCCTCTGCCTCCCGAGTGCTGGGATTAAAGGCGTGTGCCACCGCTGCCTGGCTTCGTTGTTGTTTTTATTTACACACTGGCGATTATTGATGAGCTTGCTCCCCTTTCATGTGCTTCCTGAGAAGAGGTTTGTTCCTTCTCACAGTTCCCGAGATCTTTTTAAGTGGCTGGGGACGCTGGCTGCTTGACGCCTGATTTGCAGCAGGCAGGCTGTAACTGCTCCAAAGCAAATCCCACTCTTCTTTTGGAGCCCTGCCGTACTCGGTGCTCTTTGGACCTGAGATAGGCATGACTGACGGGGACAGCAGTGTGGCAATCGGAGGCCTGCTGATGTGAGGACGGAAAGTACAGTATTTACCAGGAATGCTGTAGCAGGAAATCCAAGCCTTAAGAGTCATCAGGCCTGGATCTAGGGACAGAGGAAACAGGAGGAAGGATCTGCAGAGTTCGTCTGGTTGTCAGCCCCTGTTGCTGTCTTGTTCCCAGCTTGTCAATCATCTCCCTGGTCTCACAGTTAGGGTGTTAAAGAACATGAGATTCGGATGCTCCGCCTCTGTAGGCCCCTACACACACACACACACACACACACACACACACACACACACACACACACACAGAGTCTGTAGTGTGGGTGTTGGGCTGATCTCTGCATTGGTAAATCTTCTGAGGGCTTTAGAAGGAGAACTGCAAACAGGCGGTGTAGAGCGAAGACATCAGTGGTCCGTTTGCCTTGCACAAAGGCCATGTGAACACAAAGCGCGGTGGAGGACCGTGCCCTCCGAGTCTGGGTTCCGCGCTGCTCTGCTTCCGGGTCAGGGCATTCCGACTTGCTTTCCCCATCTCGCCTGGCTGTCCCAGCAGAGAGACTGGCTGGGTTCCTCCAGGTCCCGAGGGCAGCGGGCTTCCCTCTGTGCCAACTCCAGTAACACGAGGCGCTGAGGTGAGGGGAGAGCTGTGATGGGTGCCACTTGGCTTTCCCTCACGTACTGGTAGAGCTGGGAAGCGAAGGCCCTGGTGCTAAGGAGCATCCTCTCTGGCTAACATACTTTTACAACTCTCTATGGCTATGAATTATCAGAGTCATTTCTGTGTGTCTGATTCCCCTTCAATCCTTTCCGAGGAAGTCAAGAGTAAACGCTTGTCATAGATGATAGAAAATTCAGACATTGAAATAAAGCTTCACTATTTCTCCAGACTTTTGGGTTCAAGAATCACTAATAAGAGGTTTTTGTAAAGCCACCCATATTATAAACATGCCCTCCAAACAAAGACTTGGTTGCTGTAAGCCATGATGACATCTTCCCCAACCCCCTCTCTTCTTTCCCAATGTAGGTCATAGAGAAGAGGGCTGATCCCGAAGTCATCCTGCTGTTCTATGTGAGGGAAGTTCATATCCTTTGACTGCAAATGGGGAGGAAATGGGGAGACATGATCAGAAGGGCTGGCGGGGTGGTGCCTCGGGGGTGAGAGCAGTTACCGTTCCTCCAGAAGAACTGAGTTCAAGTCCCAACACCCCCATCAGACAGCTCACAACCACCTGGCGATTCACACATCCAGCACCAGAGGGAGCTGATGCCCTCTTTTGCGCGCACGCACAAAAACACAGCACACATTCATATAGACACAGACACATAAATACAATTCATAAAAATAAATCTTTTAAAAATAATGATCAGAAAAGTCACCTGCATTCATTCTAGGTAAGTGACTTGTGTTCCACTTGTGGTGTCTAGTTGGAGTTCAGAGAATGGCTGTATGGATGTAAAATGGATTTATGGATTCATATTTGATTTATTGTATTTTCACGTGAACAAAACTGAAAGAACCCTCCAGTGGAGTGTGAGTGTTTACTCTGGCAGCAACTTCACGGCTTCTGAGGCCGTACGCATTCCAGTGATTAAACATCTCTAGGCAAACTTGTGCCCTGCCAAATGTTCAGGGCGTGTGTCCCTGATAATGGTGTCCCCACAGGACTTTTTAGCTGACTCCTCCTACACCCTTGCCTAATTCTTAGCAGAGAAAACAAATTTTTATAAATATATTTCAAAATCCTGACGTGTCATCGATGTCCTCTCAGATTTTTACCTCTGACCTTCTTATTCTTTTTTCTGTCTGGGCTCGGTTTTCCTTTCCTCCAAGGTTTCCATCAGATGCTGGTAAACAGTTCTCCAAGAAGTGTCTCTTGTGTCTGAGTGCAACAGTGAGGGACCAGCACTGGCTAGTGACCGTGGGGCTGTGGTCACACAATCTCTACATGAGCTCGCACAGGACTGCACACACAGGCGTGTAAATGTGTCTGTAACAGGTGGGCTCTGCATAAGCTGTCCCCCAGTTACCAATACGGAACCACTGCTAAGTTCCTGAGTTTGGGCTCTTTTTTCCACATTTGGTGAGAGAGAGAGAGAGAGAGAGAGAGAGAGAGACAGAGAGACAGAGAGACAGAGAGACAGAGAGAGACAGAGACAGAGACAGAGAGACACAGAGACACAGAGACACAGAGACAGAGAGACAGAGAGACACAGAGAGAGACAGAGAGAGAGACAGAGAGACAGAGAGAGAGAAAAGAGGACAACTTGAAGGAGTCAGTTCTCTGCTCCTACCACATGAGCTCTGGGCATCAGCATCAGATTCAGGTTCAGTAGCAGACTCCTTTACCCAGTGATCATCTCTCTAGCCCAAGCTCTGGTTTTAGTGTCCCACTACAGCCTGCTATAGCCATGTGGACGTCATCAATCCAGGAGAGCTGGGTCATGGAAGAACAGGGTGGTCTGTCTCATTCTTCCCGTGAGACTATTATTTTTTTAAAAAAATACATACTCACTGGGGCAAGGGGCACAGCTCAGTCAATAATGCATTTATCTTACAAGGACATGAGTTCAACACTTTAAAAAAGCATTAAAAATGCCAGGAGTGGCACACTGGGGAGGCAGGGACCAGCAGATGCCTGGAACTCATGGACAGCCTACTTGTCCGGTGCCAGACCAGTGAGAGATCGTCCCTTCCTCAAACGGACTGTGCCTGCGGAATGACACTGAGGTTGGCCTCTGGCCTCCATGTGGACACACAGAGACACACTGGGCTCTGTGGTCAGGCAACTGGGATTCAGTGGTGAACAAGATACTGTCCTTTCTCCGTCTGCCTCCCCACCTCCCAATTAACAGGCCTCAAATAACACTTCATTGCTTACCTTGACGAAGGTGTTCTAGAAATAGCCTGTCCCTGGTGCCGAATTTTTCTCTCCAGACTCCCTCTCTCTATTCGAGCCTTACATCCGTCTTCCTGTATCATCATTTTACAGCCCCTTCCTGGTGAGGACCATACTGTCTAGGGTCCCTCTCCCACTCAGTCCACACAGCCGAAACCCTCCTCCCCATCCCACTAGCTCCCCTCGGCCCCACTACAAAATCTCACCGTTGGTCGGCAAAACCCATCACCGCCTTCCCTTTAAAAATCATCTCTAGGAGAGATGGCTCAGTGGTTAAGAGCACTGGCTGCTCTTCCAGAGGACCTGGGTTCGATTCCCAGCACCCACATCGTGGCTCACAAAAATCACCTCTAAAGTCCACACACATTCTGCTGAGCCTTCTCTAGATTTCCCAAAAGGAAGCAAAATCAGGAATAAGCTGAAAATTCAGGTGCCCAGGTAACCATGGCCAGAACCAACCCTAAGTGAAACCCCTGACCCCCAGATTCCCAATGCTCCTTCTGCACGTTGCTCGATGGTAACTAATATAAACACACCGTTCTGGATAAATGAGGCTCTCCGGAGCTCTAGGCCCCAACTTTTGATTAGAGTCAAGAGTTCTAGAACAGGGTGCGGATGTTACTCTAACCTGTTCCCTGGTGGGTGCTACTGATGAATGGTTACAGGAAGGAATGAATGCTTGTCTCTGCTAGCAATAGCGCCAACCTAAAGCATGTTCACGGGACTCCTGCAGGCCTTCCCCAGGTCCTGGTCCTATGTTTACATTCATATTTTTTTTTGGTTTATAATCTTTCCTTATATTGTGCTTTTCATATTGCAGAACTATCAGGCCCCACAAAACCCAATTTACTGCTGACGTAGGCCCTGGCTTAGGTATCATGCCCAGATCACTGTGACACACGATGATCATAGCATCTCCTGTCTACTGTGCCACCTCCTCCACGCACAAAGTCAGGAGCTGTGGTGGCCTTTGTCCCCAGAGTCACCACACCCATCCCCCACTGGCCTGCCCAGATCTGCAGAGGCAGAGGATGCAGAATGTCAGAGTGAGTTCATCTCTGTGGGATCTTAGCTCTGGGCTAAAACTGTGGACATGGATAACTCAGAAGCATTCCCAAACTCTCGTCCTCCTCACACCCAGCATCCAGCTCTGTAATTTTCCAAATAACTCTTACCCACTCAAGAGGCTGAGGAATCACTAGTTGGTGGGGTACTTGCCTTAGCATTCATGAAGCCTGGGGTTCAGTTCCTGACACCACAGAGACCAAGTGTAATGGTGCACACTGTAATCCCAGCACACTAAAGGTGTGTGGGAGGGTCAGACGTTCAGGGTCCTCCCAAACTACATAGTGAATTTGAGGCCAGCCTGAACCATAGAGACCCTATCTTAAAAACAAAGAAAAACCACAGTCTGAATTTATTCAGATAACAAATTTTTTGAAGCACTGAGTATCCAGAAGCTAGACAGGCACTGCCTTTGGCCCATCGTAGTGAAGGGGACGGCCATAACGGCACACGGGGCAGGGGGGGAGGGGAGTGATGGGAGCCATGTTGTAAAGCACAGGAAAGGATGCCCAGCCAGACATGGAGAGAGAGGGTGAGATAGGGTTGAGTACAACTTTCCCGCAAAAGCTGAAGTGTTGAAGCCAAGGGTGTTCCAATCAGAGGCATGGGGCCAGAGGCAAAGGACTATTGTGTTTTGGAGAAATAAAGTTTTTGTTAGCAAATGTGAGGAGCTGAAGGTGAGGATGGAGAGATGTGATGGAAAACAAAGACAAAATAATCAGTGCGAGCCTTAGAGAAAAAGACCGGGTCTGGCTCTGGTGGCATGTCCCCGGTGTGCGTTGTCTGTCCGGTTAGTCTAAGGCAACTTCTAAGAATGCTGCAGCGCTGTTCATCTTGGGGGCAGTGAGAAATCTCCTCTATGCAAAGAACCAAAAAAACAAACTTACAACACACTGTTTCTACTCAGCCTGAGTCATGTTTCTGTATCCAGCATTTATAAAAAACAAAGCACAACTCGTCAAATTTGAGATTGCCCAGGACATACTCATCCTACATCATTATCAGTTGTTTAGTTGAAGTTCAGATTTAACTGAGGGTCCTGAGTTGATCTGGCCACACCGTCCAATGATGAGCCCCAAGACGAGCTCATAGAGTGCATAAGGAACCAATCGTGGCTTTCTGTGAGGGCAGGGAGTCTTGAAACTAGCTGGTAGCTGTCCAGAGGGCAAAGGGGTTAGAGGAATCAGGCGTCCATGTTTTACTTGGGACAGCTAAAACACACAGCCCAGCTCTGCTTGACCGAGTGAAGGCTCAGCTCCGCCTTTGAACCAGACAGCACTTGGGTTTTCCAGACTCCCAAAGCAGGGACAAACGACTCCTTGCCTTTTGTGCCCTACTCACTGGAGTGCTGTAAGGTCTGACCCACGCCACCTTCAGCCCTCGGTCTCAGCCCTGAGCTGCCTTAACTGGCTCAGAATTAAAGAACAGAGTCACATGTGCAAAGCCTTCTGGGAAAGGCTGCAAAGAACTCCTCAGCTAGGGATTCCAAAAACCACAAGTCTCCTGACTGCAGCACTTCATCAAAGGTAGCAATTTACAGGAAGAAATGACTCAACCCCCCTGCCTGAGCCAGTTATCGGCTCCACCCATAAAATCCTTTGGCCTGAAAAGGTCCCAAGCCAACTCTGATAGACTCCTGGATGCACCCAAAGGAGAGGATTTGAATATATCATTTGTTCTCTCTTGGAGGAAATATGCAATTTTTCTGCCATAGTGATGTCGATAGGACCAGCCCAAGAGCCAAGGTTATCATTGTTATTTGCTAAACTGGGGACTGAGTCCAGGGCTGCACGCATGCTAGGCAAAAACTGGTCTGGTCTGCTGCTGTCCTGTAGCCTCAGCCCTGAGGTTGATGTTTTCTAATTCCACAAGACAGCAAAAGTAAATACTGCTGTACTGGAGGAAATTAAGCCTCCCAGGAGGATTTCTCTGAATTTTACACAAACCACCTTCTGTAACATCCAAAGAAATGACACCATATGGATTCATCTTCCATTACCCACAGTTCTGAATTCTGTAGAGGTCGTGAGCTTTTCCACACTGCATTTGGGTACAAACCCTAAGCTGATCACAGGAGACTCGTGTAATCTGCGTGTCCTACTCAGGAAGAGTGTAAGCATGGCTCACTGCAGAAATATCTGGAGTTTGACTGCAAGGCACTGCCCGATACCCACTGGATAGATTTCCCTATGTTACCCAGACTGTTGCAGCAATCCTCCTGCCTCAAACTCCCAAATCCCAGTAGTAATAAGTATAAATCACAATAGCCAGCATCTGCTAGTTCTTTTTTATTAGTTAGTGTTCTTTTGGGGGCCAAAGATAGAACCCGAGGCTTCAGGAAGTAAGCACTCTACCACTGAGCTGGCTCCCCGATTACTATTTCATCGCCTTCCCAGCTGAATTGGAAATTCTTATATTCAGAAATGCCGTGGGACCCAGTTTTCAGAAAGCTGCTGTGTCTCTTGAACAGTCCCTCCTCAGTTTTCATCAATGAGCTGAGATATAAACGGCAACTTGAACCAACCCCTTTCACCAAGAAGCTGTGACCAGCACGGTCCGAGACTCCAGAGCACGCCGCTTGTTATAGGCACCCGAGGGAGAGAAAGGTAACAACTAAAGCCACTTGGGTCCCTTTTCCTTGACTCTCCTCCTTCCAGTCCGTCTCACAGGCACTAAGTATGGCTGTGGGAGCGGAGGCTGCGGGGCCTGTACAGTGATGGTGTCACGATATGATCCCAAGAGCAAGAAGATCCAGTATCCTTTGCACTGGCCTGGCCATGCTCTGGGCACATCTGGGAAGGGCGAGGGGCCTCGCCAATGAAGACTTGGCTTTCCCTGAAACTATGCGCCCCTCCCTCCTGTCTCCAAGTCTCCAACATGCTCACCCTGCCTCCATCTCTTTCCCGCAAATGTTCTGCCCAGCAGGACTTATTTGTCCCGTGTTCCGAGCTCTCGGGGCTCGGTTCTCTGTTGCTGTAAAATAGTCCCTTTGCTTTTGAACAGGGGGTTCAGAGAAGTGTCTGCAAGAACGGCTAATGCAGAGTTATAGTCGTGGTGAGCTTTAGGCCGTGGCATACAGTAAGAGTCATTTTCCCAGGAGGATGAGTGATTGCTCAAATCCAACTGCCTCACCTTGACCTTAAAATGCAAATCTGCTCTCTGGCGGAATGGGGAGATGAAGGTGGAGTTGTCTAGTGCAAGTGCCAGGGTTTTGCCATGGATGACGCGTGGGCGGTACCATTCACAAACTATAGAACTTGGAAGAGGAAAAGCTGAGGAGGCGAGAAGTGGCAGGTTAGCTGGGGACACATCTAGGGTACTGTCTCTAGGGCATTGTCCAGCAGGTGTTTCTATACAGAGCTTTACTGTTTAGAGGCATCTCTTCTCAGGAGTTATAACTTACTGGGTGTGTGAGCAGAAACAACAATGTGCTGATGCAATCAGCAGCATCTGCTGGATGCTTACTGAATGTCCTGCACTGTTGGAAATGCTTACATATTAGGTATGTCATCAAATTTAGTTCTCCAAACAACCTCACGAGGGTGTGGTTGTCACCCACATTTAAAACTGAGAAAGAGCAGCAAAAAAAAATTAAGTTTCATGAACTTCTTGCTGCCTTTCGGATGGTCTGGCTGAGGACACAGGTTCGGATGGTCTCAGTCAGACCATCCGAAAGGCAGCAAGAGCTTGAGAACAGAGGTGTGGGACACTGTGAGAAAACAGAAAGGGAGACGGGCAAAGATGTGTGTGCGTGTGTGTGTGTACACACACACACACACGCACACACACTCACAAACATGCCCTCATACTCACTCACATACATACACATGTACATACACACATATCCACTCATATACACACATACATACACATCCACACCTCTGCACACATGTATACATACACTTACACACGTACATACTGACACACACACGTATCTGTATACTCTCTCTCTTACACACACAGAGTCATACATACATACACACTAAAGAAAAGGAAGAAAAGAGAGAAGGAAGAGATGAAAGATAATTGTGGTGAAACAGTAACATCATCTAAAGAGCCTAACCAGTGACTAGCTGATCTCAGCCCAGAGATTCTAACTTAATTGGACCAGGATACAAGAATATTCCTGTTCTTGGAAGCATCCCATGGTTGGAGGATCATGGGCTAAACTGCTCGGTATTCAAGTCCAACTTTCCTGGTCTCTTGTAGTAGTTACTTTTTACCACTGTGACCAAGATATGGATCAGAACAACTTACAGATAGAGACATTCTATCTATAATGTTTTAATGACCAGGAATCTCTTAAGGAGGGAGAAGTGAGAAATATTTAGATAGAAAAACATACCTAGATGGCGAGAGGAAAGACAGAAACACAGGATAGCCTCAGGAGGGCCTGGATCCTTATCCACCAACCCAGAACTTTATTCAAAACTTTATTATAACAATGCCAGGGGGTGAGGCAAAAGACCTCCCCCTTGCTAGACACAAACCAAGTACAGATCCTTCCAAACACTGGTCCCCAGGCCTGTGGTCCAATCATCCTCTTATGCAGCCCTGCTGGTAAAGCCAGCTCAGATCTCACTAGGAAACCTCTGTGGGCTCCAACAGGCCCTGAGTTCCGGGAGACTTCAGTCTCTGAGTGAGGGAGGCGGAGCATGGCACCTCCATCTGTGGCAGAGGGAACAAGAGGCAAAGTTCACTTCATGGTAGAGGCCATCGATGAACCTGGTGCCAGGCTGTCACCTTCAGGCACACTCACTGGACCTGCTTCCACCACCGTCACCTACACACAGGCTCCTTAGCCCCACAAATGACACCAGCAGCTAGGAAGCAAGTGCTCAGAACATGAGCCTATGGGGACATTTCCTTTTTATTTTATTCTTGAGATTACAATATAATTACATCATTTCCCCTTCCCTTTCCTCCCTTCAAATCCTCCCAAATGTCTCTCTGTGCCTTCTTTTAAATTCATGGCCTCTTTTTTCATTAATTGCTGTTATATGCATGTATGGACATGTGCACATACACACACACACACACACACACACACACACACACACACACACACACACACATGCTAAAACAAGAAGGGAGAAATGCAGGGAGAAAGATAGACACATATGAATTCCCAACTATAACCTGTTCAGTTGGTTCGTGCGTTTCCAGGGCTGACCATTTGGTATTGGATAACCAATTGCTGTGTTCTTCCCTGAGGAAGACTATTTTCTGCCACTCCCATCATCCTTAGTTGCCTGTAGTTCTTTGTGTAGGGTTGAGGCCTTCAGGGACATTTATGATCCAAAGAGGAACACTTCCTTACTTGCCTTCAAAGGAGAAAATAATAAAATAAGAGGTGAAAGAAGGTCCCTTAGGAGTCCAGAAGGAACATGCCCCCCGCTTTACTTCCTCCACTTATCATATGTAAGGTCTTTCTCAGGCATGGCCAGAAGTCTACGGTTGTATAGGTCATCTTCGCCACAGTTGGGGAAATACAACCTTGTCATTCTCAGGGACTGAAATAACACCCGACTCTTTGTCACCCATTCCCCATGATTTCAGTGTGTTCTCTTTACATTAGCCCATCACAGCCACTACCCAGCAACAGCATGCCTGGTGCCCATCTGTTCTCTCCATGGGGCAGCCATTACCACAGTGGAAGGTGTGGGAAGCATCAAAAAGAGGATTCACCCCGTGCAGGTAAGATCACAATGTGATGGGGACCAGATGCTGGAATAGGCATGGCCCGTAATAGTCTAGTGTGTTCTCCTGAGGTCTCCAAGCTGGAACAGTCATGGCCCATAATAGTCTGGTGTGCTCTCCCAAGCTCTCCAAGCTGAAACAGACATGGTCCATAGTCTGGTGTGCTCTCCCAAGTTCTCGAAGTTTTTCAGGCATGTCCCATAGTCTGGTGTGTTCTCCTGAGGTCTCCAAGCTGGAACAGTCATGGTCCATAATAGTCTAGTGTGTTCTCCTGGGGTCCCCAAGCTCATAGTCTGGTGTGCTCTCCCGAGCTCTCCAAGCTTGAAACTCTTTAAGCTTTTACATTCTTGTTCTGGAAGAGTCAGTGCTTCGTGGCTAGGAATCTTTTTCAGACATTTCTTCAAGATGCTGTCATCGACTGTAAAGACAACTTAACCCGAGAGACCTTCTTAGCTCTGTTCTTGCCAGTAACTAACAGACAAGGACAGTCTTACTCAAGAAGAAAATGAGGTAGAAAACCAAAGTTTATAGAAAATAGACTTCTTCATTTCTCACTGTTCCAAAGTGTGGGGTACTGAGGAGAGTTTAGCTGTGTGTGAGAAGGCTCCGGAAAAATCCCCCAAATACTGGCTACAATTAAAATGCAGCAGGGTGGTTGTTCAAGTCTGGAGGGCTCTTCAAAGAAAGGGTGGCAGTTTTCTTATGACTGAGCAGGAACTCCTGCTAGGTGAGCTTTAAAGGCAGAATGTAGAAAGAGAAGGATGAAGAGTCTTTCCCTTGGACTTCTTCCTTGAAAGGCTGTAGCTGGAACACGGAGGCTTCATTGACTGCCCGCTACTCCTGACAGAGACCTGTTCATATCTTTCAGCCGTTAGCTCAAATAGCTGTGTTCTGTAGATTTACCCAGCATTCACCTTCTGTGTTTAGTAAATTTAACTCTCCTAAGTCTTGATGGGACACGAGTCACATTTGTTCAATGGTGCCCTGGAGAAAGCTTGCCCCAGCTCACAAAAGCCTATTGTTAAATTTGCAGGTTTCTGCTGATTGTCTTTAAACATATCCATAGTCAAATTAAACTAGACTCCCTTAAAGTACCCTGGTTTTTATAAATTGTACTTGCCGTGGTAGTGGAGGTATTTGTACAATAAAATTTGGTAAAGGAGTTGCGCGTGAAGGCCTCCGTCTCCCCGAGAGAGCCAGGTGTTCAACACACCAGCAGGTTCTACAGTCTGGACTATCTATCAGAGCAGACATGACGGCCATGTAGCCATAAATCCAATGCAGCCATGTTGTCCCCTAACTAAAATATTGTCTGTCCCTTCAGTTGAACCACAGACAGAGTATTTGGCTTTCATTAAAGAAGCCATGATGTTTGGGGGGGAAATGTTGATTTGAGAGCACTAAAATTATACTCAAGCCAGCTGGGTTAATGTGGAGTGTCAGATAGCCTGGACTGGCAGTCCTGGTTCCATTTGCAGCTTCCTGGCTTAGGGATTCTGTGTAGAGCAAAGAAATTGACATTTTCCCCACTGTTTTCTCTGTGTAAGATTGAATTGCACGATTTAAACGTGTGACTAGCCCCGCAATATGAAATAGATGCTCAATTTTTAAAATATATAGATTGTAACATTTAGTCCACCAAAAATTCTCTAATCTAAATGGGAAAGAGCATGAAGATGCCTGTCCAGAGCCTGCTGAATGATTCCCATACGTTCATTTATCCTGTAAAGTGTGGGCCACTATCACCCTAGTTGTAAAAATGAAGAAAAGTTGAATACGTCATCCAAGGTGACAGAGTGAGCGGGCTACTGGAAGGAAAAAGAAAGCAGGCGTGAGAAGGCCTCTGATACTAGGCCTTTCTTTTTCTTTTTTTTTTAAGCAAAAGCCCATGAATCTGACTTTAAGAAATGCATCTTCTTCCTCCGGAAGCGAGCCTTTCTCCCGAAGTTATTTTCAGAAAGTTTAGACTCTGTGCTGCTGGCCAGCACGCCAGGCCAAAGGTCTAACGCACTGATGGTGTGCCTCTGTCTCTCAGGAACGGCTTGCCAAGTGTCATGGCACGCAGTGTGGATTCTGCAGCCCTGGCATGGTGATGTCCATCTACACGCTGCTCAGGAACCACCCGGAGCCGACACCTGATCAGATCACTGAGGCGCTTGGAGGTGAGGCTTTGGCGGGCAAGACTCGGGGAGCTAAAGATGGGTGGCCCAGCTCCTCAGAAAGACACTGGGGCAAACAGATGCTGTCTTGGTTCTGCAGCCCTGAGACTGGTAGTTGAGACCATACTGGCTTCATCATAAGACTTTTCCTTTACTGACGCTTTCATGGTATTTTAACGCCTACGCTAATGCTAATACAGCCTTTTCCAAACACGGAAATGTGGGCAGAGTGGAATAATAAGATTTTGCTATTTGTGTTTTAATTAGTGAGTCTAAATCATTCACTAACACTGCTTATTAAAATTAATCCTACAAAGAAAGGAGGAAAGATTTGGGGGTACTGTATATCTTTATGTGATGGCTGTTTGGGGGCCCTCAGAAACAATGGGTTATCATAAACAAACAGTGAGCAATTCAATTCTTACAAAAATATTGATAAATCTAAGTGTGAAAATTCTGACTTTGTATCTAGAAAGACATGTTAACAAATGTAGTTTCTATTACAAACCTTTCTAGTTTAGGGGTATGAAATCTAAAGTATTAATAGTGTTGATTCAACTAAGAGATATTAAAGGAAACTCCTTGTCCCATTCCACAAACAGAACAGACAGAAACTCGATTATGATAAAAAAAAAAAAAAAAGATGCAGAAGAAAGCTAGGTCAAAGTTCAACTTAAATGGTTTCAGAATTGACGTATAAATGTTCCTTCATATCTTCTCTCAACAGCTTCATTCAAAATTTTCAGTAAACTGCTGTGGCCTGTAGTTTTGGTTGTAATTTTAACCAAGCCTGAATTGATTAAGCAACCAGTAATCTTTTTGTTGTTCAGTAAAGTAATGAGTAATACAATGAGTATTAAGAGCTTTGAGAATCAGAGATCTTGGACTTGGCGTTTTGTTTGACTTTTTTCCTGGGTACAGACAGTCGGATAGAGATGGACTATAGCCATCATGATTCCTGACTATAATTCACATGATGGCCAACATGAAAAAGATGGAATATCAGCTGAGGGTGTCGGGGTACGCCTGCCTAGATCTGGGTGCTGTCCTCAGCACTGAGGGTTTTAGGGGTACACCTGCCCAGCTGTGTGCTGTCCTCAACAATGAAGATGTTAGGGTACTATGTGCCTAGCTGTGTGTTGTCCTCAGCACTGAGGGTTTTAGGGGTACACCTGCCCAGCTCTACATGCTGTCCTCAGCACTGAGGGCTTTAGGGGTACACCTGCCTAGCTCTACATGCTGTCCTCAGCACTGAGGGTGGGAGAGAGCAGACACTATTCAAGAGGTAGATCACCTTACTCTGAGTTGATAGCTTGAAGAGTGTATTTGGCTCACAAAGCATTTACTTGTGCTCTTTCTAAAATTATAAGTGTTGGCCACACTGATAGCATTCATGCTCACAGTCCCAGGAAAACAATAGTATACAGTGCAGTTCAAAGCAAAGCAGTTAAGAGGTGCGGTGGTGCATACCTGTAAGGCTGAAGCAGGAAAACACCAGCTACAGAGTGAGAGGCAGAGGAGAGATCGTGAGAGGGGCCTGTCTAAAAAAGTCAAAACAAAATGTAGTGAGTGCAGGGGCTAGAGAGATGGCTCAGTGGCTCAGGATACCAATGCAGTGGATTTTTTTTTTAATCTTAGGGGGCCCACCACCCAGCTCCCAAATAAATACATGGAGACTTATTTTTACTTATGAATGCCCAGCCTTAGCTTGACTTGTTTCTTGCCAGCTCTTCTTAAATTATCTCATCTAGCTTTTGCCTCTGGGCTTTTACCTCTCTCTATTCTATACAGCTTCCTTTCCTTCTTCCTCGGTGGTTCCGTGGCTGGGTGGCTGGCCCCTGGCGTCCTCTCTCCTTCTCTTTTTTCCGGCTCCTCCCTCTCTCCAGCCTAGATTTCTCCTCCTATTTATTCTCTCCGCCTTGAAGCCCCGCCTCTCCGTCACCTCTAGTTCAGCTCTTTATTAGACCATCGGGTGTTTTAGGCAGGCAAAGTAACACAGCTTCACAGAATTAAACAAATGCAACATAGAAGAATGCAACACATCTTTGCGTCATTAAACAAATACTCCACAGCACAAACAATGTAACACACCTTAAGCTAACATTCCACAACATACCTGCTGATTGGGCAGAAGATCTAGACTTGGTTCCCAGCAGCACTTGACAGCTGCCAACTATGTGTGACTCTAGTTCTTCTGGCTTCTGCTGGCACAAAGCATGCACATAGTACACATACATGCATATATACATACATTCATCCACACATACAAAGCATTCATACACAGAAAATATAAATAAATACATAAATAAATTTATTTCAAATCAAAATGTAATAGTGTAAGCACACAACTTCTAAATCAGCTACTGTACGAACCATTGCTTCATTGAAGTTAGTCTTTGCCCTTCAAGACTAAGGGAGTGAGATTTTTTTTAATTTCCACCTTTTCCCTTTAGAATTAGAAGAAATATTGTCATTGGTGCAATTATCCTGGGGATGTCTTTAAGATATTAAAATATATATGTATGCATTTCCTTTTGGCTGTATATTATTATAAAATACAGACATGACAATTTTTTTCTTATTTAATATTTTCTATTATTTGAAAGTTTCTTATGTTTATACAGTGTATATTGATCATATCCACCCACCACTAGTTTCAACTCCCCTAGTGCCCTCCCCCTCCTAACCTTACGTATGCTCTTTTTATTGTTATCAATAACCCCCCCCATTCAATTACTGCCAGATGCAAACAGGTGTGTGGCCGTCCACCGAGGTATAAGCAACCTACCAGCTGTTATGTCTTCCTGGGGTCCTCCTGGGGCTCTTCTTTGGGATCCTCCTGGGGCTCCCCCTTCGGGGTTCCTCTGTGGTACTGTAGACTTAAGACTGTGGCCCAAAACAAAACCCCTGATCCTGGCTCATGCTAGACCTTATGTTTGCTTTGTCTCTTTATGAAGGAAGGAGTTCATTGCCTTCCTAACCTTCTAACTCATGCCCCCTGACTATGTTTTTGACATCCTGTCTCGGCTCCACAACGAAGACAAATTCTAAGTTTAGATCCGTTTATGATTTTTCTCTCCCTCTTACCAAAAAGGAAGATCACGGAATCTGCAGCCCTTCTTGCATATGTATATTCCTGAGCTGGCCCCATTTTAATAAGCAGGAAGGCGCTCCCCCAGAACCCGTTTCCACATGGCTCACCGGCATCATTTCTCCACACACTTTTCTGCCGGGTATTTAAGGACACCCAGTCCATAGGCTCTGAACTTGTAAAATTGAAGTGGAACTTAATAATTTGAAGTGTTCTTTTGAGTGTAATTATAATGTCTTCTATTGGGAAAATGTTCCCAAAATTAAAAGGCAAAGAAAAACTCATGCACAATTCTCCCACTAACAATCACTGTCAAAGACTTTGTCCATCTTTTAGGCTCAGATTTTTGTTTGTTTGGTTTGAGTATGTATATCTGTTTTATGTGTGGTTTTCTATGCATGATTTCAACAGTATGAGAATCTCCCAATGTTAGTCAGACCTCTTCATAATTACCATTCAAACTGATTGTAAAATTTGCACAATGTATTTTCAAAATTTTGAGACAGGATCTCATTATATAGCCTCTGGCTGTCCTGAAACTCACTGTGTAGACCAGGCTGGACTCCGCCTTCTGAGTGCTGGGATCAAAGGCATGTGCCACCACACCTGGATTCATACACTTTTTTATGGATAGCGGTTTCCCTCCTACTTTCAACCATTATTTGGAAATGTTGACTGACTGAACAGTATCAGCTACATATTGAATACAGACCGTGCCTTCACAAGTGGGCTCACGAACATCCAAGGCAATCTCCAGCTTATGATCCAACAAGTAAACTAAGGTGAATTCACAAATGACCCAACACACCTATTGCAGAATCCAGGCAATCAGTGAAACAGTCCTGCCTGAAGTATTCTCCTGGAGAACAGAATCAGGGACCTTCAAGAATGGTCCCTGTGTTAGGCAACTTCCCATTACTATGACAAAATGCCTGAGGTAATTAACTTATGAAGAGAACGGGTATGTTTTGGCTCACAGTTTGGAGGCTTCAGTGCAGGATCTACTGGCTCCATTGCTTTGCATCTGTAGGGAGACTGCTTATCATGATCGAACCTGCTGGCAGAGGAAATGTATGCTGTTTAGAGTATAGGCAGGAGATAGGCAGGAAGAGTTGGTTGGGAAATGTGAAGATTTCTCTAGTGTTTCAGAAAAAAAAAACCCAAAAACTGTAATCACATGGCCTGCTGTTGAAGAACATCTCCCAGGGAAGTGTTTTTTCAAAGAATCTTGCTGGGTTTCAGAGCAAAAGTAAGCTTTCCTATTTTGCTGAAAACACTAAGCATAGCTGTGCCATCTGTTTCTGGATGAGACTTTAAGACCTGATTCATTTCTTATTAATCAGGTAATTTGTGCCGATGTACTGGATACCGACCAATTGTAGAAAGTGGGAAAACATTCTCACCGGTAAGTTAAAATGTTGTAGGCTAATATTCTGTTAACTTAATTTGTGAATGGACTTTTACATAAAATAACCTATTTTACTCACTATCCCTAGAAGTGAACCCTGATATTGCCCATTCTAACCATTGAGGATTGCCAGACACCTACTGTTTATATTTTTTATTTGTATTTATTCTTTCACAATTTTATACCTGTATGTAATGTCCTTTGATTGTGATCCCCTCCATTACCCTCTCTTCCTGCCCCCCACCCACACTAAACCCCTTCTTCTTCCCAACAAGTCCCCCTCCTAACTTCATGTCTTTTTCTGTGTCCCCCATCCCGCCCTGCATTTTAATTAGGGTTGCTTACATGAACGTGGGTAAGGGGTTATTCACTTGAGCAAGGGGAGCTTGCTGGTGGCTCCACTACTGAGGAATACGACTCCCCTCTCTCAGCAAACATATAGCCTGCGGCTCCTCGGGAAGGGATGAAGTGTCATGAATCCCTACCTCTTCCCCAGTGCGGTGTTGGTGGACTCAGTTTTGTGCAGGCAGTCACTCTGAGTTCACGAGTATAATAGCACACTGTTGTGTTTTTATAAGTAAGCCCTAAGCATCTATCTTGTTTATGTCTTCAAATTTGACACTTTTATGAGAATTATAAAATTTATTCTACCACTCCAATAAATGAAGAGAGTGAAGTGTAGAAATAATAAAATAAAATAAAATAAAAAGTAGCTAGTTTTATGGCACAGAACTGAGGCCGGGGATGGAGAATGTCAAGTTCAAGATGCCCTGGAGTATAGAAGGCATTCAAGAGCAGCCTGGGACACCCAGTGAGGCCCTGTCTCAAGTCAAAAAGCAGCCTGGGGTGTGGCCCAGAGATGGAGCACTCACCAGCACATATGAGACCCAAAGTTCAATCCCCAGTGTAGAAAAGGAAAGGCCAGGGGGAGGAAAGAAAGACAGGTATTAAATGCTTACTATATCCACCAGGCATATAGATTGAAGGAACACCGACTGAAGAGAGTTGAGGGAAAGGAAAAGGCAGAGAACTTCTCAGAGAATGGGAATTTTGAGCTAGATTATAAATTGCTGGAGAAAAAGCAGTAGAAAAATTACAAGGAAGAGAACTGGTTGACATAGAAAAAGACACCCAACATCCAAGGCTCAGAGTGAAAATGAAAAGGAAGAAGGAGAGAAGTTGGTGTGGTGGAGGTTTCAGAACTAAAAGAAAGTATACCGCTTGGGGCTAAAGAGTTTACACTTGAAGCTGTTGGCCAACACACAGACATTGTTCCCCAGCCGGAGGACACAGCGAGCACAGAACTTCCCAGGGAAGTGAAGTTCCTGCCCGTGGGAAGGATGAGCCTGGGGGGCACAGTGGGGGGAGGAAAGCCTGAGTTACCGAAGAAGGGAATGTTCACAATGGTCAGGGGGCACAGCGGTGGGGACAGAAAGACAGCTTCCAAGAAGGAGCTTGCCCGTCATAACCAGATCTAACCACCAGGCAGCAGAGACTGCAGTAAGCCAGGAGCCAGGTCACCTTGAAAGCTAAGAACAGAGAAAGTTGGAAGATATGATTAGTGCATACAGGGGCAGACATCTTGAAACATAAAGGGTCCACTTTTCATGACAAAAATTACTTTTGTATCATTTTTGTTGACCGAAAATAATTCAAAGTATACCAGTTCACTCCCAATACTGTAAATTTTTGAGGAGCCAGGGCATAGTTTAGTTGGTAGAGTGCTTGCCTAGCATGCACGAAGCCGAGCACCACATGAAGGTGTGACAGTGCATGCTTGTAATCTAAGCATTCAGGTAGGAGAGGCAGGGGGATCAGAAGTCCTTGGCTACACAGCCAGTTCTGGACCATTCAGAAATGCTAGAGACCTTGTCTAAAAACAAAAAACAAATAAAAATTAAACCAACCAGGACTGGAGAGATGGCTCAAAGGTTAAGAGCACTGGCTGCTCTTCCAGAGGTCCTGAGTTCAATTCCCAGCAACCATATGGTGGCTCACAACCATCTGTAATGAGATCTGGTGCCCTCTTCTGGCCTGCAGGCATACATGCAGGCAGAACACTGTATACATAATAAATAAATAAATCTTTTTTAAAAAATTAAAACAACCTTAGAAACTTATATTTTTATGCTACTACTAAAAATTTTCAGGAAGTTTTACAAACTACAGGCTATTTCATTTTAATTCCTAAGATACTATTTATGGTAAGTCATAATAGTGACCAATGTTTTACCATTTGACCTACAGAAACACCACCTTCTTCACATTGTCCAGCCTAAAACTATATGGTCTTCTTTGTAGATAAAAATCTATGTAAAGATGTAAACAAAAATACAAAGAATTAGTTCCTTTACTATGCATAGTTTACAGTATCCAAAGCCCTAATTAATTCTATAGAAATGGCCTTGGAGTTCAAAATACCAACTATAAGTTTCACAGCAGGTTTGTGTGTCAGGCAAATGTGGGATTTTCCCATCATTAAGTGTAACAAAACTGTTTGAGATGGGCTTTATTATTCCAGTTTAACAAGCCCAGCCTGGCCAGTACATGCTAAACCAGGAACTAGACGATTTTAAATATGACATCTATTGCCTCCAAATTGCCACATGCCCTTGGCACTGTTTACACAAAAGATGGCAATAATAAGTGAAACTGGGCATTGTGGTACACACTTGTTATCCCAGTGCTTGGGAAGCTAAGGCAGGAGACCTGCCAGAAGTCCAAGGCCACCCAACCTCTAAATTAAATCACTTCCGGGTCAGCCCGGGCTATAGTGTGAGGCCTTCTCTCACTGGGGCATTAGAAAAACTAGAAAAGGAGGAAGAGGAACAGGCGGACAAGGAGGAGGAAAAGGAACTGATGGTCACAGCAACTGACAAATTCAGGCCCAAAAGTTTATCTTTTGGTTCCACATGAAATACCCTGAAAATTATAATTAAATGATTAGCAATTTGAATCCTTCAAATAATTCATGATGGCCTCAATACTTGGGTTAACCACCATAGTATAAGTGCCCTCCATGTTTCTCACTTCCTGTGGTAAGCCCTGGTGACTGATCCCATGGACTCCAATCCCATGTGTCTTCTTCCCCTGAGTCCAGAGTGACAGTTTGTAGGTCCCCACTGGGAGCACAGTTGCACATCTCCTTTATTTTTCTCTAATCGTTCAGTAGTGGGCGAGCTTGTTACCTAACCTCCCGAACTCATGTAGAGGTTTAAAGCATTTTTATTGTTGTCCGTGACGTGAGGCATCTTACCAAGGCACTTACACATCAGCTTACCTGCTGAGCCACATGGATTCCAGCCCCTTTTCTTGTTTTTGTTTATTTGTTTTGATTTGTTTGATTTGTTTGTTTGTGAGACAGGGTTTCATAGAGCCCAGGCTTGCCTCCAACTTATCTAAAGATGGCCTTGAGCTCCTAATCCTCCTGCCTCTACTTCCCAAGTACTGGGACTACAAGCCTGTGCCTGCCATTCCCAGGTCTTGTTACCTGTTTTACTGGGAGCAGGAGAATCAGTAGCTTGATGAGACATGAATCCTGCAGGGGTCTCCTTCCATTCAGCCAAAACCAGAAGTGAGGAGTCCACAGGTCCGTTTGGTGGAGTTATAGATATGGGGACCTCAGGCAGCGTGTTCAGAGACCTGACCACGAAGCTGACTTAAATTGCATTACTTCCCAAGGGAGCTACTGTTTGCCAAATGAAAGGATCTGGAAAATGCTGCATGGATCCAGATGAAAGGTCTTTTGTGAGCAGAGAGGAAAAAGTAAGTATCTGATTTTCCCACTCCAATTGGATTGACTCAAAAAATGTTAACAAAAATCCAAATGTATCTATCTATTCTTGTCAGCCATTACAAGGCAAAAATAAGTAACATTCATGTCACTAAAAGTCTCAATTGGAGAGAGCAGGGCACCATGGAGGGACGGCATGGCGCCAGGAACAGAAGATGCCTGGTCACACTGCATCCACGCAGACAGATGGGTGCTGTACTCAGTTCTCTCCCTTCCATTCAGTCCAGGCCCATGGGACAGTGCCACTCACATTCGGCAGAGGTCTTTCCACCCAGTTAACCCGGTCTAGACTCTCCCTCACAGACATGGTTGGAGGTTTGTCTTCTGGTAGATTCTAGAGCCTGTTGAGTTGATAATCAATATTAACCACCTCAGGCACCTTTGTGCTCATAAAAATAGAATAATACAGGAGACCCAATACAGACATCTAATGCTCAGCTCTGACAGCTGGGAAGTCCAGAGTCTTGTCCACGTGCTAAGGACACCACCCCTCAGTCCTGGAAGGAGAAGTCTGCATGAGGGGGTCCTGTGACTCCAATATCTTGCTTCGTATTGGGGTGTCAGGAGGAATGCCACCCTTGAATGTTGCTGTGTGTCTCTCGGTAACTCTGATGTTGCGTTGGTGTTGTGTTGTGGTAACTCTGACATTCCATTGGTGTTGTGTTGTGTTTTGTTGAGATGTGTACCAAACTGTATGATGAAGATGAGTTCCAGCCCCTGGATCCATCCCAGGAACCTATATTCCCTCCTGAACTGATCGTAAGTTGCTCTGCTTTTGTGGTTTCATAATACGATGTGGCACATGCCTTTCTGTACTACACTATAGAACCACAAAGCTCTAGCTATTAAGAAGATGGGAGTATGTCCACCGTGATGGAGTCCTTTTTTGGGACTTGTTCAGTCCTTTCAATAGGTAATCAAATCAGAGCTCAAGAAAGAGTGGAGCTGCCAGGACCTCAGAGTCCCATTGGCTAAATCCCTTTCACCTGAAGATGCTGAGGTCAGAGTGTAGATGAGTCATGGAAGGCCATACAGGTACTCACAGGTATCTTAAAGCCGATTTATAAAACAGTAAAGTGACAATAAAAAGATACTTAGGACAATGGAATTGGACTGTTCTTACAGTTAACCATTGGTTCAGTCTAGTAAAGAAAAAAAGGAAAAGAAAAGAATGTTCACATTGTGGTATGTCTGGACTCTGTTCTACAACTGTGGCCTGGAGAAAGCATGGTAGGAGACAGAGAATTCCCGTGGCTTCTCAGAACCCAGTGCCTTGTACCCCTCAGGGCCTGAGAACTTGGACACCTTGGCTATGTGTCAGTATTTTTTTTTCTGATGGATCATGGAATGATTAGCTTTAATTGGCAACTTGACTTGACCTAGTATCACCTGGGAAAAGAGTTTCAGTGAAGAGATTGTCTATATTGGGTTGGCTTGTGGCATGTCAAGGGGAGGTTGTTGTTTTTCTTCTTTTTTTTAACTTGTGTTAATCCTTTGTGGACCTCACATCCTACATTCCAATCCCACTTACCTTCTCATCCCCTCAAGTCTGCCCTCTGCCCTTGCCAACCTCACCACCAAAAATAAATAAATATAAATAAATAAAAATTTAAAAGAAAAACCAAGAACCCTGGACAGGGCACCCCTGGTTGATTGTGCCCCTCCACACAGACCAAGAAGTATGGGGGGGCAGCCATCTGTGTCCTCTGTGAGTCATTATTTTAAAGTTGTTTGCCTAAATATAGGTAGGTATATACTAGATAGATATAAGCAAGGTTGTGAAAAAAAATTTCCTTATACACACACATAACACACAATACACACACACATAGACACAACACACACACACACACACACACACACACACACACACACACACACACACACACACACAAATAGACAGACAAATAATAAGTGATTTTTAAATTTTTAAGGGAATAGTGTTGGGTAACAATGTTTCCTGTAGTCAGTGTTTGAGCCCGAAGGTGCGTCTCTGAGGACAGTTAACACTCTCTCCAGTCCACTGCTCACCGCTTTACTGAAGAGCTGGGAGGCAGCCGCCAGGAAACGGATTCACCTACAGTTTCCCCCAGAACTGAGGGGGAAACATTCTCAGCCTCTCACCACCTCGCCTGTGGCAATGGTACCATTTATATGTTGCCAGGACGTGTCACACATCAATCTGGGGGTGAGCCGAGTTGGCAGGGCCATGCGGGAAGTCTCGTGAGAACCCAGTTCTTCCTCAGGGGCTGTTTCCTGTGGAAATTCTAATTCTCCAACAGTGGGATGGAACTAGAAGAGATTAAGGCACTTGCACTGCCCCGTGTGTCTCTTCAGACAGTCACTTCACAAGTATAAACACTGTCCCTGTGGACACCTAGCAGGAGATGGGCTCATCGATCTGGTAGTTTAGTCCACCCCTTGCTGATCCCTGAGAAAGCTAAAATGACCCGTGGACCACATGGATACCCAGAAAGTACAGTGACTTTGCTTTTCTGCAGAGAATGGCCGAAGATCCACATAAGAGGAGGCTGACATTCCAAGGGGTGAGGACCACCTGGTTCATGCCTGTGACCTTGAAAGACCTTCTGGAACTCAAAGCCAGCTACCCCAAAGCCCCACTTGTCATGGGGAACACCACAGTGGGTATGTGTTATTTGCATGTGTTTTCCTTCAGATCAGGTAACCAAAGCTCCCCCACCCCACCACACACACACACATCTCCCCACACACCCCCACACCCTCACTCCCACCCCCCAGCTCTCTATAAACCCAGCTCATTTCTACTCATGGGACTTGGGTCCTTTAGAATTATTTCTTTTTTTTTTTTCTTTTGCAAGTAAGTTGTATACGTGATAGTTTTACTCTGTCATACCAGTAACCCATCGTTCTCTTCCTAACTGCTTCCTGTTTTTCTCCTTAAGGACCCAGTATTAAATTTAAAGGCGAATTCCATCCAGTTTTTATATCCCCACTTGGGCTTCCAGAACTGAACTTTGTGGAAAGCACAGACAAAGGTAAGCATCTTGGTTCAAGTAAGGCATCAGCCTTGGCTCGGTGGGGCTCTGATGGCAGTCAGTGACACCTCCCAGAAGCCCTGACTTCGCTCATTCATTCAAAGCAACTGGGTGTGTACTATGCGTTCACTATAAGCATCTTCAGGATGTCTCACTCGACTGTGTCCCTGAGCATCACATGGTGATCAAAGCCATGACAGCAAGAAGATGACCAAGAGCTGAAGAGCTTGGCCAGGTACGGGAAGACTGGTCCAATCAGCCCTTAGGACATTTTCTTTCTTGAGGCTCATCTCACACACGTGTACCCTTGTGTGTGCGCGCGCACACACGCGCGCGCGCACACACACAGGGACACGGACACAGACACAATCTTAGCCACAAGATTTAAAATGCAACTATGAGCAACTTTCTTTCTTTCTTTCTTTCTTTCTTTCTCTCTCTCTCTCTTTCTTTCTTTCTTTTCTTTCTTTTTTTCTTTTTCTTTCTCTCTCTCTTTCTTTTTCTTTCTTTCTTTCTTTCTTTCTTTCTTTCTTTCTTTCTTTCTTTCTTTCTTTCTTTCTTTCTTTCTTCCTTTTAACAAGTTGCCAGGTGTGTTCACATGTCCTGTCTCTTTGATTTTTTAGGACAACCCTAGGAGACAGACCTAGCTCATACCTTGGAGTCTCCAATGTCCTATGGAAGATTCAGAATCAAAGGACCTAAATAATCTCCCCAGACTCCCAAGTCAGGCCTAGAGCTTGGCTTCTTTTTGCTGATAATGCACAAACAAGACTCTCTGAGTCATCCCACCACCAATACCCAAACAATGTATTTGAATAGATAATATTAGATGATGGGAGCTAAAAATACCTTAACTAGTTAAAAATGTGAGCGTGACAAAGAAACCAACTGGGTAATTCTTGCTCTCCCTCCAACGTGTCATTCTTAAGTCAGTTCATTTTTTTCCCAACTATTGGAATGTCTGTACCAGTGGATACGGATACAGGAAAAGATGGATAGGGGAGACTATGCGGGCATGTCACTGGCTAGGGTGCAGTGAGGACGTAGAGATGGAAAGCAGCACTCATAGAACTACATCTGTTGCTCCAACTTTTCTTCATTGCCCTCCCTCCCAGGAGCAGTAAGCGCCGTTTCCCTAATCATCCCTCCACAAAACTTTAACACCCCAAATAAAATGCATGATTTTTTATGTGCAGTAGGTTAATTGGTGCTGGATGCATACTGAGATTTTTTTTTTTTTAGTCACTCCCTCGTGGATTCTATTAGCCCTGGAAAGACAACACTACTGAAATCATGCCCTGTTAGCACACCTGCAAATCAAACTAGCCTGCTACCAGCAGGTATCCGCTCCTGCTCTCTTTTTGGAAGGGGGCGGGGCAAGGGGAAGAGAGGACTGTGGAAGGAGAGCAAATGGAGAGTGGGAATTCTGCCAATCAATTTTCTAGTTTAATGATCTTCAAAGACAGTTTTTAAGTCCTAACGTACTGGCGCACGTTATAGTCTAGTGTCCAGGGGGTTGAGACCAGTCAGAGTGATATAGTGTAACAAAACTGCTTCAAAAGAAGGGTTTAGAATTCCCACATGTGATCCTTTACTCGGGGAAAGCACATGAAGTACTGCATCTAGGTTATCTGTGGTCAGCATGTACTGAAATCCAAGGCAAACGTGACGGTCTGTGACCGAGAAGAGGCACTGTACTAGTTTTTCATCACTATGACAAGATATCTGTGGGAAGTCAACAGAAGGAGGAAAGATTTATGTTGGATAATGTTTCAAAAGTTTCATTCGGTCATGGCAGGAAGGGTGCGGCTGAGCAGGGCAGCTGCATCATGGCACCTGGGGAGCAGACGGGGAAAGAGCCCCAGCGGGAGACAGCTCTCCCTTTTGGTTAGTCTCTTGTCTCAGTGCTGTGGCAAATACCCACCAGGAAGCGAAGGAGGGAGGGAGGGCTTGTTCTGGACCTCCGGTCCAGGGCACAGTCGTGTGACAGGGAACTCATGAGAATGAGCCCTGGGGGCAGCTGGTCACCTTGTGTCCCCAGGCAGGAGGCAGAAAGCGTCAAACAGTTCTCTTGTTAATGGTTTAGTGTTCTTTCTCATTCTGGGCTCCCGTGTTAGAAGACAACATGGCTCAGGCTGAGGGAAGTCTCTGCTAGTTAATCTCTCTCGAAACGCCCTCAGACACATGCGGAGGTACCTTTACTCATTTCCCAGCTTTTCCTCCATCCAGTCAAGTAGACTTTAATGCTGACCATCTCAATGAAGCAAATCGCCAGAAGTATCCCTAATTATCATTGCTGGTTGTCATCCCAACTAAACATACGAAGAGCTGACCTATTTAGAAGAGTGCATGCAGGCTCTCTGTACATGTACGTTCTTTCTCTTGCTTTCAGGGGCAACAGTAGGGGCAGCATACAGCCTGGCACAGTTGAAAGATGCCTTGGATTTTCTGGTTTCAGAGCAACCAAAGGAGAAAACCAAGACCTACCACGCCCTCCTGAATCATCTGAGGACACTTGCAGGGCCCCAGATTAGGAATATGGCTGTACGTTCTCTATTGTTCTACAAACTAAGCCACAGTGTGTGTGTATGTGTGGTATGTGTGTGCCCCAAATGACAGGTATCACAAGTATGTGTGTGCCCCAAGTGACAGGTATCACATGTGTGTGTGTGTGTGTGTGTGTGTGTGTGTGTGTGTGTGTATGTGTGTGTGTGGTGTGGTGTATGTGCCCCAAATGACAGGTATCACAAATGTGTGTATATGTGTGTGTGGTATGTGTGTGCCCCAAATGACAGATGTCACAAATGTGTGTGTGTGTGTGTGTGTGCCCCAAATGATAGGTATCACATGTGTGTGTGTGTGTGTAAAGTGATATAACAAATCATGATATAGAGTCAGAAGAAGCACAAATTCTTGCCCCAGTTTTCCTAGGCAAGTCATTTGGACTCCTTAAACTGCAGCCACTTGAGTTTGGAAATTGAAGTCCAGCCAAATGGGACTGTGTCTAGGGTCCTGTCCAGCCATCTATGAAGCATGTCTTATCCCGCCTTCCCAGATGCTCTTCTGATTGCTCCTCCTCTTAGACCTTTGCTCTGATGTCCATTTCTGACGTGTGACCGTGCATACACCCTCCGACCCCCAGCTGTCTAGAAGTCTCACTTACTGGGGTTTTTCCATTACTTAAGATTTCATGGTAATTGGCTCAACTCACTCCCCATCGCATGCATGAGCAAGACATCAGGACGAGGGGGCAGGGGTGGGGGTGGAGCAGGGGTGGGGTGGGAGGGCCAGCGATACAGATTTCTCATGACTCTCTCTGGTCTTCTGTTGATCCACAAAGCTCCTGCATATTCTTAAACCTGTATTTTATGTCCATTTTCTGAAGGACTTTGCTCCTCTCAATGAACTTGTTCCCATCAGTCCCTTAAAGACCCCTAGTAGCTGGAGGTTTTTTTCTCCGGGTCCCACCAAGCCCCGGCAGTCCGACAGCCCACTTATAAAACAAACACACAGACACTTATATTATTTAAACTGTTTGGTCTAATGGATCAGGCTTCTTGCTAGCTGTTCTTATATCTTAAATCAATCCATTTCTATAAATCTATACCTTGCCACATGGCTCATGGCTTACCAGTATCTTACCTGTTGGTACTCATGGCGGTGGTTGGCAACGTCTCCTGACTCAGCCTTCCTCTTCCCAGAATTCTCTTCTCTGCTTGTCCCACCTATACTTCCTGCCTGGCTACTGGCCAATCAGCATTTTATTTATACAGAGCAATATCCACAGCAGCCCCTGTTCAAGCCTCTCCTAAGCAGACTTTCAGGCCACAGAGAAGCACTGGGTTTCTGGGCAGCATGGCAGCCATCCTGAATGTAAACGCACCATTCTCCAGGTCTGTTAATGGGGTTGCAGGCTCTCCACCTTCCCTATATGGGACACTCTTCCTCTGGGTGTGTGTCACACCCACTTTTCCCCTAACCTGCTGGCATCACTCCCTAGATCTCCATCTGCTTCTCTTACTCAGCCTCATGAATGAGCGTGCATATCCAGGAAGGCTTTTGAACAAACACAAATTTGTGTTAGGACCGTTCCTCCAAGAAACTATTTCACTGCACGCAGGTGCTTTCTCGGCTGTGGTATTTGGGTGGGTCAAGAGTGAGAGTTGAGCACAACATGGTGTCTGGATTGTTTAGCTGCTTCCAAACGCTCCCACGTCTTTCTGCAGAGCAAAGGGGGAAATTAAAAATTTATACAATATCTCTGTGTACACGATTCCTTACTTGTCAAATAACTGAATGAAGCTTTTTTCGATGCCCTCTTTTTATCAGACTTTAGGAGGGCACGTGGTGAGCCGGCCTAACTTTTCTGACCTCAACCCCATTTTAGCAGCTGGAAATGCTACCATCAATGTGATATCTAAAGGTAAGAGGAAAACCTTTGGGAATTTGATTTTATACTACCATTAGTACATAGATCCTGCTGTCGATTACGAAACAGGGACTCGAGAACATCTTTCTTGATGCCCCCTGAACCTTAGACATCTCCTCACACCTGAGGCAGAAGCTGTGGTTGTCTCTCTGTCTCCCAGCTGTTCTGTACTTAGAGACTGGATTAATGTTTCTGCTACTTTTCTTAAACATTTGACCCGTTTATAAACAGCCCAAGTTATAACATCAAAGAAGTTCAAGGAAAGGATCAGGGCTGGTGTAATAGCGTGGTGGGTTAGGTAGGCACTTGCTGCCAAACCTGGGCCACCTGAGCTTGATCCCCGGGACCCACAAGGTCGAAGGAGAAAACCAGAGCTCTGTAGGTTGCCCTCTGACCTCCATGCAAGGGCCGTAGTACATACACATACAATTGATAAATCAATAAGTGAAAAAGATAAAGAGGAAGAGGTTTCTCGGCGGCTTTAAAGTTTATGACATATTTCTTTCCCTAGTTCTGAAAAGAAATCAGTTTTTATATGTACTACCCATTACTTCTCTTTTTATTCACATATGAGCTTTGTAGAGGAAAAATAATCTAAACTTAAGGGAATAAAAGCAAGTTGATGCTATTCACAGTGCTACTTACTATTGTAAAAATATCTTCCCTTAAATTAAAATTATAGTTTTAAGACTGTGATTCAAATGATGGTAAGCATCTCAGAAAAAGTGTATGTGCTTATGATTTTAATCAAAGAAAAGAAGATGGGGCTGAAAAGGAAACTCAATAGAAAAGTGCTTGCTGACGTGGGGGGGGGGGCGGGGGGAGGGAGCGGGGAGTTTGCAGAGGGGGTTGGCTTCTTGTCATCCCAGAAGCTGGAGAGGGTAAGCAGATCCCTGGGCAGTCAGCCTCCCTAACTGTCACATTCAAGGCCAAGTGACAGACCCTGTTTCCAAAGAAGTCAAGGTAGACAGAACCCGAGGGACAGCATCCAAGGTTGACATCTGGCTGACACACTCGTGTACAAGCATACTCACACAGACAAGTGCACCCACACCCACATGAACACACTCAAAAAAAGAACACACACACACACACACTCCACTGTGCCAGTTTGGAAAAGTAATTTAATTTCTCTGGACCTTTCTCTTCTCATTTGTGAAATGTTATACATTGTAACAGGTTGTTTCCCTGATACCTTTAAAGATCTTTAAGTCCAGTGTTGGTGAGTGGCATGCAATGGGTTCTAAGACTTTCAGTTCATCTGGTTCAAACCAGTCATTCTGAAGCCTGGGCCCTGAAGTTTCCATGACTTGCTTCAGGCAGCCCAGGTTCAGGGCTAGATCTCAGTCCCTGGACTCTGGCTCCCGGCCACACCAGTTCATTCCGCCAGACATTACAGGTGCTTACTGGGTAGTCCCCTGTTTGAGAAATGTGTCTTAATCTGGATCATTCTCTCTAACAGAAGGGGAACGGCAGATTTCTTTAAACGGCGCTTTCCTTGAGGAGTTACCTGAGGCCAATTTGAAGCCAGAGGAGGTGGTGGTGTCTGTTTCCATCCCTTACACTACCCAGGTGAGCTTCCTGTACTCACAACCCACCTACACACCCCCTCTTGCCTTGCGCATCCAAACGGAATGGGCCTCTCTGTGGCTGATGACTGCCTCTGAGAGAGTCTGGGGGCCACTAACACACGGTGAGGGATCGAGTCCCAGATGACCATTTCAGTTGTTTCCACAGAACGGCCACATTATGACTTTTCGGGGATGTGCCTAAAGGGACACTGGCCTTGCAAAACACGGAAGCTTCTGCATGAGTGGAAATCTTGGTTATAGATGAAAATGCATCTTAGCTGGGAGTATATAAATGTATAGTCAGTATAAGCTATGGAAGTTTCTAATGAACTGAAAATGTGTTATGAAGTTATTTGCCAATCACCAATAGCTATGAACTAGGTAGTTTACATGAAATCATTTATGTACTAAGTTCCTACCACTCTGTCACACAGTGCTGAGCCTGGAAGACAGTACAAGAGTTTCTAAGGTCTAGGGTTCCTTCCTTCAAGCTCCCTAAGCCTAGTAAGAAAGGCCTGAATCACCAAGGATGGGAAATGAATGGACCAAGAACCGGAGGAGCTCTGGGCTGGAAGTCGTCGTAAGGGAGCTGGGGTGGGGAGACGGGTACGCAATGACGGACGGAAGAATGGACGGACGGACACACGACAGGAAACAACAGCAGGCACCCCACACGGCCTGTCGGAGGCTCCAGATCTGTGGGGAGGAGGGTACACTTGCAGGCAGGCGGACTAAGAAGGGGGTTGGCGAACCAGACCAGCCACAGCATCAGGGGGCCTTGAGACTAACACGGAGCAGCAGGGAGTGTGCAGCTGTTTTAGCAGATGGCCACCTTCGAATGCTTAAAGCAGGGTGATTTTGTATGAAAGAGGCGGCGATCCAGCACAAAGACGCCATAGATGGCCTGTGAGAGGACTAAGGCTTGAAGGATCCGAAAGGAGACAGTCGAGTGTGGAGACAGTAGGAAGGGACAGGAGAGCCCCCACCGAACAGCATGGCACAGACGATTTTTGTGTCCCCCATGCCTCTCCCAGAGCTTTCCGTACACACATGCTTTGTGCCGGCCAGGCTCCCCGGGTATGATTGACTTTCCCTGCAGCCTCGAGACACCTCCCACATGAAGAGGTGTCCAGGCATCAGGGCTAGTGTTCCAAGTCGCTAGTGGGAGTCTACCTAGAGTGGCAGGTGTAGACCTGCATGCAACTTTGGGGACTTTTTCCTTTAACAAAGGGATTGGATTCAAATGAAACTTCTATAGAAAGCAAATAGAGACAGAAACAAGTGATACTGTGGCAGCTGATCTGAGGTATATCGTCTCCCTCTCTGGCCCTCGGCACACTTGGCAGCCTCAAACACAGTCTGATCCACCCCAATACCTTCTTAGAGTAAATAAGACCCAAACCCGTGAGTCACTTCCTCGTGGCCTCGGGTGATGCCGTGAAAAGCTGAGAGCCTGGAGCTTAAGCAGAATCTGAACCCCAGGCCAGCAACCACTTACTGTGACCTTGCACAAGTGACGAGCGTGTGTCCTCAGAATTGGAAATGAGCAGAGTTGTTGAGGATTAAACATTGCTCTAAATGAAACACACAGGGCAATACTCACGGAAACTACCATCAGTCACTGTCCGTGTGATCCACCATTTGCTGGAAATACCCATCGAAAGGGCAGGGGACATGACTCGGTGGGTAGAGTGTCTGTGGTGGCAAGCGTAAGAATCTAAGTTCAAGTCCCAACACCCACATTTTAAAAAAAATTGCAGATGTGATGGTATATGTCTGTGTCTGTGACCCCAGATCTGCGGGGTTGGATGGTGGCACACAGAGACAGGGCAGATCCTGGAAGCTCACTGGGCAGATATCCTGGCTAACTGGTGAGCCCCTGGGTCAGTGAGAGATCCTGTCTCCAAAAAAGTAAGACGGAGAAAACTGAAGAAGACTTTTGATGTTGACCCCTGGCCCCGACCTTCACATACTTGTGCACATTCATACAAACACCTACACACACACACACACACACACACACACACACACACACCACAAGCTATCAGAGTAGTTGCTGTGTGGCACGCATTAACCGTTCTGAGTGTTTTTCTGTCTCTAGTGGCACTTTGTGGCAGGACTCCGTCTGGCCCAGCGTCAGGAAAATGCCTTCGCCATTGTCAATGCTGGTATGAGTGTGGAGTTTGAACAAGGTACAGACACAATCAAGGATCTTCAGATGTTCTTTGGGAGTGTTGCCCCCACTGTGGTCTCTGCAAGGAAAACCTGCAAGCAGCTCATTGGGAGGTAAGTCACAGCCCGCCTGGGACACCATGCACAGTTCTTTCTGGGTGAATAGTTTTCTTTAAAGCTATACTTGTGGAAATCTTTCTAAGATTTTATAAGCGTATATATTTTTATTTTTATATAAATACGTTTTTTATAAATCTTTTTGAGATTTTATGAATATATATCTTTTTATATACTTTATATTTTATAAAAATATTGATATAAATATTTTATATTTGTACAAAAAAATTTTATGTAAAGATAATATATAATATATATTCATCTGGAATATTTAAACTCTGAAGAAAATCTTAAGAAAGCCACTCAAAAACCCGCTCCTTCAAAGTACATATTCTTCTATTATCACAGATTTTTGTACAATTATTGCAAAAATTATAGTGCTTGAGTAGATATTATTTTTAAGTAATTAACCTGTAAAATAAGCAAACATCTCCAACACTGAATCCTGAAGATGAAAAAGTGTGTTTATGTACATCAAGAAGATGGAGCCTTGGAAAGGTCGAAGAGCCCTGTTCCTGGCATGCTCCTCAAGGCTCAGCATCTAGGAAGGTTTTTTGTTGTTTCTGTTTTTAATTTCTTCCAATTAGTATTTTTGAAATCACTTTTACTTACCCATTTATGCTCATTCCCGGTAAGCGGGATTTAACATGGTTTTCCTCAGATACTGAATTAAACCCTCACTCCCAAGACGACCATGGAAACTGGCCATTTGTGAGATAGTCAGTCCTTCTCTGTGGTTCACTGTGTTTGTGTGCCAGGCTTCCCCGCAGAGACATACAGCAGACTCCAGATTTCAGAAACCTGTGATTTTAGCAAGGTCGAATTTTTTTAACCTAAACAAATCCATACTATCGGCTTATGAAGTTTAAAAAGAGAACAAAGGAAGACTTGGAAAGAAACACCTGACAGCTGTTAGATCTGATGCTGAAGAAAGCTTAAGGGACCTGGTGTGGAAGAGCATTCAGGAGGCAGGACAGGGGAATGGCACTCTGCAGTCAATCAGTCTTGGCTGCGAAAGATCCTGCCTCAAAATAGGAAGGAGGGGAGGGGAGGGGAGGGGAGGGGAGGGGAGGGGAGGGGAGGGGAGGGGAGGGGAGGGGAGGGGAGGGAAGAAAGCTAAGCGGCTTATCTTAAGGGCATTTTGTTTGGACTTAAAAGATAGCCAGAGTTGCACCCCATTTTTCCTTGCCCTAGTAGTTTGGTGTCTGCCTGCTAGCTGCAACACTCTGTTACTCTAACAAAACACCGGAGACTGAGTAATTTATAAAGAGAAGGGTTTTATTTTGGCCTCCAGGTTTCAAGCAGTGGTTCTCAACCTTCCTAATGCTGCGACCCTTTAATACAGTTCCTCATGTTGAGGTGATCCCCAACCATGGAATTATTTTCTTCGCTTCTTCATAACTGTAATTTTGCTGCTGTTATGAATCATAATGTCAATAGCTGTGTCCTCCGATGGCCTTCGGTGGCCCCTGTGAAAGGGTCGTTGCACTATCTATCCACGGGTCGTGACCCACAGGTTGAGAACCGTTGGTCTGGTGACTGCCGTCCAAGAGCATGGCACTGGCAAGGTGCTCTTGCTGCTTCAGTCCCCAGTAGAAAGTGGAAGGGCCTTTGCAGAAGACAGAGGACTGCCAGCTTTGCTCGCTGAGAGGCTGCGCTCCCAGCAACTGGTCCAGTCCTGGTGACGTCATCCGTGGAGCGATCACAAACCTCAGAAACATCCTTAGCTCCTGGGTGAAATGTTCATCTTCTGTCCTCAGGCAATGGGACGACCAGATGCTGGGTGACGCCTGCCGGTGGGTTCTGGAGGAGATCCGCATCCCACCAGCGGCTGAGGGCGGCATGGTGGAGTACCGACGGACCCTCATCATCAGCTTGCTCTTCAAATTCTACCTCAAAGTGCGCCGATGGCTGAACAAAATGGTAAAGGGCTTCTCCGGCCCCAGGGCGCCTGGGTCTGTGCACAAGGAACATTCCCTGCTGCTGAGAACATGCCATGAGTGGGCCAGGGGTGGGGCCCTGCGGCTCCTCGGTCCTTCTCCCCTCAGTCCGGGTGTGAGAAGGGAGCGGCCATGCTATCAGGATAAACGCTAAGGTGCCGTATGAGACTGACCAACGACGAGGAAAAGCCATCAGTAAGCAAACTGCATCTTTTCCTCTTTAAAAAAAGATGTTCTCGTTGAAGTAAGAAAAATGATATTTTAATACTTAACAGACCCAAAATGGGAAAATTACCTGCAATACTATCACCCATATTCAATCTCTGTAAATATTTTAGCGTGTGTCCTTCTAAACCTTTCATTATGGGTGTGTGTGTGTGTGTGTGTGTGTGTGTGTGTGTGTGTGTGTGTGTGTGTGTAACTGTTTAGGATAGTTTGGTTATTTCACTTTTTTTCAATGTTATTAAATATTTTTTTAACAATATCGTGATGTAACAGTTACTTGGCATGTCCACGGATGGACTTCACATTACCCAATTCATTCTGTGTTTTTAGACATATCTTCGAAGGTGGTTCAGCATTAGAATTGTTCACCTGCCTTATTTATTACTACCCAGCTTACTTTAAAACAATGCACACAGTAGCTGCTTAGAATTTACCACACACCTATAGGGTGTCCCTTTGATACGTGTCAGCAGACAGATGAGCACCTCCGTGTTTCTCTTATGACTGAGAGCTTTGCTCTGTTGGTTCAGCCAGTCCTTTCTGTTAACATTTTGTATCCACAGCATCATCCTTGTATTCTATGACATAGCCTTATATATTCTCTTATGTATTGCTTAACTCATTCAGCATATAGATATCAGATACATAATATATAATCGGCTAAATCTTTTTCTTTCATATATTACATATCATTACACAACCCAGGGCCTTGAATATGTAAGCACACCACCACTGAACTAACGCCCAGCCATTATATTCTCTTACGTATTGCATATGAATGCTATCATTATAGAAACAAAATTTCAAAAATAAGCCATAATAAGCCTACCCTAACTACCATTAGCACTTTATGATATATACAATTATTTGCTTATATTTACATGAGTATTTTATAATTTTTGCAAAGTTGAAAACATACCGTGCATACATGTTCCTAACCCATCTTTTTCACTTACATTCCCTAAACTGTTCTTTTGTATTCATGCTTTAAAATATTCTTCTTTATCACAGTGTCTTGGCAGGTGTGACACTTGTCAGTGTAGAAAAGGATATCTTTTTTCTTTTACTGAAAATAGAATTTTTTTTTTTTTTTTTTTTTTTTTTTTTTTTTTTTTTTTTTTGGTTTTTCGAGACAGGGTTTCTCTGTGTAGCTTTGCGCCTTTCCTGGTACTCGCTTTGGAGACCAGGCTGGCCTCGAACTCACAGAGATCCGCCTGCCTCTGCCTCCTGAGTGCTGGGATTAAAGGCGTGCGCCACCACCACCCGGCTAGAATTTTTTTACAATATTTTCTGATTATATTCCCCTCCCTCTCCCTACTCCTTCCAATCCCTCCCCACCATCCCCTCCTATCTAGATCCACACTCTTTCTGTCTCCAGTTAGAAAACAAACAGGTAATTAGAATTATATTAAAATAAAATACAATAAGTCAAAAACAAATCAGAATATGAGAAAACAACCAAACAAGAAAAAGAGCCAATAAGGAAAAAAGAAACACATATAGATGTGATGTGAAGACACATATGTTCCCACACCCAGGAATCCCATTAAAAACCCCAAACTGGAAGCCATAATATATACACAAAGGGGGAGGCTCACAGATTCCAGACTGACAACTGGGGAGCCTCCATGGGTCCACACTAGGCCCTCTGAATGTGGGTGACAGTTGCATGGCTTGATTGTTTGTGGGTCCCCTGGCAATGAGACCAGGACTTATCCCAGGTACATGAACTGGCTTTTTAGAGCCCATTCCCATGGTGCAATGCCTTACTCAGCAGTGATGCAGGGGGAGGGGCTTGGTCCTGCCTCAGTTTGATATGCCAGCCTGTGTTGACTTCCCAAGGGAGGCCTTACTCTCTATGAGGAGGGGATTGGGGTGGGATGAGGGGAGGTAGGGTGGAGCGGGAGAAGGGGAGGGAGGGGAAACAAGAGTTGGTATGTAGAATGAAAAAAAATTAAATAAAAAAGCTACAAAATACACACAAAAAAATCTGTAAGGTTTAAAAAAAACAGGTGTGGTGGCCCACACCTTTAATCCCAGCACTCAGGAGGCAGAGGCAGGTGGATCTTTGTGAGTTTAAGGCCAGCCTGGTTTACAGAGCGGAGATTCAGGACAGGCACCAAATAAATGGACACAGTAGTTCCTCTACTTGCTCAGGGAACTTGAAGTTCTGGGTCCTCTTAGCCAAGCTAAGATCTTAAGCATCAGATTGGAAAATTCTATTATTTATGTGTGTGTGTGTGTGTTTGTGTGTGTGTGTGTGTGTGTGTGTGTGTGTGTGTGTGTGTATGTGTGTGTGTGTGTGTGTGTGTGTGTGTGTGTGTGTAGGTCAAAGGACAGCTTTCAGTAGTGTCTTTCTATCTTGTAGGATCCAGGGATCAAACTCAGATTACCAGGTTTAATGGCAAACACCCTTACCTGCTGAACCGCCTCATGAGCCTGGCTCCTTCTGTCTCTTCACTTGTTTCTCAAGTCAGGAGCTCAGGTTGTAAAAGTAAATGCCAAGTGATGTTTTTCAGGATCCCCAGAAGTTTCCTGACATCCCAGGAAAGTTCGTGAGTGCTCTAGATGACTTCCCCATAGAAACACCCAAAGGAATCCAGATGTTCCAGGTGGGCAAGGGCTTTGTTTTATCTATGCATTTGGACAAGACATGCATTATATACATGTGCCTCTCTTTTGAATAACTTCATTATGAGTAAATACATAGTCTTTAAAAGCCAGCCAATGTCACATGTGGTCAAACGTATACAATTTGCACAGTTTCCTCAGGGCTGCTCGAGGAATTAGTCTGAATCTTCCTTCTCTACTTTTTTCAGACTTGTTACCTAAAATTTATCCTTCACTTTTTAGATCTCTGACCTTCCTTTAAATTCTTACTCAACATTAAATGCCGTTCCAAGCCCTTCCTTGCTTTACTACAATTGCCCCAAATCTCCCAGGAACTTGGCTATTTTTATTACCCTTTATCAGGTGTGCAAATTATGTTTTATTGCAAGCTGAAGCAGAACATATTAGTTTGATGTGTATTTGTGTGTGTGTTCTAATTCCTTAGTTAGACTGAAGAATCCTGAGGACATGAATGATGTCTTCTTTGCCAAAGGGTATCACAACCAGAATGTATCACAACCCGAGACATATTTACTAACCTCCATTTGCTGACTTGGGTATCCAGTCACCTATAGTTAGTTATTCTGGATTGTAAGTAAGCCAAGCACAGCAGACCCAATGGTCAGGTCTGGTGTCCAATATCTTACCTTGTTTCCTGACAGTGTGTGGATCCCAACCAACCCCAGCAAGACCCAGTTGGACACCCAGTCATGCACCAGTCGGCCATTAAACACACCACAGGGGAAGCTATATTTGTTGATGACATGCCTCCCGTTGACCAAGAACTCTTCCTTGCCGTAGTCACCAGTACCAGGGCCCATGCAAAGATCACGTAAGGAAACGCACAGTGATGCCATCTGCTAGTGAAATGCGCCCACCATTTCACATTCAAATTGAGAACTTATTACATATTTAAGTCAACTTAGGATAATCATCTTTTCTGGGTGAGAATTGGCCATTTTTTTTTTTTTTTTTTTTTTTTGGTTTTTCGAGACAGGGTTTCTCTGTGTAGCTTTGCGCCTTTCCTGGAACTCGCTTTGTAGACCAGGCTGGCCTCGAACTCACAGAGATCCGCCTGGCTCTGCCTCCCGAGTGCTGGGATTAAAGGCGTGCGCCACCACCGCCCGGCTGAGAATTGGCCATTTTTAAAGCATGGTTATAAGTGAACCTATGGCCTAAAGTTAGAACACCTGCCAATATTTTCCAGCATAGACTGTTACTCCATGATTTAGTTGTGATACTCAATCCCAGATTTCCCTGTCTGAGGAATCTTTTGTACTGGACTGTGAGCTTTCCTCTACAACCTTATTGTCCTCTTCATGTTTCTCCTCCCAGATCACTCGATGTGTCAGAAGCCAGGGCATGTCCAGGTGTGGTTGATGTGATTACAGCCGAGGATGTTCCGGGAGATAATAACCACAGTGGAGAGATTTTCTTTGCACAGATTGAGGTGTGTGATCTGTGTGTGGTTTGTTATCTAACACCCTGCTCCAATGTCAAAATCAGTGGTTGTGGCTACAACATCCGCACCTTCGTTCGCTAGAACCTGGGGTGACCTCGGTCACTCTCCCACTCCCTCTGAGATGACTCACCTTGAGATTCTGACAAAAAGCCTTACGTCCTCTCAAGGAAGGTTTCTAACTGTTGGGAAAGTCACCTAAGCAATGGGAAGCATAAGACATTAAAAGGAAGAAGAATGGCAGGGTGACTGGGTCACTCTGTGTGCTGTGGGAACAATGAGCAGCGCGGGCAGAAACGACAGAGGGCAAATCATTAAACTCCAGTGACTAAGTTCTGCGCATGCGCAACTTTGATCCGTCCCATTCAAGCCACTGTTTGAAACTGATTCTCATGAATAGAAAATGGTCTTCCTAAGCCAGGTGTGGTGGTGCACACCTTTCATCCCAGCGCTCAGGAGGCAGAGATAGGTGGATCCCTGAGTTCAAGGCCAGCCAGATAAAACTTGACTCAAAAAAAAAAAAGAAAAAGAAAAGAAGAGAGAGAGAAAAAGAGAAAGAGAGAGAGAAAGAAGGAAGGAAGGAAGGAAAGAAAATGGTCTCCCTTATGTGAAAGCAGTAATTCCTTTTGGAAAACTGTTTTATTTTTTGCCTTTGTTTTGAGACAGGATGTCATGTATCCTAGGCTGGCCTTGAACTCATTATGTAGCCATAATGTGCTCCATATATCTAGTTTATGTGGTGCTGAAGAGCTAGCCCAGGGCTCCGTGCACACTAGGCAAGCACTGTACCGACTGAGACACACCCCCAGCTCCTGAGTCTGTTCTAACTAACGACACGTGGCTTTTCTGCAGGTCATTTGCGTGGGTCAGATCGTCTGCGCTGTGGCTGCGGACACCTATGCCCACGCAAAAGAAGCAGCTAAACATGTGAGGATTGCTTATGATGACATAGAACCAGCGATTATCACAATAGAGGTAGGACTCTGCCCATCCCCAGGAGTAACCAGGGAGGCACACTTTGAACAGAGTTCAACCAGAGGGTCATGGGATAAAATAATTTATGCTTCAAGTATACTTTCGCCGGTGTGACCCGTAGGTTTAGAGTAGTCTCCAGTAATCTATCTGTGCCTCAAGTCAGGGCATCCTGTCTGAATCCCTCTTCTCAGCAGCACTTCAGCAGGGATCCACATCCTTGGACTAGCCGCTGGTCTTGCTAACAGCTGTCAAGTTCATCTTTACCTATTAATTACACTTTAACTGTCCCTTAAGCTCTTTCCTCTCTTTTCATTCTCTCTTTCCAGCCCCATCCTCAGTCACAGTATTTCCTCGTAAAGAACCCACATCCCAGCCAACCTGGCCTCGTTCTCACTTTGGCCCTTCACTTATGAAGTACCATTGACTTAAAATGATTCAGGATCCAATTCAAGCCATCAGTTCCAGGCCATTCCAGAACATTCCAGGCTTTATCTGCCCTCTTCTTGACCCCTCTTGACTCCACCATATCCTCTCCTTGCCCCAGAGCTAACACCTTAGTGACAGTCACCACCTCAGACAGTCATTCAGGGATCTGGAAGTGGAGCCATGTTTACATACCCTTGTACTACCCTCAGCTCCTCTTGGGAACCGTTAGCAACACATCGCCAAAGCCCACAAACACATCTAAATCAGTTTCTGCTAGCTCAACTCCATGCCAGGCTCCAATTGTCTTAGTGTGTAAAGATCTGACAGAGCAGAAGGTGGGATTCAGATAGGGACAAATAACTTATTAGAATTAAAAAATATATATTTTGGTTTGATTTTCCACTGCAGCAAGCTCTAGAACACAACTCTTTTCTTTCTCCTGAGAGAAAAATTGAACAAGGAAATGTAGACTCTGCCTTCAAGCATGTGGATCAAATCATTGAAGGTACGTATTGCCATCAGTAGCCAGAAAGAGGAGGCAGCTTCTGAAGCCAGATGCTCGTCTGTCTTGAGAAAAACTGAAACTCTCCATCATAAGGCGCTTGTTAAACAGAACTTAGAATGACAAAACGTTCCTAACTCGATGAATTTTGCATGTGTACAAAGCTGCGTGAATACTACACGCATCAAAATATACAATACTTCCAGTGCCCAGAAACCACACACACACACACACACACACACACACACACACACACACACACAAACATAATAACAACTAAATAAAATGTTTAAAATATGCTATGCTAGTACAGGGATTATTTTTAACTGAAGGCAACTGAGAAAAAAATAGACACAGAAGAAAGTTACATTTTCTCTGTCTATCTAAAAGAAGGGCATAAGGTTCCCTCTGCCCAGGGGTCCTCTCTCCTCTCTTGTACCAGGAAGGGCAGAATGCAAGACAACTCTAGACTCTGAGCATCACAGGCGCGAAGCCCTGGGAGGAGTCCGCACAGCTTCCTTACCTCACTAAGATAAACCTTCTCTGCCGTTAGTTTCCCCCATATATTTTCTCCCCATATTTTACCACTCCTAAACGCTCAGAACTCTTTCTGTGTATTTATAGACTTCTCCAAATATCTGTTTCCACTCGTTAAAATGGCAAATAAGCCTCCCGGCCTGACCACCTCCTGAGGTTTTCATTTCTATGAGTGCCCCATTCTCACCCCGTATGTGCGCAGGAATAAAACTCCTGTGGGAGAAAGAGTCAACAAAATGTATGTTTAAATTTAGGTTAGATTCAGCACGTGCACTCTGGAAGTGAACTCGGGGAAGAGAGCTTTTTTTTTTTTTTTTTTTTTTTTTTAGACAAGAAAGAGAATTCTGAATTGATTTTTTAGTTAGCATTTAAAATAATGGATTGTATTACAATGTTTCATCCCCCTGTCTCACTGTACTTTGCTTATGCTCTTATTCATCACCACCCACGACTCTTACATCCATTCTTCCCTCCTCTCTGCCTTCCTCCCTCCCCACAAATAGTTCCCTTCCTGGTGTGCGTGTGTGTGTGTGTGTGTGTGTGTGTGTGTGTGTGTGTGTGTGTGTGTGTTGGTGTTAAATCTGAATTCTGCATACGAGAAATCACATGCTGTATTTTGTATTTCTTCAGAGGGGCATTGCAGGACTCACCCTCCACGGACCTGATAGACAATTTTAAATGATCTTTGACTCGTGACAGTGTAGTTGACTTATTTTAGCACAGAGGTCCCTCAGTTAGTTATAAAGTAAGAACACTGTGTTCTAATATTCACACTGAGGACAGATACCTCTCCTAATGTGGTGCACAGCATGATAAAATATGCTGAACCTAGCTCAGGCATATGCCGTTATCTCACCTGTTAATGTCCCCTAACTCAGGCATATGGCATTATCTCACCATGTCACCTAACTCAGGCATATGGCATTATCTCACCAGTTAATGTCCCCTAACTCAGGTGGACACTCTTATTATTGTTATTGTGTTGTGTTGGCTTACTTATTTTTACATCTGAGAACATTGGATTAGCAACTTGGACAAACGCACCTACCAGGTTGATAGCTGAGCCTGGATATGTAGCCAGACTGTTCTCAAGTTCAGTACACAGCAGGTCTGACCTCCTCACTGAACAGATGGAAACCAAGGCCTAGCGAGGCAAAGTGAATAACCCAGGGCCACTCAACCAGCCGGGCACAGGCAGGGTTCACAAAGGTCTTTCAGCCAAATGATATGAAGCCCAGCTCCACAAGCTAGTACAAATCACTTTTTTTTTTCCTTCTTCATTTCATTTATGTGCATGTGTTTTACCTACATATATGTCTAAGCACCACGTGTGTGCCTGTTGCTCAAGGAAACCAGAAGAGGAAATAGGATCCCTTGGGACTGGATTTAGAGAGGGCTGTGAGCCACCATGTGAGTGCTGGGAATCGAACCGGGGTCCTTTGGGAGGACAGCCAGCATCCTAACCACTGAACCGTCTCTCCAGTCTCCTAACACAAGCCACTGCCGACAAACAAAACACCCAAGGAGCTCGCACACTGAAACCTGTGCCTAGACACTGTGCTGTGTGTTTGCCTTTCAGGTGAGGTCCACGTGGAAGGCCAGGAACACTTTTACATGGAGACGCAGTCCATCCTGGCTCTCCCACAAACGGAAGACAAAGAGATGGTGTTACACGTGGGAACACAGTTTCCGACCCACGTGCAGGTAACAGGGGCGCTCCAGAGACCCTGTGATAAGAGCCCTCCACCCTGTCCTTAAACTCCCTACATACTGGACACTGGCTGAAGTCTAGCATAATAAAGATGGGGCAGACACCTTTAAAAGTAACCAGGAAATCTTGTGACATGCCAAGGTATAAGACAAGACCCATCTTTCCGCGTAGAACAATCAACAGGGTGAAAATCCCAGGGAAGTCAAGCCTAGGGGGTTGTTAATAAATAAAGTTGCCTTGGGGTCAGAGCTATTAGAGCCATAGCAAGAGCGTGGTGGTGGTGGCGCACGCCTTTAATCCCAGCACTTGGTAGACAGAGCTAGGTAGATCTCTGTGTGTTCAAGGATACAGCCAACATTGGAGACACACGCCTTTAATCTCAATACCATAAAGGACCTGCTGGGCTATACATACAGGCAGTGATGAGGCAGTCACGTGTTTGGGTTTACAACCAATGAGATGGCAGGACAGCTAGACTATATAAAGATATACACACAGGAAGTAGGTCCCTTTTCGGAGAACTCTCTTGGCTGAAGCAGGAAGGGTAAGGCTCTTAGCTCTGACCTCTTGGCTTTCTTCTCTGAATCGGCTCTGTGTTTCTTATTTAATAAGACGGTTGGTTACATCTACAGGGGTCGTACTGTACCTTCCCTGTGTGGTCCATTTGTATCTCTGTCTTATGCGAATGTCTCCATGGAACGTGGTTCAGATCATGAGTAAAGCAGTTGCATTCTCAAGACCTTTTCAGCTGCCTCGATAAGCAGCGGCTAAACTCTAGTCCTGTTGATAGTAGTTAAGACCCAAGCAATGGATATAACAGGGGAATAAAGAAAACCCTCTGGTGTCCTCTTCTCAAAACGGAGTCCTTGACCCCAGAATGGTGCCGAGCACAAGGGGCTACTTTAAAGTTTCCATCAAAGAAAAGAATCATGAGAAGTGTTGCTGGGGCACAAAGCTGAGGATTCTCTGGTAGAGTACAGAGGAGCTGGCATCCCAGTGTCCTGAAGAGGTGGCTCTGTGGGAGAAGGAAGCTAGCAGCTTCCATTCAAGGCAAAAGGGAAAGCTAATGTCATTGCCTCTGACATCACAGTTTCAAGCTTTGAAGCAGACAGAGGCAGCTTTACCCTCAAGCAACTGGGTGAGCTCTTGACGGTTTCTAGGTATCAATATCCCTTCTTGTAAGTTGAAAATTGTAAATTGGGGTGATCAAGGTCACCTCTGATGTTCCTGGTGGGAGCACAGAGGCCACAAAGGCCAAGATCACCAATGTCATCTATCACCAATACCAGTCAGTTCCACAGCAGCAGGCATGCCCTACGCATCAGGCACCCACGGGCTGCCATAGTCCAGGCAGCAACAAAACCATTCCAGGAGAGGATCCAAGTGTACAGTGTCCAAAGAAAATATGTAAATGACTAGTAAGCATAAGATGTCCATCAGCAGCAGCCATCAGGGAAACCAAGTTAAAACCACTAGGATGGCTATGATTCAAAAAAAAAGAAAGAAGCCAAGCCATGGTGGTGCACGCCTTTAATCTCAGCACTTGGGAGGCAGAGCCAGGTGGATCTCTGTGAGTTCGAAGCTCGCCTGGGCTACAGAGTGGGTTCCAGAAAAGGCACAAAGCTACACAGAGACATGGAGAAACTCTGTCTCGAAAAACCAAAAAAAAAAAAAAAAAAGAAAGAAAAGAAAAAAGAAAGATGACAAGTGTTTGTAAGAATGCAGAGAAATTGGAACCTCCGTAAATTGTCAATGGACATGGGAAAAAAAATAGCATATTTGTGTAGGCGAGGTTTTTCTGTGTCCTGGCAGCCTCTCCTAAATAACCACACGGAGACATTATTAATTACGAATGCTCGGCAAATGGCTTAGGCTTGTTTTTAGCTAACTCTAATAAATTAAATTAACCCATTTCTATTCATCTACGTGCTGCCCTGAGCCTCTTTTACCTCATGTATGTACTTCCCATCCTGCTCACTCTGAGTCTCATGGCATTTCCTCTTGACTCCTCAGACTCTGCCCTTCTTCCTCCCAGCATTCCCTCCATCCCAAAAACCCTGCCTAGCCATTGGCCAATCAGCTTTTTATTAACAATGAGAATAATACATATTTACAGCGTACCAAGATTGTTCCACGGCACATTTGCCTTGGAACACAGTGCGGCAGTCTCTTGACAAAGAAAAATAATAATATTCCCATACAGCGAAATATTATTCAGCCATAAAAAGCAAGGTATACTCATGCATACTACAGGTAGAGAGCACTTGAAAGCATTACGCTAAGTGAAAGAAACCAGTCACAAAGTCTACATATCATCGTATAGCTCTGCTGTGCAACAAGTCTGTAGTTAGGACACAGACTCCAGGCTGCAGAGGACTGAGAAGTTAATGGGAAACAAGGAATTGCTGCCTGACGGATCACAGCTTCTTTGGGGATGCTGAAATTTCTAAACTAGACTATGGTGGTTGTACAACTGTATCAATGGAGGTGTTGGTTGGACTAGTGCATCAGAACAGCACACAGGCAAGAAGGTAAACCATGGAATGCCACTTATGTGGCTCGGGGCCTTTCTCTTGCAGGAATATGTGTCTGCAGCATTGAAGGTTCCAAGGAGCAGAATTGCCTGCCACATGAAAAGAACTGGAGGAGCGTTTGGAGGCAAAGTGACCAAGCCCGCTCTACTGGGAGCTGTCGCTGCTGTGGCTGCCAACAAGTAAGGGGTCCTGGGACCGCTGTGATGTCAGCAGTCTGAGCTGCGTGAGTCCTTCCAACCCCACACCCCACCCCTCCCGCCTCAGCCTGCATCTCAGCTCAACTCGGCGGTGGGTTGGAAGGTCAGAACCCCGGTCTTCCAACAGCTTGTCCTGAAGCCAGCTGCATGCTGCTGCCAGTCAGTGTCCCTTCGCCTGTGCCCCTCTGGTGAAAGAGCAGGTGCTGGTGCAGGCCTGCCTGGGAAACCTGTAACTACCCACGCTGACTAAGATAGCACCCACCCAGGCTGACTCACAGGCTGCTGGTACCCAGGAAGGATCCGTGAGAATCTTAGCTCCTTTGTACTCCCCAGCTGGAGAAAACCTGCCTCAAGTGAACACAGCAGCTTGGCAGGGGCTGGGAACCAGAGTCCCAAATGGACACTTTACAGGAGGGGTCTGTACATAGGGAAACAGACATCTACAGAGTGTCACGCCCCGCTTTTCAGCCCCAGCAATCCCCTCACAGCAATATGTTAATGCCCCTATTACTGTCTGAAAGTGAAATTTAGAGCAAAATCTTTTATGCGTATAACTGCAGAATGATGATGGGACTCATTCACATAACATGAAAAGGAGCCAGGCCATTTAATCCCAGAACTCAAGAGGCAGAGACAGATCTCTGAGTTTTTCCAGGCCAGCCAGGGCTACATAATAAAATCCTGTCTCAAGAAATAAAAAGGAAACTGGACTTGGTGGCGTACGCCTTTAATCCCAGCACTCAGGAGGCAGAGCCAGGTGGATCTCTGTGAGTTCGAGGCCAGCTTGGTCTACAAAGCAAGTTCCAGGACAGCCAGGACTACACAGAGAAACTCTGTCTCGAACCACCCCACCCAAAAAAAAAGAAGGAAGGAAGGAAGGAAATGGGAATAATTTGTAACCAAATATTGTATCATCATGATATGTAAATATTCAGTTGACTAAACCAGAATAATTATTTTAATTTCAATGCCCTGACTACTTCCAAAATGTCATCTGAGGCATGTTACTATCCATTAAAACCACTGACCTAATTACTTCAAGACTCCCCCCATCTTATGCTTCTACAGCTTTATGGAGAATGCAGCTTTTTAACTGAGTCACTTCCCGCAGGACTGGCCGCCCAATCCGCTTCATCCTAGAGCGTAGTGATGACATGCTGATAACTGCTGGCCGCCACCCACTCCTGGGAAAATACAAAGTGAGTGAGATCTGGAAGGTCAGCAAACTGCCAATCAACCCGCATTAACGACCGTGTCTGGATGCCACACCTCTTCCAAGGGATGTTTGAGTGCTGTGTACAACTAGGCAGACCCTCCTGGGTCCTGTTAAGATGATGTTTCTCTGGTGGTGGTCATAGCCAATCATGAGCATAGCCTAAGCATGGGCTGACAACTATGACCAGGTGTCTTTGTGCACAACACAGTTTGGTTGCAGGGAAGGGCTGCTGCCAAAGCCCTCTTCCTCGTTATCACTTTGCAGATCGGGTTCATGAATAACGGGGAGATCAAGGCTGCTGACGTGGAGTATTACGTCAATGGAGGATGCACTCCTGATGAGTCTGAGATGGTAAATACGCCTTCAGGAGAGCCCGTGGTCCTTACTTTATCTGCACAAATACTTGTCTTACAGCTGACCAATTGCCCAAAGGGTTTAAGTTAAAGATAAAATTCAAATCAGTGGCTTGAAATCTTGACGACAGATGAAAAGTTATAATTTTGTTTTAATTCAGGTGATAGAGTTTATTGTGCTGAAATCTGAAAATGCATATTGTATCCCAAATTTCCGGTGCCGGGGCAGGGCTTGCAAAACCAATTTGCCGTCAAATACAGCCTTCCGAGGATTTGGCTTCCCTCAAGCGACGGTGGTAGTGGAAGCCTACGTAACTGCAGTGGCATCTAAATGTAACCTACTCCCTGAAGAGGTGAGCAATGGAACCTGCTAGTGAAACACTGGTGATACCACGTGGGCTGTATCTTGGGCTCCTACAATATCTATGCACAGTTTCAAGAAAATAAAACTCATTGTCCATTATCAGTTAACACTGTGGTAAGTCAACCACAAACCTGTAGCTTCAAGCAATGATACTATTGCTTATGATTCTGTGGGTCGCTTGGGGGCTCTTCTGGTCTGGGCCAGCTCATTGGAATCTCTATGGTTCAAGATGACTTTATTGACATTTCTGATGAGCATTTGACCGGCTTATTATGACTCACCTGAGAAGTGTGCTCCCCAGTCTCTCATCCTTCAGTCAGCTAGCTCAGATTCATTCTCATGGGGGAGAGGGGTATCACAGAGTTCCGAAGAGCAACAGGTAAGTGGTGTGCCCTAAGCCACAGACACTTTTCAAGTCTGTCTACATCACTATGTATGGTCCCATCGTGCAAAGCAAGTCACAAAGGTCAGTCCAGAGTCCGTGTGAAACTATTCCAGACAGAAATTGGGTAGGATGGTTGCAGCCTTTGGTGCAACATCTTGTCACAGTTTAAGACTTTGAAGAGAGATGGAGATGTAACTCACCGGACAAGCACTTGCCTGGCTGGCATGTGCAGGACTCTCAAAGAGGTAAAGTGGGAGTAATTGGGAGTAATTACGAATTCGAATCAGGAGAATTTCACCTTGCCAGCAAATTGATAGCAAGACTAGTAATCATCCTACTGTTTCTCAGGGTTATTGTGAAGTTCACTGAAATGCTTACTCTAGAACCTGGAATACATGAAGTATTCATGAGAAGTTTCTATTGTTTTTTTTGTTGTTGTTGTCCTTTTTAACATATACATTTGCATATTTATACACTTGAGGGTTTTTTAGACCAACTTTCTCCATATCAGACATGTAACAAAAATGCACACATGTTCTCGCCTCTTAGGTTAAAGAAATAAACATGTATAAGCGAACCAGCAAGACAGCCTATAAGCAGACGTTTAATCCGGAGCCCTTGAGAAGATGCTGGAAAGAGTGTCTGGAGCAGTCATCGTTCTACGCTAGGAAGCAGGCTGCAGAGGAATTTAACAAAAAGAATTATTGGAAGAAAAGGGGGCTTGCTGTCACCCCCATGAAGTATAGCATTGGGGTCCCCACAGCCTTCTACAATCAGGTGAGGCAGAAGAACTGCGTGCCCCTCAAAGCCCTTCTCCAAACGGTTGGCTCTCCGAAAAGGACTCATGTATAAGGAAGCAATTCTATGAAAGCTCATGTATAATAAGCAATTGTGTTGTCCCCACTGGAGACAGAGAAGTGAAGAGGAGTTTGTTCCCTTTAGCAGGAGAGAGCATGGACGTAGACAAGGGCTGGGCCCATAGATATCGGGACAGACCTTCAGGATGCAGTCAGTATTTAGGGCCTTGGAAAGCATCAATGGTAAGGTCCTGCTCAAAGGGACCCATTTGAGGAGCCACACCCTAATGCGAGTACCGGAATGTCAGACCAAGTTTCAAGAGCAAACTGGGATAAACAAAAAGATCCATTTCTTGCCTCCTCTCTAATTTCACTGTTAACTGGTTTTTCACGGCGTTCAATTTCTAGCTTAATCTTTTTCTTTCCACCCCATTAAAACTTTACCCTATGGTAGGCACCTGGCTTTGGCCAGCTATCCCCATCTCTAGACTTCTAGTCCCCCTGTACAAAGTGAAGAATACAGACTAAATTAATGGAACCCGAGCCTGACCATAATCAACGTCATGTGGGAGCTTGTTAAACCTGGGTATCCAGGCTGTACTGCCAGCCTGCAGCTGAGCAGGGTTATCCACGCTGGGACACACACTCCTCCCCCACCATCTTTCTGAAAAACAGCCTTTGGAAACCATGAAACATCTCCAGGTCCTTCCGGGGCCTCCAGTATCCAGGAGAAGGTGTGCCTGGAAATTTACTCGTGTGGGTTCCAGTCAGACATGTTAAATCGATTTCCACACCTGATGAGACTTGAAGAGACAGATGCTGGGGACCGAGGGAGGGGGAATACACATGTCGATCATCTAGATTGATGGTTTCAGATCCAGGGTGTCTTGCAAGGGGTTGTCTATGGCTCTTGTCCACAATGAGAAATGAGAGATTGGTTAAATCAAAGGAAGTGGTTCATCCAACAACCTTGGGTGAACTCAAAACAGCCTTTGGCTTTCATCGGTTTCCAAACTGGTGTGGCGATTGTCTCTTCCAGGCAGCCGCTCTGGTCCACATCTACTTGGATGGCTCTGTCCTGCTGACCCACGGTGGCTGTGAGCTGGGACAAGGCCTGTACACCAAAATGATTCAGGTGAGATGAGTATTTGTGTTCTCCATTGTGAAGTGGATCGGATTGTACAGGCAACAGGCCAGTTTCCCTGTGTTGAGTCAGAGAGATCACACACACACGCTGCACACACAAGCCATCCCGACTCATCCTGACTTTCAGGGATGCAAAAATGCAAGGGGGTGAGGGAAGGGGAGATAGAACAGGAAATTCAATATCATGCAAGGGGGTGAGGGAAAGGGAGATAGAACAGGAAATTCAATATCATGCAAGGGGGTGAGGGAAGGGGAGATAGAACAGGAAATTCGATGTCATTCTTCCTGCATCAAAAGAATTGAGTCCGTGGGTCTTTTGGCAGAGGGGGGAAGATTCAGTTTCCAAAGATAAAACACTTTTTAAGTTCATGGTGACTACTCACAGCAATAATGTGTTCCTTCAGATCCTCAATTAGCAATTCATGTTTCACAGGCTGAAAACCTAAGCTCTTGGGCGGTCACCCTCTGTGAGGCTGAAACGTGAGCTCACTCTAGACTCAGCTGCCAGCCTGCTTAGAGGTTTGGGCAGGCCAAGCACCTTCTATTCTGAAGTGAATGGTGGGGGAAGGGCGAGAGAAGAGTCCTCGCTCTGCTTTAGGAATCCATTCACGTGGTGGTCACTGTTCATAGGATAACTCAAAGCATCTCTCTACAACTCTACGAGATCATCGCAATGGGAAATCTTCCTTTCTTTGTTTTAATATGAAACAGCAATTGCTGGATATGACATTTGATTAAAAGTGTTTATGGGAGGGATGAAGGAGGACAAATGGGAACACAATATAAAGACATGTGTATGGGAGCTGGAGAGATGGCTCAGCGGTTAAGAGCACTGGCTGCTCTTCCAGAGGACCCAGGTTCAATTCCCAGCACCCACATGGCAGCTCACAACTGCCTGTAACTCCAGTTCCAGGGGACCCTCACACAGACATACATGCAGACAAAAACACCAGTGCACATAAAATAAAAATAAATAAATTATTTTTTAAAAAAACATGTGTATGAAGACACATGACAAGACCCACTACTTTATATGTTAACCTAAACCACTGATTTTCTTACATTGTGTGTGTATGTGTGAATGAGTGTGTGTGTGTGTGTGTGTGTGTGTGTGTGTGTGTGTGTGTGTGAGAGAGAGAGAGAGAGAGAGAGAGAAAGAGAGAGAGAGAGCACACGCACCATTATAATGTTCATGTGGAGGTCAGAAGGCAGTGGGTAGGGAATCAATTATCTCCTTCCATCCTGTGGGTTTCAGGCAATGTGGGTTGTCTAACTTGGCAGCAGGCATCCTTACCCACTGAGCCATCTTGCCAGCCCTAAAACATTGTTTGTTTGTTTTTAATATGTATGAAAAACGCTCATCAGTAAGAAACAACCTCCCCAGTAGAAATAGAGAAAAGACAAATTCTTTAAAAATAAACATCATTTGATAAGGTTCTTAGAACTAGAAAACCACACAGAGTTCCAGGACCCTCTCTGACCGCCATACTTCCTTACAACCCTAAGCCTGTGAAGTGTCTCTGAGGAAAATATCCCACCAAGTCATCTGAAGACCAGGAGGAGAAGGCGCACTGGAAACAGTAAGCCCAGAGCTTCACAGCAGCCTCCTTGTGCCTTCTGAAGCCTGCATGCAGAGTGGCCATGCCTCTACATGGCTTCCACAAGGCAGGTACACAAGAAAGCACAGAGAGGCTGTTGAGTTAGCCTTCTGTCTCAAAAAAGGAGTGTGTCCTTGACTGTGCCATTTGAAACCGAGACTTGGCCTCTGGCCCTGTAGCAGGGACAGCCAGGCTTCATGCTCAGCTCTAGAAAGAACGTAAGCTTTTTTCACTGGGAAGAGGACTTAACATCAATGAAGTAAACACTGTTTTTGTTCTGCCTCGGGCAGGTGGCCAGTCGGGAGCTCAACATCCCACAGTCGTACGTGCATCTGTCCGAAACCAGCACCGTCACCGTGCCCAACGCTCTCTTCACCGCGGGCTCCCTGGGGACAGACGTCAATGGGAAGGCCGTACAGGTGATTTTTCTTTCGTTTCTCAGCCACCAAGCATGGTGGTGAAGGGCCCTGTTACCCTTGTTCTTTAACGGAGGATGAGACAGAGGTGACAAGTTCTAGTCCACGCAGCAAATTCAGGCAGAGCCGAGGTTCCGTGTCCAGGTTTCTGAGGCAGTTTGGTGCTTCCCTGCATGGACTGTTGATCATAACCCGTGTTCGGTTGCAGCAACCTCCTTTTGTGTTGCATCAGAATACAGCAGAGCAATGCAGGGAAGCCCCATTTTGGCTTCATGAAGAGTTTGGGCCGAAAAGCTAATCTCTTCAGGAACCCATTTCCTTTCCTGGAAAACTGAGGCTGCGAATGCCACCTCCATCAGAGAACTGTTAGTAAATTACAGCTACCACCTCCTCCCTTTCTATCCCCAAACTCTAGAAAAGCACCCGGGGGCTATTAGACTCCCACAAAGACCATCTCTACAAACTGGCCACACCTGGATGAAAGAGAAGCTTCCACACTGCCAAGTGGCTCCATGTGTCATGAGAACCATGGTTTCCCAGGACATGCTCCTCAGGACAGGGGCTAGGCAAAGTGCTGGGTGGAAAGGAAAAGCATGCGTTCTCTGGTCACTACGTTTGGAAAAGGTTTCGATCCCCATCCGACTCAAAGAGGCCTGTGATGCCTATGTGATGCCTGTCTGCCCAGAGAGGCCCTGATAAGCCCTACAGTAAACATACCTACTCATCATTGTCTCGCTGCTCTTCCTGAGGTTATTTAACCATAAAAGCATTTTAATTGATATCATCCTTCTTAACAGCTATGGAACCAATGCCCAAGGAAATGCCCTGGGAAATTCCAATTTTGCTAAGAGCTGTAGGTCACTGCCTTCATTTTGCACATTACACTCAGATATAAAGGTAGGCATTGTGTGGATATCGTCAGGTCACCTTTGACACAAAATTAAGTTCTTCCTCTGAAGCCCAAAACTACAGCCGAACTGTGCAACAGTCCTTCCATACCCTGTCTGCTTCCTCTGGCTTGGACAGAAATGCATCCAGCAGGGATGGAGGGTCCTCTGAGCAGGGAGGGCTGGCAGTTGCCCTTCCTGTCCTTCAGACCCTTGGCCATGCTTTGCTGAACTTCCCTTGTGGGTTATGAAGAGTTCCAGCTTCCCGTGGGTCTAGATTTTTGGTCAATCAATGACCACATCAGATTTTCTAAGGAAGCAGGTCCCAGAGGCCAAGGTTAAGTTGGCTCCGGACTGTGAGTATATAAGTTGTCACCTGGCTGGTAGGGCAGAAAGGGTAAAAGGTAATTTCAGGACCCTGAAACTCCTTTAAAATCCAAAATGATTTTTTGGTGTTAGAGTCAAGGCAATGACTATAAAAAGTAAAAAAATGTCATATAGAAAAATCCTCATTCACTTTTAATTCAAAGCAACAATTGGCAGGTTAGGTAAATCAGCATGCACTTAAAATACAAAAATAAGAGCTAACTCCCAGTCAAAGCCTCAATAGGTGTGTCTGTCTATCTGTCTGTCTGTCTGTCTGTGTCTATGTCTGTGTCTTTGTCTGTGTGTGTGTGTCTCTCTGTGTACACCTATTGAGTTGTTTATAAATATAGAGGACTAGGGATGGCCAACTCAAACTTGGGCAGGGGCCAGAGTTGGCAGACATGTTCCCTAATCTCTCAAGATATTGCTATAGCTTCACTAGCAAGGATACCATGGTGTTTGTGTCCAGACTGGAAAGCAGAGTACCAGAAGAGAAAGAACCACAAGCATCCAGTTGACCTCAGCAGCACTGATGCTACAGTAGAGCAAGCCAAGAATGGCTGGGATTAGGTAGTAATGAATGATGCTTTTGGTATTTCCTTACAATGTCCACAGCACAGAAAGAAGACCAGACTGTGTGTTGGTCTCAGTGTAAATGCTGAATCAACAAAGCTTTTAGATTAAAGGGAAAAAGAAGGAGGAGATGACTATGACCAAGAGGAAGAGGGAGGAGAGGAAGAAGGAGAAACGTGTTGATAAACTATTAAACATGATGAAGGAAAGATGTTGGCAAGGAAAGGGACCCGCCCCACTGTGGCTTTGTCTTCCTGGTTTCCTCTTTACCTGGGGTGGCCAACAATAAAACTGAAAAAGAATTTAGCCACAGTTGCCATCCTTAGCATGAGCTCCCTCCCAGGAAAGGCTAGCATGACACAAGGTGACTTGAGGTCATGGGGAATGTGGTGCCTACACAAGCATGACCCTCCATGACCCCAGACTGCTGTGCGAGCCTCACACCTGCAGTCTTGTTTTGTGTGGTGCTGGAGACCAGACTCGGGGCTTTGTGTATGCTAAGGGAGCATTCTACCAACCAAGCCACAGTCCACGCAACAGAAATAGTTTAAAATTAAAACGAGCATATCCTGGGTCATCAAAATGACCACTCTCTGATGGAATGTTATCATGAGACCTCCCTCCACATTTAAGGCCAAAATGTACTTTGAGTCAAGATAATATGAAGAATGTAAAGAGCCAGGCGGTGGTGGTGCACAGCTTTAGTCCCAGCACTGGGAAGGCAGAGGCAGGTGGATCTCTGTGAGTTCGAGACCAATCTGGTCTACAGACTGAGTTCTAGGACAGCCAGGGCTGTTACTTGGAGAAACCCTGTCTCAAAAAACAAAAACAGCCAGGCGGTGGTGGCGCACGCCTTTAGTTCCAGCACTCGGGAGGCAGAGGCAGGTGGATCTTTGTGAGTTCGAGGCCAGCCTGGTCTACAGAGCAAGATCCAGGAAAAGGCGCAAAGCTACACAGAGAAACCCTGTCTCAAAAAAACAAAACAAACAAACAAACAAAACAAAAAACAAAAAAAAAAACAGTATGTATGATGGAGCTGGAGACATGGCTCAGGGGTTAAGAGCACTGGCTGCTCCTCCATGAGACCCAAATTCAATTCCCAGTGCCCACATAGCAGCTCACAACCATCTGTAACTCCAGTCACAGGGGGCCCATAGCCTTCTCCTGGACACCAGGCACACAAACACAAATGCAGGCAAAATGCCCATACACAAAAATAAAAATGCAGTATTTTAAAATGCAAATGAACCAGTTATAGTGGCTTACTTCTATAATCCTAGCACCCCAGAGGCTGAGACTAAAGTATTGCCATTCATTCAAGGCCAACCCGGGCTGTATAGCGAGACACTGTCTCAAAAATTTTTAAAAAAAAATGATCAAAACTTCCAGATAGTAAAGAGCTAACATTAAAATACTTTCTAAGTCAGGGGTGATGACACAGCTCTTTATCCCAGCACTGGGGAGGCAGAGACAGGCAGATCTCTATGAGTTATAGTCTAGCCTGGTCTACATAGTAAGGCTAAGGCTACCCACTAAGGCTATATATAAGACATTGTCTCAAAAAAGAAAGGTTTTTTTCAAAAGATATATTTATTTAATTAGTATTATTAACTGGTATCCAGTTTTACATTTTCTCTTCTTAACATAGACAGTTTTATCTGATCTTGGCATTAAGAATCCTTATTGCAAAGCAAATTTAAACTTAGAAACCACTAGGAATGAAAAGAGATAGGTGGATGAATTTGACTTAGTAAAAACATGAACCCAGGGGCTGAGACAGGGCTCCCTGGCAAAGGGTGCCACTGCTCTTTCAGAGGGCTGGAGTTCAGCTACTAACACCTACATTGGGAGGCCCACAACCACCTGTAACTTCAGCTCCAGGGTATCTGTGCTCTCTTCCGGCCTTGGTGGGCACCCACACATATGTGTACATACACACACACATAAGTAAAAATAAAATAAAATAGTTTAAGAAAAACACAAACTGTCTATACAGTAAGATACCATAAATAAAAATCATAATACATTAAAGAAAATATTCATAACATATATGAGACAAGAAAAATTAAAATAAGCCAGGAATGGTAGCTCACACTTATAGTCCCAGTACTCAGAGGCTGAGACAGGAGGATTGCCATGAGTTTAAGGCCAGCAGAGCTTTAGAATGAGATCCTGGTCTCAAATAAAAGAAAAGAAAAAGAAAGGAAGGAAGGAAAGAAGAGAGAGAGAGAGAGAGAGAGAGAGAGAGAGAGAGAGAGAGAGAGAGAGAGAGAGAGAGGAGAGAGAGATAACAGAAAGTAAAGTGGCAGGGAGGGAGGGAAGGAGGGAGGGAGAGGTGAGCGGGGAACAGTGAGGAGAGAGGCGTAGATGGGCTGCATAAGTAACTGATGTGTTCTTCCATGTTGAAAAGTAAACGTGATGAGATAGAAAATGCAAGTGAGAAGCTCATGGCCATTTCAGTAAGAAGAGGGAAGAAAAGTGGCCTGTCCACTGGTGACTGGCAGTCAGCATGCCCAGCTCAGAAGTCCACTCTTTCTCATGTTCCACGTATCGTCTCTCCAATGATTGTGGCTATTTTCAAGTTTATTGGTGTATAGACTGGTGTACACTCTCATTTTATTAGTGTGTAGACTGGTGTACACTCATCATTTTATTAGTGTGTAGATTGGTGTGCACACTCATCATTTTATTAGTGTGTAGACTGGTGTACACTCTCATTTTATTAGTGTGTAGACTGGTGTGCACACTCATCATTTTATTAGTGTGTAGACTGGTGTGTACACTCTCGTTTTATTAGTGTGTAGATTGGTGTGCACTCTCATCATTTTATTAGTGTGTAGACTGGTGTGCACACTCATCATTTTATTAGTGTGTAGACTGGTATGCACTCTCATCATTTTATTAGTGTGTAGACTGGTGTGCACTCTCATTATTTTATTAGTGTGTAGAGTTGTGTGCACTCTCATTTTATTAGTGTGTAGACTGGTGTGCACTCTCATCATTTTATTAGTGTGTAGACTGGTGTGCACTCTCATTATTTTATTAGTGTGTAGACTGGTGTGCACTCTCATTTTATTAGTGTGTAAATTGGTGTGCACTCTCATTTTATTAGTGTGTAGACTGGTGTGCACTCTCATCATTTTATTGGTGTATAGACTGGTGTGCACTCTCATCATTTTATTGGTGTGTAGACTGGTGTGCACTCTCATCATTGTATTAGTGTGTAGACTGGTGTGCATTCTCATTGTATTAGTGTGTAGACTGGTGTGCACTCTCATCATTTTATTAGTGTGTAGACTGGTGTGCACTCTTATTTTATTGGTGTGTAGACTGGTGTGCACTCTCATCATTTTATTGGTGTGTAAACTGGTGTGCACACTCCTTGTTTTGGTTGTGTAAATACACACTAAAGAATTTTAACTCTACTTAGTGCACACTTGAACAGCACTGCTGACCTCAAGTCAATGCCGCAGGACTTTTTTCTCCTGAAGCAAGTTCACATGTTACTCACATTTAAGAAATCCTGCAAGATTTCTTGCAGCCGCCATTAAAATCTTCCCGAATCACTAACATTTTCCCGTTCTTTGTGCTTTTAATTTCTAATGTCACTCTAAACATTCACTTTTCAGAATGCCTGCCAAATTCTTCTGGAGCGTCTTCGTCCCATCATCAGGAAAAACCCTGAGGGAAAATGGAAGGAATGGGTGAGTGTTCTATTTACTACCCTAGCCAGGAAAGAGCAATGCCACACACACACACAGGTAAAAGTCCTCAATGTGTGCGCTGGGGGGCAGCACCCATCCAAAGCTTAGTGTTTTCTTCTAAGCATCTTCTACTTCTTCAGAACGATAAGAAGTGTGTATGTTCACAGAGAGCTGATTTCATTTCAGAGCCAGTACTTTACAGAGTGCAAGAGCAGCGTGAGTTCTAAAGTACAACCCACCTGGGGTTGCAGGACTGGCTAAGGGCAAGCCCTGTGCAGCAGAGAGTATACCATTCCTAAGACCAAAAGACTGGGGACTTTAGAGATGGCCAGCGCTTAAGAGCATTGGCTGCTCTTACAGAGAACGTGAGTTCAGTTCCCAGCACCCACACGGAGGTTCACAACCATCTGTAACTCCAGTTCCAGAGGAGCTGACTCCCTCTTCTGGCCCCCAGGGGTACTGCACACATGCAGTGCACATACCTACAAGTAGACAAAAAGTAAATATTTTCAAGACACAAAAGATTATTCTACTTTTAATAGTTGTATTGCGACCACCACCATCATCCCCTATGGCACTCTCCAGCACAGAAGCTGACATGACCGTTCAATAGACAATTGATCAAACCAACAGAATGAGAAGCAGAGCAATATACCACATACATGTATGCCTGTATTCACACCCTGTGTACATGTACATAAACACAGCCTAGTCCCCTCACTAATGTGGAAGACCAAGAATGTGAAAAGTCATAAAGTAGCTACATGGTGTGACCCAACACGGTGAGAGGCCCAGAGGGCAGCCAGCAGCTACATCAAGCCCCTCCTATGCAAAGTGTACCCTGTATATTACACACAGGCTACTCCCAGGGAGTAGCTATGAATCACAGACCTTGGTACAAGCCAGAAGCAAGCCCAACATGGAAGGTGCTTCTATTACTTTCCACAAACTTCTATTTCTTTGAGACAAATCATCTTTTCCAGGTTGCAAAGGCCTTTGAAGAATCCATCAGCCTCTCGGCCACTGGGTATTTCAAGTACGTGGTGTTCTTACGTTCTTGGGTGGTACTTGGGCAGCAGCCGTGTGTGGCTGGTGTTAAGTCTGGGGTCACAGGATCCCTTCAGTGGGAAAGGAAGTGAGAGGGAAGAAGCTCCTGGTACGGTCGCCATTACCAGCCAAGAAGCTCCGTAGTTAGGGAGCTCCATCCTACACATATATGGCCCAGCTCAGCACCTGCACACTGGACAGCAGGGTCGGATACCAGGCCACCCATCTCCGCCAAAATCTGCTGGGGTCTACTTCAAGCCCTGGCCATACAGTCCCTCAAGGGAGAAAGGGAGCAGGTCTCTAACTCCAAGGCAGGACCTGCAGCCCATCTGCCCTGCCATCTCCAGGACCCCCACAGCCATGCCATGACCAGACCACTGAGGGGAAACAGCTTTATTTCCACTCTGCCTTCTCTTCTCAGAGGCTACCAGACAAACATGGACTGGGAGAAGGAGGAAGGCGATGCTTACCCATACTACGTCTACGGTGCAGCCTGTTCTGAGGTTGAAGTTGACTGCCTGACGGGGGCTCACAAGGTAGAATGATGCTTGTACACCCCACCTTCGCAGGGTATGAACACACACTGTCGTGTTTCTGTACTGTAAGTAACAACCAACTTGACCTGACAGGGGACAGGTAGATAATCTTTGTTGTTATAGTCGTTTTTTTTTTTTTTTTAAGCCCTTTTCAGTAAATAACATTGTCCACTGTATATTTCCTCCCTTGGTAAAGCTCCTGAGGACCGACATCTTCATGGATGCTGCCTTCAGCATAAACCCTGCCCTGGATATTGGGCAGGTATGTGACTCCGGGCCACACCCAAAGGGACTTTGTCAATTCCGTTTGTAGGAAGATTGCAAGTTTGAGGTTAGCCTGGGCTACGTAGAAAACTGTATCTGAAAAGACAGAGAGAAAAAGACAGGGAAAGGAGGAAGGAAAAAGAAAGGGGAGGAAGGAGGAAGAGGGGGGGAGGGAGGGAGGCAGGGAGAGAGGGGCCTCAGGGAGGTGCCAGTGTTCATGTGGAACTTGAAAGGTGAACAGGAGTTTTCCAGGTGGACACGTGAGGTAGGCCATGTGAGAACAGTCAGGAGAAAACGTACGTACAAACTTGGAGTTGAGAAGGATCATGTGACAGGATTTGGAACATGGACAAGGCAATGTGAGGGCCCAAAAAACGAAGCCAGGCAAGATGGCAGTGGCAGCTTCTCAAGGACACTTGGTAAAAGCTGCCACAGAGCTTTGGAGAGTGGCTTCCTGTGACTCAGAGCTCCGCTTTCATTCCCACTACACTATCTATTCAGCCAATACCATAGGCTTCTCACCCACAAAACTGTGCCCACAGATCGAGGGAGCATTTATCCAAGGCATGGGACTCTACACCATAGAGGAGCTGAAATATTCCCCAAAAGGCGTGCTCTATTCTCGGGGTCCAGATGACTACAAAATCCCCACTGTCACCGAGATCCCGGAAGAGTTCTACGTCACTCTGGTGCACTCTCAAAATCCCATTGCCATCTACTCATCTAAGGTAAGAGTGGACGACCTCTGTATTCACTGGGAGAGGCCAAGTCAGTGGGTCCTTAATACCACAACCCGGAAGCTTACACAGAGGTTTGTTCCCCTGAAGTCCAGTGAGATATTTGCAGACTTGGTTTCTTGAGTCCTACTTCCTTTGACTTACTGATCTGTGTCCCGCTGTCCCCTGTGTCCCTGTCACACTGGACAAGGGCCTAACCGAATAGCCTCATTTTAACTTAAGCAATTCTTAAACAACCTCACCTCTAAATGCAGCCTAGGGACTGAGAGGTTAGCCCGTCAACACGTGTTTAAAGAGAGACAGAATTCAGCCCTTAACAGCCTCCTCCATCAAGAGATCATGAAACAGGCTATTCAATTTGCTTTTTCCTTTGACTTGTAAGTCCCCAAAGGCAGAGTGGTGATGCTCACAGACTCCAGAAACCCACGCAGAGTCTCCACTCTGAACCATGAAACAAACTGGAATCCAGTCAGGCGTGTGGCGGAGTCTCTGGGCATCTCAGTCCACTAGGCTGAGGTCACTAGCAGAGAGACTGACACTATCTGCAAAGTCCAGCAGCTCAAAGCTCCTTTGTCTCCAGCCTCCACACCTGTCCCGTAGAATCTCTCCCCCCTGCAGCCACACCCCTTCCAAACCAGGGTGGGGTTTCAGCTAGCTCCACCCTGGCTCTTTGCTCTAAGTGTCCGTGGTCACTCATTCTTGAGGTATTGGCTCCCTGCTTTCTAGAGCATATAGCCTTTAACTAGCCACTATCTCCAACTCCGGGGCATCTGACACCCCCTTCTTGCCTCCATAGACATCCTCATACAGGTGGCCCTCTGTTCTGTCTCCAACATTGTAAAAGAAAAAAATTAGCTGAAAGACAGGTACCCTGGAAGGACATGGTCTTCAGGGCTCTACTTGATAGGAAAACAAGTGTTTTTAGATGCCTGCTTTCCTAGGGCATTTTCACCAGGTATTCTCATAAGAACCCCACTCACAAATTACAGTGAGGGCCTAGTCTCAGCAACTCAGATACACTCCTTCTTGAGAGTGATAAAGCCAGAAAAGTGTGCGCGTGCATGCGTGCATGCATGTGTGTGAACTAAACCTATAGCTAGAGTTTTCCTGCCTGGCCCACAGTCAGGACAAATCTCTGTCACCCGCCAGTCCCACAGCCACTCAGACCCGACCAAGTAAACACAGAGACTTATACTGGTTACAAACTGTATGGCCGTGGCAGGCTTCTTGCTAACTATTCTTACAGCTTAAATTAATCCATTTCTATAAATCTATACCTTGCCACATGGCTCATGGCTTACCGGTATCTTCACATTCTGTTTCTCATCATGGCGGCTGGCAGTGTCTCTCTGACTCAGCCTTCCACTTCCCAGCTTTATTCTCCTCCTTGTCCCACCTACACTTCCTGCCTAGCCAATGGCCAATCAGTGTTTTATTTATTAACTAATTAGCAACACATTTGCCATACAGAACATTCCACAGCACTTCCCCCTTTTTTTTTCCAAAAGGAAGGTTTTAACCTTAACAAAGTAAAATTGCATACAATTTGGGAATTTGGGCGTAGCTTCTCTTACTACTTCCTGCTGGAGGGGGGCGCTGTATCTTATGGGGAAACAAAGAAAATTTTAGGATTATGGAATAGTCCATGAGGGTGTATCGTCTGAGCCAGTTGCCTTCAAACCATTCTGGATGTTGGATTATCTGGGCCATGGTGTCATCGGAGACCTTTCAGGGGGTCTTGGCTGGTCAAACCTGATGTGTCTTAATCTGGAACAAATCCATAGCCTCTGGCTTTCTGTGGAAACAAAAGCAGAGTCTCCTTTCCAAAGTAACATATCCTTATATCCAAATTTTGAAGTCAAGGTACCTTTAAAATATACATTTTGGCATAACTCAACAGCTTTTACAATCAAATGTTTTTCTGCAGTTAAAAGTCCCAAAGACAACACAATGCAGATTCTCTGTGTAATATCCATTTTTACGTGGCTTATTTTTTATACTACCTTTACTGTCTCTTTAAAGACTTTATTTTTTAAAACTATGTATTTGTTTCTATAACTCTATATATCATCTTTTTTGTCTCTTTCAAGCCTACGTATCTTTTACACACATTGTAAACTATTACATCTGAATCTGTCTTATTGTGAATCTATTGCCTTAAACTGCAGCAGCTGTGGCTGCTGGCTCCACCCACCTCAGCTTCCCAACATGGCCATGGTTTACCGCCAGCTCTGGGAGCTATCAGGGGTCTATGCTTTTAGCCAAGCAGCGTGTAGCCCAGAAACCTCCCCTTTTGCTCTGCACCAGCAAAGGCTAAATCCACCATGCAGCTCAAAGTGCCACTTGCAAAGGCCTCATTCCCGCCATAGGCAGGTCGAGCACGCACGCTAGGAACCCACCAGTAGCTCAAACCAGCAGCTGCCGCTCATTTGAGAGAGACAATTAGGAACTGTTTTTAGCTCCGTTTTAGAATCTTTTCTCAGGTTTTAGGTGGAAACTCTTGCCACCACGTTGGACACCATTTGTAGCTAGAGTTTTCCTGCCTGGCCCACAGTCAGGACAAATCTCTGTCACCCGCCAGTCCCACAGCCACTCAGACCCGACCAAGTAAACACAGAGACTTATACTGGTTACAAACTGTATGGCCGTGGCAGGCTTCTTGCTAACTGTTCTTACAGCTTAAATTAATCCATTTCTATAAATCTATACCTTGCCACATGGCTCATGGCTTACCGGTATCTTCACATTCTGTTTCTCATCATGGCGGCTGGCAGTGTCTCTCTGACTCAGCCTTCCACTTCCCAGCTTTATTCTCCTCCTTGTCCCACCTACACTTCCTGCCTAGCCAATGGCCAATCAGTGTTTTATTTATTAACTAATTAGCAACACATTTGCCATACAGAACATTCCACAGCATAAACCTAAAGAACATTGCATTTCTAACTACCTTTTATGCTTTTCTCAGGGACTGGGTGAGGCTGGAATGTTCTTGGGATCCTCAGTTTTGTTTGCAATATATGATGCAGTGACCGCTGCCCGCAGGGAGCGCGGGCTGAGCGACACCTTCCCCATGAATAGCCCAGCAACACCTGAAGTGATTCGCATGAGCTGCACAGATCAGTTTACGGACATGGTAAGAGAAGTCCATACTGTCATCACCCCATGCGCGGACTTTAAGGTTCTGGATATGGATATCATAACCATGACAACATTGCTGGTCATGCCCATCTTTTCCAATGAAAAGTCTCCTTTTGCCTCCACTCACCACTTCCCACGTGCCTCCAAACATCTTCAGAGGCTGGCACACTAATAGCAAAGGGACGTGGCAGATTGCTTTTTTAAATATTTTATCAAAATGCAATTGATATGGCCTTTTGATTACCTCATTTACAAGATCTCTGGCCTGCTCAATTATGCAGAAAGTATCTGTTAAGCAAACTAATAAAAGTAAATTTAAATGAAATAATCAGGTTCCTAGGCACACTTTTCCATGCCTTGCTGCTACACACTACATAGGACACTGTTCCATTTGCCAGCTGCAAAAATTATACCCAGAACTGTTGCAGAAAGCATCTCTCCATGGCACTGCCTCCTTCAGCCAAAGGGACTCATGGATAGAAAATCCGGCAGCATGGTGTGCTCTGGAGACTAGGGCAGCACGTGGTTCTAGGTCATCCCAAGCATAAGAAGTTTATCGGGGTAAGAGCTGGGGTGTAGCTCAGTGGTCAGCATTCAAGAGACCCTGGATTCCATCCCTGACACCAAAACAAACAGAAAAGACAGGATCCAGGCCTGGTGACACATACCTGTAATCCCAGCACTTCAGAAGCTGAGGCAGAAACATCACAAGTTCAAGGCCAACCTAAACTATGCAGAAATACCCTATCTCAAAAAATACGAGCACATGTGTGAGATGTGTCTTATGAAGGGAAGTCTGTGACTACATGGTTGAAGTAAATATGAAAACTATATAACTCTGATAAAAAGAAAAATTGATATCAACTTAGTTCTGTTTTCAAATGCCTTCAGATTATAACACTTTTCATGGAATAATACCTTGTTAATCTTCCATGTTTTGATCTTTTTTAGATTCCCAGAGATGACCCTTCAACATTCACACCTTGGTCCATCCACGTGTCTTAATCTCCTGCCTTTGAGGAAATACAGCTGATTCACCAGCCTCAAATCAGATCAGCATACAAGTTGACAAGAATTTGTCAAGCATGATTTTACTAATTTTAGTTATTCTCTGTAGTAAGGTTATTGTGTGATTACATTTTAGGGTGCAGATTTTGAACAAATAGTGTAACAAAACTTAAAATCCAATTCTGATTTAGTTTTCATTATCCTGGAAATCTGCATCATGGTACTTTTTAAACCTGGTGATGTTCCTTTAACCTGGGGTGGCTTAGGAGGACCTCCCTGTGTTTTGTTTCAAACAGCTGTGTTCAAAACCCAACAAAACTGCCCATCCCAAAACTCCCTGGATTGGAGTCTCCCAAAACCACACCTGAAAAACCCATTTTACAGTACCTGCCATTTCCTGTGGTATAAACACCATCACAAGGGCAAACTATAAGCCCTTGGGGAATCTGGATACACAGCTGGAGAGAGGAGCCCACTCTGGACTCCTGGGAGTGGCTGAGAGCTGTGTCTGCACTCAAGTCCCCAGGATCTGCTCTGGTGTGAATACAGCTCATTTCCAAAGGTGTGAGCTGGCAGCTCGGTCTCCGAGGGTGGTGTCAACTGTAAGAGGTGGAGTCTATCGAGAAGTGGTTAGTGAGGGCATGAAAGCTGGAATGGACTAGTTCCCAAAACTATGACAGAGAGGAGGGCCTCACCAGATGGGCAGTCATGTGACCTCACCTCTAACCTATGAGCCTATAAACTCTTTTCTTGATGAAGTATCAAACCTCTGGCGTTTTGTTACAACAACACGAAACGATTGAAAGCACCATCAGAAGCTTCCAAATGACAACCCTCATCATCATGAACTATGTACGTGATAGAGAATCTTCCTCGCCTAGACGACCACACTGAGCAGAGAGCATCAATCCAGGCCACTCTTGTATGGTTTTGGTTTGGGCTTAATGGCCAAGAGGTGATATCGGAACCACTTCCTTTTACCACCAAAATAACACAAATCAACAAAGTTCCTTTGCTTTTTGGCTCCTCTCGACCTATCTTACATTGCATCTTTTCCAAGGAAATGTACCCTAGGGAAGTGTAAAAGTAGAAATAAACAAACCAAATCTGTTGTCATGGATCTGTGTAGACATAAATGACTGTAGCTGTGTGGTTAACAGGCGTGAGACCAGACTTTAAAAGAACAGGCTGCGGGGCTGGAGAGGCGGCAAAGAGGGGGAAAGTGTTTGCTGTGCAAGCATAAAAACCTGAGATCCTGGCACCCACAGAGAAAGTCAGCCAGGGCTCATGCCCCTTTAACCCCAGCACTATGAAAGGTTTAGGGGCTTGTTGGCTGCCAGCCTAGCTCAAGGTTCAGTGAGAAGGTCTGTCTTAAAGAAATAGGTGGAGAGGAAGAGAGCAGGGTACTCAGTACACTACCCTGACCTCCATAAATGTGCACACACACACACACATACACACACACACACACACACACACACACACACACCAAAATAGGAAGCAGAGACCAGAGACCAGCAGGAGAAAGGCTCACCAGTTGCTGGGTCCTTCCTACTACAAAGTGTGGGTGCATGCATGTGCCTTTAAGTGTTTAATTTAATCTTTTAATTCCCCCAACAATCTACATTTCCTGGAACCTAGCCCGCAAACTTATTATGTCTGAACAGCAACAACAGTCTTGCTGCATAACATGCTTTGGTCATAGAACACAGAGGAAATTGTGAAAACCGAGTGAAAGCCTCCCTAATGGCTAGCCCTCAGAAGGGGCCGTGCAAGCTGGGGGCAGGGGCGGGGGGGGGGGGGGGGGGTGGGGGGGAACATGACACTGGGGTTTGGAGGGGGCTGTGGGGGGAGTGAGTCTTCATTCTCAGCTGTGGGTCCTCAGAGCAACATTACTGACAGACCCCCCCATGAAATAGGCATGGTGGTGCACACTTCAATCTCAGCACTCGGGAGGCAGAGCCAGGCAGATCTCTGTGAGTTCGAGGCCAGCCTGGGCTACAAATCGAGTTCCAGGACAAACAGGGCTATACAGAGAAACCCTGTCTCAAAAAAAAAAAAAAGAAAAGAAAAAGAAAAAGAAAAGAAAAAGAGAGAGAGAGAGAGACAGACAGACAGACAGGCTCTGTGTAGCCCTGGCTCTCCTGGAACTCACTCTGTAGACCAGGCTGGCCTCAAACTCACAGAGCTCAGCCTGCCTCTGCTAGGATTAGAGGTGTGTGCCACCACCGCCCCACCCACCCCACATATTATATACTCTTAAAAACCCTGCACTTACCCATTTAGATTTCTCTTCATTTTTCTTATCGAGGTTGTTTTTGTTAGATTGTACACACACACACACACACACACACACACACACACACACACACACACACACACACACACACACACACACACGGTCACTCACTAGATATGTTTTTACACCAGTAAGGATCTTCTTGCCTCTCAGTCTCAGAAAATGCACGTTTGCTGCCCCCTAGTGTTAGCCGAGATCTTGGTGTCAAGATGACTCTATTTCCTTCATGGAAAACCTACCTTGCTGGGGATGTGGCACAATCAGTGATTTCCTAGAAGCATGAAGCCCTGGGTTCAGTCCCTGCACTGCATGAACTGAGCATGGTGACAAGCATCTGCAATTCCGGCACTCAGGAGGGGAAGCAGGAGGATCAGGAGTTCAAAGTCATCCTCCCAACAGCGAGTTTGAGACCCGCCTGGGAAACATGAAACCCTGTCAGAGAAAGGGAGAGACATAGAGATAGAGACAGAGAGGAGCGGATTCCTAGAACCCTGTCTTTGGGGTTGAAAGTGGCCTCAGGCTTTGTATCTCCAACCCAGCCCAGAAATTTGGAACATCCAAATCTCTGGAGTCAAATCACTCCTGCTCAGAGGAAATAACAAAATAACGACATTTCAGTGAAACACAACTGCATCTGAAGAACACGCAAAGCACGTTGGCATTCTTAGAGACATTTTTTCTCACCAATAAATTGAATTTAACCAGTTTGTTGGTGAGATGTAAGTCCTAGTCTGGTGAGTACTTAATACCCACTTTTTAAAACAAGGGAGGGGGACAAATGTTTCATTTGGGCTTGAAGGTGATAAAAAAGCATTAACGGCTTTTGGTCATGTCTTGGGAGAGATGGTTGGGGGCCGTGAGTGGAGTCTCTTCCCACTTCGCCTCTCAGAGGTTTCACGTGGCCAGAGTCACGTTAGCTTGTAACTCATTTAACCTGTGCCCCTAGGAGATGGGATCTCTCCTTTTCCTTTCATTAATTCCCTGTCGGAGGCTGCTCGCTACTTCAGTCAGTACCCAAGAGAAACAGGGAGTGGCAGCTTTTAAAATCTAAAAGCTTCAAGAGAGCCAGAGCGCCAGCCTGGCACCAGAATTGGGGAACCTGGTGGTTGCATCTCACCTCAGCCCCTGGATTTATTCAGCTGGTTAGGAGTCTACTCCAAGCCCCTGGTAGGAAGACATCTGTCCCCTCCCCTTCCTCTCTTGGAGCTCTCCATCAAGGGGATGAAGCAGCCGCCAGCTGGCAGCCAGTCGTGGCCCCCCTTTTATACAAAGCAGCAGAGTTAGGTTAACAGATTTGCAGGAGACAGAAGTACACATGGAACAAAGGACCGAGGTATGTGGGGCCAAGGTGTCAGAGCAAGGGAGCCAAGGGGAGCCGGCAAGAAGTTCCATGGTCTCAATCCAAGGGAGGGGAGTCCATGTCTTACTGACCACGACGAAGAGGGAGTGAATAGGGCTGTAACCGGAACCCCCAAAGATGTCACCTGGATCCCATCTGACCTCCCCTTGACCCCTTGATCATTGGTGTGATAAGCTGCTTGAGGTGGGGCAAGAACACATGGAAAAAACCGAGAGGAACGAGGATGCACGAGGACGCACACTCAGCATGGAAGACATGCTGCTTTGGGAGCATATGGAGGAACCAGAGGGAGAATGTATCCCTGGTGGGACCTTGCCTTGTGGCCCTACGTGAGGGCCGCGTGGGCCAGGGCCAGAGGGTCTGCACTTCCCTTTACACTGGTGGAGCAGTCAGTCACACACCCCAGAAACCAAGTTGGAGGGGGGGGAAACCTTGTATGGAGCATCACCCAGTTGGAAAAGCACCCGGCTGGGACCCTTGGGATTCTGCACGCGGATGCCTGCACACGGTCCAAGGTGGTGTCACTGCCTCCATTTTGGTCATAGGCCTGAGTGCCCAGCCTTTCTAAATTCCTTTGCTCTCTTCCTCAAAATATAAGCAGAGGTCTCCCTGGCTTCAAGAGAGGGTGGTGGTGAGGGAAAGAAGGGGGACTCGTGGCACCCAGGAAAAGAAGAAAAGGAATTAAACAGTGTGGTTTACATCCTACTCCATGGTCATCAGGTACGGACACGTGGAGGAAGTCCTGCCACTGTCTCCAAGGGAGAGAGCCTGGGAGAAGCAGGTTCAAGGCCTTTTCCTTCTCCCAGGGAAGCAGAGTACCAAAGCAATGGGGTTTACAGGTAAGGAGAAAGACAGAAAGATGGAGCCTGGAAACTAAATTCCCCCAGATGAATCACAGCTGAAGAGTAACCACGCAGGGTCTGAGGGACCGGAGAAGCTGCCCCAATGGCAGATGGGCAACTGTCCTGTCCTCCGTGGAGCACATTTGAGCCTCCTTTGTAGTTACTGAATACATTATGGAGAATCAAGGTTCTCTCTTAGGAGTTTTTAGTTTTATTGACAAAGAATTTGAAAACAAATTTCATGGACCAGTGAGAGGGCTCAATGGGGAAACCAGCCACATAGGCTGGTTACCTGAGTTTGAGCCCCAAGACCCACATGATAGAAGGGGAGAACTGGCTCCTGCAAGTTGTGCTTTGACCTGCATACACACACACACACACACACACACACACACACACACACACACACACACACACACATACTAGTGGATGTGGTTTTAAAAACAGATTCAGAAGGAAGTTTGAAGACCATTTTGTTAGCGTTTGAGGCAGAAAAAGAGGGAAGGAACACTGTAAATCCTGGCAGTGACGGGGAGATAGAGAAGGAGAAGAGGAAGAGAGAGCGTCGATGTGGCTTTTGTGTTAGGGTCAGCAAAGGAATCTGCCAGCAGCTCCTCCCACCTAGAAAGGTGGGACCGGGGAGGGTCTCCAGAAATAACGGAAAGAGTGCCAGGGCAAGCATGTTTAGGGTTTGGCTAGTATTCAAAGTTAGACATCGAAAGGAGAACAGGAAAGCTACACTTTTATTAGAACTTAGGAAACCTGTCAGGCTTAGCAATGCAGATCTGTAATCAACCAATCCTGCTTTATCGGCCCTTCTTTCTCCTATCCTAGCCTAAGGCGGGTCCCAAGTCTCTTACCCTGCTTTTCATGGTCCCCACCACTGTGTGTCTTTGATCTAGGCAGGGACGTATTTAAGGCACTTGGCTTTGCAGTCTGATCTACTAATCCTGGTCTACCACCTGAGCTGGTCTGTTCTTCTCTAGAAGTATTGGCAGGGGAGGTATCAGTTTAATGTCCTTTTTATACTCAAGTTGAGATGCTTTTCCTGCAACAACTCTTGCTGGGATTGGGTCCCATCTATTTTGAACGATTCTGTCTCTAGCTATTGGGTCTGCAGTAGTTCCCAGGGCAGCACTGACTGACTAGACCAACAAATGTGTTCTTTCACAACTGAAGAAGCTAGAAGTCCAAAATCAAGTTATCACCAGGGCCATGCTTCCCCTAAAGGCTCTGGGAACAATTCTTCCCGGCATCTCTCCAGCCATGGCAGTTGTCAACAATCCTGGCCTTCTGTGTCTTGAAGGCCCTTCATTCTGATCCCTGCCTCCACCTTCACAGGGCCATCTTCATTCCATGTATATTTTACTCCAAATCTTACTTCCCTTAAATGGCACCAGTCACAGGACTTGGGGGATATTCTTCTCCATCTTCACTTGACTATATATATGATGACCCAGTTCACAAATAAAATCACCTTGAGAACATAGTTCAAGTCATAATAACCCCTGCTTAATTTTTCTAATACATCAGCTCACTGGACTCCAGCTCATTTATTGAAATACCTTAAGAGGCACTAGCCACAAGATTCAAAAGGCAAAGTGGTCCTGATTCAAATCCATCCCACCCACCCCCAGCACAACAGAAGCCCTCAGCAGGTGGAGGAGACCTCCCAGCCTTAAAGATCTTCCAACTCCTCACACCCAGACTTCAGGGCAAGAAGGGGTCAGTCCAACCTGTGGTACTCCCGACCTCCTACTCACACTAATCTCGAACTTTCCCTCCATGCCCCAAGGACCAAGGTTTACTCCAGATCCAAAGTTTATGGGATGCTGATACGTAAGCATTCCCCTGCCCCAGCTTCCCACAGACTCAGCAGCCACCTGCTTCAGCAGAGGTAGAAGTTCAAACAGGGAGAAGAAAGGAAGGGACTTCATAGCCATAAAGGTTGAAAACAAAAGATTTTGGCTAGGGCATTTAATGATCTACCTAAGATCTCAAGGTTCTAAAAGCATATACTATGTCTGTCTGTCTGTCTGTCTGTCTGAGTCCCGTCTCTGGGTTTTACATTCTACTTTCTGTTTGGTTTTTGTTATGGGCCATCTTGGGAATTGAGCCCAGAGCCTCAAGGATGGTGGGCAAGAACTCTACCATTGACCTACATCCCTAGCCCTATATTTGGGTTTTAAAGAGTTCAAAACACAAGAAAGTCAGTACTTTTCCATTTACATCAGCAAGCAAGATATGTTACTCCCCACCCCCAAATGGAAGATGAACTTCTTTATTGGCTGACGAGATGTGTGAGTCAGCATTCTGTTACTATGACAACATACCTGAGAAAAACAACCAGGAGAAGGACAAGTTTGCCTTGACTCAGCTTCTGATGTTTCAATCATTTGACCTAGTTGTTTCCAGGCTAGTGAGGCAGGACATCATGGAAGGGAAACATGGTATAGAAAGCTGCTCACCTAAGGGTGGCCAGGAAGCAGAGAGCACAAAAGTAGGAAGGATTGGGAGTAAGCAAGAGAGGAGAGGGAGAGGAGGGAGAGAAGAATACATAGGAGAGGAAGGGAGGGTGAGTGAGGAGGGGAGAGGAGAGGGGAGAGAGAGGGAGGGCTAGGGATAAGATAAAGATATACACATCAGTCATGGCTCCATTGACCTTTCTCCAACTAGGTCACACCTCCTAATAACTTAACTATTTAAGTTACCATTTAGCTATGAACTCATCGGTGATTTAACCCTTCCAGGAAGTTAGTGCCCTTATGATCCAATCCCCTTAATAATGCTACCTACCATAGAGGGGAACCAAGACTTAAGCACATGAGCTGTGGGGGACATGTCACAGTCAAACTATAGCAGAGGACTCTTTGATATAAATCACAGGACCTTTGTTATAGCACACATTCAAGTACCTGGGTCATGGAGAAAAGGTTTCACTTACCAAATAGGACAATCCATTTTAAAATAAAGAAGTTTAGGTCTAGGGTGTAACTCAGTGGTAAAACACTTGCCTCATAAGTAGGAGGTTCAGTCCTCAGCAGAACGCACACACACACACACACACACACACACACACACACACACACACACACACACACAGTCTTCCTTTAGAGAATTACAGTACACATTCCTGATGACACACCACACTTTTGCTATAAGACATAGAGAAGTCCGACTCAAACTGACTTGAAAATGTCCCCAATGCTGGCTTGTTTCCACAGTGCTAGAAGGTGCCATGCCCATCAGTGAACTTTAAACACTACGATACTGACCTGCCAGGCAAGAGGTGCCCATGAGTGTTATAGTGGTGTGAAGGTTATGGGGGTAACCAACTGCTTTCTCATCCGATCTGAGGCCTGTTCCGCAGGAGGGAATTCAGGCCTGGTACTGTAGGTAAACCTGGTCAAAAGCCCACGGCTCCGGATGTCATAGACCCTAGGAGGGAACCTACTACTATTATTTTACTAAATTAATAATGCTGTCAAACTGCCTTCTAAATATTTATATCTGTACTCACAGTTCATGCTACCTTTCTGTGTTGGACAGCAGTTAATGCAGAGACTATTAACTGGCCAAGGTGCTGAGAGTAGGTGACTTTTGGATGTTCGGCCCTAAATGGGACATTTCTATCAACGCCCCCCCCCCCACCCCGACCCCCACCCCCACCCCCCGCTACAAGGCTGAGGGAACATCTCAGGAAAGGGAGTAAAATGCTATGAAATGCTGTGTTCTTAACATGACTCAGGCATTATGTTCTTAACGTGACTCAGGCATGAACTCACAGCCATTACAGTTACCTACATTTATGCTACCTTATGGCCTAAGATCAAGCCAACAAGACCACTCAATATTTCAGTTCCTCTAATTGGATTCAGTGGGTTACAAAATTTTTAAAAATTAAGGATCTAGCCGGGCATTGGTGGAGCACACCTTTAATCCCAGCACTCAGGAGGCAGAGCCAGGTGGATCTCTGTGAATTTGAGGCCAGCCTGGTCTCCAAAGCGAGTTCTAGGAAAGGCGCAAAGCTTCACAGAGAAACCCTGTCTCAGAAAAAAAAAAAAAAAAATTAAGGATCTGAAGGTGGGAAGGGTGGTACTAAGGGCAGAGGCAGAGGGAGTAGAGGAGTTGGGATAGAGAAGATTAAGATACATTGTATCCATGTATGAAATTGTCAAAGAACAAATAAGAGATTAAAAGTTTTTTCTAAGCATGGAAAACAGATGGTTGCTCTGTCCCAGTGTCCTGAATAAGACCTGAGAGTGAAGAAAAACTTGGAAAATGTGTGCATCTCACCCTCTCACCACAGAGCCTTTGGCTCATTCTAAAGTGGACAGTTTCCAAACCGAGCAGCGGAGCACCACGGGGGCTTGTGGCAGGGGTGAAAGCCAGGGCCTTGCAGGCCTCACCCGGTGGCTCCCCTGGCTACAGACGCACTTTTTCCCTCAGTCTGTTTACCTCCCAAGAGTTCGTGCAAACAAAAGTTTCCTTTACTTGAAAAACGCCTCTCTGGAGAATTTAGGTCGGTTTTCAGTTTCCCAGAAATTAATACATTTGTTTACCTGACCCAGAGTGCTTGCATATCACCTGAATCTAACACCTTAATCCAACTTCAGTGCACAGAACTGTTTTCTCCTCCGAATGCCTGTCCCTGGAGGGCTCATCACAGTAAATATTTTTGGAGCACCTCTATACATGTGCTTCTATCATAGGCAGCTTGGGAGCTCCGGTGCATGGCAACCCTGTGTTCTCTGCAGACTGAAGTCGCCCTCACCCAAAAGGGAGAGTAAGGGGCTGAACTGCACGTGAACCCTTAAAGCGACCCTTGCATTGTGTCCCCCTTAGACAAAAACAGCCATAGGAAGGGTCTGGGTCTCCATGGGCTCGTCTCCTCCAGCCTGCCTTCTTTATTCTCTGTTCTCGGGGATCAACTCCCACTCACCTTTCAGGCTTACTGTCTCTGTCTCGGGAAGTCTCCTCTGTTCTGGTATCAAACAGACAGGAGAGGGGGAGCGACCAAGGAGGAGGGGATCTGTAATCACTGCAGATGTGGGGGAACTTCTCCGGTCACCTGAGACTTGCTTCAGAGGCCCTGGGCACCCGGTGGAGAACTGAACACTACATCCCTGCCTTCCTGGAGTTTGTATTCTAGTGGAAAAAAGCAAAGAGAAACGGTACACAGTCACCATGTAAAGAAGCAGTGAGACAGCATGGAGGACCACACCTTTAATCCCAGCACTCTGGAGGAAGAGGCAGGCGTGTCTCCGTGAGTTCGAGGCCAGTCTGGTCTACATAGGGAATTCCAGGACAGCCAGGGATACACAGTAAGACTTTGTGAAGAGGAGGAGAAGAAGGAGGAGGAGGAGGAGGAAGAGAAAGAGAAAGAGGAGGAAGAGGAAGAGGAGGAAGAAGAAGAGGAGGAGGAAGAGGACGAGAAGCAGGAAAAATGAGGAGCGGCAGCAGCAGGAACACCGAACGCTGTCCGTGAAACAAACCAGGCTGGCAGAGCCATGGCGACAAGGGTGCTACTAGGTGATCAGGAAATGTTCAGTCCCAAGTAACGAGACGACACCAACCATGCCAAACCCTGAGAGAGCAGCTGAGCCAGAGTGAACAAGACACACCGAAGGCCCTGGGCCAGGAAGAGGGCGGCATACTCCGTGAGCAGGAAAAGGGCCAACATGGCAAGACTGTGAACGAGGGAGAGGGTGGGTAACGAGACATTCTGAGAGGTGAGTGGGGCCATAGGCTTTCCATGGCGGGCATATGGAGTTTTGTTCAACGTAATAGGGAGCCATTGGAAGAGCCTAGAGCTTTAGGCACAAGGGGGTGGGAGGGGGCTGCACTTAGCACACTTACTGAGTTTGGATTTTGTTTGTTTTATTTTTTTGTTTTTTGAGACAGGGTTTCTCTGTGTAGCTTTGGAGCCTGTCCTGGAACTCGCTCTGTAGACCAGAGTTTGGGTCTTATATCCCAGGCCTCAGAGAGCTATCAGGGGGTTTTGAACAGCAGGACATGACCAAACAGCCAACCTGGAGGCCCTGTCTAATTCACAGAGATCTCCAACTTCCCCTCCCAAAATCTTTCTCCAATTTGTTCAGAAATTTCTTAACATATGTGACTCAACCACATAGACACACCCATGTGTCTGTGTAAACTGGGAAGCTTGAAGAGCTAGCCTTTCAAATTGTCGAGAAATGTGAAAGCTGACAGCCACATCTGATTGGGCGTGTTTTCTGGAGTGACTCTGTGGCAGGAGGAAGCCACATGTGAACAGACTGAGAAGGAGGCCAGGCCCAGAGAATCTGGGTACTTCTGGCCCACAGCCATGTCACACAGTGAACGTTCATCTTAGCATCAAGGTTTTGGTGCTGGGGCTCATGACCTCATGAAGGATGCTCTAGAAAAAAGAAGACTCATCAACTCTCCCAAAACCAGACCACGGAAGCAGCTACTCACTTTACCCACATGCAACAAGCCTTGGGCATCACTTTAGTTAACCAGTGAAAACAGCATAATATTATTATAGGTGGATGCACAGTTGGAGGGTGTTTGTGTAAGCATGGCATCTTCTCATCGTGGGCTGTCTGTACACTTAGCTTTGTTTCACTTAGTTCCCAGTTACTTCTGAGACACGAACTACCCGTCATGTCTGCACTAGCCCCAGTACATCTTCAACAGATCATGCTTTTCCAACAACTCTGTCTTGAGCAGACAGAAGCAAGAAGGACGTAGCGAGTCCAAGTGGGTGTGACACCGCACTCTTCACCTAAACTGGAGCACAGACTGAATTCATCTGCAGGTTTTCCTACGAGGCCTCCTTTACTCTGAAAGAATGGGAAACAAGCAGAAAAAGTGGGGCGGGTGGGGTCTTGGAAGTCTACCTTCTACGGCTAGCTTTCTGAGAAGGGTGAAGTCCACCAGGATTGAGGCAGGGTGCTGGGGTGAGACAATGCAGAGTGGGTTTAAGCTTAGGTAGTTGTTTGTGGATTTCTCACAACACTCTCAGATTTCAGAGAAAGCAAGAGGAGGTATAGGCTGCATCCTGGCTGAGCCAGCTTCAAAGCCAGGGCTGGTGGGAGGTGAGGAATCGGATTAGAGGAGGCCACACAGGGCTCTGGGCTTTAAAAGGCCCTAAAGCAGAAACTCTCCACCCCCAGCTGTCCTTGCTGGGGCTCAAGGCTGCCTGCTTCCACTCAGGGAGAATTTTTAGTTGTTTCCACCTGGCTCCTTTCTGTTCACTTCTGTAGCTGGTATCGGAAAGGGTTTCTGCCTAGAGCCGGGAGGCGAAGCTTACTACAACTATGCCTTGCCCATCCCAGAGCTCCGATGAGCTGGTGTTCTTTGTGAACAGGAAGAAGGTAAGTGGTGGGCGGAACTAGCACTGTGGCTTGCAGAGGGAAACCCCTGGCTCCAGGGGCACTCTGAGGAATCTGGACTGGGCCTCTCAGTCCAGGACAAGAAGCCCAGGTTTAGGAACCCATCCTGACTTGCCTCTCTCCTCTCAGTCAACACTTGGGTCCTGGCAATGAGGAAAGGCAGGAAAGCCTTGGGGTTCCTCGCCCCCGCGCCCCCCGGGTGCAGTCAGTCAATTCTTTCTGGCCCTGCACTTTATTGTATCACCCGACACAAATGACTTCATGTCCCTGAGCTCAGAGTCCTCCCGAGGCTTCCGCTTCCCACGGCTGCCAGTAAAAAAAATGGGAAGAAAGCTGCACCTGTCCTTGATCAGGCAGCAGTACACCCTGTAACATGGTTTGCGGTTCAAATTTCAGAATTTTTTTTGATGGAAACGGATCCGTCGTTTTTCTATTTATCAGATCTCTAGAGCAGCGGTTCTCAACCTTTCTAAGGCTGTGACCCTTTAAATCAGTTCCTCATGTTGTGGTGACCCCCAACCATAAAATTATTTTCATTGCTACTTTATAACTGTAATTTTGCTACTACTGTTACGCATCGTAGTGTAAGTATCTGTTTCCCAATGGTCTTAGGCCACCCCGGTGAAAGGGTCATTAGACAACCCTCTGAGGGGTCGCGGCCCACAGGTTGAGAGCTGCTGTTCTACGGAGTCTGCACCATACAGAAGTGTTAAAATATAAGTGCAGTCATCGTGGAGGCCCCTCTTTCCCTGGGTTGCAGCCTGTTCTGAGGCAATATATGGACAAGGACAGAACCTCTCCGTTGCTAGTCCCTGAGAACCCCTTCCTGGCCTCACCACCCCCTCACACAGGACGCCGGCTACTTTTATACTGCCCAGGCCCTTCTTGTCATGAGTTCCCTTCTATCTTCCAAGGGTAATAGCTTTTCTGGAGTCTCACCGTCTCCTTCCAAGGGCCTTTCAAACCTCTGACCATGCAAACCTAACCAGGACTCAGTCGCGTCTACCCCACCTCAGGAGCTGGCCCAAGGAAGCAGCCAGAGCCCTGCAGGGCTCCTCCTTGGCCTGCACACATTCCTTCCTGAATGCAGCCTCCTGGGCAACCACTGCCACATCCTTCTAAGCCATCACAAGCTGAGTTATAAATGGAGTTTTCCATTGGGTTAGGCTTTGGAGACCCAAAAGCCAGAGGGGGCACCTTCCTCCATCAGTCTCAGGTCGAACTATGAGTCCAGAATGACATGACTATAGTCAGGACAGAGAATAAATCAAGAAACAGACAGAACGGGAGGGGAGGGGAGGGGAGGGGAGGGGAGAAAAGTCTGTGTGGTGGGAGTCTATGGATAGTTTGTATGGGGGTGTGGGCATTGATCACATTCTCAGAAGCTGTTTTTAAAGGGTGAGAGTAAAGACCACAGAGGCGAGGCCTGTTCCATCGATGAGACACCTCCCCGCAGCCCCAGGGAATGAGTGAATGAAGTATCTTCTACCTTAGAAGCCTCTTCCATAGATTTCTATTCTTTGAGGTATGCAGAAGTGAGTGTCTCCCTTCAGAGGAGAGAGGAAGAGGCTAGGGTTGGCCCACTGAACTCTCCTTTCCTGTCAAATGACACCCCACGTTCCTGTCACACAGCAGAGTGGCCAGAGGTGTTCACATGACACCCCAAGGCAAAAGCGAAGTGACAGAAATGGGGGACAGGAAACAAGGAAGTTGCCAGGTGACTTTTGGTGTGAACACCCCACTTTCCAAAGGAAGAGACGGGGGGATCCTAATGTCCCACTAGAGCCACCCTGGGTCTTGAGGAGGGTGTCAAGGCTCACCAAAAGGCCACTCAAATGTTAAGGGACCAGCAGGCCCCAGAGTGTCTCCAAGATAACAATCACTTTCCCCAGTGACTTTCTGTGACAAACTCCAGACCTCTGAGGTCATCAAATGTTTCCTACAGCCGTCCCAGAAATGGCAGTAATGTCCCACCTTCCTTCCACCCAGCCTTCCTCCCTGTGGGACCCACTCTAACAAACATAATCCAAGTTTAAAATACTTCCAAAGACTCAGCTGGGAGTTTCCACGAGCCAGATGGCAGAGCAAATATGAAAAATGCCCAGTGCAAGTCCCCAGGGATCGTCACACCACAGTGGCTCCTGACTCCTGCCTGCCCCACAGAAACACACTTCGCTCCACTGGCCTCGTGAAGCTCCTTCCCTGTAAATGCACATGGAACACCGATTCCCCTCAGATCAGGTCTGGTCTGCTACATCCCACCTCCTAGAGCAAACAGATCAAGCAGGACCACCGCAGACATCCTCCTGCATCATCCGTTCAATCCCGTAATCTCTCCTGGTTCCAACGCAGGTGACAGAGAAGAATGTGGACCCAGAAGTCACTCTGCTGGCCTTCCTGAGAAAGAACTGGATCCTTTTGATCAAAATCTCAGCCATGTCTATGCATGCCATATAGAACTTAAGAACTTAAGCCGCTGTGGCGGAGAGCTGATCCAGCTCTAGCCAGCCCTTTGGCCCTCGCTTGATACTTGCTTTTGGCAGTGGCTTGAAGAATATCAGGTTAATTGGGCTGGTTTAGAGAGGAGAAAGTTTCCCAGCATTGCTTATGCGTGATTGAATAACATGAAATAAAAGCTAAGCGATTTGCTTCAGCTCTGCCCCGGGGGTGGGGAGGTGGGGGTTATGTAATAGAGACTCCGGTTGCCTATGACCTGCCCTTTGCAAAACCAAATTCTCAGATCCAGGGATTGAATAAAACAAGGGGAAAGATTTCTCTGCTTTGCATCTATTTTCTTAGACCAGATTTTCCCCGCCATCTTATATTCTGGATCCTAGATCTTCGAAGTGAGAAGTGTATTTTAATTACTCGACCTGATGGATTTCTCAGGGAAGCCAAAATATAAATAATGAAACTAAATGGCAGGAATAACATATTGATGAAATTGGCCTCTGGACAAGTTTTGTTTGGTTTCTAATTAGCCATCAAATATTTGAAAATCAGAACATTTTTATGTTTTAACCAAACAAGACTTCGTTGTGGCAAATGGGGAGGTAAGTGATTGTGCTTAGAGCTGGGTGAAGACTGTCCGTGGTCCCATCTCTGAAATAAGACTCAGGATCTCAGTTTCCCACCCAGGCTCCTCTTCACTTACATAACCCCTCTTATCCACATTTGAAGTTATAAACCAGTGGTCCCATTAGGAAAAAAAAAAAAAGGAATCCACAAGGGTGACCCCAGGTAAGACTCCTAGCAATCGTGGAGAGGGTGCCTGAACTGACCATCTCTTGTAATAAGATTGGTGACTACCCTAATTGTCATCAGAGATACTCTATCCAGTCACTGATGGAAGCAGATGCAGAGATCCACAGCCAAGCACTAGGCTGAGCTCCAGGAGTTTTTTGAAGAAAGGGAGGAGGGATTGTAGGAGCCAGAGGGGTCATGATGGGGGAACCCACAGAAACAGCTGACCTGAGTTCATGGGAGCTCATGGACTCTGGACCAATAGTTAAGGCGCCTCCATGGGACCGATCTAGGCCCTCTGCTTGTGTGTGACAGTTGTGTAGCTTGGTCTCTTTGTAATCTAGCTATGAGATCAGGACCTGTCCCTGGCCCTTAGCTTATTTTGGGGAACCTGTTGCCCATGCCCAGCCTTGACGCAAGGGGAGGAGCATGGTCCTGCCTCAGTTTGATGTGCCATACTTTGTTCAAGCCCATGGGAGGCCTGTCCTTTTCTGAATGGAGACAAAGGAGGATTGGAAGGGGAGGGGGGTAGATGGGAAAGGGGGTGTTGGGGGAAATGATTGGGAGGAGAGGAGGGAGGGGAAACTTTCATCGGTATGTAAAATAAATGGAAAAATGTTACTTAAATAAAATTTTAAAAATGATAATTCTTGGGGCTGGAGAGTTGGCTCAATGGTTAAGAGCACTGGCTGCTCTTCCAGAGGTCCTGAGTTCAATTCCCAGCAACCACGGGGTGGCTCATAACCATCTATAGTGAGATCTGGTGCTCTCTTCTGGCATAAAGACACATGCAGACAGAACACTGTATACATAATAAATAAATAAATCTTTTTAAAAAATAGTTCTTCTCCCCCAGTTACATGATTAGAATCAAAAGACATAGAATACCTTATAATGAAGTAGGGTTTGTCAAAGGAGTTTCCCCTTAAACCCTCTAAGATGTTTCTAGTGAGCCTGCCTTGGGGATGCAGTTTCGTCCTCCCTCTCCGCAAAAGGAAACAAGCCAGAACTGGGCTAATATGTCCAGGGCCACACTGCCAACCAAATGGCTTCTCAGACTGCGTCTCACCCCACAAAACCTTTCACACAAGTGACAGCCTAGGGGAGCAGGTATTGCAGAGGCCAAATGTCCACTGTGCATCGTTTCCTTGACTTCTCCCTCTCCAGTACGCCTCACAGGAACCAAGTACGCCTGTGGGACAGGAGGCTGTGGGGCCTGCACTGTGATGGTGTCTCAGCACGACCCGGTGTCCAAGAAGACAAGGTATCTCCCCAAGGTCCAGTCACCAGAGAAGTCTGTCTCTGTCTGGCTTCGGCTCTATGTGGGGAGCCATCCCACCCCCACCTGTCCCCAGGGCACGCTTGAGCAGGAGCAGCAGGAAATATTAGATAGAAATTTAGAGGGGAGAGAAACAGATAGAAAACACAGGAGAGCCTCAGGAGGGCCTGGATCCTAATCCACCGGGCCAACTGTCCCTGCCAAAGGGCTTTTAAAGGAATGCCAAGGGGTGGAGCATAAGACCTCCCTGCAACACAGCCAAGTGCAGACCATCCCAGATACGTGGTACTCAGGCCTGTGATCCGATCATCCTCTTTATGCAGACCTGCTGGGTAAAGCCACCAGGAAACCTAAATGGCCTCCAACAATTCTATAACTAAAAACGGTCAGATCCTTAGTGTTTCTCCTTCTAAGATCCCACTGAAAATCCTCGCAAATGCTGTGATCCCTCTACTCTGATAATGTCTAAGCTAATTGCCCTCTGCATAACCCTTGTGGGGGACCATGGCCTTCCCAAGGCCTCATCTGTGCACTCCAGGTTAAGAGCCAAGACAAGCCAACAGTTCATTTACTACTTGAGGGAACAGGCTCAAAAAGAAAAACTGACCTGTCCAAGGTCATCGAGCCTGTTGATCAACAACTTGAACCGGTATATTCTGGCCTGGAAGCTAAGGCTCTCTTTGCTACTGAACTGAAACCAACCTTGCAGAGCAAGGACCTGAGCCATGATCTCACCCTTTAAGTGAGAGTCAGATTCTAGAACATGGGCTTCATCCACATCATTGGTCCGAGACTGCTTTAGAACACAGACCACCCCACACTGTTGAGTACTTTACCCAGGGAGCTTAAATGAAACCAGAATGTGTTGATATGGGCAAAAGGCAAATAACCTTGGCTTGGAATGAGGTCATTGCTCTAGTGAAGACTAATAGAAGTCCAGCCACCCTTCTGGTGACCCAGGGCCATTCCTGCGGATCCTAGGTGGATCTATTTTCAGACTGTAAAGGTTCTCTGAAGTTCAGGATGTACAGGTTCACATTAAGGACCCCCAGTTCTCATAGGTGGCATAGAGTGAGCAGAAAAGGCTCTGACGTCCATGAATCTCTCACTCCTGCAGTCTCCCCAAATCATCCCTGCAGTCCCCCAATCACCCGTCCTAGACTCGGGAGGGTCTCTGCTGCCCCTTGTCATTCCTGGTTCTCCACGGGGCAGGACTACATCACTTCACTTGGTTTTCTTTGTGTCTCCCATACAAAGACACGTCTCTGTCACGGCGTGTCTGGTGCCCCTGTGCTCCCTGCATGGGGCTGCTGTCACCACCGTGGAAGGAGTAGGAAGCGTCAGTACCAGGCTTCACCCCGTGCAGGTAAGCGCTCATCTGAATCTTCTCACTTCGGGGCTTCCTTTTACCAAATGCCGAGCAGACTGTGCCACCTCCACCTTCTTGGTCACGACCAGGCACAGGGGAGCTTGGGACTCTTGATGATCGGGGTGATAACATCTACTCAGTGACTTCAGAAAAGGCTGAAACCCCACCTGCATTGGATCAAATGATCATCTCTCATCACTTTCTCTACTTGAATAATATCAAGTTATTTTTAAAACAATGTTCTGATACCTATTGTACTATAAGCTGGTGTCGAAATTGAACACAAGCTCTAGACTAAATGCCTCTGAGGGGCTGGGGATGTAGCTGTTGGTAGAGTGCTTGCCCAGCGTGCGTGAAGTCCTTGGGACTGCATAAACCTGGCACAGTGGCACACACTTATAACCCAGTACTGGATAAGTAGAGACAGAAGATCAAGAGTTCCAGGTCATTCTCTACTACATAAAGAGCTCAAGACCAGCCTGGAGCACACGAGATGCTGTATCAAAAAGTCACACCAGGGCTGGAAAGATGGCTCAGTGGTTAAGAGCACTGGCTGCTCTTCCAGAGGACGCAGGTTCAATCCTCAGCACCCACATGGCCATTTATATCAGCCTCTAACACCAGTTCCAGAGAGTCAGATGCCCTCTTCTGGCCTCCATAGACACTACACACACATGTTGCACATACACATACTCAGGCACACACATACACACACATATATATACACATGCATCAAATTATAAATATATAGAGAGAATCATACTAAAAAAATGTCTCCAAGGCTAACAGGATAAAATTTGGGGATTGCAAGCCAGGTGGTGGTGGCACATGCCTTTAATCCCAGCACTGGGGAGGCAGAGGCAGGCGGATCTCTGTGAGTTCGAGACCAGCCTGGTCTACAAAGTGAGATCCAGGACAGACACCAAAACTACACAGAGAAACCCTGTCTCAAAAAAAAAATTGGGGATTGCTCCCTATAGCATAGAGGTTTCAGGAGTAAAATCAGAATTTGGATGAGAGAAGTCTAAAAGAAACTTCTCTAGAGGATGGAGTCAATCATCCCCCAAAAAACACTTAGCCTGCTGCTGAAGCAACAAAGTTGGATCTGAGGGCAACATGATATGTGTTGGCATCAATTCCCTGTCATTGTTACAGAAGTTTGAAGCGTCACAGCAGGATCAACCCACATTCATTCTTTTAGGTGGAGTGGCCCAAGTGTCTCTTGGTTTAACCACATGAAAGTCGATGCCAGAGAGGCCAGCAAAGATGACAGACCCAGGAAAGTCTCCTCGAGTCTGCTAGGAAGTCACATAAGATGCTCACAGCCAAGTCAATCCCAGGCAGTATATTCCAAATCTAGAGCCAGGCTTCCCAAGCTTTGGTGTTCCCAGGAGTCACCAGGAGTTTGCTAAAGATTCAAATCCTGAGTCAAGAAGTTTGGAGCCTGGTCCTGAGTTCCGCACTCCCTGCCATTTCCCAGAAGAAATCAGTACTTCCAGACCATAGACCACACTTTAAATAACAGAGACCAAAATTCTCAGTCTCTGGAAGCTGAGCTCCCTTTGAGCCAAGCAGAAAATGTTAAAGAAGGTGACATGGGATCAGCAATGGTCTCCAAGTCAGCCAAAACCACACAACCGCCTGAACTAAGTGGTGAAAGATGCAGGTGTCCAAGGAAACCAGTTTTGAAACTTACCCACACCCTCCTAACAGTTACTGATTCCTGGAGAACTATTCTCACAGGGAGAGCAGGCTGTACACTGCTAATTCCCAAGAAGAAGGATCAGAGTATCTGACCCTGAGAAGTAACTGAAGTGATAAGGTGTGGCTTCTGAACCACTACCTTTGGGATGCCCAAGGAAGGGATACACAGCCCTGAATAAAGGGGCCAGGCACATTGGCCCAGAGAAGGGCGCAGGCTCTGGACCCTGGAGAGAGTTCGTGGCAGCAGGAAGACAGGGTTGTGACCACAAATGTACCCTTCCAGGAGAGAATCGCCAAGAGCCACGGTACCCAGTGTGGATTCTGCACCCCTGGGATGGTGATGTCTATGTACACACTGCTCAGGAACCACCCGCAGCCCTCAGAGGAACAGCTCATGGAAGCCCTGGGAGGTAAGTCTAACACAGGAGGCAGAGAGAGGGAAAAGATACTTCAAGCTTCCCCATGCCATCCTCAACATCATCCCAGCTCTGCTCAAGTCCCAAGCCACAGTTATTTCTAAAATAGCCTGTGCAGACACAGCAAAAGATGTCATCTCTGCACACAGCACAGAGGCCACTATGCCTCTCTCTCTCTCTCTCTGTCTTTCTCTCTGTCTCTCTGTCTCTCTCTCTGTCTCTCTCTCTGTCTCTCTCTCTCTCTCTCTCTCTCTCTCTCTCTCTCTCTCTCTCTCTCTCTCTCTGACTCACCACCTGCTTCCCAAGGGCCTGCATCAATTTCATGAGACTACCCGAACAAAGCATAACAAACCGGCCAGTTTAAAACACAGGAAATTCTCCTGCAGTTCTGGAAGCCGTCAGGCTGGCTGTACTGTCTGATGCTCGGAGGAGGACCTTCCTTCTTCATCCACAGCCTCTGATGGGTGACAGCTGGACCTTGGCATGTGGCTGCAAAACTCTAATGTGTTTCTGTCTCACACATTTCCCCCTTGTGAGTCTATGTCATAAATCTTCCTCTTTTTCAAGGACACCAACCACTGTCTTAGGCTGTCCCAATCCAGGACAGCCTCATCACAACATGGTTCCAATAAGGAGAGATCTTATTTCCAATAAGGTTATGTTCATAGGTTCCAGGGCTTAGGATTTTGGATCTTTTTGGGGAGGGAACATATTTTAATTCCTAATAAGCCTCTCATCTGAAAGAATCTTTTAGATTTGGAACAGTTTTTTTAATAATTTATTTATTTTTATTTTATGTGCATTGGTGTTTCACCTGCATGTACATCTGTTTGAGGGTGTCAGATCTTGGGGTGATAGACAGTGGTAAGCTGCCATGTGGTTGCTGGGAATTGAACCCAGGTCCTCTGGAAGAGCAGTCAGTGCTCTTAACCACTGAGCCATCTCTCCAGTCCCAGATTTGTAAGTTTTAAGTTCATAAGCATATGGGATGAATAAGCATCACCTTCACGTGTCAACAATCCCTAAACAATGATCAGTTCGTAGCTTGAAGACAGACAGGTGAGGCAGATGTGCTCCAAATCTGCCAGCTGCTGGTGGGCATTCCTCCTCTCTCTCGCTCTCTCTCATGCTCTGTCTCTCACTCTCGCTCTCTCTTGCTCTCCCTACTGCTCTATCTTCATATCTTCTTTCAAGTGGAAAAAAATCAGAGCGAAGCCTATAGCGTAGTGATAGAGTGACTGACTATCATGGGCAAAGGCCCTAGATTCATCCCCAGCAAGATAATAATTAATAATAATAATCAGAGAGTCATATGAATGCATCTAGCCCTCCCTTCCCTGGGTCCCTCTTCAGCAGCTCCTCAGTCCTAAAGCATGGCCAAGCCCAGCTTGTCACACTTTCTGCTCTCAACATGACTCCTTCCACATCTGCCACATCTCTTTCCTGCTGCTCTGAGAATTTTACCCATTCTTTACCAAGCCATAGTTTTCACATCCTTTGAGCCCAAACGTCTTAGTCAGACCACCCTAGATGAACTCTAGTCTACACTGGCCCTCCTCCCCCACAACCCTCAGGCCTTTATCCTTGGAAACATGAGGATTCCAGACTTTACTATGCAACAGAATGGCCCACTGGCCTCTTCAGTGCAGGCTCCTGGGCCTGTGTCCAGCTGTCCAGGCTCCAGAGGGTCATATTCATGCTCTTAGCAAATCTATCCAGGTGAGTCTGATGCAGGGACCTAAGAGCCACTTAGGAGCATGCCTGACAGACCATCCTGTAGCTAGAGTTTTCCTGCCTGTCCCACGGTCAGAGCAAATCTCTCTCACCCGCCAGTCCCACAGCCGCTCAGATCAACCAGGTAAACACAGAGACTTATATTGCTTACAAACTGTATGGCCGTGGCAGGCTTCTTGCTAACTGTTCTTACAGCTTAAATTAATCCATTTCCATAAATCTATACCTTGCCACATGGCTCGTGGCTTACCAGCATCTTCACATGCTGTTTCTCATCATGGCGGCTGGCAGTGTCTCTCTGACTCAGCCTTCCACTTCCCAGCTTTATTCTCCTCCTTGTCCCGCCTACACTTCCTGCCTGGCCACTGGCCAATCAGTGTTTTATTTATTGACCAATCAGAGCAACACACTTGACATACAGACCATCCCACAGCACCATCCAGGGCACTTTGTTTGTCAAGTGGCACTTTGGATTTGCCTGAATTCAGTTTTAGGATCCCATTGTCTTACATAATTTGAAATTGTCAATAGCTAGACATCAGGGCTGGAGTCATAGCTCAGAAGCAGAATGTTATCCTAGCATGTCCAAGGCCCTGAGTTCTATTCCCCACCACTGAAATGACAATCTATTGGATCTATTTCAACTTTTAAAAGAAGCCAGTAGAGTGACTGGAGATATGACTCAGTCATTAAGAGTACTTGCTGCTCTTCCAGAGGGCCTGAGTTCAGTTCTCAGCACCTATATTGAGTGTTTTGCAACCACCTGTAACTCCAGCCTCAGGAAACCCAACACCCTCTTCTGGCTTCTTAGGGCATCCACACACAGACACACACACATACATACCCGTAAGTAAATAGTAATCTAAAAAATAAGCCAGTGGAAACAAGAAAGTCCCAGCCACGCTTCTCCTCCACCCAGGTAACCTGTGCCGCTGCACTGGGTATCGGCCAATTCTGGAGAGTGGCAGGACCTTCTGCCTGGTGAGTACACAAGAATGGGTGACTGGGCACGTGTCCTACAGAGTAAGAGTGAGAAGGCCAAGTGGTCAAAGCTGAGAACACAAGAATGGGTTTGTAAGACCATCACAACCAACTATAAGACGAAGTAAGTCATGGGGGGGGGCCCTCACTGGAGTTACCAATGCTTCCTGAAAATCGGGTGAGCACTGCACCACCTTTGATGTGGTATAGATCTATACAGGGAAGTCAGCTGGGCAAGGCATCTCTCCAAGGCAAGTGAGATGATGCCTACAAACACTTGGAGTCAATTAGCCATGTGCTTTGGTGAAGAAGATTCCTTCCAATAACCCAACCAACTGGGAAGTCATAAACAGATAAAGAGGCTGAAACTGCAGAGTAGAAGCCAAAGAACATCCCCTCCAAGGACACAGGGAGTGGCCTCCAAAAGTGGGGGTGCTTCCCTGGTGAAAATCAAGTGAGTCTTGCTTGGCAGTCAGTAAGAGTTCAACAGATAATTACTAATGTTGAGAATGTTGTTGACGCTATGAATAGCATTTGACAGACACTCAGGATGGGCGTGCCTGATGACCCTCTGCTGAGAACAGGATGGAAGTGGGCAGAAGACTTTAGACAGAAGGAAAGACTTTGGAGGAGCCCACTGTGGTTTTAATCAACTATTCTCAGGAGTCCATAAGAACAAGGCGATATGCCCATAATTTCTGGATCATTCTCCATATAGGGCTTCAACTCCGCCTCTAGGTCAGGTGCAGCCTTTCCTGAGATAATCAAGGAAGGTCTTAGAAGCCAGTGTCTGCACACAAGAGCAGAGGGTAGTCAATGAGCACCTCCTTGTGGAGAGAGTGGACACTGGACTCGGGTATTCACATGGACGCTTGAGGCCCCTGCAGACCCCCGTAGGAAGAGAAGCTATGAGCAAAGATTTCTGTCTATTTTCTTGCCTCAGTTCCACACATAGTAGAGGTAGACCTGGAAATGTACAACAGGTATGTCCCCTGTCCCCAAAGTCAGGCAAGTATTCTGGGCATGTGTGTCCCAGATTTCCATTGCCACATGAGGGAGCCAGAGTAGACACACTAAAAAGTGAAACGAACAGACTGTAAACCCAGCAAATCACTGCTGTAAGTAGGAAAGCATGCATGAAATACCAGGAAACGGGCTAAATCAACTCCTTTCCCTAAAGGTGGAGGTGTTATCTGCCTCTCCTGGAACGCTGACTCTGGAGATAAAGCCAAAAATGAGTTGCAATAGCTCAGCCTGTAGCCAGCCAGTCTCATGATACTTTACTGGGTGAAAGAAATCCAGCCCCAGGTGGGATGCCTAAGGTTTTTATTGCCCATTGAGCCCTAAGAAGCCCAGCTGTCTTCAGCCACCATTGACCCATTCAGCCTAGGGACTCTAAGAGGAGACAGAGAGAGGAAAGAGAGAGACAGAGAGAGGAGAGAGAGAGACAGACAGAGACAGACAGACAGACAGACAGACAGAGAGACGGGGCGGGGGGGGAGTGCCTGATCAGCCAGCTACTTTTGCCTCTTGGGCAGAGTTAGCAAGTACAGCTCAAAACACCAGGAAAGACAGTGAATTCAAAGTTGGGAGGAAGTGCTTTGCAAGGCGGGAGAAGCCATCTGAGGAAGAAAATAACACGGAGGCTGTAGCTAGAGTTTTCCTGCCTGGCCCACAGTCAGGACAAATCTCTGGCACCCGCCAGTCCCACAGCCATTCAGACCCAACCAAATAAACACAGAGACTTATATTGGTTACAAACTGTATGGCCGTGGCAGGCTTCTTGCTAACTGTTCTTACAGCTTAAATTAATCCATTTCTATTAATTTATACCTTGCCACGTGGCTTGTGGCTTACCGGTACTTTACATCTTCCTTGTCCTGATGGTGGCTGGCAGTGTCTCCCTCACTCAGCTTCCTGTTCTCACAATTCTCCTCTCTGTTAGTCCCGCCTATACTTCCTGCCTGGCCACTGACCAATCAGTGATTTATTCATTGACCAATCAGCAACACATTTGACATACAGACCATCCCACAGTACTTCCCCTTTTCTTTTCTTAAAAAGGAAGGTTTTAACCTTTACACATCTCCAAAGTCAGCTTGGTATATTTGGGAATTTGGGCGTAGCTTCTCTTACTACTTCCTACTGGAGGGGGGCGCTGTATCTTATGGGGACACAAAGAATACTTTAGGATTATGGAGTAGTCCATGAGGGTGTATCGTCTGAGCCAGTTGCCTTGAAACAGTTCTGAATGTAGAATCATCTGGGCCATGGTGTCATCGGAGACCTTTCAGGTGGTCTTGACTGGTCAAACCTGATGTATCTTAATCTGGAACAAATCCATAGCCTGTGGCTTTCTGTGGGAACAAAAGTAGAGCCTCTTTTCCAAAGCAACATATCCTTATATCCAAATTTTGAAGTCAAGATACCTTTAAAATATCCATATTGGTTTAACTCAACAGCTTTTACAATCAAATGGTTTTCTTCAGTTACGAATATCAAAGAGAACATAATCCAGATTCTCTGTGTGGTAGCCATCTTTACGTGGCTTTTTTTTTTTTTTTTTTGGTTTTTCGAGACAGAGTTTCTCTGTGTAGCTTTGCGCCTTTCCTGGAACTCGCTTTGGAGACCAGGCTGGCCTCGAACTCACAGAGATCCGCCTGGCTCTGCCTCCCGAGTGCTGGGATTAAAGGCGTGCGCCACCACCGCCCGGCTACGTGGCTTATTTTTTTATATTAGCTTGAGCCTATTGCTTTAAACTGCAGTCTTCTAAGCCTGAAACAGCGCTGGCGCTGCTGGCTCTGCCCACTTCAGCTTCCCAACATGGCGGTGATACGTTTTCCGCCAGCTCTGGGAGCCATCAACTCTCAGAAATAGTGGGTCTATGCTTCTATCAAAGCAGCGTGTAGCCCAGAAACCTCTTTTTTTTTGTTTTGTACTAGCAAAGGCTAAATCCACCACACAGCTTAATGTGCCACTTGCAGAGGCCTCATTCCCACCATACTGCAGGTCGAGCAGGCACGCATGCTAGGAACCCACCAGTAGCTCAAACCAGCAGCTGCCACTCATTTGAGAGAGACAATTAGGAACTGTTTTTAGCTCCATTTTAGAATCTTTTTTTCTCAGTTTTTAGGTGGAAACTCTTGCCACCACGTTGGAAGCCATTTATAGATTAATAGAAATGGATTAATTTAAGCTGTTAGAACAGTTAGCAAGAAGTCTGCCACGGCCATACAGTTTGAAACCAATATAAGTCTCTGTGTTTACTTGGTCGGGTTTGAGCAGCTGTGGGGCTGGCAGGTGAGAGAGATTTGTCCTGACTGTGGGCCAGGCAGGAAAACTCTAGCAACAAATGGCGCCCAACGTGGGGCAAGAGTTTCCACCTAAAACCTGAGAAAAAAAGATTCTAAAACGGAGCTAAAAACAGTTCCCAGTTGTCTCTTTCAAGTTAGTGGCAGCCTGCCGGTTTGAGCTACTGGCGGGTTCCTAGCGTGCGTGCATGCTCGACCTGCAGTATGGTGGGAATGAGGCCTCTGCAAGTGGCACATTAAGCTGTGTGGTGGATTTAGCCTTTGCTAGTACAAAAAAAAAAAAAGAGGTTTCTGGGCTACACGATGCTTTGATGGAGGCATAGACCCACTATTTCTGAGAGTTGATGGCTCCCAGAGCTGGCAGAATACGTATCACCGCCATGTTTGGAAGCTGAAGTGGGCGGAGCCAACAGCCACAGCGCCAGCGCCGTTTCAGGCTTAGAAGGCTACAGTTTAAAGCAATAGGCTCAAGCTAATATAAAAAAAATAAGCCACGTAAAGATGGCTACCACACAGAGAATCTGGATTATGTTCTCTTTGATATTCGTAACTGAAGAAAAACATTTGATTACAAAAGCTGTTGAGTTATGCCAAAATGTATATTTTAAAGGTACTCTGACTTCAAAATTTGGATGTAAGGATATGTTGCTTTGGAAAGGAGGCTCTGCTTTTGTTCCCACAGAAAGCCAGAGGCTATGGATTTGTTCCAGATTAAGATACATCAGGTTTGACCAGCCAAGACCACCTGAAAGGTGACACCAAGGCTCAGATGATCCAACATCCAGAACCGTTTCAAGGCAACTGGCTCAGACGATACAGCCTCATGGACTACTCCATGATCCTAAAATTTTCTTTGTTTCCCCATAAGATACAGAGCCCCCCTCCAGCAGGAAGTAGTAAGAGAAGCTACGCCCAAATTCCCAAATATACCAAGCTGACTTTGGAGATGTGTAAAGGTTAAAACCTTCCTTTTTAAGAAAAGAAAAGGGGAAGTACTGTGGGATGGTCTGTATGTCAAATGTGTTGCTGATTGGTCAATGAATAAATCACTGATTGGTCAGTGGCCAGGCAGGAAGTATAGGTGGGACTAACAGAGAGGAGAATTGTGAGAACAGGAAGCTGGATGAGGGAGACACTGCCAGCCACCATCAGGACAAGGAAGATGTAAAGTACCGGTAAGCCACAAGCCACGTGGCAAGGTATAGATTAATAGAAATGGATTAATTTAAGCTGTAAGAACAGTTAGCAAGAAGTCTGCCACGGCCATACAGTTTGAAATCAATATAAGTCTCTGTGTTTACTTGGTCGGGTCTGAGTGGCTATGGGACTGGCAAGTGAGAGAGATTTGTCCTGACTGTGGGCCAGGCAGGAAAACTCTAATTACAGGAGGCGGTTTGCAAGAAACGGGAGAGCTGCAAGTGGGAACCGCTTGGAAAATAACCGCCGTCAACTCATCTGAGTGATTCTCCCTTTTGCATTTTATTTTTCTCTTTCTTAGAGGTTCCATGTGAATTATAATGAACCACGTCCCAAATCTCATCTGTCCTGTAGTGGCTGTATTGTGGTTGCCCTGAAAAATATCATAAAATATCGTTTTACCACTAGAAATCACCCTAAAATAACTCAGATGTGAACATGATGTTCTAATTGCAACGAACAGTATTCATCTACTGAGTACGCTATAGAAATCTAAGATAGAAATACAGCTCACTCCCAAATACAAAACGCCGGAGGAACTGGGTACTGATTGCTTCTTTTAGATTTCTGCGCGTTGTGTTGTTTTATATAACATGTTTGTGTGGTGTATATTTCTTATTATTTTATAAAAATAAACAAAGCAAAGGAAGAACAGCCTTGTGTTATCCCTCTAAGTAGAATGTGGCCTCAGAGCCTGAAATTGCGTATCTATTATTCAAACCTTCAAGGCACAGCCTGATTTGCCTGTCAAAAGTATTGTTCATAGAAAGCACTTCATGTTCTCAGGAGCCAAATGGTTGTCAGCAGAAAGGACCAGGAAAATGCTGCTTGGATCAGAAAGAAGACGATTCACTTGGAGGCAAAAATGACGTGAGTCCCTCTATTTTATTCTCTATGTGTGTTTCTTAATGCTGACCCAAGCTTTGGAACTGGGCATGTGCGGTCGAGGGATTGCTCCCCATTTTGTTTACAGCCTCCCCAAGTACTTACAAGAACCAGGTAATTTGCACAGCGCTCAAAGACCACAGTCTAATTTCCCCCCTTCATAGTCTGAAAGGCTGGAACAAAAGGAAAACAAAAACCTCTTAGATGGCAGGGGGAAAAAAATCTACCGCATGAGGGATGAGTCACCTCCTCAGTTAGAAACAGAGTTCTAATGCTGTCCCTGCTCACACAGCCGTCCTCTGTCCCTGAGCTGAGACACCACTGCCACCTCCAGAAGCCAAGGATGAGATGATGGCACCCACCTAGAAGCCAGCTCAGCATTCCAGCTCTGGCTTTACCCTCTGAGAGATACTCATTTTCAAAAGGATCCACCACCGAGTTCTCACGGGACTCAAGTAGAGAGGTTAATGAGATCCTAACTACCCACCACAAATGCTGTGGAAGAGCTCAGGGCAGGCCTGGGGAAACCACCCTCATCTTCTTGCTCTGTGTCTGTGTCCTTCAAACCCACTTGTCCCCACGCACCTCTCACTGACACTTTTTTTGGGGTCTAAAGAAGGTGTTCGGTGGAATAGAGGGGTGTGACCCCAAGGAGGCGAGATGCACACACCAATAATGACTCACAGAAGATCAACACTTAATAGAGTCGATCCATCCCAAAGTCCATTCCCAACCTAAAGCTCAATTTGAGCATCAGTTGAGCGTAGGTACCACTTGACTTACATTAAGCCGAATGGCTATGGATGTATTTAAGCAAGAATACACGTCGGTATTTGTTCATAAGGAGAAACACAATTATAAAGTAAAATGTCATCCTTTCGTTACAGTAACACACACTAGGATGGGAAATTCTGTGGAGAAGGCTGAGTACTGAGTGAGACACAGGGTATCTCCGCTGCAAGGCTAGGTGTCGCCTGTGACGTCCCTTCCTCTCTGACCAGCTTCCATTTGGACAACTGTTAAGTCTTGGCCTAGAACCTGTTTAGAACCTTTCATTTCTCAGTGCTGGTTCATTGTCTGAATTCTGTGGAGAAGGCTGAGTACTGAGTGAGACACAGGGTATCTCCGCTGCAAGGCTAGGTGTCGCCTGTGACGTCCCTTCCTCTCTGACCAGCTTCCATTTGGACAACTGTTAAGTCTTGGCCTAGAACCTGTTTAGAACCTTTCATTTCTCAGTGCTGGTTCATTGTCTGGCACTTTAATTCTCAGGCATTATCTTTTTTCTAGATTTTAGAACTAAATCATTAACCCCAAGTACGGCCCAGGCTAATTCTCACACGAAAACCAACTGGTCTGATATTGGCCTGCAAAATCTCATTCCGCAGCCCTACAAAGAGCCTTTAAAAGGAGCAACTATGTGTTCTTTCTGGAACCTCACATGGCTTTAGAGAGACAGAAAAAAAAAAAAAAGACGAGGTGGGAAATGTCAGAGCATTTCACCTAATTATCACAATTTACCTTTCATAATAAGCATCTCCATTTACTCTTTAGAAAGGTTAAGAGCCTTTCCAGTGGGAAGGTCAGGAGGGGGTGTTAAGAGTGAACCAGACCTGTCAACCCCCAATGTCTGTCACCCTCTTCTCCACCCACCCAAGCCCACCTGCTTCCCACACTCCACAGTTCAGTTCTCTTAGCTCCTCAAGTACGTCTCCTGGCAACAAGTGTCCATCCAAGCAGATGTGAGTGAGGCAGGGTGACAGATGGGTCAATTTCTGCTCCGCTTCCATTTCCTGGTGGGCAAAATGGAGATTATAACTTCCTTTATACAATTATCACAAAGATTAAACAACATTAATATGTGTAAACGCACTCGAGAAACAGTAGTGTCGTGTGTATTTAAGAAGAAAGATACGTTTAGAGTCATTTTTCCTAAAACTATGGGACTTCCCCAGAGCTTTAGATTGTGAACCGTGATTGGCTAAGGAGGGGACAGTAATCACAGTGGAGGTCCCCAAGCTTCTTTAACATCTGATTGTTTTCACAGGGTGTCTTGGCATTTCCCAGGATGCTCTTTGCAAGAGTTAATGACTTTCTTTCCTTTAGTATCATATTAGTAGCTAATTAGCCTCTCCCTGGCAATCACACTCCTCTTTAAGTTGTTGGGCTACAGTGAGTTCCCTGTACAGAAAAAAATGAGCGACTCGTGCATTTTGCCTAACTTCTTCAAGAATTCCAGTGCTGTCTCCAATCGAGCTGAACTGACACAGCCATCTGCTTCTTTAAAGATTTGCACGGAACTGTTTGTGAAAGAGGAGTTCCGGCCCCTGGACCCGACCCAGGAGCTCATATTTCCCCCAGAACTCCTGGTAAGACACCGTGGCTATTTCATGTGCTTGTTTAAACATATCCGGTGATAAATCCAATTTTGTAAATCTACCATATCCTTCGGGTGACATGTCAAATTGGAGAAGGGTTGGCTAGGATCCAGAAATCACCTTCCCCCCACAGCCCTGGATGACCTTCTCTAGGCCTTAGCTGGGGTTTTTTAAATATTATCCCACCATGTCTTTCGTCACTGTGGATCTGGAATGTGTTGGTTGTCCAGGCCATTCAGCTTTGCTAAGCATCTGTCATGGTTTTCCAGGAACTCCACTACACTGACGGCAAGAAGCATCTTCCTCTGTCCTGTCTGGGGGGCAGTTTCTTGACTGCCAGAAACAGGGGTGCCCCGCTCCACTCTTCCTCCACGTGTATATCAACCCTCCTTCTCAGGCATCCATGTCCCTTTCTATAAAATACTTTCCTCTCTTTTACTAAATGTTTATTTCTAATTTTAATGATGTCTTTGCCAGTGTGTCTGTGGGTGAGTGTGTACACCTAAGTGCCCGTGCCCATCGTAGACGGAGGTGTAGGATTCCTGGAGATGGTATTACAGGCAGTTATGAGCCACCCAACATGGGTGCTGGGAACCAGACTCAGGTCCCCTGCAAGATCAGTGCATGCTCCTAACCTTCTCCAGCCCCCTTTGCTGGGGGAGCTCTGGTATGCTTACTCATTCAAAAATACATATCCCTTCAACTACATACCAGCACTGTTTTAAGTACTAACTATGCAGCAAGAAACAAAGTTAACAGAAAATACTGTGCTAGGGGAGCTTATAATCTGGTAAGAAAGACGGATGGTAAGTAAAATAATAAATGAAAGATATATGTAAGCTGGGCATAGTGGCGCAAGCCTTTAATCCCAGCACTCCGGAGGCAGAGGCAGGTGGATCTCTGTGAGTTCAAGGTCAGCCTGGTCTGTTTAGTGAGTTCCAAGACAGCCAGAGCTACTCTATGTGAATGTGTGTGTGTGTGTGTAATCTTAACAAATAAGAGGTACTAAGGAGAAAAATCACCAAGCAGAGAATGAAGCTAGGCTACAGATGGTTGTGATTGTCAGCGCCATGGCCATAGAAGACTCTCCTGAGGATGTAATGTTTGAGGAAATTCTAGAAGGAAGGATGGAGCCAGTCGTGAGGAGATGTGATGGAAGAACTAACTATCCAGGCTGTGGGAAGAGTGAGTGGGAAGGTACTAGAGGCAAGAGAACAGCTGCCCTAACCAAGGACGGCACTGAGCCAGCCTGACAGAGCCCAGGGAGCGGGGAGGGCAGAGGCCATGCTGGACTTGACAGGGCCTGGCTTCCTCTCTGTGTGAGAGCCACTGTGAGGGAGGCTGTGTAGAGGAGGGACAAGCTCCTTCAGACGTCCTATCAGGATCCTTCCTGCGGCTGAGCCAAGAAGAAGGACTGTATTCCATCAGGGGACGAATGTCATCCAGACAGGCAGTGGCTAGACCAGACTAGACCCCTGGCACGGGATTCTGGATATGTTTTGGGAGAAAACCACACAGCTTGCTGATGAGTATGACGTGATGTGGGGAAAACAGTCCAGCCTGACCGCAGAGCTGTGCGTAACTAGAGGGTACCACTTACAAAGACAGAAAGACCTCCAGAGGGGTGGGCCATCTTTTCTTTAGGGGTTCCGTTTCAAGGGCTGAGGGAGGGACTGGACCTGAGGAGTTCAGTTTGGAGCAAATTAAATGTGAGGGGCCCCTGACACATCTAAGAGGGGACAGACATCAAGAACTCACTGAGAAAGGATTTGAATATTAGGGGGGAAATCGAGACTGAGGATATTAATTTAAGATCATTAGCGGAATTGTGATCTTAAAGTCGTGAAACTGAATGAATGCTAAATTAGCCACGCCAGGCAGTCACTGGGAGGTGCCAGATTATATTATCACTTGTTCCCAAAAGGCCTACTTTAGCCAGTGGACACAGTGAGTGTCTCTCTGGGTAAGTGGACCCGGAACCCTGAAATCTTCCTAGAGGGACACAAGCCAGCCAGGACCCGATATGGCACAGAGTGACTACTATGCACACAGGTACATCTCCTATCATTTGTCCTCAGAGGATGGCTGAGAACCCAGAAAAGCAAACCCTGACCTTTTCCGGAGAGAGAATTACCTGGATCTCCCCAGGAACCCTCCAAGATCTTTTGGCGCTGAAGGCAAAGTACCCTGAAGCCCCTCTCGTTTCCGGCAACACATCTCTGGGTAAGCGACAGCAGCCCACTCATTCCACTGTTGACGCCCGGCTGGACTTCCTGGTCCCTGCCCCATCCCTGGCCTACTTTCTAAAGATGAAAGTTTCATCCTGTCTCATAAATCCAGTGATCTCCAAAGTTGATTGACACATATCCTAGTGGTATTCAGGATGACTGGGGGTGGGTAAATGTATGAGAAGGTTTCTCTGTGTGGCCGGGGCTGTCCTGGAACTCACTCTGTAGAGCAGGCTGGCCTTGAACTCACAGAGATCCACCTGCCTCTGCCTCCTGAGTGCTGGGATTAAAGGTGTATGCCACCCCCACCTGACTGTCCCTTGTTATTTTATTAAGGTTAAAAATTGAGTAGACATAAGAGAATGTTATAAAATATCTGTGAATGTGTTAACAAATACACCTAGGGAGTACCTACATCCATTTTAACAACTTTGCTTCGCATACACACCCATAGCTCGATGGGAGAATGCTATAGCCTAGCCTGTCCAAGCTCTGGGTTTGGTTCCCAGCATTCCCCACAAATTTGTAATCACTGTTTCAACAGCTGGCCTCTGAAATAAAAGAAGGGGTACCCCACTGCTCCTCCTTTCTCTTCCCTCTTGATGGAGCCCTACAGCTGAACTGGGTTGGTCCACTGGTCCGTTTCTTACTCGTCTTTGAAATTACCACGTTTGAGTCCCTAAACAGTGTATCTGTTGGCTTTGGACACACTGCACAGACTGTCACTGTTCGTCTGGAATTCGTGGTTTTCAGTCAGCATTCCTGCCCTGAGACTCATCCCCCCTTTCTGTGTGTGCCTGAGTCCTGCTCCATGATACAGCACAGAATGGTTTGCCCCTCCAGTCTATCATGGGAAGGCAGCTGTTGAAAGAGCTTCAGCTATTTCCAGGTTCCCATGGTTTTACAAATACTCCTTTCTTTTTTTTCCATGCTGGGATCAAACCCAGAGCCTCACACATGCTCAGTGGGTGTTAACACTGAGCCACACAAATATTCTCTGTTTTGTTTTGGTTTGGCTTTTTGTTTACTGGTTTTGAGACAGGGTCTCACTATGTCACCTTAGCTGGCCTGGAATTCGCTATGTAGGCCAGGCTGGCCTCGAACTCTGCCTCCTGAGTGCTGGGATTAAAGGCGTGTACAACCACCACGCCCAGTCACATTCTTAGAAGCATCTCCAAGTGCTTCTGCGAAAGGGAGTTTTAAAAGCCTTCCACGCTCTCTCTTCCCATTGGTATAATGTAGCAAGAATATAACTAAGTGAATACAAAGGTTGGGCAGAGGGGTATATGGTCATTGCTTTCGCATCTATACACATTTATTACCAAGATTTAAGCTCTATATCTGAATGTTTTTAATGAGAAATTTTCAATGTAAAAGAAAAGGCGTTTTCTCTTTCTCTAAAATTCTTTTTTTCCCCCCCCTTCAGGACCAGCTATGAAATCTCAAGGACACTTTCACCCAATTCTCCTCTCTCCTGCTGGAATTCCTGATCTAAGAGTGGTGACTAAGAACAGTGATGGTGAGTTTCTGGTCCTCCAAGTAAGATATTAATGAAGCGACCCCTGCACGAACCAGCCTTACACTTGTTGAGTATATACCAGAACAGCCTCACGCATCTCTCTTAGGAGACCCGTCTGTGACTCGTCATTCTTTTCTGCAAACCTCACCATCAAAGCCTTTGGGGAGCAGAAGATGAGCTTTCTAAATGTTACCATGAGAGACCGTGTGCTCACTTTCAGGACTCTTACAAGTGCCAGGTATCCCAGAGACAATAAATGTACAGAGTCACTTGGATGGAAGAGAGGAGAGGTGGAGAATATTATCTGATACTCATGTGCTACTTGTGTTGTGGGAACAATGGCGAGGGGCCAAATGGGACAAACACCTGCCAGCAAGCACTCCTGCTCACTTTCGTCACCCTCCAAAGCCCACCAGTGCAGAGTAACATCACACCCACAGAGTAGAAAGAAATGTGCAAGATTTGAAATCAAGACTCATGGCAAACCTTCTAGCAAACGGGCCTTACTATTTCCCTTCTTCGTTGCCCAGAGCTCTTAGTCTTGGGGAAGCATGCTTATCCAGTGGCTGACAAATTAGTTCGGGGGTGGGGTGGGGGGTGGGGGTGAATGAGTTGGTCAGGAATTTGAATGTAATGGATTGCAATGGTAGTGATGATACCCTTAACTTGAGCAACGAGGAGTCAGTCAGAACTAAAGACTTGGTCAAGAATGGCATGTAGGTCACTGCGTACTTATGGAGGTCTTTGACAGACAGGAAGGGGGCTGAAGACAGACAAGTCTCTGCCATCCAGGAGCCCTACCTCCTGGCTTCTATCATCAGCCAAAGGCGGGTTTCAGTGAAAACCGGTGCACCTGCTAATCCCCGCTCCAACCCAGACATTTGCAAGAGATGGGATCCCTTCATGAGTGTGGCCAGCTTTAGCCTGGAACAACCCGGGTAGTGTGCCTGCTGTGGGCAGAGGGGAAACAGGAGAACACGGAGTCTGGGATCCAGATGACCAGTCCAAGCCGATGAACACGGCAGGAGACCCGCTATACTTTCCAGCCAAGCACCGGTTAGCCTTCCTGCTTCCTGCTTAGCATTGGTCCTCTCTGACACCGAGTGTCAAGTCTTCAGTTCTTAAAACAGTAATGAAAATAAGTGGCTGTGTTGAAGGAGAGGGTCACTCTCCCCACCCCTCCTGTCTCTGAGTCCCTTATATGAGTCCCCAGAGCACAATTCAAACTCGGCAGCATACCCCAATTCCTCTAAAGATGAACGTGAGGTGCAAAAAGAAAATGCACTCGGCCAAGGTCATCAGGTTACAAGGTCACCCAGTCACAATTCAGAAGCCCCACTGCCGTTGCCCAGGCCACGGGTGGGGGGGTTGGGGGGGTGCCTGTCCAGTGGCTTTTCACATTAACTGCCCAGCATGGTCCCTCAGCCAGAGGAAAGCCAGGCAGGCTCTGAAGTTTGGCGCCATTAAAGCTGAAGCGTGAGTGCCCTCCAGTGGCCATCAGGAAACTTCCTGTGGCCCAGAGTGTGGAAGACACCGCTTGGAAGAACTGAAAACAGATAAGCTCACACCAGCACCCCCAGGAATCAAAGCTCTGTGACGGACAGCTCCACTTGTGACGTAAAGGTTTCTTTAAACTGCACGTTTGCCCATGTCACACCCACGGCTGGCTCCGCCTAGTTTTCTTTCAAAAATTTTTACCTTGAACTGGCCCAGCATCGCTGCACATTTACCCGACGGGCCCATGAGGCATCGAGTTAACTTTTAAAACCCTTGAGAGTCAAAACAAGTTGAAGAGCTTCCCAACTCCGCCAGAATGCAAGTTGAGTTTTGTGGCCAGAGACAGACTCGAATAGAAAGAGTGTAAAGTGGCGGTGTGGACAAAGCAGAGGCCCAGATGGTCTGTCCGGCCTCGGTTGGAGTTTAAACTCTCGTGGGGACAGAGCAATAGAGCAGGCAGCTGGCATTCTGTGCCTCACTGGAGGGGTGAACTGTCTTTTTTTCCCCATCTGAGTGGAAACCAGAAGCAGGGTGTGGTGGCTCGTGGGCTCATGCCTGCAATCCCAACACTTGGAAAGAGGACCAGGAATTCAAGGCTACCAGAGACTGTCTCAAAAACAAAAACAAACAAAAAGCCAAAAGAGGCGGGGATGGGCCGCTCTGGTCTCTGTGTAAAGCCTGGGGCCTAAATACTAGTAAGACGTTTGTGTCCGCCTTCTTCCCTAATGAGGGCCAGGGTCTTCAGGGATGAGTCGGTTGCCAAGGAGCAATGTTAGCTCTGCTAGGCTCCTGTGAAGGCACAGCAGAAATTTTGGTGTTTGAGTTTTAGTTTATTGTTGGGAATACTTGGTTTTGCTTTGGTTTGATTTTGTTTTAGAGGCGCAGTCTCCTTAGAGAGCCCAGGCTGGTCTCAAAATCATGATCATCTTGCCTCAGCCTCCCAAGAGTTGGGGTTACAGGCATGCACCGCTCTATCTGGCTACAGAAGGTAAAGAGTAGGTACCGACAGAACTCACAGGGATGAGGAATCAACGGGCCCCTGGTGGGGAGTCTGAGGGGGGACCAGATCTCATAAGAGCATCTTTTATGAGATGCTCAGACAGGATAAAGGAGGGACAACTTAGTTACAAGTTTCAGGTGAGATTTGTTTGGCATGAGGATAATCAAAAGCTGCCAGTCTTCTCCCATCCAGGAAGTTCGCTGAGGCTAGTGACGTGGTGGGAGAGAGATGGGGGCGTGTTGGCAAAGACGGGGGAAGCTCTGTGCCAAGATCATTTCATGTTGATAAAATATAGCTATGTAGGAGGGTGGGATGCTCTCAAAGATGAATCAACAAGAGAAAAAAATCACAGCCCAACCTGAAACCTGCTAAAAACAGACCCGCGGCAGTTAGTATCCAACAAGCGAGACCAACTCAAACCCTGTGCGCTGAGGTTTCATTAGGGAAAACTCGAGGGCAGTAAAGGATTTATTTTAAGAGGTCAACTCCGATGGTTTGGGTGACCACACACTTTCCTACATTGATGTGGCCCCTTTCGCCCTACTGAGGGGAAATCCTCAAGTTCTTGCTCACATCCCTGCCAATCCTCACAAGTTGAATTCCAACCGCTGTCAACGTGCTGGATTACTTTCTGGCCAGTTGGCAAGTAGCATTGTCCCAGTCCTCCTGGGTGCACACCCACAGCTCCCTTCACCCCTTCCTGTGAGCCCAGAACATCCCCACACCCCACGCCACCAACCAATGGGAAGTCTGAGGAGCTGCTTCCCTGGGATGTATTCATTTGGATTGGCCAGGGTCCCTCTTGAAGGTTATGATTATCAGAGGTGGAAAATCTGAAGGCAAGACATGACTGATTTTGATTCCTGTTTGGGTCATCTTGGCCTAAATTCTTGAGCTGCTGTATTTTGAAATGTTTTCATACCAGAATATACTAAAAGGTCACACAAAGTTGGGGTAATTTAATGTGAAGAGGTCACACACAGTCTATTTCGTCTCTTGACTGTATGGAGGCAAGTAAATAGAAACTTGGTTTGTTCATTACTTGGGTTGATGGTTCATGTACGTTTGGCTAAGAATCATCAGGAGCAATTCCTCGAGGGGATTCTTGGAGCAGTGGTGTCATGTCAGATTCGAATGGCATCACCATGAACCCGGTGAGAACCGTCAAGCCAGGGAGAAGTCATCATTTTTACTCACTGCTCTCCTTCACTGCTCTCAAGTTGGCATAAAAACGCCTTCCTTCCAAAAAAAAAAAAAAAAATACTTACTGACTTTTAGACGGTGACCTAGGGAGCCAAATGGCCTTTGCCATTCGGTTAATGTTATCAGATTTATTCCACTTACCCACATAGCAATCATGGTCACTCAGAAGGTCCATGGGAGATTCTAGTAGAGTCTACCACCAGCCTATTATTACCATTGTTCCTTCTCTCCTGTCTTTATTTCTTCACACCAGTCCAAAGATGAGTGTGGCTACACAGGAGACCACCTTGGGGCCTCTTAAAAGTCCTGTGCCCAAGGCTGGGGAAATTGGCTCTGCTATCTGGGTCTTGCAAGTATAAAGACCTAAGTTTGGTCCTCAGAATTCACATTTAAAAAAAAAATCTGGACAAGGTAGGATACATAGCAATCACAATATTGGGGAGATGAAGACCGGAAGACCCCTGGGGCCCATGGGTGTGGGCCCAATCTACTTAATAGGCTCCAAGTCAGTGAGAGACTTTGGCTCAAAAGAAAAAAACAAAGAGAGAGAAAGAGAGAGAGAGAGAGAGAGAGAGAGAGAGAGAGAGAGAGCCTGATTCCAGAGACTGACTTAGCTGATCTGGGAGCTCCTGGTGACCCCCTAAGCAGCCACAATAGTAAGCACCACTAACCAAATATTAAGTGAGACCCTACTTCGGTGATGGCAGCTCTGCTCCTCCTATGTAGCCAATGAAAACCACCTGCTTTCCAGGACTGACCATCTTGGCTGAGAGCATCTCTGAACTCCCGGAGGAGAAAACGCAGACCTACCGAGCTCTCCTGAAACACCTCCGGAGCCTGGCAGGACAGCAGATCCGGAATATGGCGGTGGGTTTCCTGCTGGCAGTCACTGGGCACACACTTGTTTCTCCTCATTGAGCTATCAGGATGGGCACTGGCAGAGGTAGCATGCCGAAAGGTCTCCGTGGATTAAAATGACAGGCCAATTAACAAATATTTTAAAATTAACAAATGATATGTATTAGAATGTTCGGTAAAATTCTAGGTGAAAGCCAACACAGTAACTGAGCAGCAGCACATGTCGCAAAGGACATCATCATTCTGCTAATTTTTTGGCAAGCCTGTCAAAAGGTCTGATTTAATCTTGGGCTTCATTAACAGAAGTATAATACCTAAAGCAAGCCGGGCAACCTTTTACTATGTACTGTTCAAACCACGGCTGGAGAATCACCATCGTAAGGAGCAGAAGGAGTCGTGTGTGCTTGGATTTCTAAGCACACACAGACATGTCCGACATCTATCTGCTGGGCGACGTAGGAGAGATCCTTGGAGCCTGGGAAGTCAGCAGAGGACCTTGTCTTTGTGAAAACTCTCATGTGATTCCAAATGACCACACTCACTAGAGCCTGTCGAGGAGAGGGTGGCAGATGAGTTTAGGGGCTGGACGCACTTCTCAAGGAGTGATGGGGTGCAACAAAGCGAGCCTAAGAGCTGCCTTCCAACAGTCATGGACCCTGATGACAAATGATGGCCAAGATGCCTTGACCCTTCCAAGACCCCAGACGATCAAAGGCAGATGGATGTCTGTAAGGACGGTAGAAGACCTGAGACACTAACCAAGCCATCACTCCCTGTCCTCAGTCCTTAGGTGGACACATTATCAGCCGGCACTGCTACTCAGACCTGAATCCTATTCTCTCTGTGGGGAACGCCACCCTCAACCTGCTGTCAGAAGGTGAGCTACACTCCGAGCAGCTCTTAAAGAGCTTTTGTCTCTTTTCTTTACACTTAAATTTTCCTCAGGAATTGCATTGAGTAGGAGCCTGGATCACTGACTCTCATGGGGAGTGCCTGTCGTGAGGAAAGGGCATTGTGACAACAGGCAGAGGTGCTGCCTGCTGACAACACACACACACACACACACACACACACACACACACACACACACACACTGGCAACACACACATACGCACACACACGCATACTCACACAAATACACGCACACACACACACACGCGCACACACATACGCACATGCACGCACACACACACTGACAACACACACATACGCATACACACGCACACTCACACAAATACACGCACACACACATGCACACACACACACACACACACACACACACACACACACACACAGGACTGTATGCTCAGAGCTCATTTGTTAGTTCATGTGTTTCTGCTTGACCAGGAATGATAAGCAAAAGCTGACATGAAAGTCCTGGAGAGTTGGCTCAGAGGTTAAGGGGACACTCTGCTCTTGCAGAGGACCCGAGTTCAGTTCCCAGCACCCACCTCAGGTGCCTCACAAACGCCTACAACTCCGGTTCCTGGGGGACTCAACATCGCCAGCTTTGTGGGCACCTGCATTCATAGCACATAGTCACAGAGATGGACAATTATGTATTATATATCATTTTTAAAAATAAAAACCAGTCTTTTAAAGGGAAGGGAATGTGGCTGGAGAAATGACCTAGCAGCTAAGAGCTTGTCCTGCTGTGGTGAAGGGCCTGAGTTTGCTTCCCAGCACCCATGTCTAGCAGCCCAAAACTGCCTGTAACCCCAGTTCCAGGGAATCTGATCTCCCTGGTCACTGACATTCGTGTGCACATGACCACATATAGACACCTGTGCATAACTAAGTATAATAAAAAGAAATCTTTTTTAAAAAACAGAGTGAGGGCTGGGTGGTGGTGACTCACACCTTTAATCACAATACTCGGGAGGCAGGGGCAGGAGGATCTCTGTGAGTCCAAGGCCAGCCTGGTCTACAGAGGGAGTTCTAGGACTGCCAGGGCCATGTAGAGAGACCCTGTCTTGGAGGTAGACACACAAAAGAAGGGGGACCCAGCCTGACACAGAGGGTACATTCCTATAACCTAAGGGAGCAAGGCCTTCCTACACACACACACACACACACACACACACACACACACACACACACACACACACACACACACGCTTTATGAGCCAAACACCCCTATGGGGAGGAGGAAGCAGTGACTCATTTTAACTGCCGACTGAATGGAGCATTTCCTTAAGGCAGCTCCCTGCTAATCCACCTTCCCTGCTTCCCCTGGGCCTTTGTGCACTCACAACGCTTTGGTCTTTTCCACAAGCTCAAACACCCCTTGACAAGAGGCTAAACATGCACCAGGCTGTGTTGGGCACTTTACACACTTCACACCAAACTGCTCAACCTCCAGCACAAGGCCACCTGTCCAGAAAATGATGGGACTCCAGCTTAGCTGGTCCGTGAGGCTAAAACTGAAAGTGGGTCATTTATCAACAACTCTCCCCCCCTCCCCCCCCCCAATCTGGCTTTGTAGGCTAGAAACTCCAAGGTCACATGATAGAATGCAGTGACAGCCTTCTTATTCCATCATCCCTTATCAGAAGGCAGAAATGCAAGAAAGGACAAAAGGAGCCAGAGTCACCCTCCTGTTAGCACCAATCCCAGCTCTGAGGGTGGGGCCATGTCACTGTCTCACGCCAGGGAGCCCCTCAGGGCAGGCAGGGCCTTGTGCATGTGAGGCAAGTGTTCTTCCACAGCACATCAGCTAGCTCTGAATTGTTACAATGGCTGCTAAAGTCCACCAACTAAATAAGGTTTGTTGTTTTGGGGTTTTGTTTTTTAAGATTTATTTGCCGGGTGGTGGTGGCGCACGCCTTTAATCCCAGCACTCTGTGAGTTCGAGGCCAGCCTGATCTACCAAGTGAGTTCCAGGAAAGGCTCAAAACTACACAGAGAAACCCTGTCTCGAAAACCAAAAAAAAAAAAAAAGAGGTTTATTTATTTATTACATATACAGCATGTATGACTGCAGGCCAGAAGAGGGCACCAGATCTCATTACAGGTGGTTGTGAGCCACCATGTGGTTGCTGGGAATTGAACTCAGGACCTCAGGAAGAGCAGTCAGTGCTCTTAACCTCTGAGCCATCTCTCCAGCCCTGGTTTGTTTGTTTTTAATGTGTTATATCTTTTGTGTGTGTGTGTGTGTGTGTGTGTGTGTGTGTGTGTGTGTGTGTGTGTGTGTGTGTGTGATGCATGCCAGAGTGCACATGAAGACAACTTGCCAGAGTCAGTTCTCTCTGGAGGGGTCCTAGGGACTGGAGTCCAGTCATCAGGCTTGGCTGCAGGTGCCTTTTCCCACAAAGCCATCTATCTTCCTAGCCCTGACTTTTGAAGGAGACTAGCACTCAAACCTTAGCAGATGTGAACCTCTGTCAGTCTGCCTTCCATTCACGAGCTCCCCTGATCACCCTGTCTCCAGGGCTTCCAGCTCTCCAACGTCCCTCCCTTCCCCTCACGGATGACCTGACAACCCATCCAATGCTGCCGTCCTCTGTCCCACCCACTCCCTCAACAGATCTTGACTCACAGCTACCTGCCAGGCACAGGGATACAGAAGACGGAGCCCCAGCCTCTGCCCCTGTGGACTTCCGGGCTCCCGGAGGTGTTGGATACTGTCACTCACTGCTCAGAGGTGGTGGGGAGGGACTTGGGGACTGAGAAAAAGTGCTCAGGCCCTACTCCCCGATTGGCTTCTCATGAAGCCTAGTAGGAAGGAGGGCACAGAAGACTGAGCCAGGCTTTTCTCTGAGGGCACCAGGCCTGTAGTTTGAGATGACCCCAATGTAACCCACAAAACAGTCAAGGAGCCAAGACTCAGGGGATCCCAGGATGGCGAGGTCCCTGTCCAGGGCCTTCTGCTAATGTGATGGTAGCAATGCCCTGCTGGATGTTTACAATCACCTTTGACTCATGGTCTCCTCTTTCCCACCTCTGCCAAAGCTAAGGCAGACCTCTGTCACTGCAGAGAAGGCAGGAACTCACCTCACTGACATAACAGCAAGACAGGTGGACAGTGGTCAGCAGGGACTTCTTTGGGGTTTCCTACCCAGTTACCACAGTACCAGCATTCCAACCAACACAGTGCCAGTTGTGTGGGGGATAGAACTCATCATCTCTGGGCTGTAGTCTGATCTCTTCAGGGCACATCCTATACCCTAAAAAGTGCAGCCCATCTTTTAAAGCCAGAGGATAGTGCTCTGGTCCCGAGAGGTGAACAGCTGAGCCTACGACAGATTTGACAAGTTGTTTACTTTAAAGGAATGTCTGTGCCAGGAACACAAAACTACAGCAAGCGTGAAAAGCAGATCGTGCTACTCTGCTAGCAGCAAAAGTAAATCCAGTGTTAGCTTAAGTCATGCCGCCGTAGCCTTGACCTTCAGCTCATGGTTCATTTAGTTAGAATGATGTCACAGACTCGGACCTCTGCATCAGTCACTCTGAGCAGAGGATGTACACCTTCTCCTCCGGCAGCCAAGGTCTGAAAGGACAGATCTGGCTTGCTTTTCTTCCGGCTGTACCGAAATGCCATTTCTATCCACAGAAGGCACGCGGCAGATTCCCCTCAACGGACATTTTCTCGCTGGGTTGGCGAGCGCAGACCTGAAACCGGAGGAGATTTTGGGATCTGTGTACATCCCTCACTCTCAAAAGGTAAGAGACTGGCCGGTTGCTTTGAAGTTGTTGCTCCCTGTCATAATGGAGTCCAGTCACCCCTAACATCTGAAGACAGGTCGAAGGAAAGAAACCGTGTTCCCAAAACTGTTTCCTGACCTACTGCAAACCGGTTCAGCAGCAAGGCTCTGGGACTGCCCTGAGCAAGCGGCTCCAGGATGTGGATTTTGGTTGTTGTTGCAGCTGTGGGGTGTGACCCGCAGAAGGCGTGTGGTCACACTTCCCCATGGGTGAAGGCTCTCCGGCTGTGGATGGAGCTTCTCTACCTGACACACAGGAAGCTGGAGTCCTGACTTGGCTTTCCCACCCCCGGGTTCCTGCCAACCCCTACAGCTCATAGGAGCACATGGCCTCCAGAGGTTCCCTGGCCCGGGTTGATGTGGTCACCCTGCCAGCTACGGAGGTGGCCTTCTGCCCACACTCTACTCCTTAGGCCTGTCTACAAAGCTGTGCTTGACTCCAAGAGAGCCCCAATACCCCCCCACACACACACACACATACACTAAAAGCAGAGGCAGGTCATCATAATGAAGTCTTAAGTTTCTTCTCAGCTATGGATGCTCTTTGGTAGTCCTTCCTTCAGAAGAGCAACTTCGACATGCTTTCCCATCCAAAAGTGCATCCGTGTCTATGTGAAGACAGAGGAGAGAAAAACAGTATGTCATTGGGCTGAAGATAAGACTCAGCAGCTGAGAGCACTTGATGTTCTTACAGAGGACCTGGGTTCAATTCCTAGCACCCACGTGGCAGCTCTCAACCATCTGTAGCTCCAGTTCCAGGGGGTCTGATGCCCTCTTTTAGCCTTCATGGGAACCTGGCACACAGATGACGCACAGATACCTGTGTGTCAAACACCTGTGCACGTAAGAAGAAATAAACAATAAATAAAAGTCTTGTATAATATTTGAGAAACCAGCCTCAATATTATACTTTCCAGGGGCTCAGGAGAGAGAACTGCTAACAGCGAGGACTATTTTCAGGAAAAAATGAATCTCAGCACACCGAGCTCTTAGTCCATTCACTTTAATTCTCTACATCGTCTCTTGCTTTACAGTTATATATCTCCCAAAAATCACAATCCTCCCCTCCACCCAGGACACCCAGCCTGAATTTCCTCAGGCAGTGATTGTCTGCTATCAGGATCAAATGGAGGGGTGATAAGAATCACAAAGAGGGGTTTGCCTGGCGGTGATGGCGCACGCCTTTAATCCCAGCACTAGGGAGGCAGAGGCAGGCGGATCTTTGTGAGTTTGAGGCCAGCCTGGTCTACAGAGCAAGATCCAGGAAAGGCACAAAGCTACACAGAGAAACCCTGTCTCGAAAAACCAAAAAAAAAAAAAAAAAAAAAAGAATCACAAAGAGGAGCAATAGTTGTTAATTACCATTTGCAACCCAAAGGGGAAGTGACTAATGAATTAACTAAAGGCTAAATTCAGGTAATATCTAAGAAGAGGAATCTTACGTGCACAACTATAATCTTAAATGTGTTTGGTAAAAAAATGTTAAAAATCTATTGAGTTGCTAGGTCAATGGGAGAAAATAAAACTGCCTTACTTTTTCCTGTGGCTCTAAGCTATCTGCTGTTTTTCTACAGGGTGGGGGAAAGTGTACTCAGTCATTAGTGTACAGCTAGATGCATCTGGTGATAGTTAAAGGGAGATCTGGAACTAGAGGTAAGATTTGGGAAAGGAGAAAGTTAAGCTTAAATGGCACATCTGCCAGACCTTCTTAAACAGGTAGTCTGGATGCTTAAGTCTGTTCTAGAGAGTACTGAGGTATCTCTGATGAGGTACTTTCCTCCAACTCGGGATGGACCTGACTGGATGCTGCCAATGATGATAATTACAGGGAGGCTTGAACTGGGGTTCAGGCTGAGCATAGCTGTTAGCTCAGAAGGTTATCTAAATATTCCTAGAAGTGGTTAGGTAAGGAGTTAGAGGTCTAAAGTTAGTAAGGCTGTAAGAAGGAAGGGTCTGAGCTAAATTGTATAAAGCTGTTACTTAATGTCTACCTGACCTAGACAGTGTCCCCTTGTGGAATTTATCTTAAATCAGGAGACTTGTATGTGGGCTGCTATCACTGTTAGTCCTTGAAAGTTGGGTGCCCACCTGGGCCATGTCTCCTTGTGGAATTTAAGTCAGGGGGCTTGGCTTGCACATGGGTTGGTTATCACTGTTATCCTCGGAAGTTGGGCGCCTACCTGGGCGGTGTTTCCTGTAGTCCTTGAAAGTGGCTAAGGGTGTTATGCCCAGATTGTGACCCCAAAGAGACCACCGAAGACCTTGGATGTCCAGAATGCAACAGCAAGGTTTATTCTGTAGATACAAGTCTAGACAGGGAACTCATTCCTACACCCAATACAGTGAGGCAGGGAGGAGTTGCTCTTTCTTTGTGAGGCTAGCTTTTTTTTTTTTTTTTTGGTTTTTCGAGACAGGGTTTCTCTGTGTAGCTTTGCGCCTCTCCTGGAACTCACTTGGTAGCCCAGGCTGGCCTCGAACTCACAGAGATCCGCCTGGCTCTGCCTCCCGAGTGCTGGAGGCTAGCTTTTTAAAGACAAAAACCACAAGCCCTTCAGGGTGGTTGGGGGGCGGGTTGGGGGGTTTTTACATGGGTGCAACTTGGATTGGTTTATTTTTATCTCTGTTCTCTTTTAATTGGGTGAGGGTTTGTAACCTTTGAATTTACTTGTTGGGGGTTACAATTATCACTTTGGGGGCAGTCCAGCACAAGTCCCAAGCTTTGTCCTTGAGCTGCCATGGGGGCTGGCTGGCTTAGCACGTACTGACTGTGGGGGCTGGCTCAGTGGTCCAGGCTCTGTCCTTGATTCACGCACATAACTCTAAGTTGGTGAGGGGTCCCAGACAGTAAACATCTGGCTGAACTTTGAGCAGTCAGAGTACGTGCAGAAAGGGAGCTACTGCAAGGACTGTCTTTTGTTCACAGCCCTCCCAGAGACTGCTTGCTCAGTCTCAGGAAACTGAAATTGAGGCCTGATCTCTGAGAGAAGACTGAGCAGCCTGTTATGGCATCTGCTTGGTCCTTTCAAAGGGTACTTTCTGATTCCAGAGAAAGCCTTTCCTGAGGCTGTTCTCCAAATACCTGGAATGTGTATGTCCAGAGAGTGATCAGTCCACATTGTTAGCCCTTCTTAGGGAAAAATCAATTGGGAAAACTATGAAGGCACACATGATTTTTATAACAGAATACAGCTGATATATAACAAGCCAAGTAACATCAAAAACTTCTTGGAATTTGGCTTCCTCTGGAGGAATTCCCTGATCCCTCCAGGTAGTGACTTTGTCATAACCAGCTGAGTTCTTATGATGTATTCCTGCGGCCCGCAGCATAAAAGTAGTCTGTCAAAAAAAAAAAAAAAAGGAATAGAAAAATGGAACATGGAGTATGAGGAGCTTTGAGGCAAGGCAAAGGGGAAGACATGAAGTGAAGAGAACCTCTGGGACAGACGCCACCTCTGCTACTCTTGACCCAGCAGCCGCTGGAACATTCCATTCCACTCTTGCCAAATGGGAAAGTGAGCATTTCTACCATCCAGGACATGGAGCAGGGTTTGGACTGAAAAGCTCCTGACTTCAGAAGCCTCCTCCATCCTCCTAGAGACAAAATAACCCAAAGACTAGAGAGGATGCCTTCAAGAAACACAGTACCAATAAGGTCTCTCAGTGGCTCTCCACAGCATCCTCCACGGAGCTCTGCTGACCTCCAGCAGACCATGATATCAATGGCCAGGAGATATCAATGACCTCCAGGATGGGGTTTTAGAAGGAAGCCATTGTCACTTTTGGAGATAGAATGACTCGGTGGTTGCTGTTTGCTGCTGCTCCAGAGGACCTAGGTTCAGTTACCAACACACACATGTTGGCTCACGACCATCTGTAACTCCAGGCCCAAGGGATCCAACACTGTCTTCTGGCTCCCAAGGGCACATGCATATATGTGAACACTCATACACAGAAACAAAAATAAGTCTTTTTTAATCCTTTAGATTTATTTATTTTATGTGTGTTTCCTGCATTTATGTACTTTTGCATGTGTGCACTTGGTGCCCAAGAAGGTTAGAAGAAGGTGTCAGATCCCCTGGAGCTGGCATGTGGGTGCTGGGAACCAAACCCGGGTCCTCTGGAGGAGCAACAAGTGCTCTTAATTGCAGAGCCTTCTCTCCAGCCCCAACAACTTTTTTTTTTTCCTGAGACAGAATTTCTTTATGTAGCCTTGGCTGTTCTGGAACTCGCTCTGTAGACCAGGCTGGCCTCAAACTCGCAGAGTTCCACCCGTCTCTGCCTCCCAAGTGCTGCGATTAAAGGCATGTGCTACCACCACCCTGTTCCAACTTTTTTAAAGGCTATCTGGAGAGATTGCTCAGTGGTTAAGAGTACTTACTGCACTTGCAGAGGACCCGGGTTCTGATCCCAGCACCTACATGGAGCCTCATAACCCTCTCTAACTCTGGTTCCAAGGAACTGCATGCCGCCTTCTGGCCTCTGAGGGCTCCTACACACATTAGGAGCATATAAACTCACAGAGGCTCCTCTACGAAAATAAAAATATACATAAATGAATCTTTTTTTTTTAAAGGACACCATTCTCACTCTTAGCAAGAAGGCAGCCAAAGTGTCTCTCATTTAGACAACCATCCTCTGTGTCCCATTATATGAATCTAAGTGATTAATTAGAGGCACCAAGAGGGAACCCAAGCTTTTCATTCTGACGTATCAGATAACGGGAATGGTTTCTGTCTCCACAGTGGGAGTTTGTGTCCGCCTTCCGGCAAGCCCAGTGCCGTCAGAACGCTTTGCCTGATGTGAATGCGGGCATGAGGGTCCGGTTCAGAGAGGGCACAGACACCATTGAGGACCTGAGCATCGCCTACGGAGGGGTGGGGCCCACCACCATCAGCGCACATGAATCCTGCCAGCAGCTCCTCGGCAGGTAAGTGATGAGCACTGTGCCTTAAGGGGGCCTTGATGGCGGGACAAACAACTTGGCCCTGACTTCTGGTGATAAAGCCCTTGAAGGATGGAAACTCAGACTTGTAAAAACAAATCGCTGCTTGTTCCGTCTTTAATTTTGCTGAATTAATTCCACAGTATTTGGCATCAATTAAGCCACTTTTTGGGGTGAGGGACACAACAGGTGATGTTTTCTCAGCCAGCCCCCTTTTCTCCAGCAAATGAACACTCGGAGGCCCTCTCCAGTGCTCCCGCCATATTGGGTGCATGCTAGTCCTCCCTAGGTCAAAGCAGCGTCCAAGTCTGAATTCTGTCCTGTTCTGCTCTAGAATATTCTGGAATGGTTCTAGAATGTTCCGACTCTGGAACATGCTTGATTTATGCTGCAGTGGGGAAAGGTCCCCATCTCACTCGGCCACAATTCTTGTGCCACTTGGAGCAGATTCCCAGGGCTTTGGTCTGTCCAGAGACCCTTGTTCCCATGATTTCTAAGAGAAACCCGGTTTCCGCGCAATCGGACCACGCTTTAACCATCCTCCTCTGCACCAGGCACTGGAATGCCCTCATGCTAGACGAGGCTTGCAGGCGGCTTCTGGATGAAGTCTCCCTCCCGGGCTCAGCTCCGGGGGGCAAAGTGGAGTTCAAGAGGACTCTGATGGTCAGCTTCCTCTTCAAGTTCTACCTGGAGGTTCTGCAGGAGCTGAAGAAGAGAAAAATAAAGCTGTCCTCGGAGTCCGCCGTAAGTGCTCTGGAGGACAATGGCAATCGCTCTCAGGCGTGGTCATGGTCTCACAGTTCTGAGGCTAGAAGGCCTCTCAGCCCAAGGTGCCATCAGGAAGCAGGGTGAGGTGACTCACCTCTGTGAGCCCAGCACGCAGGAGGCCGAGGCAGGGAGATCACAATGAGTTCCAGGCCTGTCTGAGCTACACAGTGACACCTCTCTCACAATAAATCATAAACTAAAAACAGAGATGTCATCAGAGCTGGTTCCTCCTGAGAACCATGAGGTTCGATTCCACACCTTTCCCATGGCTTCTGATGGCGTGGCCTCGCTCTTCTGGTGGCTTGCTGGTGACCTTTAGGGTTCTTTACCTTGTAGGAATCACCCTGCTCTTCGCTGCCCCTGTGTGCATGTTTATGTCCAAACTTCTCCTTCCAAGAGGACGTCAGCCATCATGTCAGTCAGGTCTAACTCATTACCACTGCAGTAAACACCCCATCTTCTTTGGATAGGTCACACTCTGAGTTTCTGGAGGTTTAGACTTCAACATAGTGATTTGAGAAGACGAAATTCAAACCATAACACCAGCTTCTGCCAGCTCCTTGCAGCCAGGACTTCCACACTTTGCCATTGCTTGCGCCACTTGTCCTGTGGGGACCCTGTTGCCCTTCTCTGGAAGTCCTTGATCTGGGTCAGCCTTTGTCAGCCCGGTGTTCATCCTGGGATTTGGCCCTAGCGGGCTCTCAACCCACCGCCGTCAGCGCTCAGGTGTTTACAGTGCCCCAGCACAGAAACGTGACAGGGGCTCTGTCTCCATGCTGTAATTTTTTTTTTCTTTTAAAATAAACTTTGTTGAACCCTAATTTACAGTAAAACAAGAGACAAATAAAAATGTGTTATTTAACCCACCTGTTTTAACTTAGTCCACAAATGTACACCTGGGGAGCCACCAATTCAAACTACATAGAACACGTTGTCACCACCCCAGAGAATCCCTTGTCCCCTTTGTCATTGTCCCCACCTCTGTCCAGACAGACACTGGCCTGCTTTGTGGAACTAAAGCTTCGTTTTGCTTAGTCTAGAATTTTGCAATCAATATGAAATGTAACGTTGAATTTTTATGTTTCAAAAAGTCAAAAACTAATATGTATAGTGTTGTCTAAACAGCTTTCCAGATTTTCTGATTGCAAACCTCTGGAGTAAGTTAAGCAAAATATTTGCTCTCTCCCTTGTTCTCCCTGCCTTGTCCTCCCGCTCTGTCAACGCTTCCCTGACCATGATCACAGCTCTCACATCCCCCGTACTCCACTCCGTTCCTCAGCCACCCCCACCCCATGGCCACAGTCCCCAGAGCCACTGTCCCTAACCTCTGAATTTCAGACAAAGACCTGCGCTTCATTTCTCAGTCAGGACACCAGGGCAGTCTTCCAGCCTCAGGAAAAAAGATCCTGAAAAAAGCATTCAGAATTTTTTTCATTTTGTGAACCATAGGCGCTAGCTTATTCTGGGATGGCTTATCCAGCCTAGAGTTGCCTTCCTAGCGCGCGCGTGCATGCGCGTGCGCACGCGCACACACACACACACACACACACACACACACACACACACACACACACACACCACCTCCGAGCTCACTGGTAGACCTTTTCCTCCAGGGACATGAAGATCAGATTCAAACCAGTCATCCAAGCCCTCACTTGGATAGGGGGTGAGGGGGCTCCAGGGTCATAAAAAAATGAAAGCCTGGGGGTGGGGGGTAACTCGGCCACCCCTCAGTGCATTAGGGGCCATTCTACATAATCCATACCCAACCTGATCCAGACTAACCAGTCTCTTCTCCCTGTGCCGAGTCACTCCAGGACAGCCAGCGTCGTCCAGGGATTGAAGCGAGGCTCCTGAGCGCTCTGGAAGACTTCCAGGTCACACTCCCCCAGGGAGTCCAAACATACCAGGTCAGTGAGCTTGATTTCACCGAAGCCTGCGCTGAGAGATAAGCTAGAGCTGTGTGGACCAAGCAAGCTATTCACAGGGCTGATTTTCAGTTCTCTCTGGGTGTTCCTGATCCAGAGCCTCTGAACCCCAAGAGCTGGTGCCTGACAAGCACAGGCCTGCTTGTCAGGCACCAGCTCTGCCAGCGTGGTCTGCAGGCAGACAGTCATCATCACTTTAAAGTGATTCTTTGGGCATTTGTCTGATACCTACCCAGGAGAGTGGCGGAGCCCAGGGCTCAGTCTCTAGCCCAAACTGCGCATGTTTGTTCTCCAGTCAGTAAACAAAGAGGCCTGCAATGACTAAGCTCGCTCTTCTGGAAGGACGGTTTAGAAATTAGCTCTTCTTGCTGGTACACAGCCCTTCACACACACACGCACACACACACACACACACAGATACACACACTCACACATACACACACATACACACATTCACACATACACACACACATACACACAGATACACACACACTCACACATACACACACACTCACACATACACACACACTCACACACAGATATACACATACTCACACATACACACACATACACACATACATACATACACACACACACACTCACAGATACACACATATACACACACATACATACACACACACTCACAGATACACACATACACACACACACACACACACACACACACACACACACACACACACACCACTGAATGAAAACAAGGACATGACACTCCTAGGTATGACTGAGGTTTATTGTAGACATGAGGGAAGCAGAGCAGAGGCACCGGGAAGGGTCCAGACTGAACCAGGCCATGAGAGGGGGATTGGGGAGGGGGGAGTAAAGGGGAATGTGAAGAGAGAAGCCGAGGGCTGAGAGACCAAGAGAACCAAGACAAGAGCCAAGATGGCTGAGGTTATACAGGAATCAAAGGAGCTGGGGGAAGAGAAGGAAAGCTGGGGGGACCAGGGAGTGGAGAAGCTGAGGGTCAGGGGGTGGGGTATGCCAGCCGGGATGACTCTGTAACAGGTACTTGTGGGTAGGAACTGAGGGAGGCTGGTGGCCAGAGTCAGCTTTGATATGTTAAATGGGTACCTCAGTTAGTCATTTGTCCTGAGTTTGAGACCCAACACACACACACACACACACACACACACACACACACACACACACACACGCACGCACACGCACACACACACACACACACACACACACACACACACACACACACACACACACGTCAGTGCAGCCTCAGAGAAAAGTTCCAGAATAAACTCTTTCAACATCGGTCTGGATCTGGAAAATTCCATTCCCATTCCCACCCTCCGCCAGAGGCCCCGATGAGTCAACACTCTGAGTTCTCACTCAGATTCTGGTCTGTCTCTGTGGGGCACATTGTATCACTTAGGCCTCATCAGAATGGTGAGCATGAGCAGGCTGGCCATTGGAAGGGTGAGCATGAGCAAGCTGGCCATTGGTAGGGTGAGCATGAGCAGGCTGGCCATTAGAAGGGTGAGCATGAGCAGGTTGGCCACTGGAAGGGTGAGCAAGCAGGACAGAGAGACCTAAACTGTCAAACAAAGGGGTTCAGGGGTACCACACATGGAGGAAGTGGAGAGGCCTTTCATCTACTCACGGTTCTGTCAAAATGTTGGCCGGTCAGAGGCATGGCCACAAAACTGAAATGACAATTTCATATTCTAGTTACATCATGAAATGGCCATCCTCATCATCTGACCGGCTCCACTGAGGGGACTGTCCTGTGACTCCACCCGGAGTCACCCGGGGCCACCTGAGATGAAAGGTTTCTGGGCTAACTCTGTCTTTCCCTGTAGAGAGTAGATCCTCGCCAACCTCTCCAGGATCCAGTTGGACGTCCCATCATGCATCTGTCAGGTCTTAAACATGCCACAGGGGAAGCCGTATTTTGTGATGACATCCCCAGGGTGGACAAAGAACTTTTCATGGCTTTGGTGACCAGTACCAGGGCTCATGCAAAAATCATGTAAGTAAAGCAAAGCTTTTCAAAAACCTTCTAAAGGTATCCCTGGGGGTTTCCTCAAAGGACTGTGTCATCTTCTGCAATGCCCTAACCCAATGAGCTCCAGGATGAAGAGAACATATCTAGAAATTGTTATGCCCAGATCTCGGGAACCCCCAAAAGACCACTATGGAGACCGAATCCCATATGTAAAAGCAAAGAGCCTTTATTTCAAGCTTGGAGCTTGGTCTCTCTGTCTGTCCGACACAGCGGTGAGAACACAGAGCCCTGAGCCTGAGCAGGGTGGGGTTTTTAATCATAGCAGAGGTTGGGATGAGGGGATTTCTAGGGTTCAGGACTCTGGCTGACATTTGTCTAGGGGTATAGGGAATGTTTCGGTGTCAGGTACTTCCCCTTAGATGCAGGCCCTTCCTGGGTGGGGTCAGCTTATGGCTTTTCCTGGGTCTGGGTGCTGCCTGCTAGTAAGCCTGTCACAGAAGCTGTGTCTGGGCCTCTAAGCCTGTCATGGCAGCTGTGTGGTCAAGCTGTTTGGGGCCCCCCACGTTTCCCCTTCACAAGTACCAATGACATGACTCAACCATGAGTCCTATCTGTACAGGGATTCCAGGGTATTGGGACCTAAGAACCATTAGCTAACAGGTTATTCTAGGACATCTGCATCTATTGCCATTTTTAAGGCCCTGTAGTTCTGATCTTTGAGTACAGCCAGATTATAATCCTGAATGACTTATATAGAAATAATAATTTCTTAAGGCCATATAACACCTTTTTGGTTCTGCACAAAGAAGGTCAAATGTCTTATCTTATTGTAGAACTATTTTAGTTCATAAATTCATCAACTGACAACTCTGAACCTATTTTCCTGGTATGTCAACGGGGATTATAGTTAGCCATTCTGTCTCCTATGCCAGGGAGTTTCCTTTTTGACCCAGCAGAAATGACCATCCTGGGTGTGGGTGGGGGAGGTGAGGGGGGACATAGGGGCTGGGATATAGCTCAGCTGGTAGAGTGATGGAACGTTCTACCAAGCACAAAGCCTGGGGTTCAATCCCCAGCACCAAATAAATCCAGCACAACTGTAAACTGCTGTTAACACAGCAGGTAGAGGCGAGAGGATCAGAAATTCAAGATCATCCTTACTTACACAGCTAGTTCCAGGTCCAGGCGGACTACATGAGACTCTATCTCAAAAATTAAAAAAATAAAAAGTTATAGTACTTTTGTTTGCTTCCTAAGGTCATAAAACCCCATCCCCCTGCAGCCTCACGCATGACTCAGAGGCACTCTGATAACACTGAAACACCAACAACAGAAAACAAATACTGCCGTACACTTCCAGAGAACACTTGTCTCAAGGCCCCTCTTTGGCACCTGAAATGGTACCTCCCGGCCCTGCAGCAGGTCTCCTAAACTAGACTCCAGGTCCATTCTGGTTGCTCAGGCTGGCTTTGTTGTTCCATGTTTTTATCTTCAACTATACTCTATTCTTCCCTTGGGTTTGAGGCCCTCAAAGTTTGCTGACGTCTCCTTCTCAAACGTCTCCCTCTGTCCAGCTCAATCGATTCATCGGAGGTCTTGGCCCTACCTGGCGTGGTTGATGTAATAACAGCTGAAGACATTCCAGGCACCAATGGTGATGAGGAGGACAAATTACTGGCTGTAGATGAGGTATGGATGGGACATGCTTTCCCAGATGCCTCTGCACATAGTCACCCAAGCATCCCTTTCACTCAACTGTCCTTGCCTCCCAGCTTTTTCTACCACCGAGATTGAGAAGTGCCAAGGCCCTAGCTCTTCTCTACCCCAATGCCTCTATGAGCCTTGCCTTGCTGGAGTTAGGAAATAGCACACTAAACAAAAACTAATCATAGATCTGATTCAGCCACTACATGCCTTTGAGTTCAGTCACCCTAATCTGAAGAGTAAATATAAGGAGCCGATCTATAACAGGATAGAATGTTCTAGAAGGATCTAAAAAGGAGGAGGTGAGGGGCACCACAGCCACATCCTCTTACTTACATGGAACTCTCACCAGGTCTCACTTTCCTTCACTTGTGCTTTTTTTATTAAGTTGTCTTGGAAGTCACTGGCCTTGTAATTCCAATCATTTACTGACCACCCTGACTTAGGGCCAGAGCACCTCGGCTCTGGTTCCAGCATTTCCACCTACTGTGTGCTCTTGGGATCCACCATCTTTAAAGAGGGTATGATCATGACACACTTCACTGTATCATAGGAGTTAAACAAGTGAGTACGCTCGAGGTACCTAGGACAGCGGTTGGCATATGAAGACTCACTGAATGCTGGCTGTTGTCACATTTCAGTGAATCCCACACACTTTCTCCTCCAGCCAGGATGGAGATCAGTGGGGCTTTTGGCTTCGTTTTGTTGGGGTTTTGTTTTGCTTTTTTTTTTTTCTTTTTTGGTGTTTTGTTTTATTTTGTAATCCACCAGAAGAGGTTGGCTGTCATTTATCAGTCTATTGGGGCTGCCATGATAAAACTTTCTAAACACGGGGCTACAGAGAAGGCTCAATGGTTAATAGCACTGGCTGCTCCTCCAAAAAGGCCTGAGTTTGATTCCCAGCACCCACATGGCAGCTTACAACCATCTATAACTCCTGTTCCCCAGTATCCAATGCCCTCTTCTGGCCTCTGTGGGCACTATATGTATGTGATGTATAGATGTATATGTAGTTAACATATACCCCTCACATAAAATAAAAATAAATCTCAAAGTGGGAGGCTGAAACAAGAGAAATTGATTTTTAAAGTTCTAGAGCTGAGCCCAGGCCACGATGTCTGGCCTTCTCTGCCGAATCTTTCCTGCTTGCTGATGGCTGCCTTCTCCTCCTCATCTTTATTTTGCCTTTCCTCTGTAAATAAACACCTCCCTCTCTTACAGGCTCAACAGTCCTAGTGTACAGAGGCCCCACCCTTACCGCCTCTGTGAAGGTCCTGTCACCAAATGCAGTCTCATAGGTCTTCAGCATAGTAAGGGGTTGGGTTGTTCAGTCAGCTCGCAACAGGGGCCACACACTTACACATTAATCTCTTAAACAGGATGAAGGATGCATGTAAACACAACACAGCAGGGGGCTGGGCTGGTCCACGTTACAGTCAATCTCTGGGACGTACACTCTCTGAGCACAGTGGCCAGTGAGTGAAACTGTTTAATACATACTTTTCGTGTGTGCTGCTGGAGGTCTAACCAGAGGTACCACACATGCTAGGCAAGGGCTGTACCACTGCATATCACGCAAGACCTTCTTTTTTTCTTACTATTATTTTCAAATGTTTACCCAAGCACGTGTGACCCCAGCATGGCTATTTCGGTTCAACAATGACGTCTAAGACACCAGCCACTGATGAGGTTGGGCTTGGCTTCTGGTCTATTTGCTTTAAAATTATTTAAATTAGTTCACTTATCATCATAACGGTGTGGAGTGTGGGAGTCGCGGAGGTCGCATGTGGAGGTCAGGGGACAACTTTACGGAGTTGTTTCTCTCCACCTATCTCTGTATGGGTTCCAGGGATTGAACTCAGGTCCCCAGGCTTGTACAGGAAGCATTATGACATACCGAGCCATCACCCCGGTCCTCTATCTGCTTTATATATGCACTTTACAGGTGCTCTGTGTGGGTCAGATCATCTGTGCTGTGGTCGCAGAGACTGATGTTCAGGCAAAACGAGCCACTGAAAAGATGAAAATCACCTACGAGGATCTGAACCCTGTGATTTTCACCATCGAGGTAAGCAGGGCCAGTCAGTCTCCCTCTGAAACTGTAAAGTTGGGCTGGAGAGATGGCTCGGTGGTTAAGAGCACAGAATACTCTTTCAGAAGACCCAGGTTCTGTTCCCAGCGTCCACGTGGTGGCTCACAACCATTTGTAACTCCAGTTCCAGGGGATGTGACACTTCTGGCTTCTGGCCTCTGCAGACATCAGGTACATGTGCAGTGCGTAGACACACATGCAGGTAAACACTCACACGTGTAAAATAAAAATAAAGCATCTATGTAAATGTCTTAATATTAGAAGACTAACTCAGAACCTTTTTTTTCCTCTTTGGCATCTGCTTGTTCTGGAAAAATCATTTTGCTCTGGAAGATATTACTTGTATGAGATGAAATTGTCTTTGGCTCTAAGAAGTAGAAAAAACAACCAGAATAGACGTTTCTCACATTCAAAAGCCTAGAAGTAGCCAGGCCTAGTGGGAGAGTCCTGTGACTCTGGCTGTGTGGCCTGCTGAGGCAGACGAACCGCACCTAGGCAACTTAGTGTGACCATGACTCAAAACAAAATATAAGAAGAGAGATGGGTGTATAGCTCAATGAACTCAGGAAAAAAAAAACACTAGATGTGATCAGTCCGAGGCTTATATGGTATGTAGTCTGCTTATGTTTGTTTATATGGTCTATATGGTATGTTTCGTGCCGATATAACGGAATCCCTGACATTGGGTAATTTATAATAAACAGGAATTTATTTTCCACGATTCTGGTGTCTGGGAAGGTCCAAAACTGAAGGGCAACACCTAACACTGCGTGATTCCAAAAGGTAGAAAAGGAAGAGTAAGAGAGAGAAACTCACTTTCACAACAAAGCTGTTCCACTATGGTTATTACAATAACCCATCCATGGCCGGGCGGTGGTGGCGCACGCCTTTAATCCCAGCACTCGGGAGGCAGAGCCAGGCGGATCTCTGTGAGTTCGAGGCCAGCCTGGGCTACCAAGTGAGTTCCAGGAAAGGTGCAAAGCTACACAGAGAAACCCTGTCTTGAAAAAGCAAAAAAAAAAAAAAAAAAAAAAAAAACAATAACCCATCCATGAGAGCAGATGTGTCCTAATCACCCCTAAAGGCCCCACCCCTCAAGTCTGCTGCCCTGGGAGTTAGGTGGGGACACAAGCCATAGCTTGTGAGCTGTGTGTCACGAATCCGGATCCTTCTTTCCAATCTCTCTGTAACACGTGGCTTCCATTCTGCAGGTCACAGCTTTTTCTAAAACAGCCACTGAAGCTTTGCCCATTAAATCCACATTCCAGACAGCAAAAGCATGAATGAGAACAGGTACCCCTAATGCCTTTAAGAACATTTCCTAGACAGGACATAGAGGCATATGTCTTTGATGCCAGCACTTGGGCAGCAGAGGTAGGCAGATCTCTCTGTGAGATGGAGATCAGCCTGGTCTACATCATAAGTTCCAGGAGAGCCAGGGCTACCAAGAGAAACACTGTCTCAAAAAACTAAAAAGTAAAACTAAAAAAGATGGTTTCCCAGTCCTTACAGGGAGGTGTGTACTTTGCACATACCTTACTATTTCGTTGGCTAGAAGTCCAGCATCTGCCATACCCAAGACCAAGAGGGCTAGGAAGCACGATTTATCCAGATGGCTTGTGCATCTACCAAAGACATGGGACCCTGTTTCTTGAGGAAGGTGATGGGGGTGGATATTGGGAATAATAATGTAATGAGAATTTCAGGATGGAATTCTATAGAAACTTCCCAATTTCTGGTTCTTGGTGATGGGATTCAAGTTAGGTTTCTGAAGACAATAACAGAGTGAGAACATAGAAAATTCAAGTGTGGACTGATGTTTTTTTTTTTTTTTTTTTTTTTGGTCTTTCGAGACAGGGTTTCTCTGTGTAGCTTTGCGCCTTTCCTGGAACTCACTTGGTAGTCCAGGCTGGCCTCGAACTCACAGAGATCCGCCTGGCTCTGCCTCCCTTGGACTGATGTTTTAATTGTGCCATTACTTTAATAAACACCTGAGATAAACACCTTATAAAGATGGACGGACTCTTTCTGCTCACAGTTTTAGAAGTTTCAATTCATGCTTTGTTGGGCAATACATTGTAATGGCCACACGTAAGTGAGCAAAAGCACTCACCTCGTATCTAGGACTGGAAAAGGAGGAAAGGAAGAGACCAGGTGCCACAATCCACTTTGAGGGCATGTCTCCAATAACCTAAAGCCTTCTAGGAGTCCTCATTTGTTAAGGGTTCCACCATTCTCATTCTAGGACCAAGCTAGGGAGGAGTGCCAGGCTGGGGCCTGAGCCTCTGACACCACACAGACCCAAACTTTAGCAACTAGGACTTGCAGTCTCTAACTCGGTGACAGCCAGATCCAGAGAAGTCAGGTTGAGGAAAAACAGCGTGTTTCTGGCCTTGCAATATACCATAGTTGATGTGCAGAGGCCCTGGGGAACCATGGGGACAGCTGTAATGTACCTAAGTGGTACCAGTCTCTCAATGTGGTCTCTCTACACCAAACCAGCTCTGCTCCAGCTCCCATTTGCCAAGTTTGCAAGGAGTACAGGCTTTCCTGGCTCGCCCTCCTTCCTTGACTTGCACTAGAATCCTAACGTGAGTTCGTTTTTGTTGTTACCTTATTTCCACTGAACTCCCCTTTCCTGAAGGGGTAAATGACATCCAGAGGATACCCCCATGACCCATCCTGGGACTCAGAATATTTAGAGACCTAAAGATTCCTCAGAATAAGAATGTCTAGAGTGAGCAAATAATTATTTTATGACCAAGGGCAGGATACAAAAGTCATATATGCCAATAGTAATTCACTCATCTATGCATTAACCTATTTACATGAACATTGTTATAAATATGTGTTGTATATTGTGTGTGTTATGTATATGATGATATACATCATAAAAATTTATATAAAATATATTTGCAAGAGAGACAGTATGTCGGGTGGTGATGGTGGTGCATGCCTTTAATCCCAGTACTCAGGAGGCAGAGCCAGGCAGATCTCTGTGAGTTCGAGGCAAGCCTGGTCTACAGAGCAAGATCCAGGAAAGGAGCAAAGATACACAGAGAAACCCTGTCTTGAAAAACCAAAAAAGAGAGAGAGAGAGAGAGAGAAAGAGAGAGAGTAGATCCAGGCTGACAAATTTGAATTATAGCTGCTCCTCTTTTTACCTGTGTGATCTTAGGCAGGAACTTACAACTGTATACCAGTTTCCCCACCTGTTAAAGGGGAGTCATGATATGCACCTCATCAAGTCCTCATAAGAGTAAATGAGTTAATGAATGTAAGACAAAATAGTCTCTGGCTCACAGTGCTCGCTCCATATCGCACATCTCATCAGAAGGGCGAGAGTCTTTTGACACACTTACATCATGGCAATAAACATATTTCCGTGTTTGCCACTGTGACTTATTGAGGTCGAAGTGTGCGTTGGATACTTTTGTTAACTTGATACAAGCTAGAGTCACTGGAGAGGAGAGAACCTCAGTTAAGAAAATGCCTCCCCCTGTCCTTTCCTGGACAGAAACAGAGGAGGGGTGGATTGGGGGGTGTGAATGGAGGGGGGTGGGAAGGAGGAACTGGGAGGAGAGGAGGGAGGGAAAGCTGTGGTTGGGATGTGTAATGAATAAATGAATAAATAAATTTATTGAAAAAAAGAAAATGCCTCCATAAAATCAGGCTGCAGGAAGCCTGTAGGACATTTTCTTAATAAGTGACTGATGGGGGGGGGGGGGCCAGCCCATTGTGGGTGGAGCCATCCCTGTGCAGGAGGTCCTGGGTTCTATAAGAAAGCAGGCTGACCAAGCCATGGGGAAAAAGCCAATAAGCAGCTCCCCTCCATGGCCTCTGCATCGCTTCCTGCCTCCAGGTTCCTACCTGCTTGAGTTCCTGTCCTGACTTCCTGTGATGATGAACAGTGGTATGGAAGTGTATGCCAAATGATCCCTTTCCTCCCCAACTTGCTTTTGGTCATGGTGTTTGATCACAGCAATAGTAACCCTAACTAAGACAAACTGTTAATTAAGAAAGTAAATATTGCCAGGCCGTGATGGCATACACCTTTAACCCCAGCACTTGGGAGGCAGAAGTAGGCTGATCTCTGTGGGTTTGAGGCCAACCTGCTCTACAGATCAAGTTCCAGGACAGCCAATGCTACACAGAGAAACCCTGTCTTGAAAAACAAAACAAAACAAAACAAAACCAAAAAGGAAAAATCTCAAGTGTGGTGTTTATTTTCCGTTGCTTTAAGAAGTCAGGTAGCTGTTGCTAGGAAGGATGGTTTTTTGTTTGCAGAACACAGGGCCTTGTGCACACTAAGCCAGTACTCTGTCACTGAGTCATGTCCCCAACCCTGGGCAAGATGTTTCTAGAACATGCCTCGTCCCTCACCTATTTGCAGCCTGGCTTTGAGAGTTATTGTCTCCTCTCTGAGCCCCATTTCTTCATCTTAAAAATGGAGGTAATAATAGAATTAATGCAAGAATATACGTGCATGCATAGATACTGCTGTTGCGTGGTGTTTGCGTTGCGTGTGACACTCTTTCTGGGGAGACATGAGCAGATAACTACTCACCCCAGAGAGGGAACTAATGATGTCAGACTGAAATAATGATTATATCATCGGAGTTCAACTCTGTAAAGCAATGGATTTTAGGGGTGACTCACAGGTGGAGGAGGGGCGGCTCATAGGATCACCAGGGACAATTCAAAGGCAGCAGTTGCCTCACAGAAAGCCCTGCCTAGCATGGGTGGTGGCTCACAAAAGCTGGTCCGTTTTAGGGACTTCCTGAAACTTCTGTTACTTACTTTCTGGGCCTTTTTTTTTTTTTAATGACTGTAGGTGTTATGTCTGAATGTCTGTGCACCACTTGTGTGCCCAGGGAGCCAAAAGAGGGTATGAAATGGAATTAAATGGTTGTGAGCCGCCATGTGGGTGCTGGAAATTAAACCCAGATCCCCCGGAAGAGCAGCCAGTGCTCTAAACTGCTGAGTCATCTCTCCAGCCACTACTACTCCTTTGTTTAGTTTTGTTTTATTTATTTTGTTTTGAGACAGGGTATATATAGCTGTATAGCTCTGGCTGTCCTGGAACTATGTAGACCTCAAACTCGTACTGGGATTAAAAACATATACCGCTATGTCCCACTAACTTCTTGAGTCTTTTTTGTTTGTTTGTTTTTTTTTTTTTTTTTTTTTTTTTTTGGTTTTTCGAGACAGGGTTTCTCTGTGTAGCTTTGCTCCTTTCCTGGAACTCACTCTAGCCCAGGCTGGCCTCGAACTCACAGATATCAGCCTGACTCTGCCTCCCAAGTGCTGGGATTAAAGGCATGCGCCACCACTGCCTGGCAACTTCTTGAGTCTTAATAAGCCTCTCTTCAGAGTGTCCCAAGCTTCCCTGTAGTGTGGCATGTATCTGCTCAGAGGAAACTGCTATGCAACAGTATGTCACAAAGCAAACACTCAAAAGTAGCTGCACTCACTATTACCATTAATAAGAAAGAAAGGCTGCGGACTCGAAGGCTTTTGGAGTCCAAGAATCCAAGACAGGTGTCATTCTGAGGTGCAGAAGGACATATTGGGTCTGCAGTGTTAGCAAGGATCAACTGTGCTGAGTTGGTCCACAGAACCAAAGAGCAGAATGGCTGCCATGTGGGAGTCAGTTCACGCTAATGTCAGAAAACAGACGTGGGGGAAGAAGAGAAGGAGGGGGAAGAACAGAAGTCTAGAAAGGCCCTGTTGAAATATGTCAATGACGATGTGGCCGTCTTGGCCCTATCAGAGTGTGAGGACCTGTGTCCTCTCCCTCAACACAGCCTCGGCTTTCTCAAAATCCTGAGGAAAGAAGAGGTTCGTGCACGTAGCTACCTAAGTAGCTAATACACTTTTTTCCTCGGAGAGACGTGAAAAAGGAGAGCTCAGAGCCGGCAGCAAAACGAAAGGGTGACTAGCTTTGTGTTTTTGGCCTTTTGCATAGGATGCCATAAAACACAATTCGTTCCTGTGCCCTGAAAAGAAGCTCGAGCAAGGAAACATTGAGGAGGCATTTGGAAACGTGGATCAGATAGTTGAAGGTAAACAGTTGGGAAGAATTCCTAAAGTCATTCCTTGACTCCATTCGGAACCAGCCATCAAAGGCATATGATTTCCCCTTGGGAGGCTTTCTCTGAAGTCCTGGAGCCTCCCCAAACTTACGCTCCTTCTCAAAGCCTCTGTGCATCCATGCACCTGTGTGTCTATGTTGTGTTTGGAGGTGAGAAGTAATAGAGTAAGTAGGAGAAAATTTCTAAAATTTGGTTGTCAAGGGCAGAGTAAGAAATAGAAGCTGGAACTTTGAACTTTCAGAACTATGGTCTCTGAGACAGGTCCCTTGATTGTTACAAGGCAAAGATACCTCAGTGGGTAATGTTACAGGGTGGGCAGTCCATATCCCACTTCATTTAAAACGCCCCATGACCGCAGCTTCCAACCACCACACACCTCCAGACATGTTCCTGCACTTGCCCTTCACAGGAGAGGTCCATGTTGGAGGGCAAGAACATTTCTACATGGAAACACAGAGAGTGCTCGTTATTCCAAAGACAGAAGACAAAGAACTGGACATGTATGTGTCCACACAAGATCCAGCCCACGTGCAGGTAAGATCCAGCAGGGCTCCGCCATCACCTTCTTCCCTCCATCATGGCGGTCAGTCTCCATAGCGCAGGCGGCAGCCACTTCACTGATAGAAACTTAGAATCTAAACGTTGGATATCTGTAATGCAGCTAAGACCCTAGAACCGTTTTAATTTTATTCCTGTTCTTATCAACAACAAAAGAACAATCCTGATCACATTTTCTTTATTTATTTTTCCTACTCTTTGAGAATTTCATGCATATGTATGATATGCATCAAAAGATCATATTCATCCATCACTCCTCTCCAACTTACCCCAGACCTCCATCACATCCCTTCTAAGTCCCTGTTCTCTCTCTCTCTCTCTCTCTCTCTCTCTCTCTCTCTCTCTCTCCCTCCCTCCCTCCCTCTCCCTCTCCCTCTCCCTCTCCCTCTCCCTCTCCCTCTCCCTCTCCCTCTCCCTCTCTCTCTCTCTCTCTCTCTCTCTTTTTTTTTTTTTCGTTTTTCGAGACAGGGTTTCTCTGTGTAGCTTTGCGCCTTTCCTGGGACTCGCTTGGTAGCCCAGGCTGGCCTCGAACTCACAGAGATCCACCTGGCTCTGCCTCCCGAGTGCTGGGATTAAAGGCGTGCGCCACCACCGCCCGGCCTCTCTCTCTCTTAATAACCCATTGAGTCCAGTTATGCATGTGGGTGTCAGGGCATCCACCGGAACATGGGCAAGTAGTTGCCACATCCTCAAAGAAGGACGGCTTTCCTCCAGAAATGTCAGACAGAGGTGGGGTCTCATGATTCCCTCCCCAGTCTATGCTGGAATTGTGTGTGACTGGCTTGATGTTGTAGAATTGTGAGTTACAATGGTAACTCACAGCCACTGTATTCATGACTACACCAGCTTCGTCATGTCCAGAAGACATAATTGGGGGGAGGGGGCAAGGTTGAGACAGGGTCTCTCTGTGTAGCCCTGGCTGTCCTGGAACTCTCTCTGTAGACAAAACTCAGAGATCCACCTGCCTCTGCCTCCCAAGCACTGGAATTAAAGGCATGCGCCACCACCGCCCAGCCATAACTCTTATTGAAAAAGAGTCTCCTGTATTCCAGGATACCCTTGAACTTACTAAGTAGCTAAGGTTGACCTTGAACTTCTGCACACCCTCCTTCTATATCTGAGTGTCAGAATTACAAGCATTCACTATCATACAGGATTTATGCAGTGCTGGGGATCAAACTCAGGTCTTCATGGATACTAGGCAAGTTACACTTCCAGTCCGAGTGCTATCACTTTGAATTAAAACACTAAATTTGTTTGCATTGGACTTAGTTGAACTCGGATTGGATGGCATCACTCAATTTTTCCTATGCTCCATTTTACCCTCTAAAATGATCATTATAGATGATTTAAGAGTCAAGACATCATTTTAGACCACAATTTACTTTCCCAGACAGAAAATGGTCTACAGAGTGAGTTCCAGGACAGCCAGGCCGATACAGAGAAACCTTGTCTTAAAAAAACACACAAGAGAAAAATAAAGGAGAAGAAAGAAAGAAAGAAAGAAAGAAAGAAAGAAAGAAAGAAAGAAAGAAAGAAAGAAAGAAAGACAGTAGTCCACTGTCTACTGTAGATGTGAGTGGACTCTGCGTCTCCACTCTGTACTGTAGATGTGAGTGGACTCTGCGTCTCCACTCTCTACTGTAGATGTGAGTGGGCTCTGCGTCTCCACTCTCTACTGTAGATGTGAGTGGACTCTGCCATCTCCACTCTGTACTGTAGATGTGAGTGGACTCTGCGTCTCCACTCTGTACTGTAGATGTGAGTGGACTCTGCGTCTCCACTGTCTACGGTAGATGTGAGTGGTCTCTGCCGCACAGTTATAGTTCAGGAAACAAAACACTTCGTTGTCTTTTTATTCTGTTTAAACCTCATTGTCTCTTACAGAAAACAGTATCTTCTACTTTAAACATCCCCAGCAACAAGATCACCTGCCACGTGAAACGAGTGGGTGGGGGTTTTGGAGGAAAAGTGGGGAAACCAGCCGTGTTCGGGGCGATTGCTGCAGTGGGGGCCGTCAAGTAAGTCTGCCTTGGGTGCTGGAAGTGTGGGAGAGGCTGAGCTCAGGGGAAATTGGTAGCCTGACAAATCAATTCTGGCTGCAGTCAGAGCCACCAGTTGGTCCCTGGGCAATTCAGCGCCCCCCCTGCCCCGCCCCCGTCTGTTTCTTTATAATACATAGATATTTCACACTGCCCTACCACCCTTTTGGGTTTTGCAAAAGTCAGCTGAACACATGACTTTGATGACCGTGGAGCAGTGGGGTAGCAGGTTGACTGCTTCCAGAACTGCAGGGCCCATTCCTGAGCTTTGAGGAAGATGAATTGTTAAGATGTGCAGCGTGGTACCCTTCCCATGTTCATCGCTGCCCCCTAGCTCTCTTTGCTACTTCCAGAGCAGAGTAGAGTGGCGTTAGGAAAGAAAGGCTCTTCACCCTCCACCAGCTCCATGGGCTGTCTTGGTGGACAGGGGGTCTTTGGGTTGATCAGGGAAGAGTCACATCTTTGCTATCCATGGCTCCACGTTCAAGTTTAGCTAGTACTGACAGTGCAGGTCCTCGTTCGTTGTCTTTGACTGGATTTGTTGTCAGTGTCAGAGAGCAAAGAGAAGGAGCAGGAGGGGAGAGAAGGGAGGAGAAGGAGCAGGAGGGGGGAGAAGGAAAAGAGGGAGAAGAAAGGGGAAAGGAAAAGGAGACGCCGTTTACTAGTTTGTCTGTGTTCCAGTCAGTCTACAAAGTCTCAGTGCCCTGCTGCCTTTGGCAGCCTCTGTGTAGCGCAGAGAAAAATCCTGCACACTGGGATGTGTGTCTTCATCCCCCGTGCAGGGTGGAGAGAAGCAGGGCTGAAATTTCACATCCACTTCTGTCCTCTGTCACAGCCAGCAGTAAGCAGCTCTTGCACTCACAACAGACTTTATGGCTTCTGCCTCTCAAGCGTGGCCACACACAGCCACCAAGTGGAACATCTAAATCCCAATGATTTAGATGGGGCTAGCCACTATGAGCCCTGGCACCAGTATATTCCAAAGCTGGCCCCCTTGACCCCACTGTGCAGCCATGTGTGGAACCAATGCCTCAAGATGCACCCTGCCTTAGCACACAGCAGTCATGCATTAAGTTACCTGACAACAGTGTTCCAGATCTCCTGAGAGCAGGGGTCCCCTGAGGTCATAGAAATCTGTGCCTCAAAAACACACAAATTTTTTTAAAAATTTTTAAAGAAAGTAATTCCACCAAATCCCAGGCATTCTGAATCAGAATTAGCAGGGAACGAGTCTTGAAACTGTACATTCACCTGATGTTTTTCTATGGACATTAGCATTGCACTTACCCAAGGACACAGTCCCCATTAGTACTAACAGAAGACTTGCAGAATGGCTGGATCTGGGTGAAAGTCAAGTGTGAAGCCATAGGGACAGAGCTTAGCCAGCATGTGACACTAATCCCTTTAGACATACCTCTAAACACTGAGTTGCAAGCATAGAGACAATAGTAATTTAGTTGGGCGATAATTCACATCATGCCTAGAAGATTTTGTGCAGATTAATAGAGCCATGTGTGCTGGATGGATGGATGGATGGAGAATTAAGTAAGTGGGACAAATGGATGGGAGGGTGGAAGGTAGATAAATGGGTTTTACTATCTAAGACTACTGGGGTCCAGCCCCTAAATAGCCTTTTCCCAGGGTCCATGGAAGAATCTTACAACCAGCTGAGGATCTAGTCTTAGCTATAATCAAATGAATCTGAGCACACCAAGCTCTTTAGTTCGTTCACTTTATTCTTCTAGGTCAATTCTATCCACACAGCTTCATTTCTGTTCTCATCCTTAGCTCCTCTCTGTCCCTTCTTCTACTGTTCTCTCATTGTTCTACCTTTAGTTCTTTCTATCCTCGTCCCCTAGTCTCTGAAGTTTCCAGTTTATATACCCACACAGTCAGCAATTCTCTGGCCAAAGGAGGGTCACAAGGCTTGAATTCTATCAGGGTCATAAAAGCAGATAAGAGTTTACACCAGGCAGTGACTGTCAGGCTTTCTTGAGGACTCAAGGATGAACTCTAAAAGGGAAAAGGTCAAATGAGGAGAGGGACCTAGAATCAATCAGGGAAAATCCAAGAAGGGAAAAGGGGGAATCCATATGTAATACTGTATTTTTTTTTTTTTTTTGGTTTTTCGAGACAGGGTTTCTCTGTGTAGCTTTGCGCCTTTTCCTGGAACTCACTTGGTAGCCCAGGCTGGCCTCGAACTCACAGAGATCCACCTGGCTCTGCCTCCCAAGTGCTGGGATTAAAGGCTTGCGCCACCACCGCCCGGCTGTAATACTGTATTTCTAAGTGTGTTTAGATAATAAGCTGATTAGTTCACCAAGGTGAAAGTAAAAGGAGTTAGGAATTTGTTAGTTCAAGGTTAGCTTGGGGCAGCACTTCCCTATCTGCTGGCCAGGGAAATGTTCTGGGTTCCTAGGCAACCTGCATCACAGCATGTAGCACCTGGTTAGTAAAAGCCGTTTTGTTCTGAGTTAATGCTAAAGGGAGAATCTTTAGAACCAAGGATAACATTTGGCTATGGGAAAGAGGAAAAAATTAATCTTAACTTGCACAAGAAACAAAGCTTTGTACCTAGCATCTGCCTGGCCTTGGCGGTTGTCTCAGTGAAAATATTTACCTTATCTCAGGAGCTAACAGATAGTCTGAATGCTTATCTATCCGCAGTCTGTCCTTGGATGTTTGAAAAGTATCTCAGATAAAATACTTTTGTCCAGAGATGGCCCTGACCAGATGTTTGCTAATGAAGATAATTACAGAAAGGCAGACTTCAGAGTCTAATGCTGAAAGGGAAAACAAAGGCCTGAAAAGGGGGGGTCTTGACTGTGTGACTGTTGTCAACACAGCTGGGGAATGTTATCCAAATACCCCAATAGTGTAGGGAAATTGTGTCCAGTGGATGATCAACCACACTGTTAGAAGTTCTTGGGGAAAGAATCAAATGGGAAAGCTACAATGGCACACAGGGAATTCACTGCAGGAAACAGGCAATACATTTAAAATCCAGTATCACCAAGACTCTTGCGTTTTGGCTTTATCCTCTGGAAGACCCTCTTGGCTTCTCCAGGTATTAGCTTTGCTAATGTCAGCTGAATTCCTACTTCATATTTGTGTGGCTCGTAGCATTTCACATGTTGTAAATAGATGTGGGTAGACAGTAAATTAGGAGTTGAATCAATAGGTGGGTAGATGGGTGGCTGACTAGATAGGTGAGTGGATGGACAGATGGGTGGGATGAATGGAGAATCTACATTTGTTTTCTGCAGAACTGGCCGTCCCATTCGTCTTGTTCTGGACCGTGAAGATGACATGTTAGTAACTGGGGGAAGGCATCCATTATTTGGAAAATATAAAGTGAGTATTGCATGTGAAAATCATTAAAATACACCCTTTTGTTTGTGTGGCTTTGTCCTTTTTCTATCATTTTGATTTTGCTGAATTCTAAAAGTACTCGGCATCTAAAATAGTAAATGAAGATGATTCATGTTTTGGATACCTGTGACATTTTATGATGAGCTTTTAATTGAGTGCATAATTGTAAAAAAATAAAAATAAATGTTAAATACTGACTAAAAGGCGCTGTTTGAGGGACGAGGGCTGTGTCTCAGCAGATAAAGAAAGCATTTGCCCTGCAAGCCTGAGGGCTGGAGATGGGATCCCCAAGATCCACATCAAAGCTGAGAGGGTTAATGTAGCATGAATCCTAATTGGTCTTAATAATAAAAACCAGGAGTCAGTTATCAGGGTGAAAGCTGAAAGATCAGAGAAGCAGAGCAGCCAGCCACTAGAAAGACTTCTTACCTCTAGGAATCCACAGATTGAAAGGTCCAAACTCCTGTCTCCACCTTGCCTTATCACTTCCTGTTTCCTCCTCCCAAGTGCTGTGATTAAAAGCATGTGCCTCCCAAGTACTGGGATCAAAGGCATGAGATCTCCAGTGCTGGCATTAAAGGCATGAGATCTCCAGTGCTGGCATTAAAGGCGTGTGCCACCAATGTCTGACTTCTAGTGGCCAGCTCCCCACTCTGATCTCCAGACAAGTTTTGTTTGTTAGAGCACAAACAAAATATCACCACAGGTGAGGCTGCCTGCCTACTGCCCCAGTGCCCAGGAGGAAAAGACAAGGGATCCCTGAGGCTAGTTGGCTAGATAAGAACCAAATCTGTGAGGTCTGGGTTTTTCAAGAATCCTTGCCTCCATAAATAAACTGAAGTACAATCAAGAAAGATATCTAAGCCAGGGGCACACGCCTTTAATCCCAACACTTGGGCGGCAGAGGCAGGTGGATCTCTGTGAGTTCAAGGCCAGCCTGGTCTATAGAGCAAGTTTCAGGACAGTGCTACACAGGAAACCCTGTCTCAAAAGAACAAAGAGAGAGAGAGAGAGAGAGAGAGAGCTGACATTATCCTTTGGCTCCACACACATGTGTACTCACACACATGTAGGCACACATACACATACAAAAAAAACCCAAAAAACAAAAAAAAACACTATTATACAGAATAAAGATTTATATGCCCAGACTTCCTGACTATAAGAATAACACTTTGTAAAAGAAATGTTTAGAAACAATTTGACCATTTTCACTGCAAAATAATCTTTAACAATAATCCACTAACAGGCGAACTTTAAATTCTTGAAATCACACTCACTCCTGTTAAAAATGTTTGCTGGCATCTAGGAGATGATACTATTTTTCAGATTTGTGGTTTAGTCCTAAGGACAGTCCTGTTGTGATATAAAGTTACAAAACATGCTTTCTTTAGGAATTGCTTGAGGCAGACACATCTGATTTACCACCTGGTTTCACCATTGCTTTTGATTACTACATTTTATTACCTATATTGCTATTTGCAAACCACCTTGGCCACCCAGTAAGTTGAGTCCAGCTCATAAATTCTCCAACCTCTGTTCCCGAAGCTTTCCCATAAGGAGAGATATTATGAGTCATCTCCGTGCCTTCTGGGATCCCAAAGACTTTCCCACGAGGAGAAAACCACAGACTAAATTAGAAAGAAAGCCAGTACAGAATGGCAGAGAATCTTCCGAGAATAAGGAGGATGAGAGTGGCAATTACATTCTGAGAGACAAGAACTTGAGGATTCCACACTGAGGGTGGAGCCAGGATTGTCCATTGAAAGGAAAGGACTCAGCAAAACTTGGGTCAAGAAAGGTCTTCTTCAATCAGACCCTGAAAGACAGGGCCACAGCAGGGGGGGTGCCACACAAGAGCAAACTGGAGGCCGAGTCTGTCCTTGATCCTCTTCAACAGGGGACTGAAGGGTGACTCGCACTTGGCAGGTACATTTTAAACAAATCACTAAAACGTCCATCATTTGGTGACAGGTGGGATTCATGAACAGTGGACGAATCAAAGCCCTAGACATTGAGTGCTACGTCAATGGAGGATGCACATTGGACGACTCAGAGCTGGTATGTGTGTCTGAAACCAACTGTGCTCTTGACAGTGGGTAAGATGGAAAATGTCTGAAGGAGTCTTTATGAAAAGGGGCAGTGGTGTCTAATGTATGTGGTATTTCCTTTTGCTTTAGGTAACAGAATTTCTTATACTAAAGCTGGAAAATGCATACAAGATCCGCAACCTCAGATTCCGGGGCCGTGCATGCATGACGAATTTACCATCCAATACAGCCTTTCGTGGGTTTGGCTTCCCACAGGGAGCCCTGATAACAGAATCTTGTATCACAGCTGTGGCAGCCAGATGTGGGCTTCCACCAGAAAAGGTAGGATTATAACCGGGGTCATAACCAAGGCTGCTAAGGAATCAGAGGAGGGAGGAATTAGCTAGAGGTCCCAGTAACCCTGAATTAACCCTGGCTCAGAATTTGAGATTCATTTTTTTTTTTCTGACCATGTTGTAGACATCATTTACTTATCCACTACACTATTGACACATGTTCAGGTTGTTTGTTACCCAAGTTAGGCTGTTAAAATGGTGCTGGGTCTGGAGAGAAGGCACAGGGGTTAAGAGACAGACTGCTCTTCCAGAGGACCAGAATTCATCTCCCAGGACACACATCAGTGGTTCACAATCACCTGCAACTCCAGTTCCAGGGGATCTTGTGCCCTCTTCTGGCCTCCATGTACTCACAGACCTATACACATATATACATAATTTAAAAATAAAATCTTAAAGCAGCATGTAAAGGCAACAGGTAAAGCCATGGAACACGTGGCGACATATAGATTAACAGAAATGGGCTGAGTATAAGAGTAAGAGCTAGACAATGGTAGGCCTGAGCTAATGGCCAAGCAGTTTAAATAATAAAATAAAAATAAAAAATAAAATAAAATCTTAAAATGATCTTGCAATGAATACCCTGAGACATAAGTGCTAGGGGTATGGAATATCTTTGTCCTTTTGTGGGGGTCTGTCTATTTTTTTTTTTTTTCTTTTGGTTTTTCGAGACAGGGTTTCTCTGTGTAGCTTTGCGCCTTTCCTGGAACTCACTTGGTAGTCCAGGCTGGCCTCGAACTCACAGAGATCCGCCTGGCTCTGCCTCCCGAGTGCTGGGATTAAAGGCGTGCGCCACCACCGCCCGGCGGGGGTCTGTCTATTGAACAAACTCACAGAAATGGAATTGCTGGTTCACTTCAAAGCTTCTTTCAAATGTCCAAAATTTACCACTTGAAAATATTATTCTGTCCAATACACCAGGAGCCCTGGGTGGTGTAAAGGAACTGGACCAGAGACAGGCTGACTCCAGCACCAACTGATGATGCTGTCTGCTCCTTAATCTTTCAGTCACATCCCAGTTCCCTCAACCCAGACCCTCCGCTCCAGCAAGGACTCTCTATGTCCTGACTCTTGAACACCTTTGTCCCTAAATTCAATGGGGACCTCCAGGTTTTCATCTCATTGGTTGAGTGCTTCCTCCACACCAGAGAACACCTAATACTATATCAGAAAAATAAAGATTCCCTACAAGAAGTCACAAAAAGTGCCCATGGGCCAGGCAGTGGTGGGGCATGCCCTTAATCCCAGTCAGTACTCAGGAGCAGGCAGATCTCTATGAGTTCGAGGCCAGCCTGGTCTACAAAGCAAGTTCCAAGACAGCGAAGATTACACAGAGAAACCCTGTCTGGATAAAAAACAAAAAACCAAACAAAACAAAACGAAAGATGCCCGTGGGTACAAAGGAGGAAGACAATCAAGATGAGGAGGGGCACTCAAAAAAATTCCTGAAGAAGATGACACTTGAGGTTCACCTGGAGGAAGGTAGATGGAAACATAACCCAAGCAAATGGAACAGCATTCCTGGGCTAGAAAACAAGAACAAGATGATTTACTTCACAGAGTTCCCGAGGACAAAGCAAATTTAATAAATTTTTACTAAAATGTTCATCTTTGTAGGGCTGGGAATATAGCTCAGTGATAGAGAGTTTACCCAGCATGCACAAAGCCCTGGGTTCCAGCGCCAGAACCACACATTTAAAAAAAAATTTATTTTGGAATGGGCATCGTCTTAGTGCAGCTTGTCGTTGCTGAGGCGATACAGCAGTTCCTTTACTTCTGTTAGAGTAAACTGGAGATAATGAAGACCTCTCAGGCATTTCCAGCAGGCTCTCCTTCTCTGGGTACTGACTAAACACGAATTTTAGAAGATTTAACCGTGTAGTGCAAATGCAGTTGGAAGACCTGAAGCCCCGCTGTTTGTCCTTATCTGCTCTGCGACTTCTTTCTGACAGAACAATCTTCACTTATGATGGCAGAGCCTAGCTTTAACTCACCAACTCTGCTCCATCTTCTGAGCCCTGAAGCTTGAAGAGAAAACCCTGGGCCAGTAAGATGGCTCAGGGGGTAAAGGCGATTGCCGCCAAGTTTGACAACCTGAGTTTTATCCCTGGGAATGAAATAGTAGAAGGAGAGAACTGACTCTCACGGGCTGTCTCTGACTTCCGATATATATGCCATGGCATGTACACACACAGACAGAGACACACACGCAGACTCATGTCGGGGGCAGGGTGGGGAGAGATACAGGATGGACAGGTAGGTAGGTAGGTAGATAGATGGATGGATGGATGGATGGATGGATGGATGGATGATAGATAGATAGATAGATAGATAGATAGATAGATAGATAGATAGATAGATTAGATAGGGAGAGAGGTAGATAGATAGATGGATGGATGGATGGATAGATAGATAGATAGGGAGAGAGGGAGAGAGAGAGAGACAGGGAGAGAGGTAGATAGATGGATGGATGGATAGATAGATAGATAGATAGATAGATAGATAGATAGATAGATAGACAGATAGATTAGATAGATAGATTAGATAGGGAGAGAGGTAGAGAGAGAGATAGGGAGAGAGGTAGATGGATGGATGGATAGATAGATAGATAGATAGATAGATAGATAGATAGATAGATAGATAGATAGATAGATAGATAGATAGACAGATAGAAAGATAGGGAGAGAGGTAGACAGATAGACAGATAAACAGACAGATAGATAAACCCAGCCATTCCAACACATTGCCTTTTAGACTAGTCACTAACAACTGCACTCCACTCCAGACAGACGAGACCCTGGTTGGTGCACTAACGTGGAGATAAAAAACGGCCCCACAACTCTCACAGCTGCAGATGCCGTCGGAAAACAATGGGGGGGGGGATCTGTCCTCCCCACCAAAGCGTATGCTTCAGAGGAAAGGCTTTCTAAGCCCCCAGCTGGCAGTCCGTCTGTCTCTCCACAGGCATTGATGGAATTTCACACTTGTTTCAGATTAGGGAGAAAAACATGTACAAAACAGTGGATAAAACCATCTACAAACAAGCTTTCAGCCCCGAGCCCCTGATAAGGTGCTGGAACCAGTGTCTGGACCACTCTTCCTTCCACATCAGAAGGACAGAAGTGGAAGAGTTCAACCGGAAGAGCTACTGGAAGAAGAGGGGCATCGCCATCATCCCCATGAAGTTCTCGGTCGGCTTTGCTGCAACGAGCTACCACCAGGTAAAGTTCCCACACAGCGCAGGGTAAACGGCCCTCTCATCCAACACAGCCTTGGTCCAGTGTGTGCTGGTGTTCAGGGAATGCCGCTTCCCAGAGCCCCAGGTCCCTCCCTGTATATACATAGGAGAAATGTCCCGAAGTCCCCTGAGCGGCTACATGTGCCATTAGGGGAAAGGTCACCATGGTGACAAGCATGACTCTGCAGGGACCCGGCGCTGGCTCCGGATTCCACGCTATTCAAAGGGGACAGGAGCCCAGGGTTGTTTGTTTTCTGCTAAGGAAGGGGTGTCCCACGTGCAGGAATCCTTGGGATACCTGCCAAGTCTCAGGCAGAGAAGTCATTCCCCTGGCTTCTGATCACCTACCCAGCACTTCAAGCCACCTCCCCAGGAATCTGTTGGCTCTGAGGGGGAAGAGGGAACGGGGTCCAGAACTGTCCCGGGTAAACTGGCAAGAGGAAGAGGCAAGTCATCCATCCACGGGTGCAAGGGAGGCAGAAAAGCAGCATGCACGTGGATAAGACCTCCAAATGGTACCAGGCCTGAGTAGACCTCTGAATCCCAGTGCATCATGGGGACCAGAAAACTCGTTAGAAATCTAGGCATAGCTGTTGCTTACCCATTGCTATCCATCCAGGTGAGAAAATTAGAGTGCTTTGTATGCACACCAACCGAAGCATCCCTCCGTTCATACCCACTACCGACAACAATCTTCTCCCACCCACCCCCTCTCCCCCACTCCCCTACCCTCCCCCACACACACACACCTGCCCTGTGAAAGGGAGTTCCTCCTAGGAAATAAAAGCAGCAATTGATGCAAATCCTTGGTCGACTGAAGTCAGGAGACCCTGAGACATCCTTGGCCTGCCATTTGCTAGGCGTGTGACATTCAAGTTGTTCGGCCTCTCTGAGCTTTGGCTCCCTCAGCTGTAAAGTGAGACTAACAGTGACAGTCTCTCAGGATTGATAAGGACTGGCTGAGAAAATTAATATAGAGCGCTTGGCAAGGGTTCTGGAAAAGTCTGGAAGTCAACCAGGGCAACCCTAAGCCTGTCCCAGGAGAGCCCAGACACACCTCCAGGGCTCTTTCTCCCCTGACAGGTAGGATAAGGTGCCCTGACTTCTGGGTCCTATCCCTGCCCGGGTCCAGTAGAACTGTTCCGTAGACAGGTACAGAGTTAGTTGTCCCATCCACCAGCTGGGCAGAATCAATGGTAGAAACACAACAGACCCTAGATGGCCACCAGTGTGGCTTTTCTCTGCCACCAAATATTGAGTCTTTACCAGACTAACTTGAACAGCAGCTGGGTGACTAACAGATCGACTCAGTCATTGCACTAACAACCCAGAGTTAGCCTAGACCCCACAAGTCAAGGATGAAGTCCCACAGACTATACCCATTTTCTGACACCACCTGCAAATGGTGTGCATGCCCGCTATTCACACTTCTGCCTAAGTGACTGCTAAGTTGAGAGCTTTTCACTATCCCCAGTCAGGTGCAATGATTTTTCTAGAACTCACAGGAAAGCCTTTTCCATTTTATTGTTAGAAACCCTTATACAAATGACACAACTCAGAACCAGCCAGTGGAAGAGATGCCCAGGTTAAGACACTAGGGAGGGACAAAGAGCTTGTCTTCCAGGTGTTCACCCCCCAGGGAAGTGCACAGAACTCAGGAAGGTGAGGGAGGGCTGAAGCACCCCCCTCACCACCAAGCCCCCCCTCACCACCACCACCACTTACAAACACACACGCACACAGGCTGGCCCCCTCACCCTAAACCTATCCGGGCACCTCCTGAGGCATCTCCTTAGCAAAAGCTAGCACTTTTCAAGGTTTAGGAAGTACCGTGCCAAGAACCAGAGACAAAACCAAGCAGCTAGTTTCTCCAAATGACTCCGCACCTCCTCCGGCCATCAATATGGCCACTTCTCACCTCAGCTACAGCCCTCTGCTGGCGCCCCTGGGTGCCAGTTTCCTATCTCGCCGCCACGTTAGAAGTGAGCCAAGTGCTGACTTTTGGTCTCCATCTGAAAGGCTCCAGCTTCCCCGCGGAGCTGTAAATTTATGCACCCAAGAACCACTTGGCTAGGCCTGGGAGGTGTCATGCCAGGTCAGCTGATGACTCATAGGGCTGGAACACCTCCTCACAAAGCGGGCCACAGGCTACAGTGAATAAATACTGTCATTAGCACCTCCTAGCTCCCCAACCCTTTCAGGCCATCCCGGAGTCTCCGGGCATCTCCAGACTGGGAGGGGAACACCACCTTTCCATTCTACGTAGTCTCTGTGACTCCAACCTGCTCAAAGTTCCCTCTATGACACCAAGTCGCACAAGGGCCATTGCCCTGCTTGGAGAGACTCAGAGCAGAGCTTGCCATGTCCCCGGGGTGTCCTGTGGTGGCTACAGCAAACTATCACATGCTGGGAAGCCACTCCAAAAAAAAAAAAAAAATGAATTCCCTCACAGTTCTAGAGGTTGGAAGTTCGAACTCAAGGTTTCAGCAGAACCACTGTCCCTCCAAGGCCTCCAGGGAGGAATCCTTCCTCGGCTTTTCCAACCTCTGCTGGCTCCTGGCCCTTCTTGGCTTATGGCTGTATAACTCCACTGGCTGTCTCCAGCTTCACAGCCATTGTCCAGGAGGCTGCCCCGGGGGCCTTCTGAGAAGGACACCAGCCACTGGAATTAGGGTCCACTTCTACTAGTCTGATCATCTTAAATAACCGTATCCGCAAAAGCTATTTCCGGGGGGGTGGAGAGACGGCTCAGTGGTTAAAAGCACTGGCTGCTCTTCCAGAGGTCCCAAGTTCAACTCTCAGCTCCCACATGGCAGCTCACAACCGTCTGTAACTCAAGTTCCAGGGGATCTGAAACCCTCACACCAATGCTCATAAAATAAAAATACAAAAAAAAAAAAAAAAAAAAACTATTTCCAACTAAGGGCACGTTCTGGGGTTCCAGGTGGACACGAATTGGAGAGGCATGAACCCAGGACTTGAAAGAGGAAGTATGGAGGAGGTGATGGATCTTCCCAGATAGGGTCAGATGGTGCAGGGAGTCTTAAGAGAATGGAGACAGCGGAGTCTAAATGCTGGACAGAGGGAGACCAGGCCGAGCCAGCCAGGAAGTGAGAACAGCAAAGCAGGAGCCAGGGTCCAAGAGGAGTGTTGGTGAGATTGGACCCAGGGACAAGGCAAGAGGAGACAGGAATGCCGTGGGGGTGGAGGGATGGGACCAGATCCTCAAGGACCTCTGTGACAAGGAGCGGGGCTTTCAGTTACAGGCCAGAGGGGGATTCATTCACCCCACTCCCTTCTGTCTCTTGAGCAGCACAAGAGGAGTCGGGTCTGACAGACAGCCCAGCTCTCACAGAACCCATACGCCACACCCTTCTGCCACTGAGCATTCCGCCCCACAATGACTGGATTTCAGCCTGGGTCCCCACCATCTTGACACAGGACCGCGTCTTGTTCATGCTTATGTGTCTAGATGGAGCTCAGGGAAGGAAAACAATCGATTCAGTAGGTTCACAACCAGCCCTCGATTTTAGGCCAGGGGCTGACTTTCAAATAGTTGAGACCAGGTGGGAGTGGTAGTATATGCCTTTAATCCTAGCACTTGGGATACTGAGGCAAGTGGATCTCTGTGAGTTCAAGGCCAGCCTCATCTATATAAGGAGTTATAGGACAGCAAAGGCTACATAGTAAGAGTTTTTTTAAAAAAGAAAAAAAAGAAAGAGAGAGAGAGAGAAAGGAAGAAAGAGAGAGGGAAGGAAGGAAGGGAGGGAGAGAGGAAAGAAGGAAGGAAGGAGGGAAGGAAGGAAGGAAGGAAGGAAGGAAGGAAGGAAGGAAGGAAGGAAGGCAGGCAGAGAGATCCAGGCTCCTAAGTAGGGAAGTTCTTTACAGTCAACTTTTGCATAGAGTAGAGCTAAATTCCAATGTCCTATCAGGAAACCTCACCTCTCTGACCTCTCTGCTCCTGAAGACTGAGATTTCACTACCTCATTGTAGAGGCCCAAATTACTCAGGGTCCGAGAATCTGAGCTTGCTTTACCCATAGGGCTGCCTAAGGGAATGATTGGACCATGGGTGTGGTTACCAGGTGTTTGGAAGGGTCTTCACTTGGCTGTGCGGTGTGCTTTGATCTAGCAAGGGGGAGGTCTTTTGCCCCGCCCCTTGGCATTGTTATAAAAAGCTCTCTTGAAGAGGTAGAAGGGACCATTAGGTATTGATCTAGGCCCTCCCAAAGCTATCCTGTGTTTCTGTCTGTCTCCTCTCTCCTATCTTTCTATCTAATATTTTCCTAACCCTCTCTCCTCCTCATAGGAACCTTCTTTTTCTAAAGTTTTAAAAAATTATTTTATGAGTGTTTTGCCTGCATGTATGTCTTTGCACCATATATATGCAATTACCTGTTAAAGCCAAAAGAGGAAGTTGAATCTTCTGAAACTGAAGTTATAGACGGTCGTAAACTACCATGTGGGTACTGGGAATTGAACCTGAGTCCTCTGGAAGGTCAGCCAGTGCTCTTAGCCACTGAGCCATCTCTCCAGCCCCTACCTCATCTCTCATATTGAACTTCCTTAATTGCCAGTACACATTGAGGTATGCCTTCTGGATTGTCTTACAGGCAGCTGCACTTGTTCATATCTACACCGATGGGTCTGTGTTGGTTGCTCATGGAGGCAATGAACTGGGACAAGGTATTCACACCAAAATGTTACAGGTAAAATAATTAAAATTCAACCATTCATCTTTCCACACATGATTGACATACCTGAAACTTGGGATATTTTTAAGGCAAGTGATGACCATACATTCAAACTCAAAGACCTTGACTAGTTGAAAAGCTTCTTGCGTATAAATGACGATGGACAGTATGATGGAAACCCCATGCGTATACAAATGCTCCTGGAACTTGGCCAGGGGTGAGAGGTGGAAAGGATTATTTGTAAAGTCACCACTCATGAGACTGCCGAACACTATTATAGATGCCCCACATACACCCACACAAGCTAACAAAGAATTGGAGAGGGCAAACAACTCATCAACTATCGACATCCTGTAACTTCCCTTCCCTCCTTCCTTCATTCATTCTTTCTTCCTTCCTTCCTTCCTCCCCCTCTCTTTCTTTCTTTCTTTCTTTCTTTCTTTCTTTCTTTCTTTCTTTCTTTCTTTCTTTCTCTCTCTCTCTCTCTCTCTCTCTCTCTCTCTCTCTCTCTCTCTCTCTCTCTTTCTTTCTTTCTTTTCCCAGTAGTCCTGGTGATTAAGTCTAGAGCCATGTGCAAGTTGGGCAAGTGCTTTAACACTGAGCTATAATCCCAGCTCTTTTTCATTAAAAAAAAAATGATGCCGGGCGGTGGTGGCGCACGCCTTTAATCCCAGCACTCGGGAGGCAGAGCCAGGCGGATCTCTGTGAGTTCGAGGCCAGCCTGGACTACCAAGTGAGTTCCAGGAAAGGCGCAAAGCTCCACAGAGAAACCCTGTCTCGAAAAACCAAAAAAAAAAAAAAAAAAAAAAAAAAAAATGATGTATACCTGGTGTGGTTGCACACATCTTTAATCCTAGCACACACATACACACGGTCATACTAACTAACTCAAGATATAATAAAAATTGCCTTTAAAATGGATTGGTTTTGGTTTTGTTGTTTTAACTTTTTGTTTTCCCTGTATGTATGCCAGTGTGCCACTTGCACGCCTGTTGACCACAGGGGTCAGAAGAGGGCAATGGATCCATCCCCGAGATGGCACTTACAGATGGTTGTGAGCCACCATGTGGGTGCTGGGTCCTCTGGAAGAGCATCCAGCGCTTTTAACCACTGAGCCGTTTCTGTGGCCCCCTAAAATGGATGTTTTTAATGTGACATAAATAGCTTCGATTTTCTTAGAAATCTTTGTTGGATTTGAAAGATGTCCTCTCTCCCAGGTGGCCAGCCGCGAATTGAAAATACCCATGTCTCACATGCACATCTGTGAAACGAGCACCGCTGTGGTGCCCAATACGATTGCTACGGCAGCGTCCATCGGCTCCGATGTCAACGGCAGAGCTGTGCAGGTGACCGCGGCCCTCTCTTTCCCCGATGAACTTTACCACATCTCAGGTTTTCTTATCTGCACACAGGCAAGGTGGTTGGCTTCGGGGAAGCGATCCATCACTGAATTGGTTTTCTATTGCTGTGATAAAACACCATGACCAAGGCAACTTATAAAAAGAAGGGCTTATCTGTGGCTTATGATTCCAGAGAGCTAAGAGTCCATCACCATGGCGCACAGTGGGGTCACATGGCAGCAGGCAGGCATGGTAACTGGAGCACCTGCTGAGTGCTCGCGCCCCTTAACCCTCAGGCAGGAAGCAGAGAACGAACTGGGAATGGAGGGACTCTTGGAACTCTCAAAGCCCACCCCCAGTGACATACTTCCTCTAGCAAGGCCACACTTCCTAAGCCCCCCCCCACACACACACACACCTGATCCCCAGCAACTGGAGACAAATTACAAATTACCGGAGACGATGGGGGATATTTATCATTCAAATCACCATAGTCACTAACAAAAGTTTAGGCAGCCAAAATATTGGGAGTAAATATTAGTTAGAGTAAAGTGAGGTAATACACAGAGCCAGAATGTAATGGAGCAGACACACAAGTCCCTTTCATGCACATGTTTGAGTCCAGAGGGAGTCTTTGGTCCGTCAGGCATCCAGACTGATGGCGGCTCCACCACCTTCAGTACAACTCTGAGCCTCATCATTTCAGTCACATGAAGTGGGTTTTTCTCAGAACAAATATATGAAAAGCTCAAATTCATGAGTTTATATTTGGGGTATGCTCTAACACAAGGGGGGAGCAGGTCAGGCAGTATGGGGTTGCCAGCCTAGCTAAGGGTTAGAACATCTAGCTTTAGGATCGGAAACTGTGGGTTTACACTTAGTTCTGTGTTGTTGTTTGGTCTGATTTTGGGGGTTTTTTTTGTTTGTTTGTTTGTTTTTGTTTTTCAAGACAGGGCTTCTCTGTGTGGCCCTGGCCATCCTGGACCAGGCTGGCCTCGAACTCAGTGATTCACCTGCCTGTGCCTCCCCAGTGCTGGGATTAAAGTCGTGACCCACCTGACCTAGTTCTGCCTCCCCCTCCCCCCCGGCCCCCCACCCACAGTTTTCCTGAGACAAGGTTTCTCTGTATAGTCCTGGCTGTCCTGGAACTTACTTTGTAGACCAGGCTGGCCTCAAACTTAGAGAGTGCCCTGCCTCTGCCTCCCGAGTGCTGGGATTAAAGGTGTGAGCCACTACTGCCTGGCCTTTTAGTTCCACTTTTTTAGGATTTAAATTTTATTTTATGTATATGGGTGTTTTGCCTGCAGGCATGTCTTAAAATCAATTTTCTTATTTTCTCACTTCAAACCCAAAGCCAGAGCCTTTATATAGTGGTTTCATAACAGATAGAGGAACAGACAGAGGGATGGGCGGAGAGTTGAATGCTTCAAACCCAGAGAGATAGTGGCCTGTCACTGTAGCAAGCACAAATTTCAATGAAAATATGTTTATTCCATTTACTTTAATAACTGAAAAAAGACAAAATAAGGATCAAAGATGTAGTTAAGCAAAGAAAGGGAGAAGTAAAGCCTGGATATTTATGAAAGAGAGTCTGAGAGTAGAAATTTGGGTTATTTCCATAGGAAGTGAAGCAAGATGGGGAGAGCGAGTCCTGGAACTGGTGCTAACCTCCAGGGCCTGGGCTGGGTATCTGTTGTTCCCAAAGTTGAGGAGCAGGTGCTCTGTGAGCGCTTGCTGACCTGCGGTCCCTGACGATCCTTTGGCACGAGTCCTAACCACCAGGCTCTCTTCTTTACATCTTCAAGAATGCCTGTCAGATCCTTCTGAAACGTCTTGAGCCCGTCATTAAGAAAAATCCAGAAGGTACATGGAAAGACTGGGTAAGTGTTCCTCTTTCAATCTGTTATTATATGTGAGATAGCAATCCAAGCCAGTATGAAGTGCCACAGCAGTGAGCAGCCACCCCACGCAGAAACGGTTCCTCTAGAGCAGTGGTTCTCAGCCTTCCTGATGCTGCGACCCTTTAATACGGTTCCTCATGTTGTGGGGACCAACCCCCTAACCATAAGATTATTTCATTGCTACTTCATAACTGTAATTTGGCTACTGTTATGAATCGTAATGCAAATATCTGTGTTTTGTGATGGTCTTAGATGACCCCTGTGAAAAGGGCATTCCACCCCAAAAGGGGTCGCAACCCACAGGTTAAGAACAGTTGCTGTCTCTGTCCCTAACTTTGGAAAGTTCTCCAAGTGAGTGGGTTTCTGTTAAGGTTGAGAGGGTTATTCCAGGGTGTGTGGAGAGCTAACACAGGAAAGGGCAGTTTCCCAGAAGAGGAAAGGCTGTGTATGAGGAGCATTCAGAAGCCTTCCACTCTGCTTGTGGGGGAAAGAAGAGGAAAAGAGCCTCCATAAGCCACACAAAAATGTTGATGCTTTCAGTAGGGAAGAGAACTGTGTATGTATCAAAGGAAATGACTCACCTAATCCAAGTTCACGATACCTTACACTTTTTCACTAAAATAATTACCACACACACACACACACACCTTATGTTGTTAACACTAAAAATTAACTCCAAATAACTTTTTTTTTAAAGATTTATTTATTTATTGTCAGACATGATGGCACACACCTTTAATCCCAGCACTCAGGAGGCAGAGGCAGACAGATCTCTGAGTTTGAGGCCAGCCTGGTCCACAAAGTGAGTTCCAGGACAGCCAAAGCTACACAGAGAAACCCTGTCTCAAAAGAGAGACAGAGAGAAAGAAAAACAATGACAAGAAAGATTTATTAATTTGTATTTTGTTTGTGTGTTTACCTGTGCATATGTAAGTGTACTGTTTGTATGTAGTACATTTGGAGGCCAGAAGAGGGTGTCAGATCCCCTGGAACTTGAGTGGCAGCCAATTGTGAGCTGCCATGGGGGTGCTAGGAATTAGGGCAGGTCCCTCTCCGAGAGCAGCAAGTGCTTTTAACTATAAGCCATCTCTCCAGCCACCCTTTCAAGTAACTTTTGAACTTGTTCCCTATACCATGGATAAATCATGGGATGTTAATCTGTATTGTTCACTCCAGGCTTTCAAAAACAACTGGAGGAAATTGTCATATCCCAGTGGAGAAAAAAAGCTATGATGGGTACTGTTAGAGCAGAGCATCAGCACCAAGGAGCATGCGTCAGTTTTTACAGATGAAATATGCTCATTTTTACCTAACAAATAGTATATCTATTTAATCTCTCTTAAATATGCCCATTCCACAGATAGAAACAGCCTTTGAACAAAGAATCAGTCTTTCAGCCACTGGATACTTCAGGTAAAACTCCAAACAGTATCTTGGCTTAGCTAAGAGAATATAAGGTAATCCAATTGCCTTGGGCCTCAGTCCTTATTCATAAATAAGACTGCATTATATAATTACAGGGAGTCTATTCTAGGCCCAAAATTCTGTAAATTCACATAAGCCTTTGAGTGGTATAGTTAAAGAAATATTAAATAATTAATAAACCATATAGGATTAAAAACACTCCGGTTTATCTAATACTATTTACATTTATTTATTTATTCTGGTGCTGGGGATTAAACCTAGGACCTTGCACATGCCAAGCAAATGCTCTCCTGCTGACCTTACTGTTCTTTATTGTGAGTAGTGAAAAGACATCATCCCCAGAACTTGTCACTCAACTTTACCAATCTCCCTTCCTTTGTCATAAAACCTTTCTCCTTGGAAGCAGGTTGGGGGGGGGGGGTGAGACATCATTTGTCCTCATACATGCAGTGTTAATCAATGAGGGGGGCGGTTCTCAATAAATTCATGTCAACTAAATACATGAAGCAAAGAGCTGACTATCAGATTCAAGAAGGATATGACACTATGGTTACAGTTTAGCCAAATAAACCACCAAGCTATGCACGCATGTGCAAAAGGAAGTGCTTGTGAGGCAAAGGAGAGGAGGGGTGATGGCCAGCCCATCCAGCCCTCAGTCTGAGCCACATCTTCAGGGTGGGAATGCAGTTCGGTGGGAGAGTGCTTGTCTGGTTGGGGAGAGGCCCTGGGTTCAAACCACAGCTCTGCAAAAATTAATGCTAAAATAAAAACAAGACCTGTGACCACTGACTACATCTTCAGGTGTAAATGAATGACCTGAATCACCAGGCCTCTTGTATCAGCCTTGGTACTTTATTACCAAGTCCCCTGTGACTCAGGTTAGCCTATTCGATGGGGCTTTCTGGGAATACAGCCCCAAATTAGTGGGGTTTCCCAATGTGCAGATAGGACCCAAGGTCAAATTTCAAATTGTCAGCCCCTGAACAAGCATCACTATCTTCTTCGTCTTTGACATCCTTTCCCACAGCTCAAGCCGTACCCTCTTGAAAAGGGAGGCAGAGAGCCGTCGAGGTGAATACAGGGAGCAGCTTGAATGAGCTAAAGAAGAAAAAACAGCCGGGCGGTGGTGGCGCACGCCTTTAATCCCAGCACTCGGGAGGCAGAGCCAGGCGGATCTCTGTGAGTTCGAGGCCAGCCTGGTCTATAGAGTGAGATCCAGGACAGCCTCCAAAGCTACACAGAGAAACCCTGTCTCGAAAAAACAAAAAAAAAAAAAAAAGAAGAAGAAGAAGAAAAAACGAAACAACCAAAAACTGGTTGAAATGAGTTTCAGCCAGCTGAAATGCTACTGTAAACTATGGTGTTTTTTTAAAAGTGTGGACATTGTTTTGCTTTCTTCCTCACGCCCTTTCTAAAGGACTTTATTCCCTCAGGGGCTACAAGGCCTTCATGGACTGGGAGAAGCAGGAGGGAGACCCATTCCCATACTACGTCTATGGCGCTGCATGTTCTGAGGTTGAAATTGACTGCCTGACAGGGGCTCACAAGGTAAGTTGAGTTAACATTGCCCGGGCAGTTAGATCAGCAACAGAACTAACCGCACTGTGCAGAAAGTGACCCAGTGCCACCCCATAATCTGCAAAAGAGAAGATAATTCTTTCATTTCCAAGGGGATTTCAAGACATCCAGTCTTCTCTTGGGATTGTCACCTAAAATAACAGTTAGTAGTCAAAAAGGAATGTCTGTGACTGGCTGAATGTGATTAGTGTGTTAAAGCTATCATTTCAGATGGCACAGCTGCTTTCCAAAAGTGGGTTTTATTCCTCAAGGGGACAAGTTGTCCAGGCTGAGGGGGAGATCAGTTAGTAGCAGAGCTGAGGTTCAGAGCTGAAGTTCATCCATAGTCGTTATTCTCAGGGCAGTACCGAAGTCTAAAGGAACAGACTGGGGTGGGGTGGGGTCTGGAAAGAATGCTGTGCCTGCTGTTGCTCATCAAGAAGCCGCCTACTGAAGACAGGGAGCATATCTAGCCACAGTCATCATCGGCTTGTACCATAAACAACAAACCTGTCAATTATACTCCAGATACCATTCTGGAAACTAAGAGGGCAGTGTCAAATAGAATAAGATATAACCAAAGTGTAGTAAGTTGTTACGTTATGAAAATTATAGCGGCCGTATCATATCAAAATACTTCTATTTATTTATTGTTAGTTAACTTCTCCTCTACTTCAATATCCTAAGGGGAAAAAAATGTTTTTTGAGACAGGGTCTCAGGTAGCCTGGCTGGCCTTGAACTCCCTAAGCAATCAAAGATAACCTTGAACTTCTTCCTGCTTCCATCTCTCAAATGCTGGACTTATAAGCATCGTGTGTAGGCATGTGCAGTTTCTGCAGGTGCTAGAGACCACACTCAGAGCCTTGTGCACAGTCGGCCAGCAGGCACTCTACCAACTAAGCCATGCCCCCAGCCCGTGAACACGGCAGTTTGAAGACACAGTGAGTGAAGGGATGTCTGGAGAGAACTGCCTCCTCTGTCATTCACGTTTCCTTCCGGTGCGTTATGCTGTGTCAGCCTGTTTCTGCTTTTTTCTTCTTCCTGAGGGGAGCATGCCACGTGGCACTCACGGAGCTCAGAAGAGAACGTGTGAGTGTAGCTGGAGTTTTCCTGCCTGGCCCACAGTCAGGACAAATCTCTCTCACCTGCCAGTCCCACAGCCGCTCAGACCCAACCAAGTAAACACAGAGACTTATATTGGTTACAAACTGAATGGCCGTGGCAGGCTTCTTGCTAACTGTTCTTACAGCTTAAATTAATTCATTTCCATTAATCTATACCTTGCCACATGGCTCGTGGCTTACCGGCATCTTCACATGCGGCCTTCCTGTTCTTTCTTTTCTCCTCTCTGTTAGTCCCACCTATACTTCCTGCCTAGCCACTGGCCAATCAGTGTTTTATTTATTGACCAATCAGAGCAATTTGACATACAGACCATCCCACAGCACGTGAGAATCAACTCACTCCTTCCACCACACGGGCCCTTGGAATCAAACTCAGGCTGTCAGGCATGGCAGCAAGCACCTCTCACTGCTGAGCCATCTTGTGGGCCTCTGCGGCTCCTTTTTTTATGTGAGATCATTTTAAAGAGGATTACTCATGTGATCACAGATCGATTATTCGTGTCTTGTTTTCGACTGTTTCCCCGTGGTTTTCACATGGAGGCACACACATAGTTAACGGTATTTGTGCAGCGGCCCTGGAGGTGAACCTGGGGCCTGCCTCAGGCTCCCCTCCAAGGCCCAGGTGCCAGGGTCCCTGCATTCCTGAGGCTCCATCTTAGTAGAAGCTGGTTTGGGCGACAAGATAGTCATAAGACCCTCCACACTGACAGGTGTGTTGCCAGATTTAGCAAATAAAAACATGGGTTGTCTAATTAAACTTGAATTTCAAGGAGGCAACAAATATGCTTCCAGCAGAAATACCTCCCCCCCCCCCCCGAATTCTTGGGATGTACTTATCTGTCAGTTCTACATAAAGAAACAAACACAGGAATCTTCCAGAATTTATGGTGTCATAGAGTTAAAATTTGGTCTTTTCTGTGCCTCACACTTTATATGTATACCTAAAGGTCCAGAAATTTCAGTATGACGTTAAAGTCTTAAAGACAGTTTGTTCTTTGGTGAGACAAAACTTCTTCCATTAACCAACCAGAAACCAGAGACACTAAGTCGCCAGCCCACTGTGGATGTTCTGTAAGGCACTGTCACCTGGAGACGTCTGTGGCTGGCAACCAAAGGTGTCCATCAGCTGAGTCACGCTCTCTTTCCCCCGTCCCGTACCCACAGCACAAACCACACCAAGTGCCAAGGTAAATGTCCGCTGAGGAGGGCTGAGGTGTCTCCAGCCTCCTTTTCTACCCAGGTGGAGAAAGAAGGCTGGTTCTAGGGCCTGAGACCAGGATTTGAGTCAAAAGAGACTTGCCAGCTAGGACATGGTGGGGAAACACCTGCTATCTCAGCATTTGAGCAGCTGAAGCCAGAGGACCACAAGTTCAAGGCCAGCCTGGGCTACACAGCAAGACTCAATTTCAAAAACTACAAAGAGAAGGACTGGAACTATAGTCCAGTTGATAGGATATTTGCCTATCATGAAGGAAGCCCTCGGTTGCATGCCAGTCCCAGTACTGCATAAAATTAGGTGTGCTGGTGCATGGCTGTAATCCCAACCCTTTAAAGGTACAAGACAGAAGGATTTGAAAAGGCCATTTACAACTAGGCTCTGGGCCAGCCTGAGTTACATGAGAACCTGTTCAAAAGAAGTAAGGAAGAAAGGAAAGAAGGAAGGAAGGGAGGGAGGGAGGAAGGGAGGGAGGGAGGGAGGGAGGGAGGGAGGGAAGAAGAAATAAGGGAGGGAGGGAGGGACTTCCAACACAAAGACTAGAAAGGGCCGGGCGGTGGTGGCGCACGCCTTTAATCCCAGCACTCGGGAGACAGAGGCAGATGGATCTCTGTGAGTTCGAGGCCAGCCTGGGCTACCAAGTGAGTTCCAGGAAAGGCGCAAAGCTACACAGAGAAACCCTGTCTCGAAAAACCAAAAAAAAAAAAAAAAAAAAAAAAAAAAAGACTAGAAAGGAGAAGCCCAGCTATTAAGCCTAAACAAAGAAAGATGTTACCAGAATAAATACTAATGAATGGTGGGCAAAGTAAAGTCCAGAGGTATTCCTGAGATAGCCCAGAGGTATTCCTGAGATAGCCCAGAGGTATTCCTGAGATAGCCCAGAGGTATTCCTGAGATAGCCCAGAGGTATTCCTGAGATAGCCCAGAGGTATTCCTGAGATAGCCCAGAGGTATTCTTAAGATAGCCCAGAGATACTTAGGAGCTTTCTGAGGCCCCCAGCAGAGCTGGCCTTGACGCCTACTTTGACCCCTTCTAAAACCTTGCAAGCCCCTAAACGTATACACACCATGTACTACATGACTTTCTCAGTAAAATGTCAACAATGCCACCCTTTCGAGGACTGGATACGCTCACGAATCCTACTTGAGCGATGAAGCCAGGGAGAGAATCAGGGGGACACACAGGCTCAATTATTTACCAGGTGACTCACTCACACACGCCAACATGCCCTGGACTTTGGAGTCACTTAGCAGGAGTCAAAACAATCCGTGCACGTCTTCCAGGTCACTGCCAGGCCTGGCACCACAAGTGAAGTTTGTCCGCCGTCTTCCCAGTTCTAGTGCTGATAAGGCTCCGGGCAGTGGTTCTGGAATAGCAAAAAGCTCTTTGGAGTTCTTTTTTTATTGAGGGGGAGGTAACGCGTACACCACAGCACACACGTGGAGGTTGGGGGACATCTTTCGGAATTTAAGTCTCTCCTTCCACCATATGGGTCCAGGGTTTGAACTCAAGGTCACCATCTGTGACAACAATTGCCTTTATGTTCTAAGCTAACCTAAAAATAGTATTTTTTTATTATTTATTTGTGTGTGTGTGTGTGTGTGTGTGTGTGTGTGTGTGTGTGTGTGTGTGTAATACTAGGGATCAAGCCTAGAGCCTTGTGCATACTAAAGAAGCACTCTAATACTGAGCAATATCCTCTGCCCCTTGAAATAGCATTTTAATTTAAGTTTCTATAAAGAGGTATTTTTTGTTTGTCTCAGAAAATCAGATCAGACATTGTCATGGATGCATGTTGCAGCCTGAATCCGGCCATTGATGTTGGGCAGGTAGGTGCTGGACCACCTCGGTGGAGACCCCTTCCTGAGAGTGGTTGAGGGGTAGATAAAGACCTCCTCCCAAGGATACCTTGCCACAAGGCTTAAAATTGTCATTCTCCCCTTCAGATAGAAGGCGCATTTATTCAAGGAATGGGCCTTTATACCACGGAAGAGCTGCACTATTCTCCGGAAGGTGTCTTGTACTCCAGGAGCCCAGAGGAGTACAAAATTCCAACCGTCACTGATGTCCCTGAGCAGTTCAATGTGGCCTTGCTGCCCTCATCTCAGACGCCGCTCACCATCTACTCGTCTAAGGTAAGCACATGAACTAGCCCCTCCACACCGAGGCAGCCAGGGAGCACGGCCAGAGAAAGCCACCAGACAAAACAAAACCGGATGCTCATGGTCATCTGGACCAGGCCACTTGGAGACCAGCCACCTACAAAAACCTGAGGTCCAGGAAAGAGAAATGAACCTTCCAGGAGCAATCCTGGGCCCAGACTTCATGAATACCTTCTCTCCCTGAAATATATATATATAAAAACTTGCACTTCTTGGGAGAATAACATTTTTTATTTTAAAACTTTATCTATTTCTTTTCTTTTCTTTTTTTTGTTTTTTGTTTTTTGTTTTTTGTTTTTTTTCAAGACAGGGTTTTTCTGTGTAGTCCTGGTTGTCCTGGAGCTCACTCTTTAGACCAAGCTGGCCTCAAACTCAGAGATCCACCTGCCTCTGCTTCCCCAAGTTCTGGGATTTAAAGCATGTGCCACCACCGCCCATCTGTCTATTTCTTTCTTGATTTTTTGAGATGGATCTTAGGAGACCAGAATGACCTCAAACTCACTGCACAGGCAAGGATAACCTTGAACTCTTGATCCTCTACCTCCCAAGGAATGACCAGTGTGTGCCCACCATGCCCAGCTCTCATCTAAGAACTGAGAATATGATATCGGGGGTCGGGAGGAAAGGCTCCAGCTCCATCTGTAAAGCCCTTGCCTTGAAAACACAAGAACGTGGGCTCGATCCCCAGAACCCACATAAAAATTCTGGGTGTGGTGGATACTCTTATAACCCCAGCACTGGGGAGACAGGAGGATCTCTGGGGCTTTCTGGTCAGTTGGTCTAGCCTAATTAGTGAGTTCCAGGCCAGTGAGAGGTTCTACCTCCAAGGAGGTCGAGAGCATTTCCAAGGAGGATATCCTCTGTGAAAGGACTGGAGTCATCACAGGACACACAAAGACCAAGTTTGCAGCACAGAGGAGATTTATTTGCCCCAGAGGGACAGAGAGCAGGGATAAGGGACAAAGACAGGAGACAGCGGATGAGGGAGAAGGGAAGGGAACAAGTGTTGTTGTGGGATATTTGTACACTGTGTGAAGGTATATTGTAATAAAAATCTGGACGGCCAATAGCTAGGCAGGAGGTATAGATGGGACTTCCGGGCAGAGAGAGGAAGTAGGAGGCATGCAAGAGATACAAGGGGACCCAGAGGAAGCAGGATATGTGGCACTTGGCAGAACACAGATTTTAAAATATGGGTTAGTTTAAGTTATAAGAGCTAGTTGAGCCGGGCGGTGGTGGCGCACGCCTTTAATCCCAGCACTCGGGAGGCAGAGCCAGGCGGATCTCTGTGAGTTCGAGGCCAGCCTGGGCTACCAAGTGAGTCCCAGGAAAGGCGCAAAGCTACACAGAGAAACCCTGTCTCGAAAAACCAAAAAAAAAAAAAAAAAAGAGCTAGTTGAGACAAGCCTAAGCTAAAGGCCAAGCTTTCATAATTAATAATAAGTCTCCATGTCATTATTTGTGAGCTGGTGGCCCAAAGAAAAATCCAACTACAAACAAGGGGTTGGGATATCTGCATAGAGGACAAAGGACTGTCTCTGGACAGAGAGGAGACAGATGTGGCCCATAGGCAAATAGTTTATAAAAGGAAGATGGAAAACCCAGTGTTAGGACGAGTTGGTTTGTTTTGATTGGCCATGTTAATTAGGGCAGCCAAAGGGGGACTTTTGATTGCTGGACTTCAATACTCTGATAGCTGGACCTTGGTGGTCAGCTTCAGGAGGAGGAAGTGGCCAAATAAGGGAATGGAGCTTGGTGGCTGCCTTTAGGGATGTCATCTATGGTTTAGCAAGGGAGAGGGAATGGGGGAGGGCAAGGCCTGCCAGAGCCAGGTTTGCTTGCTTAGAGTCCTTCGCTCTGGCCTCCACACACATGCACACTTGTGCCCATGTACCCCCACACATACACCATTAAAAGGTGTGGGTGGAGGGAGAACGCAATACTGAGCTGGGTGTGGTGGCTAAAACCAGTTCTCCCAGCAGAGGGTAGGTTAAGGCCCGCTTGGGCTGTATAGAGAGTTCCAGACCAGCACGAGCTAGCCCTGTGTCAAAAAACAAACAAAACCAAAAGAACAGATGAGATTGAAGACATGATACCACTGAAACCTTAGACATCAGGGAACTAAAGATCTTATTCCTACCCAGGCCCACCATGCTCCTTTGCTCCTAGGTAAGTTGCCCATCTCTGAGGGACTCAGGGTTCTCAGTCAAACCCACAAATGAATCTAGAACCTAGAACAGCCGGTCCCAACTGTAGTGAGAATGTCCTGCCCCACCTTCCAGCCCTCCCCCTCATTCTGCCCAAAGACAAATGACACCTGTGTGTAACACGAATTGCTAAATGGTCTTATAATAAAAAAAAAATCCAGAGCCAGATATTGGAGTAAATGCTGAAAGATCAGAGAGACAAAGGAAAAAGCCACTGCCACGTCTTACCTCTAGGACTCCTCAGCCTTAAAAGGCTTCAGGTCCTGTCTCCTCACGCCTTGTACACCTTTCTCCACCCAGCCATCACTTCCTTCTTAGTGCTGGGATTAAAGGCGTGTGACTTCCCAAGCGAAGGCGTGAGATCTCAAGGGCTGGGAGTACTTAAACTTGTTCTGTTCTCTGATCTTCAGGCAAATTTTGTTAGGGTGCACACTAGACCACCACACCCGTGCAGGGGGGAGATGGATAACATCTGGGTACACCTCTGGTTGAAAGGATTTGAAGGATTTTACAGCAATGCTCAGAGGCGAGGGGTGCGGCTAAACAGCTTTCCGGCCTGCGAGACAGCCCCCACACCCAAGAATCATGTGGCTTCAAATGTCAATAGTGTCAGGAAGCAAAGACACCAGCCGACCTTTATTAATGACTCAAGGAAAGGAACAGCAAATTAAGTAAAGGTCAACTTCGTTTGCATTGCTTTATGCAAATCACGACGAACGTCAAGTGAGAACTTCACCAAGGTGTGAGATGTAAGGTCTTCCTTAAAATCTTTTGGGGAAACTTCTAGGTAGGAGTTGTTATGTCTCCAACTCCAGACAAATGGTTAACTGAGGTGCCTATTTAACATATTACAGTGGGCCTAACTGCCAGGTTCTCCCAGCATCCCTCAGTCCCTTACCTGCTAAAAGATATGGCTGGCATATCCCACCCCCTACCCTAAACCTCTCCAGCCCAGGGTCTGCCCTCCCCCCAGCTGCCTTTCCTATATAATCCAGTCATTTTGGTTACCTGGCCTTTTGGTCTTCCCTTTACCCTCCTGATCTCCTGGTCTCCTGGCCCTCTCTTTTCCCCTCCTACTTCTCCTGATGTGGCCCAGCTCAGTCTGACCATGTTCACCTGGACTCTCCCAAATGTCCCTGCCTCTGGCTGTGCTCTCCTTTATCCACAGTAAACTTTCTCCTCCACCATACCTAGGAGCAGTCACATCCTTACTTTTTAATTTCTTCTTTTTCATTCTGGAGTAAATTGATTTTCTTTTCTGAAACAAGAAAAATAACTTCAGGAGTTTCATCATTTTCCAAACTGACTCGCCCTCAGCCTAGATGTCACTTCTGGACTTGGGTTGGTGAGGCCATCACAGATCCAGAGGGAGGTGCATTGACAGGGCCTTCAGACTCTTGCTGGACTAGAAGCCATGTGCAAGGGGGAGGGCCAAAGGCAGCCTAGAGCCTACAGAGAACAGCTTCAGGTCAAGAGTTCCCAGGCAGGGCAGACAGTGTGTGGTGGGCATCCCCATAATCCCAGCACTCAGTAGAGGTAGGAGGATCATGAATTCAATGCCAGCCTAGGCTGCAGGGCAAGATTTTTTTCTCTCTGGAAAAAAAAAAAACAAAACAAAAAACAAGGACCAAGAGGAGCATGGTGGTATGTTCCTATAATGCTAACATTCAGGAAGAAAAGGCAGGAAGTTTTTGGGATTGGATGTTCAAAGCCAGCCTGGTCTACTCCACAGCACATTTCACAGTCTGGGTACCACAGCACGACCTTATCTCAGACACCAAACTTAGACAAACACCCTGCCTCCTTTAGCCCGGGAATCATGAGGAGTTCTTTCCTCTGCTCATGAAGTTGGCAAGTTCAAACCATTGACTGTTCTCATCAGGGTGCCCTTCCCTCGCCACACAGAAACACACCTTGTGTGTGCACAGACGTGTAAACACACACACACATTCCTTTCCCATAGAACAAATACGTAACTCAGAGAAAGTCAATTTTTTTTTAAGAGCTCCAGGAGTTTCTCTTGGTCAACAAGCTAACAAGCTGGACGATGAACATTTGAGATGTTTGAGAGGTGATTTATAGAAAACAGTATGCCAGGGATTGAGAATACAGTGCTGAACAGAATGAGGCCCTGTCCCGGAAGCAGCTTGTGGTCCACTATAGAATCTTTTAAAACAAATGTGTTGCATAAAGCGGGTGGTTTCTGTGAGTTCAACCTGGTCTACAGGGTGGATTTGGGGCCAGCCGCGGCCACAAAGTGAGACCGTCTCTGAAAAAAAAACCAATAAAATGGACAAATGTGTTTTCTTGCAGGGCCTGGGGGAATCTGGGATGTTCTTGGGGTCATCTGTGTTTTTCGCCATTGCTGATGCTGTGGCTGCGGCACGGAGAGAAAGAGACCTAGCCGAGGACTTCGCGGTACACAGCCCAGCCACGCCAGAGCGGGTGCGCATGGCCTGTGCGGATCGGTTCACAGACATGGTAGGTTGTCGCTCTGTTCCCAGGAGCTCAGTTCTACTTCCGGCTCCTTTGGCTTCTGGCGTACATCGTGACCTAACCTGTGTCTAGTTCATCAAGCTGTAAAAAGTTAAGAGTACATCACACAGTCGGGTGTGGTGGCACATGCTTGTCATAGCAGGATTGGAGGGCTGAGGCAGGAGAGTCATCAGCAGTGGTTCCGACATTCATCTCCCTTCTCCCGAACACGGCAATGATGACAGTCATCTGCCTCCAACCAGGGCCTCCTCTGTAGGCAGAGGCAGAGACCTGACCCCCTGTGCCTCAGGGCTCCTGGGTAGCACTGCCCTGACCTTGCTCACTGACCACTGTAAGGTCACATTGTCTCTTACCCAAAAGCTCAAGCAGATGTGACCTTCAACACAGCGTTCTCAGCCCCATTTTACAATAATCAGGATCGTTTTCCTGGAAGCCCCGCGAGGAAACTAAACACCCAAACTAAAGAGCTCTTCCGAGTGCTCCCTGCTCACCCGAGGCACTGGTCTTTCTCCAGTCTTCTGACAGCCTGGCTCCTGCATTTCCACAGATCTAGACTGGTTTTAGCGATCTGGTTGTTCAGCAAAGCTGTCACATACAGTGGGAAGAAGTGAATCATTTAGCTTATTCACTATTCGGTATGGGGCGGCTGGGTTCTGAGGTACGTGGGGTGAGACAGCATTTTCTGCCAGGTCTGACGATTCCTTGTTGAGACCTTTTCAAAATGTCCTGGTGGACACCAGTTGTCCATGTGAGAGCAGTCTCCAATTTTCTAAAATATTCATAAATGGTCCCTAAGTATCACCTCAAGTAGAACCAATATTTGATATTTATAACCTTATTTGTAGACAGATCTTTCTTTGGGCTGCCAGCTCACAAATAATGACATGGAAACTTACTATTAAATATAAAGCCTCAGCCGATAGCTTAGGCTTGTTTCTGACTAGCTCTTATAACTTAAATTAACCCATTTCTATTAATTCACCTTCTGCCTCGTGACTTTATTACCTGTACTCTGTACGGCCCATGCTGCTTCCATGCTTCCTCTGTGCCTCACCGGCAACTCCGCCTTCTTCTTCCCAGCATTCTCTCTGCCCCGAAAATCCTACCTAACTATTGGCCGTTTAGCTTGTTATTAAACCAATCACAGTGATGTATTTTCACACGGTATAAAGGATTATTCCACAACCTTTCCCCCTTTTTGTCTAAATAAAAAGGAAAGACTTTAACTCTAACATAAGAAAACTATATGCAATAAGAACAATTAGCCAGGCACTGGTGGCACATGCCTTTAATCCCAGCACTCAGGAGGTAAAGGCAGGTGGATCTCTGTGAGATCGAGGCCATCCTGGCCTACAGAGTTCCAGGAAAGGCTCCAAAGCTACTCTGACAATTATTAGGCAAGAATTACATTTATAATGTCCAGTACATTTGTATTTGGCATATTTGGAGAAAGTACTCCATTATTTATTCTCTTGATGAGTCTAAAGCTCTGTACCTAATTTACCTTTTGTCATAACTAAGGAAAACTGCAACTATAACTACCTAGTCTTCAACTCCATCAAAGACATTACCTGAGTAAATAGGAAGTGCAGTGCAAGCCACTTCCAAAACTAAAAGAAATGACAGAAACAGCTGGCTTTCTGGACATTTACCCAAGGTTCCTCTGTAACATTGGGGCATCCATCTTTGGCCTACAGGCCTAGAATATCTGACAGACTTTTCTGTGAAACAGGAAATTTTTTTGTTGATGTTGTTGGCTTTTCAAGACAGGGTTTCTCTGTGTAGCTTTGTGCCTTTCCTGGAACTCGCTCTGTAGACCAGGCTGACCTCAAACTCACAGAGATTCACCTGGCTCTGACTCCCAAGTGCTGGGATTAAAGGCATGCGCCACCACCACCCAGCTGAAACAGGAATTTTTAAAGGACTGACCTAACCTGTCTTGGCAAAGTTCAGTAGTCACTTTCTTTTGTGTCCTGCTTGTCCAGTTTGGACAGCACACTGTCAGCAGTCAAGGCAAGGGCAGTTTCTTACCCAGTGGCTAACTTTTGCCACAAAGAAAGCAAATTCCATATGGAGGTTCTTCAATGTCCATCCTCTTTTTTTGAAGTAAATTGGTGCTGCCAGGACCAGACGTGTCTCACTGTCATGAAAAGCCTTAGTTATTAAAACCTCTTAAATGCCATATTCTATAGATCTCTGAAGTGTTTGAAGACCATCTATCTATCTATCTAAAATACATGTTTCTATGAACTTGAAAACATACTTAACTACAAGTTTGATAGTTATAGATGACTATTACCTGTGTTTATTATCCTAAATAGCTTTCAAGGACTTTACATAACATTTAAAATGAGCTTAAGCAAGAATAGAAACACATAAAGCATATATACAGTATAACAAAACAACCTTAAATTTGTATCAATATACAAAAAGCCATGCCAATGTAAAGCATCTGAGACTAGTGGTTGTTTGAAAGTAGACTCAACAATCCACCCTTTTATCTCATCATTTCTATACTATATCCCCCTTTTTTCCTTCAGAAAGAGATGCTTGAATCTAGCTCCTTTGTTTAGTTTTTTTCCTGACCATGACCAATAACAGCTTGTAACCAACCCCTCCCCCCAAATGATGGCAAACATCCATAGCCCACAAAACAACCAAAAAACACCCTTCCCATCTCTTGGGAATGTGGGCATTGTGGTCTCTAGACTGCTTCCTGTTGTCTGGGAGTGCTGGCATCTTTGTTTTTCAAGGATTTCTCTGTGTAGCTTTGGAGCCTGTCCTGGATCTCACTCTGTAGACCAGGCTGTTCTCGAACTCACAGAGATCTGCCTGACTCTGCCTCCTGAGTGCTGGAATTAAAGGTGTGCGCCACAACCGCCCAGCGAGTGCTGGCGTCTTTAGGAGACCCTGGGAAATTTGGGATAATGGGCAAGTCCTGGGAGAGCTAGCTGTATCATTTGTTGTCCAGTCTCTGTGCGGTGGGAAAGGGCAAGGCTTATCTGCAGTCCTGGCTGGAGTAGCCTGTGAGGCTGGACCATCTCAGCCAGCAGCCTTGAAGCTGTTCTGGATGCAGAACTCTGAGGAAACTGCAACAGAGGCACTCTGAGAGGCTGCATCACCTGGGCCACTCATTTTCATTGGTGTCTGGTCACCTTGTTTTGAAAACACACAAACTTTCAAAGGTAACATACATATCTACATTAACACAAGTATGGAATGTGCTGTGTACAAATCAGTTAAAGATGATTTTTTGGCCAGGCGGTGGTGGCGCACGCCTTTAGTCCCAGCACTCGGGAGGCAGAGCCAGGTGGATCTCTGTGAGTTCGAGGCCAGCCTGGTCTCCAAAGCAAGTTCCAGGAAAGGCACAAAACTACCCAGAGAAACCCTGTCTCGAAAAAACCAAAAAAAAAAAAAAAAAAAAAAAAAAAAAAGATGATTTTTTGTTTTATGTTTGAGCAGGTAAAAGGCATCTCTCAGCTTTATAAATCCATTTGGACTGTATAACCAAACTGTAATATAAATCTCTATCCATCCATATGAAAGGATGGCATAGAATAATAAGTCATGAGGACTCTGTAGCCAACAAGATTTATCATGTCTCATCCCATCTTAGAGCTGTTCCCATGTCAAGAGATCAGCTTACACATCACCTGTGCTGTAGTCTTTTTTTATTTCTTCCCCCGTATCTGTAGCCAAGACACTCAGGAGGTCTCCCCTGGTCAAATCTGATCTCTATTAATCTGGAAGGAATACAGAGACTTTTGTTTCTTATGGCAACAAAAGCATAACCTCCTCTCCCAATGCAACACATTGTCCAACTTCCATTTTGAAGTTAAGACATTTTAAAAAATATATAGTTGCATTATTTAGCAGTTTCCATAATCCAGTGTCTCGTGCATTAACATTTAAAAATTCAGAGTTAACAAGACACCATATAAGATCCAGACTCCCTGTGTATTTTCCATTCTTATGTGACTTATTTTTTTATTACTTTACTCTCTCTTTAAAGACTTCACTGTATTTTTATGACTGTCTATACCCTTTTTTTTTCTGTTCTTAAGCCTACACACCTTGTTAAACACACTGGAACCTGTTTAGAGGCTTTTCTCCATCTGAACCTTCTTTACTGCATATCTGTAACCTTTTTTTGTTTTCATGAGCAAAATCTTTTTCTTTTAAAGATTTATTTTATTATGTATACAGTGTTCTGCCTGTATGTACGCCTGCAGGTCAGAAGAGGGCACCAGATCTCATTACAGATGGATGTGAGCCACCATGTGGGTGCTGGGAATTGAACTCAGGACCTCTGGAAGAGCAGCCAGTGCTCTTCACCTCTGAGCCATCTCTCCAGCCCCTCATGAGCAAAACCTTAAATCTAACACACAGTTTAGCTCACGGCACACTGGCCCCCCAAGCACACAGGCAGCGGGCGGGAGACATGTCTCTGTGCCACAGCCAGCATGAGAGACTGTGGGAATAAGAAGCAGTGATTGGCTCCATTTTTATGTGTTTGGAACCTTTTTTTTTTTTTTTTTTTAAGCTTTCCCAGGTCTTCTTATGTGAAAATATGTGGCCCCATATTAAGTGCCATTTGTTGGCAAATTTTTCTGTCTTTCCAGCCAGTTCCCAAATCACAACACAGAGACTTATTATTAATTATGAAAGCTTGGTCGATAGCTTAGGCTTGTCCCACTAGCTCTTATAACTTACATTAACCCATTTCTATTCATCTATGTGTTGCCATGTGACTTGTGACATTTACCCTGCATGTCTTGCTACCTCTCCATCTGGCTCTTGCCCCCTACTTCTTCTTCCCAGTGTCCCATGTGCCTGAAAATTCTGCCTAGCTATTCGGCTTTTTATGAAACCAGTCAGACTGACACATCTTTACAGTGTACAAAAAGATGATTCCGCAACACTTATTTTAATAGAATTTTACATTTTGTCTTTATAAAAGTAACACACACTGGGCATAGTGGTAC